TGAACACTGTTCATTATTAATGAATTCAATTGTTGCATCAATCACTTCAGGCTCTGAATGGAGAGGATGACGATGCGTGGGATGAGGATCAAGATGGGTCTGATTCAGATGATGATTCGGACAGTTCGCACTCTGACCCTGAAATCACTGATGAGATCAAGGGCAAAGATATCCCGGAACAATTGGTTGAGAAGAAGGAATCCAAACCAGTTTGCTCTACTAGCTCAGGTTCCGATCCACCTGTGGTGTCCCAGCCCTCTGGTCCTGCAGCTCACTCGGCAGCAGCTTTGGTTTCCAAAGGCCTGGATTCGGCACATGGTTCTGGCGACTTGTCATTTTATTTGTCATGTGGATCCATTTGGAATCATGTGCAATCATGCATGCAAACATCAGGCATGTCATATAAAATCCTCTAAACCAAAAAACAGAGACCCATGCAGGTGAAGTTGGTGGTGGATCACCGAAGTTGGAACCCTCTGATTTGGAACGAATGCAAGCACGTTTGGCTGAGCCATTGGCTTAGCTCGTTGCAGTTTCATGTGCATCGATCACTACAGATAAAAATATATATAGAACGAATACTTCATAATACGTCAAGGATATTATCGGTATCTATCGGTCTATTCAAGATCAGGTGCATGAATAAATTTGTCAGCTGAAAAGCTTGATCTTGATGATATATGCAAACACATTGCCAATGCCCCCAATGCCATGTAGCCAATTCTTAGTGGCCCATGTCAGGATCCGTGCACGCAAGAGCAACGTGAACCTTGAGATCCGGAAGATGAAGGCAGAGGAGCCACCTGAGCGGACCAAAGGCCAGCTCTGGGGAGTCATGCAACTCAATCTTTCTTTTCCCCGATGATGCAATTAAACATTATATGATATGTTTCATATTATAATGTTTCATATAATATATCATATAAAGTTTCCATTGAATGGTTGTACAATCCTTGCCATCCTACTTTCCATGTATAAGTGGAAATACAAAAACACGCGCAGGTACTGAACACCTGAAGATCGAGAAACCTGCGGCTGACAACCTCGAAACCCAGCCTATGGATGTGATGAAACTTAGTCCCCCAGAATCTCTTCCTGCCACATCGTCCCCGGAAGTTCCGACCGAGAAGCTTCGCCAACAGTATCAGCAGGTGGCCAGGTCAGCTGAAACTCCTCCCAGGAGGGAGGAGCATGAGACTCGATTTGGATTTCAATGAGTTGCACATATAGTTTCACACTCCATTTGGTAAAGAAACATAATCAAAAAAAGCGGACATGCATGAATATCAAATCGATTGATGTCTAGCACTGATCTTTGAATGTCTTTTTTCATAGCCGATCGAGTCCAAAAGTTTACTTCATGTTACTTCATATCATGAATCCTGACGGTCCATGCATGCATGGCTCAACCCACTCAGGCCGACCAGCCGGCTGAAACCATTCCCAAGAAGGTCAGGAAGACCAAGTCCAAGTCCAAGGACGTTGTGGAGGATGGGATGGGTGGCAAGCTTGACACCAAGGACAACACCAGCAAGGAATTGGGGGATGGTTCAACTGACTTCACCCCTGTAACCCGGGATGAACAACTCCGTTTGAAAGGTTCCACCAAGGGCTCCAAGTCACAGAATGGCAGCAAGTCCCAAAAGAAAGGAAAAACACGTGGCAAAGGTAAGGCAGGTAAGGGAAAGAAAAAGGCACCAACCAAGGTGGCTGTCGGTCGCAAGAGAAAGGTTTTAAAAGTTGCGGAAGAGAATGCTGATGAAACAAGTGTGAAAAAAACACGGACTAGCCGAAGTCTTCGAAGTTCAAGTTCCAAGGTTGCAACGACAGAGGAAGTTGCAACATCGGTACAAAGACTAGAAAGGCTAAAGGAGAAGCAGCTGCAGCCAAAAGCAAGGCAACAAAGGCCAAGCCTGGGCCGAAGGCCAAGGCAAAAGCAAAAGCATCTCCCAAGAGCAAAGCATCTCCCAAGAGCAAAGCAGCTCCCAAACCAAAGGCCCGGGGGAGAAGCAAGAAACAACCAGGTGTTGACTTCTTGGAGAGGAACAAGGAATCTCCTTTGTTTGAGGCTAGCATGGTCAAAGAAATGGAGGACTTCGCCACATCCTTTGACGAAAAGCTGGATGTGAAAGGTGATTCTTTCAAAGAAGCCGCCCGTGCTCACGACCCAGGCTTTACATGGTTCAGGTTGAACATCTACTGGAGCAGGTGCATTTGCGGAGTGACGAACAAGGACACAGGGAAAGATGCGGCCACTTTCAGTTTCAACACCTCATCGGCTTGCGATGTTCACAAGATGTCCATCGCTATCTATTGTGCAATTCATGCAGCAACTTTGCAAATGATTGCATTTTCTCAGAAATGTTTAGTTGTCGATATGTGATTTTTGTGAGGGAAAGTTCATATCATTTCCAGCCTTTTTTTGAAACTTTCCAGCACACGCCAAGGCAACTGCTTTGGATGAGGAGATCCCTGAAGCGACTGATGGCAATTTTATTTCAAAGTTGAAACACAATGCAAGCATTGCTTTGTTTCTTTTGGCAAATGGCGTGTAGGTAGCTTCCAGTCAGCTATTGCGCTGTGATACATATGAGCGATCATGTGATGTGATGGGGTATATATGTCAGAGCTCTGACCACTGCCCAAAGGCAATTCAACCAAGATTCCTTCAGGGATGCACTGTTGAATTGGCTCAAACTTTCAAACCTCGTTTTGTTAGCCATGGATTGCAGGGCAGTGTGAGCCAGCACATATCTTAGCTTTTGAGTGGAACGGCAATGAAATTTGCCCCGTGCGTGCTGAGACCAAACTTGGCGCTGATCCATCTGCTTGGGAAAATGCTTTCTTTTGGACATCGCGGCATCTCGGTTCCTTCAAAGATTTAGTGAGGATATCACTGTTTAAATCAATATGATCTTATTTTACCAAAAGGTCACAGGTGGTCAGGTAATATACATGTCTTTCCCACCGTTCCCACTCCACATGATTCCCAATTCACTGCTCTCCTTTGCAGGCGTTGCCAATGCCACTACCGAGCCTAAGAGGCAACATCTGGAAGGTTCGGGCGAAGATCACAAAAAAAGATAAACGTCCAGCTGGCTTGATTAGATCATAGTTGCATACTATTATCGATCGATCGATATACAAATTTGGGTTGACATATATTCCACTTGGTATCCAGGCGATTGCAACTGCAGTTCGGTTTTGATGGGAGCTGTTTTGGGCAATTTTGGGCACCAACTTGAATTGCAGCCATTAAAGGATCACAGTATCTGCAGGGGCCCACTGGCTTTTTGCATCGATCAATGGATCTTCCACGTGAGTCCGAAAGTTTGGACAAGCTCTTTTATCAATTGAAATGCTTGAAATGCCCAAAGGTCAGAGTCTCAAATCCTTCGATGACATGACATGTGCACATATCTCCAGGCCTAGAGAGTGTTACACCAATCTTTGATTAATACTCAGGTGTTCGCTTTGATCATTCTGATGGTGCTTTGGGATTCATCTTTACCCGTTGGCGAGGACAGCACGTATCTCTTGAATGTCAGTTGATGAATCGACATTACAATGTTTTCAGATTATGTGTTTTGGAGATCACAGGTAGAAAATGGATTTTGTCATTATATTAATATATGCATGCGTAAAAGATATTGAGTACCCTTTGTGAAACAATTTGGATTGATTCCCATTAAAAATTAAAAAGCAATTGCCCTTGCCAGGAGCCATACCAGTTCGTGGAGTTCTTTGCTGGAAAGGCAAACCTGTCGAAGTGCATGAAGGCTAGCGGATACAGAACAGCATCTTTCGACATTTTGTACCAAGAAGGACGTAGTGAAGCACACAACAGCGACTTCATGGATATCAATTCGACCAGTGGATTTGCGCAGTTTGACTCAAATCAAAAGGTATTGGTGGATTTCAAAGTTATATTTTTTGGGGTTAACTTGACCATGCATACAATATTACAAAGCTATACTGTTATAGGTGGATCAATTTAAGATGGATCGATATAGAGGGGGCATGCGCATGTATCCACAATAGCTTATACAAGTCAATTCCCTATCGCACTCAGGTTGTGTGTCCACGCTCTGCTATGCTGCAGCCCTGGGGCTTTTCTCGCCTGCTTTGCAATCAAATGCGCCAGCTGGTCGGCCATCAACCAGGGAACCAGTGGCCGTGCGCCATGCGCCAGCCTGGGCCGTTTGGGATTTCCTAGTGTTGATAGCTCCAACATGATGGCATGTCGGATTCTTGCCAATACGATTTTAATTGCCCCTCAAGTGTATAAACAGAGCTTGATAGTGGATTGATTTGGGCTTTTACGGATTACCTTTCAAGATCAATCAAACCTCCAATTGCACACGACTTAGGACTATCCTTCTCCTGATGTTGACCACTGCGCTTGGTGGGACGTGGGTGCTGGAACAGCCAGAGAATTCGGTTCTGGAATTCTTTCCACCTTTTCTGACACTGCTTTCAACCATGTTCTGTGCAAATGGGATGAGAGCGTCAGTGACTAGTTTGAATTGATTGGATGGTTCAGTGACTACTCTAGGCTGCATGGTATATAGACCTGTTCTGATTTGAATCCATGCCTTAAGGTAGTTGGACGTGCCAAGTGGTTCATGGAGACCTTTGGTGGCCTTTCACCCAAACCCCACTATGCGTGGTCCAACTCGGAAGCTATCCGCGGTTTGAATTCGGGACCGAAAAGGAAGGTTAAAGATGATTCTGAGGGTGATGTCAAAATCAAGACTTGTGAGCAATACTTGAACGAAGAAGGAAAACAGTGTTACAAAGGGACGAAGCTTCTTCGGAAAACTGAGCATCTTAGATCAATTTAATGTTTGCTCAAGTTTGCTCGTTCTGCACATGCACTTTTTGTTTTGAGAACCCCATTGAAACGATGGCTTTATACTCATCGATCTATCGAGCTTAAGTAAACAAATATTTTATGAATTGTACTATATATTTTTGTCGCCCATCCCAGGGAGTATCCTATGGGCTTCGGTTGGAAGATGGTCGACATGTACCGCTCCCTGACAAGCACCAATCGGGGCCTTGCCACTCTTCCGGAACCACTGCCAGATGCAATGACCTCATTTCGTGAGATGCCAGATGAGTCTGACTCCCTGATGTTTGCAGATATCCAATCGATTTACAATTATCTTCGCCGAAACCGGCACATGAAGATTCCCCAGCATTGGAAGGAACTTGTACCAAAACCAACTTGATTCCACCAAAAAAATCTGGTTTTAACCATTGCAAATTTACAGTTTTCAAGTGTTTTTTGGGGTACATTGTGATTTTTTTCACGAAAATATCACTTTTGGGAGTTGAAAATTATGGAAATCCTAAAAACCCATATTTATCCCGTATTAACCCGTATTTATCCCGTATTAAACCCGTATTTTCATATCCCCCCAAAGAACCTACTTTTTCACAACCCGTATTTATCCCGTATTAAACCCGTATTTATCCCGTACTAACCCGTACTAAAAATATGGGTTTTTTGCTCAAGTTCCTGATTCCAATTCATCCGGATTTTTCAATTCGGACGAGGTGATTTGCAAGATTCAAGATCCAGAAAATGTTCTGTCATCGCTAGTGCGGGCTGCTTTGATTTGCTACGACTGCATTTGGTGTTTTTTTCAAGTCATGTGACCTACATCATTGGAACAACACATTTTGTGTCTATATGATATATAGCATCTTGGCCTATAGGTTGGTTTCACTGTGGCATTGCTGCAACATAGCTTCCTGGTAGCTATGTCTTCGCAGTCAGTTGTCACGACTTCGAGAGTTTGGAGTTGCCAAACACTTCACGATGGTGTGAAGCAGCTTTTAGATGAAGCTGAACAACTACAATGGGAAGAACAAGAATTGGAAAGACAGATTAAGGACAGCATACCGTACTATATACTAGCTTAACTAAATAATAATAATGAGCGCCGCCCCAGGAGATCCAGGATCTCAAGATCACCAGTGAGAATGTTCCCCAGCCGGATTCTACTTCAGTCCCCTGGTTTCAAAGTAAAGTTGGATGATCTTTTGAAAATTAATCCACAGCCAGCTGCCAAGGTGCCCAGCATCGAGTCCATGGAAACGTTGCAGGCCTGCATGAACAATGGTTATGGGATATGTGGGGTTCGGATCATTTCCATGCATGGTTCACACATGCATGCATGCATAGAAGATTTTTAAACACCCATGCATCAATGATACAATAAGATCTTACTGTGGCTATCATATATACGATATGCATGTATGAACATCCTATCAGCCCAGGCCACGGAAACTCAACTTGCTGAAGCTCACCATGGGTCTGATGCAAATGGTGACTTGGTGAGCCCTGGACCGGGGACACCCGAGATGTGTCCCCACACACCCCAAGTGGATGGCAATACTACTCCTACAGCAGTGACACCAGTTCAACCCGATGTGGTCAGCCCGGTGAAGACGCAGAACCCTACAAGCCCAGCAGAATCCAAACCTGCCAAGGAGCTTATTGAATTACTATAAATGACTGGTCACAAAATTGTGTTCAAATGGTTTGGGGATTCTATCAAATATTACCCATGCAGTCTGAAGTATTTAACCTGTCCAGGATGAAGCAAAGCCTGAGACTCCTAGACCTCCAGCTACCCCTCAATGCGCCGATGGTGGCGATTTGTCTGTTGGACCCAAGACCGTCAAGACCCGCAAGGTGCCTCTATGATGTTGTCCATGATTTGACCACCTCAGTCCAGCTATTGCCAGGAGAGGTTGGAGGAAGCTGCAAAGTCCCAGGTGCGTCACATGTGCACACTCAAGAAAAAGAAGGTGGCTTTGAATCTGCCCGCGTGGGTGGTTGAAGAGTACCAGAAGCGTCCCAAAGTTGAAATGGCGAGGTTGCTGATGAATTGCAATTTCGACAAGGCCAGGTGTTTAGGGCCAACCATGTTATATACAATCAATTCGAATTGAAACTATAAACTATTATATAAACTATAAAATATAACTATGGAAGTCCCCATGCTACCCATCCATCGGCTTCAAAAAATCCCTGCATGCTAACAGGAGAAGTTCGTCTGCGAGTTGGAGATCATTGTCAAACGGAGCTCTTCGAAGAGCATGACAGTGGAGTCCCAGTGGGTGAGCGAGAAAGAGATGAGAGATGAGTTGAAATGGAGCCAGCACTATGGCTGAAAATTGTTTGGGAAATCATACCAAACTTGGGAAACTATATATGTTTCTTCACATCTTTAGGACTGGTGGGATTGATGGAACATCAACTCTATAATTCATACTAACCATGACCCATGATGCGCTGAGCGCCCTTGCCTAGGCAACGGATCAACGGAGCAAAGAAAGCCTGCGAGGCCAAGAAAGAAACGCACCTCAGGTGCGCCCTCCACATGCATGGATAATACATGACAAAAAACACATCATGGAAATCTTTCAGAAAACCTTTCATTTCACACTTGAAGGCGCAACCAGTACGATGACGTTGAAGAGTTCTATGTTGATATCCGTGAAAAAGGCCAACGTAAGGAGAAGGAGGTACATGAGGAAACCAGAAGAAGCAAGGAACAGCTTCAGGCCCATAGTTGTTTTTCAGTTGATTTTGGTTGATCTGATGATACCTGATGTGGGATTAAATTCTTTCAGAAACCTTATATGACACGATACAATACTTGGTGACACTCTCAAAGCTACTTCTTGCCAGGAGGCTGACAAGCCCGCCTTGTCTGCAGATGCTTTCAAAGGCTTGGACCGCCTGAAGGACCGAGAGGCAGCTGACAAAGCGACCTCTACCCCTGGTGCTAATCCTGCCAACCAAGCATTGGAGGCAGGGAACAAGTGGAATCAAAAAACAATTGATATCATTTTCATTGGAAACCTTTGCAACACTATTATATAGTAAAATCCAGCTTCAATCTTGTCTTTATATGTTAAAATGTTAAAGCCCATCTTAGTTTTCATTGCTGCATCCACCCGAATTCACACTGCAGATGAAGAGACGGCTTCAGAAATTCATGGACTCCATGGTGCAGAAGTCTGGCAAGTGCCGAGCTCTCATCCGAGACATTCGAGATGAGTATAGCAAGAGTGATCTGTTGAGAAGGCTCGAATGATATATAGGTGAAAATCTTGAAGTAAAGTGTGATTGAATTCCCATCCAAAGTTAACACCATAATCTAATTCCCGGCACCTTGCAGGGAAGCCGACAAGTTGGAAGGCAAGCTTGTTGATCTGGACAAGCAGCACGAAAGCTGTAACAATGTGATGGCCAAGGGAGAGGTCAGTGGATATCCACCGGAGTTACTTGAACAAAATATACAGCTAACCTTTGTTAATGCATGTAAATAACATGAAATCAAATAAACTAGAAAACACTCTGCTCTTGAGATTCTTGATTTGAGGTTTGCTGGCCAAGCAACAAATGCGATGACTGCTGCCACATATGTGTTGGGAACTTACAACTTGAAATTGATAGATTGTTTTCTTCAAAAGAGTGGACTGGGAATTTCCATGATAGCTCCCAGCTGTCCCAGGTGTTCTGCTGCCTGCGCCCAAGAAGCGAAGCTCCGGTCATAGCCTGAGATCATATGACATGATCGCACTGGTGAATTCCAAATCGCTACTTCAGGAATGTGAAGAAATATGAAAAGAAGGACACTGAAGAGAAAAAGCCCAAAAAGGACAAGGAGTCCAAGGTGAAGGATTCTAAGGTGAAGGATCCTAAGGGCAGAAAGGACAAGAAGGGCAAGAAGGATGAGGAGGCTGAGGCTGAGGATGACCAGCCAAAGCCAAAGCGAGTCCGCAAGCATAAGTGATGGCTTCATAGCTTTGGGGTTCTGTCCGTTTCAGTTGCAAATGCAATCTGAAATCTTTGGATGGTCACTCTAGAAACTGACCGATGTTGTTTTCACAACTTCAGGAAATACATCCTGTGGGGTTGGGCCCAAATGGAGTCAAACCATTTTAAAAAAAGGCTAAACTCACAGACAGTGTATCTCATTTAAACAATAATATCACAACCAAAACCATCATCTTATGTTTTTGCAGTGTTCGACCCTATTGGTTCCCATATGCGGTGAGATGGCAACGCCTCTTAGTCTTAATTTTGATGGCTTTGCCCGTGACATGTTGGGGAAAGATGGCAATCGGCGAAAAAAAACGTTATCCGCATTCTTGGTGTGAATATATGAATCGATCGACCGATATATAATATACCCCATATGCCTTCACCCATTGATTTCATTCCCACCGGTTTGCATGCCAGGTGCCGGCAATGCTCTCAAAGCCTTTGTTCGAGACATTGGTGAAGGTGTCCATGCCTCAATGCTTCAATGGTCCCAGCTCTGGGCTCTGGTTGGATTGATCATGGGATGAAATGGTCATGCCAAGTCTGTGTGTGTGACCGTATCTTTCAGGATCATGGTGAAACAAATGCATAATTCTAAATGTCGGATTGCATGCATGTGTGAGAATTGTGATCATGGTGCCATAATGTGCCATACATCTTTCCATCTAAAATAAATTGAAACAACCATGCAGTGCTATAGAACCTAGAGCTTTCAGCACTCGATGGAGCGCAATGGGTGATGAAACTGCAGAAGAGGAGCTGCTTGATCTTCTAACGTGCCACCGCTCTGACACTGGGCTTTCTATAATGTCGGGGTTTCTGACACCAAAGATGGTTTTTTAAAACAATCGTTTGCATTCAACTTTCACCATTGATACATTAAGGAGTCTGAGGGGCCTTTTCCATGGAGCTCTTCGGTTTCCACTCCAACAAATGACAAGGTGACCAAACATGTTAGGGAAACAGTCAGCCCTTTGCCCAGCTGGATGGCATCATTGCCTCCTACTTTGCAGTCCAGCCCGGGACTCCAGACCATAGCGCTTCAAGCAGCAACCATGGGCTGCATCGAAGTGAAAATCCCCAAAGTTAATTTGATGGCAGGACGTGTTTTGGCTCATTGCATTGCTGTCATTGAGACTTTGTTCAAGATGTGGGATCCTATGATCTTCAAGCTGGGCTATACGCATGACCCAATCTGGCGTTGGTCAAATGATTTGTATGGTTACTGCCAAAGTAGAGAGAAATGGTCCAATATGGTGATCCTTTGGATATCTGACGAACCATTCGCCCCTGCTATGTTGGAAGCTTCTCTGATTGAAAAATACAAAGGCATCTAGACAGCAATCATGCTTCAATATTTTCATAATTGTTTTGGGCATTTTTGGTATCAAACCTTTCCTCAAAGCTGGGGTGATAGTGGCGAGCGGCCGGCTCAGGTAAACCGGGCTGCAAAAACATCAGGCTCGGAGGAGACTCGGTGGACACCTCTTGTGGTCCAGGTGAAGGGGCCCACATGTGTTATATTGTCTATAGATCTTTCAAATTTAAACCGAAATGATCCGTTTTTTTGCTACAGTGCAAAGTCAGACCGCGCTGTGAGTTTGATTTGCTTATGGCAAGTCATGTGAGCTAGTGCCTAAAATGGCATGTTTCTGTGTGTCTGTGCACGCACGCTGGGGTTTTATCGAATGAGGGGAAAAGATTGGAAAAGTGGCGTTGCTATCACTGTTGGCGCTTCACAGTGGAAAGTACTTTGCATTGCAAGCATTCATTCATGCAGCAGAAATCTTAACATGTTTGCCAGGCCGCTCCATTTTTGCTGCCAACAACTCTCACAGGCTTCATGCTCCACTACGGGTTCGACAAAAATCGAAGGCAAATCAAGCTTGAAGGATGCAAGGACTGGACACGACGATGAGATTGCAAGCAAATCAAGCGAAAATCGAAGTGGCCTATCCCGGGCTGGGAAGTGCCAACGAGGGAGGGCCCTCAAAAGCTGCAGCAACAACCGCAGACTGAAAAACATGCAAGTCATGTTTGCCAGGCCGCTCCATTTTTGCTGCCAACAACTCTCACAGGCTTCATGCTCCACTACGGGTTCGACAAAAATCGAAGGCAAATCAAGCTTGAAGGATGCAAGGACTGGACACGACGATGAGATTGCAAGCAAATCAAGCGAAAATCGAAGTGGCCTATCCAACTCTGCTCCACGTGTCGCATGATCATTGCTGGTCATAAGACTCACGCAAAAGAGACGATGAAGCGGCAGCAAGTTCCAAGACAAGTTTTCGTTTGTGTTGGGACAAGTCCGAAAGGAGGACCTGGCCCATGACATCCTGCAGGTAGTGTTCCAAGGTCCGGCGCGCTTGCCAGCGCCCGCGCCATAACACTCGGTCCAAGTCTTCAGTTATATGGAAAAACCAACTAGCGCCAGAGCCACGAAGGCTCTTCGGCGTGATGCCGTGGGACTTTTCGGACGTGCTAAAACCAAGGTAGTTAAATACTTTGTTCCAGCGATGTCTAAAAACATGCGAACTGCAACCAAAAAGCAAATCTGCTGGAGGCAAGGCACCGAAGACGTGATCCAAGAAAATTACTGTCATATGGTCACTAATACGTGCATGCTGACGCAACATAAATCGGCTTGTCTTTGAATGCAGTATGCGAATGTAACAGAGTTTCTCATGGGACAACAAGTCACGAGGCAAAATCAGGTCGGCTTGCTGCAAAGGAAGAAATTCGCTTGGGCGGAGGAGGCCGTGGAAACCTATCAAAAGAGCGGCAGCCATGCGCGGCCAGCTCCATAACAAGCTTAGAGAAATGGCGGCTTGCAGAACACTGGCGGGCATAACCATGCTCCTGCTGACAGGCTCTACCTCTTCCCATCGGGACAGTGTGGTCCATGGTGCTGCTAGTTGCCCCCTCAGATGTGGCAATTGGTCTACCACGGCATTGATGGTTTCTGAAAACATGTATTTTGGCTCACCTGCATAGAATAACCATTTACCAAAACCAATGAGCGCTGCATTCAATTCTGCTGTGTCCAGTTCGGGAAGGGCAAGGGGTCGCTCAAGTTCCCTGCCCAGCCAAATCAGAAAACGTTCCAAACACTGCACTCGTCTTTTGCTGGTTTGTGGGTGTCTGCCGCTCGAAGGGTCCAAAGAAATGCCAGACCTGGCATCTATGGTAGCTCTTTTAACCCGAGGCATGGCACTTCCCTGGATTGCCCTGCAGACAGATCAACAATCGAGTGAACCTGGCCCAACCATTCATTGGCCACTGCAACTTGTCAGCTTCGACTACTTGATCAAAAAGTTCAGGGCTACCTTTGAGCAACAAATCTAACCACCAAGGCTTTTGAGAGCTGCACCGCAAACTGACAAAACGGGAAACATCATCGGAAGGGTTTTCCTTAGAAGCAATATGAATCAGATAGGGGTACAAATCTCTTCCAATCAAATATGGGAGAGTGGTGCCTAAATAAAAATTAAGTTGCTTACTGGAAGATCTCCCTTTAGCAGTACTACCAATCACTACCCGAGAATCCAACAAAGCAACGAAACGACTAGAAGGCTCACTCTTGGCCACATGTTTGATCAGGCTTCTGAAAGCAAGGGATTCATTTACGTTTATATGGTTCAATTTCCTGAAGCGAAACTGCAGCAACTTCTTCCACTCCAGACTTCGTCCAAGTTCCGAAACCCAAAGCGGGAACCTAGAGCTTGAGCGAAACTTTGGGGAGCACTCATCCTGCTTGAGCTCAGTCATGTGAAGCAAATTTCTTTGGGCAATGGCAACGCAAAGGGGCAAAGGGTACCCCGCACTGAAACTTGCAACGTGCTCTCCTAAGTTCGGCCCCCGGCCAAAAACTGCCAAAAGGTTTGGACGGCATCGCTGTGCAAAATCGGGCATGTTGAGTTTGGTGAACACGCCCTTCACTCTGAAATGCCGGCCTCTGTACCCGCATGAGCAGTCGCTATTTAGGTCTTGTAACTTAGGGTTATTGCTTACCCACCAACTATTTTTCTGGAAAGGAGTGCCCCACCTACAGAATGGAAACTTAATGCTGTAAAAACCGGCGTTTAGCAGTCGTTGATAGATATCCAAGTAAAACATTACCGAACCCGCAGGCTGTTCTCCGGAACCTAAGATGTTGTAATGCAAACACAGGAAAAGCAAAAACGCTGCTCGAACGGCAAAATGGTTCCCGTCGGCGGTGTCTTCCTCAAAACAATCGAAGCCGAACGGAAATTTTTTGGACCTGACCCGAGGCCGCCGCAAGGTTCCGAATGTATTGCAGATTGGGGCCACATGAACGGCTCTTACAACACGCCGGGCTATCAGACCGGCAGCTGCTAAGAAAGTTGATTCATTCATGATATCTCCGTGGGGACCATCTTTAATTTCGAACCCGGGATGAACTTTAAGACCTAAATCTTGATGGGCTTTACTAAGGTGACCAGAACCCCTGAAAACTTCAACGAAATCCCAAAGGAACCCTTCTTGAAGTGATTTGGGCACTGACAGTTCGGCAGCAATGTGCTCACCTTGCAATGCGAGATGCTGGCCTAAGGTTGAAGTATCAACTCTAGTATAAAAACCCTTCTGTTCTGCCAATCGGGCAAGGTCCATGGTGGCTTCACGAGAAATTGGCGCCTGACAGACACCAGCCCCTTCTAGAGAGGCGTCGGAGCAAAACAAGCGCTCAGCAGGCTGGGCTCTGAGATTTGTATACATGTGCGGGGCCCATATGCACAGAAGCAAAAGTTCATGTTTTGTCCCAGTGTTCAATGGGAAAACTTCGTGAGGTCCTTTCTGATCACCGGCGTGAAAAACTTCGCTGAGTAGGGCTAATAGGGGCCGACGGAACAACAATACAAAAATCCAACAACCCAGTAAGCTTTGAATAAGGTGCTTGGTTCCCCATCCTAGATTGACCAAAGCCAGGGTAAGCTTACATAGCACATGTATCCTCAGCTTGGGCGCTGAGATCGTCCCCTTCACCCCATCAATTTCCCCCCCAAGAACAACTGCCTTTTTCGCATTTTTGACTGTTTTCGACTTAGATGACCTAAGGCCTGCGGACAAATAGGCATCTTGAGCGCTGTTTAGTAGCTTAAGGTCTTGGCGGATTATTTTGTGGGAATTTAGGGGGAGCCCTCGGGGAATCTGCTGAAGCACTGCGTAATCGTCTATACACAAAAGCTGGTAGACTTCCCCTCTAGGAAATGGGTGTCTATATTTCACTTGCTGGGAATCTAGGAGGCATCCGGCTCGTTTTAGAAGGTTGGAGTGGGTGTGTTGCGCGATTTCTACAGCATAGTTAGTCCCCATGGCTAAGGTTGCGAAGCACCCCACTACAAGTTTCCCAGCAAGCGTTGGGTCCCAACAGTTCCAATCTTTGAAGGTTTCTGCTGGGAAGACACCATGGATGTGATTTCTGGCAGCGTGCGCTTTGCTGACAACAAAAGCATGATAATAGTCTTCAAGATCAGTTGCTGCAATGACCAGATCTTGAGCAGGATCAAGGACTAGGTTGCACAACAACGTTCCATGCGCAAGATTGTGAGTGCTTTCCGCGATGCCAAAAGTCCTTCCATTTTCTGGGATGGGATTCAGAATCTGTCTGTCTTTTTCAGCATTTTTATATACTGCGAATAAACCACACCTATATTTGAACTCAGAAGCATTTGCATCTAAAAGTTGCAAGGAATGGACATCGTCCCAACGCTTAAACAGTTGCAGCAATTTTTCGCGGGAACACATCACTCTAGCAGGCTTTGCAGACGGCCATGTCTCCTTAGGCAACCTCAAGTGTTTGGGGTTCAGAAATCCTGCTTTCAGAAGAGGGTCGGAGATAAATTTGCTAGCTTTAAAACTAGGGCTATGTGAAAACTTTAAGCGACTAGGTTCAAGCTCAACTGCGCTGAAACTGCTTGGAGGTTTGCATGTGACCTTCAAATCACCATGCGCATGCTGCCCGCCTTCATCTGGCGGTTCTGTGCATTTCCGAGGTCTGCTGTACGGGTCAAAATTCGTTTGAAGAGACCTACAAGCGGAACTTAACTCGGCTAAGGCTTCGTGCAAGGAAGTGAATTTCTGCTCAGACCGCTGAAGGTCGCTGCAGAGACCGGAGCTCTGGCGATACCAAACTCTCAGACTGTGCTCCAGATGTTCCAGCATACAACTTTGGCATGTTGAAAGAGGCTGCCTGGTCCAGGTCTCAGCAGTGGCTTTCTTTGGGCGGCCCAAAACAAGCCAGTTAGCCGAGGCGACAAAAACTCGCAAGTGCTCCCTAACGATCACCCTAAGTTTGTGTCTGGTCCGGCGCCTGCCCGAAAGAGAATGCTCAGGGCTTGCAATTCTCTCCGGGACTGGGCACGGCCAAAGGTCTTTGGAAGAACAATGGCTGCTCTCCATCATGTGCAAAACAAAAGACTGCTGAATGAAATTCCCTAAAGGAGTTCGACTAGCAGAAATGGCTTTCAAAAGGTCTGTTCCATAAACAACAGAAGCTAAAAACTTTGGCATACCATTGCAGCTTTCACTAGGGTGCCCAGCCCCGCGGGTGCTTGGAAAACTAGCGGCTGCAGGCGCAGACAAATTTGGGGAAGAATTCATTCCGCTTCCCCTACGGGCTCTTGAGAATTCCTTCTGATCCTTTTTGGCTTCCATTTTGGCTTTGCCTTGGGGACAGCTTCGCTGCTCTCTTCGGATGGGCTTGCCTGACTCAGGTGACCTGACCTGGCAAACTTTCCGGCCTTGTCGGTGATCACTTCCACATCTCGCAGATAGCCCAGCTGCGCAGCCAACCATCGAGGGTCGCTGAGCTGGCCGTGGGCGAAATCCACTTTGGCTACGCGATGCAACTCTGTTTGGCTGAATGGTGGATCTTCGAGGCATGTCAGGAGATGACCTAGGCGGAGAGCCCCCCCGTCGTAAGCGCTCTGTTCCACAAACACTGCCTGCAGAGCTACCAGCATTTTCAGTCGAGGCAAATCTCCTCGCTCTAGAGCTTCGAACATTGCAGCTGCTTGGAAACCAACATAGGTCAGAGTGCGATGCGTGCCCAGCGGAACTGTCTCCTGCATGTGCAGCCACAGATCCCTTGGCTCCAGCTCCTCGGGGCCCGATTTTCTTCGAGCCACAGCAAGCCTCTCGCGGAAAACTTTCAGCACTTTTTCTGGATTCTTCCGGAAGGACTCGGCGAGCAGCTGCCTGGCGGCAATTCCTTTCACGCCGGATGCACGGCTGGTCTCGTCGGAGTCGTGGCTTGAGCTCCCTGCCAGAAGGTGCAGAGGATCCTGTTGGGAAGCTTTGCTTGAAGCCAGTTTCTCCAGCAATCGGGTTTGCGAAGCCAGCAGCTGCTCCAGGACGTTTCCCCCAGCTAATGGCTCGGGAGCGTCTTCGCTGTCTTCCGGATCTTCTTCCGCGATAGTGCCAGCGGGGGGCATTGTTGGTGGAGCCACAGGCCTGCCTTTCGGTTGGGCACCCAAGTCTCCAACTCTGTTTGGCCCTCGACCAGCAAGTGCTTGAAGTTTTTCTTTCCGCGAATTCTCCACAGGTATGGCTGCATGATCGAAGAGCTGAGGAGCAAGAGCTGCTTGGTAAGGTTGGTTCTGCAATGGCTTGCTCACGCTTTGCTTCTCCAACTTCTCCAAGCGAGCCTGCACCTCGGACAGGGTATTCAGCCTGTCCTGCATACCTGTGACAGTGCGTTGTGTCGCCGCGGCCTGTGACAACAATTGACGCAGGAGATCGTCGGTCTCGCTGGCTGCCTCTACTCCGTCTATCTGAGCTGCGATTTCCTCTGCCGAGAAATACGACTCCAGCCGGCCTCCTGCAGATTGGAGGAACTGCCCCACGATCTCTAGGAGGTGGCCTGTGTGAGGCCAGTCGGGCACTCCACGGTACTCTCCGAATGTCACAGGGTCTTGAGAGCCGACAGGAGGTTCTGAGACAAGATGATCTAGACCAGCAGTGTCCAAGTCGAAAATGACAACTTCCAGGAACCTTCGAGATCTGCGTCCTTGACTGCCCATAGCATACACCGAAGTGGCGGAGTATGGGCCTATCAAGTCTGCATAATCGGAGACCTCTGCTGCTTCGAAGACTTCGTCTGGGATGCCTGAGCGCGGTATGCACACCAACACTCCTGAGGGAGTAGCTCTTGCGATCACAGCCTGGCAACAATGATCTTCGTAGTGCATGAAAATCCTGCTGGGGCCACCAAGCTGATCTGCTGCAAGGATCCCGCGGGGCAAAGCCATCAATCCAGTTTTCGGAGGACAGCAGGGCACTGCTTCTTGCAAACTTGTACGGGTGAATGGTGACAAAGGAAAATGCTCAATCAGATCCAGCCCGGAGCAAATGCCCAGACAACCAAAAATGATGCAGAATGACAAAGATATTTGTGGAAGCTAGATGCCAGCAATGCCAAAAGCAGGTGCGAGAGATGCAAAACAAGCAAAAGAGCTGATCCAAGCTAAACCTCTTTTGATAAGAAAAGTGCTAATCACGATATCTAGCCAGTCGCCCTTCACGCCCCCTGATGTTCACCGGAGCCAGCTCGTAAGCCACCACAGCCACCACTTTGGTAAGGATCCGCCTTAATAAGGGTGATAGGAAGAGGGCAGTGATGAATGATCCACAAAAGAAACCCAGCAACCAAGCCCCTATGGCGAGCAGCAACGACTCAGATGCACGAGATGGGCAAAATAGGCTTTGGATGCCCCAGGGCAGTGAAGCCAATCGTTCCCACATGAACCCTCAAAAGCTGCAGCAACAACCGCAGACTGAAAAACATGCAAGTCAGATCTCAACAGATAAAATGATATCTTCAAGGAGTCCATGGTAGGGGTTCCACTGTTCAGCCGCTCCTAGGCCTCCAGCTGCGCATCGGCTATCAGAGCCGCCAAAGGCGTGGTTGAGGACATAGGGGAATCATGCGCTGCAAAAAGCAAAGGACTTGTTGACTTGAGCAAATGCTCAGTGTCGCATAGCGAAAGAGATATGGATGTGGTCACTCGGAAGTTCAACCTCAGGCTTCCAGTGCCCATTACCCACTTAGACAAGATCCCTGGAATGCGGTACACTGGTAGCTTCGATGCCATCTCTTTGCAAGATTGGTGCAAGTTTTTGATCAACTACAATGTTTGGCACGTGATGTGCGGTCTCAGGAAAGCAGATCGAAACCGTGAATGTATGATTTTGAGTGAGTTTTGGAAGAGGTACAAAGTTGCCAATCCAAACAGTGGGCTTTGGGCTGAGTTCCAACAATACAATGTTGACGTTTCTCGTTGCTGCCCCTTGGTGCTGCACGGCGATGAAGGTCGTGGAAGGAAGAAAGCCCCATTTCTGATCACAGCGTATCATAGTGTTATCGGGTTTGGAACAGCTGCTGCAAATGCGAGTCGCACTCACAGAGCCTACCTTCGCATGCGCTTGAACTACAGTGAGAACAGCAACATCCACAGAATGTTGACATGTGTGCTCCCGAAGATGAACAAGGATGACCTAGCATTGAAGGCGATTCTGAATTTCATCACCAACGACTCTTTGCATGTACTCCGGCATGGTGTGGAGAGCGAACATGGAGATCGATACTTCATGGCTGTTCTCAACGTGACGGGAGATTGGGCATGGCTTGCAAAATGTGGAAATCTGGCAAGGTCATATTCAAATGTGGAGAAGAGGCCGCGTGGCGTCTCTTCGGTGCCGCGAGGGGTGTGCCATTGGTGCAAAGCTGGGCAACTCAATGTCCCATTTGAGGACTTCAGACGGAGACCTCTTTGGAAGAGCACTTGCTTCGAGGCAGGTGACAATCCTTTCACATCGGTGCCAACCCTCTTGCAACTTCCACACGATCCTAACAGACCTGCTTCGTTCTTCATTTACGATTTCTGGCATTCATTTCACTTGGGCCTTGGCAAAACATGGCTTGCATCAGTTTTGGCTTTGATTTCAGATCGCATGGGTTCCAGCAACATCGAAGGGAGATTTGCAGAATTGACAGATCTGTACTTGCAATGGTGTGACGAGCAACATGAAACTCCATACCTGACGGCCATCAGCAAGGAAACGATTGGATGGATAGATCGCCAAAAGTATCCCAATGGCTTTTGGTCCAAAGGCCATATCACTGTGGCCTTGTTGAGATTTGTGGGACACTGGCTGAGGACGCATTCAAATGAAATTGCTGATTGTCCAATGTTATCACAATGCGGCTTGGCGACGGAACAAATCAACGAAGCCATCTCTTCCATGTACCGACAGGATGTTTGGATGAAGAGAGATGTTGCAAATGACATTGGCAACAAGGGACTTTCCTTTGTGGAGACCTACGGTCGTTTGGCGCGATATGCCTTTGACAATTCAAAGGCTTTGTGGGCTCTGATGCCGAAGGGGCATGTCGTCCATCACCTATTCAGTGACCTCTTTGAAGCTGCTGACGAATGGGTGATTAACCCACTGGTATTCGCCGTGCAAATATCAGAAGATTTTGTGGGCAAAAAATCGCGTCTAGCCCGTCGAGTTCATGCGACGCAAGTCATCAGACGGGTTTTGGAGCGATCGTTGGTATCATCCCATCAACACTGGACGGATGCAGGATTTTTTCAGGGATGAGGAGAAGAAAAGAGAGGAAAAGTGCGCGGTGTGATGTGGACATGAGAATCTGATGATTTTACATGGTCACATGAAGAATTGTGAAATTTGAAAAAATCAGCATTTTTGAAGAACCTGGTTTTGCATGCGAAATATGGGTTTTTTTTAAGAACCTGCTTTTATGCAGGGTTTCGGTTCTTCTGGTATATATAAATATGTTGATAAAATAATATCAAACTGGTAGGTTCGATAGTCTATAGTCTACAGTTAATGATATCTCACATTTGATGCTGATACTGTTAGTTGGGATCCTCCTAGGGAATTGTTTTTCTCTATCAAATCCACATGGTCTGATCCCACGCAAACATGAACAAGTTCACTGCAATCAGATTTGAAACACCTCTTGGGAATTTCACTCCAACACCATTCAAACAATTAGACATGACTATCAACAAAATCACACATTCTTTCAACAGCTGGTCATTGTTTCCCTTTTCAAAAGCTGATTCCTGGTTACTCTGATCATCCCATGGCTACTTAAACCCACAGTTGACCATCTCCTCGAAGGAGGAGAACACAACCCATCAATTTCCGAAGCCGTGCTTCTTCTGATCAATGACCACTTGTGGTGATTCTGTGTAGAAAAAAACATGGTCAGTGAACAATATTGACAATATCACCGTGATATCACGCAAAGTAATTTCTCTAAAGTACAATTAGCATCAATTATAAATCTTCTGGTCACGGTTGGGACAACTAGCTGTAACTAGCTTTGAATCACCCATGGGTGACCACACTTTATTGTTGCATATGTTTGTCTCAGACTAGGGGATCACCAAGTCACATGGCCATCAAAACCCCACCCTGGTGAACATGAAACTGAAGGAAATGGATGTTCATCCAATTTATCCCCAAAAATGTGTACTAGGTTGGTAAAAACCACCCCCAATGTAGCAACTTATTTAGGAAGTCCCCGTCAAACCATGATTTTTCTTGGGCACCTCAAAATGGAATGGATTCTCATCATTTTCTTACAGTCGCTATCTTTGTATCCACCATTTTGAAACAAACCCAGCCATCCATTCTTCACTCCTGGAATCATAGTCAAATATCAAAACCCTCAGGAATCTAAGCCAAGTTTCCATTGGACTTGAATATGTAGATAGCGACACCCGTGAATTTAAAACACAGCTCGCTTTGATGTTGTGGAGGTCTTCGTCCTCCAAGTAGCCTCAGCCAAAGTCTGAGAAAATAAAATAGCGCTTTCCAAGCCCCCTCATTCTGAACACGCATTTTCTGTTCTATTCAATATACATTGATTACATACGTTATCTCAATATATGTCGCATCATTATCCCATCAAAGTGCCATTTCTCCACGTTGGACCCATCCTCATCTTCATTGTCAACGCTAAACCACAGCGCAGGTTTTTTCAAAAAACGCCGACCAACGCATCAACCTTGGGAATCTCTCATGAAACCCAATGAACCATTGCATGACCCCTCGCGCTTTGCGCAATTTGCGCTTCAGCAAACTTGATTTTATTTTGTTCCCCTATGATAGCCGCTGCCTAGTGTGAGGTTGCATTTGTTTGTTTATATCATCTGATCTTCATTGCCCAATGGTGTTTTGGGCACACCAAGTGGCTCTGCAACATCCTGTGGAGAAACCGGAGGTCATTGGGCATTCGTTCCGCAGACTTCCGAGCCTGGCCGTGGTGAACTAGTGGGCATACCCCAAAACAACCGGATTAGATAAGTCCAATAGATAAATGGTGGATTATCCAATTGTTTATCAAACAACTAGTGGTTTATCCATTGGCCAACGTATTGATAAACTAATGGATTTTGGGGTGCCCAAGTTTCAGACAAGTCCACTGGGCTTATATCCTTTTTTTACAGCTATCAAATGCGAAAAAAAACAGCTCTCCATTTTACAACGGAGACGTGTATGGGTGTGGTTTACATGGGAACCTTAAAAAAATGGAGCCTCAGTTTCCCAACATGTACTCTTGGGATCATTTTTAGGACTTGGGGTGGTCAGGTTCTGATGAATTTTGTATGTTTAGTCTCTGCTAAATCTAAGCACATTACAATATACAGAGATCAATTGTGATCAATGAATACACTAGTTGGTGACCAATGCTTGATACTTCAAATTACCCTCTGGTAATTTAACATAGCTATCGAAAATTGCCATTTAGTTCGTTGATTTACCCCAAAAAAAATGGTGATTTGCCAGTTCGCAAACTGTTAGTTTACCATAGCAGTTACTGGTCGCATCCCATGTCGGGGGCTGAATCCTCGGCATTGGATGTTGACAGCAATGGCTCCGCATTGGAAAACATCCCAAAAACCATTGGAAAACAGCCCACGAATCATAGATTCCAAGCCCATGAATCTAAGTGGACTAGTGACTAGCCCTATCTAGCCCTCCTTCTCCATATGTATCGTATACTTGTCACTGTGCGAAATGAGCCACTGAACCCACCTGGGGTATCCACCTAGATCCATCTGGATCACCGACGCTAGGAAAACCCAGGGGAAAGTGGAGCTTGAGGAGCTTGCATCCATAATCAATCTGTGATTGACATGGTTATTACCACCCAACCAATAATTGGATGAGGTTCAATAATGATCGATAATTGTTCTCACATGTTATCACAATCACAAGAGGGAAAACATCAATATACCAATATACTTAGTATAATACTGTATATTCAATTAGTCGGTAGTTGGATATAAGTAACCATATGACCATCACAATCACTCCAAAATGAAAGAACTGGATATGGTATTTGATTTGACGGGGTCCCCTTGCACACCATCACTTATCACTCTGGCATCGTCTGGCATCATTTTAATTTAGCCACATACGCCACGACCTTTTTACCATCTTCTAAATAGCCACCGAAAGTGGAAAACCACCATTTCGAACAGAAGAGTGACGGACAGCCTAAAATCTTCTGGGGCCCAAACCAAGAGACTCATTACAACGGTTCAAAAGGAAATGCAGCTGAAACTTCCACACTAGTTCGCCCGCCTCATGCCACTGGTATAACTCCGGGTTGCCTCGAAATGAGTTTCTGTGAACATTGTGGGAGCACATCCAGAAATGAGTTGTATTCAGTTGTATTCCCCATTTTCGGACCAACCAAAAGGCAGGTTCTAAAATTATCCTGTCAAATCTGGGTACGGATCCAAAGCAAGCCATGCAAAACAACACGTTGACAACAAAACACTGTGTACTCTGAGCGTCTCAGAATTTGATTGTCAGTAACCACATGTAACCACCCCCCAGACCCGGCAACGCCCATGATCTAAAAAAAACATATGGTTTTTCGATGAGCTCACTGAGAACCAACCACCTTGATGCTGCCAGCAAAAACAGGTACCCCAAAAAACAACCAATGCACGTAAGCAGATTGGATGATCCATGGGACTAATGACTAATTGACTAACTTGGCGTTATCCCCTGAAATCATATCTGACATATTTTTATTTGGATGTTAGCGGTTGTAAGACAATTAATGGCCCATCCAATAATATCTATCAATGGCCATTGGCGGCTAATTTTTCCTGGGCCATTGGCTATAATTGGACAGTTATTAAGCAGCAACTATCTCAGCACGGCCCATCCAAGCCAAAGCACATGGCGACTTCAAGGCAGTGCTAGGAATCGTCGCGATTGTCTGGGGGAGCCACGGCTTGTGGAAATCATGCGGAAATCCCAAAGGTAGAACCCACCAAAAACATAGACAAGTAGAATTTTAGTAATTTATAGTCTTGGAAATTGATTTTAATGTGCTATCTCAATGGGGCATGCTAAATGTAAACAATGTAAACCGATCTTTGGAAAATGACAGGCCAAACAACAATCCTGCTCTCGGAAATCATGGAAACCTGCGTTGTATTTATATGGGTTGCCTTCTCAATCTCACCTGCACATGTGGGAAGTCATTATAATCAACCATCCGAATTGACTGCACTAGACCCCGGTTCGGGGGCCTTGCCTACCATGATATTGGGCCTACCATGATGGTGAAAGTTTTTGTCTACAGAATCTGTGAGTTGTCGGTTATATCCCCACTGTGCCAAATCCAATTATTGACTGATGGTTACTTCCTCAGAACTAAGGGTTTACAGGGGTTTACGACAAATAACCATCCCAAACTCATGGACAATGATCACAACCGAAATTCAGCAATTACGACCAATGCCTAGAAAAGAAATAGATAATATATATATATATTTGTATATAAATATAAAGGCTAAACAATATATATATATATGTTATAGATAATGTTATATCCATATATGTTGTGCATATATATATATATATCCATATATGTTATCTATATATATATATATGTGTGTGGTTAAATATATATATATGTGTGTATGTAATTGTTTACTTGCTATTCTCAATATAAATCCTGCAGGCGTTGTTATCACCATTTGCCATTGTAATTTCTGTTTCAAAACGCACTTTTCACTAACATAGAGTTGGCAGCCACCTCGCCTCTTTGGACTGCGAGTGAGGAAGCTCCCGCAGCTTCAAAGCAGGGACCTGTGGTCCAACAAATGCGCCTGGTGCAGCAACAGGTTGTCCTTGAGATGACTAGAAGTCATTGCCATTGTTTCATCATCCTCTCATTGATGATAAGTCAGTCGTGCTGGCACGCTATGCACATATTTCAGTTTCAATCATGAAGTATGCTGATATATGCTGATCAATCAAAATCATGAACTATGAACATTGAATGACCAAACTATAGATTAGCAATGTATTTCCTGCCATCAAGCACTGACATTAATGAACGGTTAGCTCTTAACATGCCCGGCCATCCACTTTCGGAAGGATTGTGTGGAAGCGACACACCATCCCCCCAACAAGGTTTAAAGCTTAACGACTGTCCTCAATGTGTTTTTCATCTGCCCTTTAATTTCGACGTACATGGGCTCCGTGCTTCGTGGCATAATAAACTCAGGTCCCTTGCTTCTCCTAATTATGTTCCATGCTCTGTCATATGTTCAGTGGTTTTCTACATTTTCCATGTTCCAACAGTATATCAAAAAATCACATTCAACATCACCGAGAATTAGCAAAACGTCAAATTCACGGTTAAGTCACATCAGAATTCTCAACATTTGAACTACTTATAATTCTCTGGATAGACACTCCTTGTTTGAAAATGAGGCACCCCCATTTCTGGCTCTTTTTTTGTCGCCATTGAATGATGATCATCCATATCATCCATAATGTAAACCCTGGATTAATAAACCCCTAGGTTGTTTAATTGGGAGGTACCATGTAAGTAGTAGATTATGACTATTGGAGGAATACCCCCTAATTAATAAACCATGGTGTATTAATCCGGGGTTGACATTAGTAAATTCTGGATGTTCAACATCACCTTCGATCCCTACCCAGCAGCATCTTGGTGCCTCGGTTCATGGGCGAACCAAGGAGCACCGGCGCCGTTGAGGCCTGGCCATGGCACTGCGGGTGGCTGTGGAAAATATGGCTTTGGCGAATGGCCCAAGTGAGCATTCTCCACCAGTATACCAGTGTTAGTTGGTTGATAACCCCAATAGTTGGATATATCATCAATTATCATCATATATCTGCGACAAAGCCTAGTCAACTTGCTTTTAAAAGAACTTAGCTAGCCATGGGACAACAATTTGCATTTAACATCATTGAATGGGATAATAATGGGATACTGCATGATTTGTTTTAGAAACATTAACCAGCATAGGGGTTCAAAAAACGGGATTAATGATCATTGGGATTGATCAGCAATGGGAGTAAACAATGGGATGAATCGGGCCCCTTTTTTTGGCGGGTATACGAAAAATCCGTACTACTGGATTGATGACCATCCCCCAAAAGGAGCAACAAGCTATCATTTCTACTGATGAGTCACGAGGGAATCACATCGTAAATTCTCCAACATATATATATATATGTCATACGAATTAACGGTTGCTTCTATAATTAATCAGGAGTTGATGATTCCACATTGATTCACCAACCAAAAATATGGAGGTTTTAGCCAACTGATGAATACGAAAAGAAAACTGGTCTCCTCATATTGGCAATCAAACATGGCCATGGCACATGTGTGTACATGTAATATGTGTTCTCTTGAAACGATGTTGATAGATGTTTCCCAGTCTGAAGATGTTGACTTGGTAATAATGATCAACATGTAATATGGAGGATATCACCTTTTGCCGTGACAAGAAAAGGATAACTTACCCTCTGGTAAACTAACATAGCTATTGAAAATGACCATTTTCAATGGGTACTTCCACTATAAACGGGCCATTTTCCATAGCTATTTTGACATAACCAGAGGGTAGAAGCAACAATCAGCTAGTCCGGGAGTCTGGGACATCTGCATGCAGTTTCCCTGACTCTGAGACATGCCCACAGCATGGGTCAAAGCATTCTGCACACCAACTGCCCAACTTGTATGGCTACTGTATGACCTCATATATGCAAAAACCATATCGAACGATGGGTCGCATGGGTCTTAACCGCAGCCAAGGTTATGATCCTGGATTCAAAAAGACCCGCTCATTGGAGATAAACAACTGACGGGGAAACCACATGACCATGATCTGAAAATGGTGGGTGTTTTCCATATCTAATGGGTAAACAACATAGTAAACAAGTCACTGTATCTCACCCATAGAAGTTCTAACCTTCAAGACATCCTCCAAAACGTGCATCCCTGATATCCCCTGCCACCTGAATCTCTGGAAATAGGTTGAAGCTGCAGATCTGCTGGACGAGCGCAGACAATTGTGACAACATGGCTGAACGGTAAAGATCCGCGAAGAAGCGCGTCACGTGTGCTACACTTCGACTCGAGCAGTGGATGAGCTACGAATCAACTGCTGGTGATATCTGGTGACCTATGGAATCCTATGAATTGTTTTCTGAATGTGACCCTGGGATGATGGAATGATGAAGGCCAGGTTGCTTCGTTTCAATTGTCTTCTATTGGAATGTCATCTTTCTTTGAGCTGACATTTTAACTTATTCGGTCCGTAACCAGAGTCGTTCTCCTAATTTCATGGCCAAAATGACTATAGCAAGTACCCTCTCGTAATTTAACATAACTATGGAAAATGACCATTTATAGTGAGTTTTCCCATTAAAAATGGTGATTTTCCATAGTTATGTTAGTTTTACCAGAGGGTAATCACTGAAGAGCATTGATCTTACAGAGACTGCCCCAATGTCCACCGAGAGAATCATAGTCCACGAAACGGACAACCCTTACTCTGCAGCAATTCCCGGGTCTGGGACCATCCAAAAAACTCCACCATACTCCACCAATTTCAGTGATTAATCCTTAGCGAAACTCATACACACACAGAGATATCATATATATATATATACAAGATCCAAACCTCACCCCCACAACTCCACAACTTCAGCCGTGGCCTGCTCCAATGACTTCCAGCAGGGCGTCGATGAGTTCACCGTCCAAGTCCTCCGAATCCACGTCGAAGTCGTCGTCGCCGGAACCCCGGCAGGGCTTCTCGGAAACGGCGCCGGAAACGGCCTGATGGGTGGCATCAAATCATGGCTGGAAATGCCCAGAAAATCATCATAATCATATCATAATCATAAAATAATCATATTCAATCATCTTATAATGCTGGATGGGTGTCATATAATCATATAATAATTTAATCTTATCATCTTGTAATCATATAGTCCTCAACTGAGTCGAACTTTTTGTCATCTCACCGTTGATGATGGGGATTTCCCAGCCCAGAATGGCGATGTCACAATGTCCGACAGCTGATGAAGATAGCATTGGTGAGTATCAAATAGATAGGCAACAAATGGCATGAAACGAATAAACATGGACATAAAAAGAAAAAAAGTGGAAAATCATGGGAATAAGATGGGAATTACATAGGTCAAAGGTGTGGGAACTCCGTGGTGGTTGCATCCAACCACTTGCTAATTATAAGCGATGATGTGGCAACACCACTGGTAAACCATAATAAACCATGATATATATTAAACCTCCAATCTGGGTTCAAACAACTACTTTCTGGGTGTGTTCAAATATGAGATTGATATGCCGCTATGCCATATCATTAGCAAACATGTTGTAGAACCCCAGCGATATCACCATGATGGGCTGTTCTGTTCCCTTGTGCTCAGCGCCTATTTCTGGTGGGGATGGTCCAAAACCTGACAGAGACGATAAAATCCTCATGTGGGCAAACATCTCATATCATATCGGTTATCTACAACCTACCTGGTATTCAGAAGATTGGATCAGGTATGATCAGGTATAACAAATCTTTGTTTTTGGTGGTTTCGGCAATCTCAAGTATCATTTATGGTGAGGTCCTTTTGAGTCCCTGTAGTTTGTCCAGATTGGTGTGCCAGGTTCACAATGACATTCCTTGAGGTTGACACGTGCAAGGAGACCCAAAAACAAACATCTAAGGTGGTTTTCCCCAGTTCCCAGCATTTCTATGCATTTCTTATGAAAAACATTTCACCCGAAACCAATTGAAACCGTTGTTCCTTGTTTCAACTGGGAATGCATGCGTCGCCCCCGTACAGTTCTCGCACGCCTCCTCCTTCACAGGCCGTTCCATACGCCCGTGCTCTCGAAGCCAGTCCCTGACTGCCTTGCGAGAATGGATTCGGAGGAGAAACTCGGAGGGCTTCCCTTGGATGATTGAAATGATTTGAGATTGTGATTTTAGGGCGAAATCCCAACCTCAAGTATCCCAAACAAACACAACTAATATTCAGCGGTACATGTTGAATGATTCCCATCAAAAAATGGATAGAAAGCAGCCCATGAACCTATTTCTGAGTTTCCTGTCACTTTTTCTAAGGCCTCCCCCATGAAGAAAAAACACAAAGCCAGCACGGTCGTTGAAAGAAATGTCGCCTCTGCCACCATGAAGAGTGCCACCATTCCCTGACACTCCTCCAAGGTGTTGGTCACCAGTGGCTCAAGTGAGCTCTGCAACAGCTCCGCTGGCAGGGCTTCTTCCGACAACCCGCCTGAAAGGAAACCACAATTCATGACGGGTGAAGGTAAACTAGAGAGTACTCGACGATTTCTTCCTGCATATCCGGCGTATCCGATTGCGTAATGCATTTTACAACATCTACTCGTCATGTGATTACCCCATTGCCATATCAAACTATATTATGTAGAAACCAAGGTTTACCCCTAGCAAGCCCAAAACAAAAGAGTTGGAAACTTGGAAATGACGGATGATAAATATATTCGAAACAAAATGCCGGATAAATTTTCCATCTGTCTTTTTGGGACCCCCATGGTCACAACTTCACCTTCATCGCCTTGAATTTGGGCCGTGGGGCCGTGGGGCCACAAGACAAATCACCACAACACCGACCATTTTATGATACTTGAAACCAGCCCCAGAGTTATCCCAAATTCTGAGTGGATCAAGTCCAGAAAAATCGAATAATTTCCGGCGTCGGGAAGTAACCAACTTGAAACCCTGCTAGTTTTTGTAGGTGAAGTTCACCCTTTTTTGCTGAAAACCCCTTTTGATCATGATCCATCATTACATATCATTACCATTCATTACCCATCATCATCGCATCGTTGTCCCATATTATCCCACACTGTTGGATAGTTGTTGGACTACCATCTCGTAATTCCATCATCCACCAAACATTATCCGCGATAATTCATAATTCTCCAACAATCATCATTATCCCCACGGTTTTCCTATGATGTTATGATGTTCACATTCTCCCAGAATTTTCCTATCATTTTCCATGTGTTTTTCCACATCATTCCGGTTTCTCACTGGGCTTCCCGCATGAAACCCTTCCCTTCCCACCTGCCGGCTTCAGCTCGATGATGGGCGCGGCAGTGGCTGGATATCCCTCAGGCAGCTGCACGGACAGTTCCACGCGGGCGTAGACATAGCCTGGAAGGTTCCCAAACAAAGGGCTTATAATATCCAGATATGGTATACTGATATATGACTGATATGATATTGTATATACTTGTATATGGTATCCAAGTATATCCTAAAATACTATAAACTGATATGATATTATATACTTGTATAATCTTGTATATGGTATCCAAATATGTCCTAAAAGACTGTAATACATTATAATACATTATATAAGACAAAGGGCTTAGTTGCCACATGATATCATGGTATAATATCTGAATCATCCAGGTACAAAATTTTACCCCAAAAAATCAACGTGGACCTTCAGCCTGCAGGTTGGCAAAGCGGGCTTACAGAGTGCACTCTGCATCGCGTGCGTTGGGAGTGCATATCTTAATGTAGTATTCCCAATGCGTCGGAATTTCTGTCCATTCATTTCACCAAATACGTGCTGAGTGTTGTGTGAACAATCATTTCATCCCATTTATGGTGCTAAAAAATCCTGCTCGAAGCTTTTCCCCGGATCTTTTTTTCCGATTTTGGACGCACCAAAGCTAGAAGGTAAGACCATCACCGAAGTTCTTCTGGATGGGACGGCCTAAATCCTTGGAGAAAAAGGGCACTGGGAGGGTGAAGGGATCGTAGGTTTTTCCATAGATGTTGGATGACAAGCCAGGTGGTTTAATTACTACGATTACGTAGCTTCAATAATAATAATGATAATAATGATAATAATAATGATAATAATAATCACAATAATAATGAAAATGATCATCATCATCATCATCATCATCAAGACTAAACAATCAACACATAACACTAGCCTAGGTTTTGGAAAACATAATGATAAACTTGCATAACACTGCATGCTATTTCATAGCATGGGTTTGTCTGAATCTCGTGGTTGATTCTCATGTTCCATAGTAATGGGGTGTACCCTCCCATTCTTGGACACTCCTGGATAGTCTTCCAAATTCTGGCCAAACCAAATGAGGCCCCACACAAACACACACGCGCACACACATGCATATAAATAAATAATACACACACATATATATATATATATATTTATGGTCAAATACACATTATACCAGCAAATTGAATATATTTCAGATTCTATTTCTAGATCACGTTACCTGACACAACACGCAACACACACCGCGCAGTCTTCGCATGTCAACCGTGGCTCCACGTTCATGTTGAAATGCTTCCGCCAGTTTTCATGCCCTTGGCCTTCGAAGGTCGCATGTCCACCGATGAAGGGCGTCACATAGCTCTTCCAAATGCTGGGGGGACGCTCCTCGTTGTCTTTCCTCGCTCGGATCACGCGCATGGAACGAACTTGTGGGTCTCGTCTCATGTGGAAGACCCATGGGTTTCCCATTCGGAACATGGTCTACATTGTCTACATTCATTGACATTCATGGTGGGTTTTCCACATCTAGGTTAGTTTACAGAAGGGTAACCAACAATCCTGAAGATACACGGGGCATAGAATGGGAATGGGATGTATAACCGGCAATAGTATGTGGTTGCACCTGAGAATAGGGTATATCATGGTATATCCCAAGCTAATCCAAGTTATGGTCACCTTTAGAATGAGAGAATTGGTTCCAAACAAAGAACGAAACAAAACCATGGGATTCTGCGATACCCTATCTTCAAATAAAGTCATCTGCGCGGAAGACAAGCCTCTTTGATAACTGAGTTACCAGCCACATGATAATGATGAGGGGACACATAACTGGTATCAGTAGGAGATCAACGGGATTAAAAATGAGAGATTTAATACATATATATATAATATATTATAATATATATGTAGCTTAATGATATCCTTATGACGTCGAGAGACCTTCATTCATTGGAAAATAGAAAAATAATATCATTAAAAAAACAAACAAAAACAAAACAATCAAACCAAAAAACAAAAAAAACAAACCCAACATGGTAGCAAACCTCCTCCAAGGTAGCAGATCCAGCTAGTCCAGACCTCCTTTTGGATTGTTTTTTTTGTTTTGGATTGATTTTTTTTGCCTAGGAAAAAAAACAAAACAAACAAAAAAAGGGGTACCACGAGCCGCCGGGACACCCCCTAGACTGATTTTCCCCCATCAAGGGTAATAGGCGCACTGTTTTTGTTTTGTTTTTTGTTTATTTTTGTTGTTGGTTTGTTTTTTTTGGTTTGTTTGTTTTTTTTTTAATATTTGCTGGATTCCAGTAAAATGAAACATTTTGCGTCATAATGATATCCCTTCGTGAAGGCAACATCTTATCTGGTTCGTTCTCATCTACTGTGAGCACCCTGGCCCAGGGCCATTGAACCCGAAGAAATTCAAAGAACATCAAGTGCTGCGTGCTGTTTGACAAAGAGACCCAAATTCATCGAATCAAAACATCAGTAACTATATAATTAAAACGTCCAGGAGTGGACAATCATTCACTGGACCATAGTGTAAAGTGCTCATGGCATTGATATTTGATTCCATTTCATCATGGCGTCATTTCTCATGCATCTCATGCCCTCCTAACGTTACGTGAACGTCATCCCCCTTGCAAGCCTTGCGCCATCGCCAAGCGACAAACGTAAAGACACCGGCAGGGTCACATCATCCGCGCGCGAAGGAAGTTCATCGTCTTGACCAAAGACCACGTGCCACATGAACTCCAAGAAGAAACCTGGCAGACGGGCCATGTTTGTCAACATGGCACCCCAGTTCCAAAAATGTTACGTTGTGGTCTTAGATTGGCTCCATTGAGTTTCATCATTGGTTGTTTTTTGGTGGTCAAACGACAACATTTAGCCCACTATTTGCTTAATAATCTATACAAATTTCGCATGGAACACGCAAACTGGCCTGCCTGAATCAGAATAGCATCTTCCAAAGCTCAGTTTTTGGATTTCCTGACTTACGTTGATTTCCCATTGCAGTTAATTATCGCGGGCAAACAAATGCGTACCATTAGTTAAATTAGAGTGGCAACTATTCTCAATGAAGTGAAACCACAGCTGTATTGAGAAGGGCAGCGAATACTTCATGAAAAAAATCCATTTGGCCACTTGTCTAATCATATCCCGTTCTCAGTTCACAGGCTCATAACTCTTATAGTAATTAAAAAAATAAGGTTCCATCCTGTAGACTCAACATGAAGCCTTCAAAAAGTTTCACGAACAAACAGAAATTGTATTTTTCAAACTGTCCTCTGCTTTCATCCATCATGTGGTTGGGAAACTCATAGTAGATCCACCTGGCTCCCCATTTCGTTTCGGGAATCTGACCATCGCTCCCTTCACCGCTGAGGAGCAGTGCGAGAGCCGTTGCCCCGCATACTTCTCGTAGGATGGACCGATCCGTTCCTTGCAACGGAAGTCATCGGGAAGACTACCCTCTGGTAAACTAACATAGCTATGGAAAATCACCATTTTTAATGGGAAAACTCACTATAAATGGCCATTTTCAATAGCTATGTTAAATTACCAGAGGGTACCTTCCTCGAAACATGGATGATTTTGGATTCTCAGGATGTTGGTTTTTGTGGATGGTGAGCTTTGCGCCGCTATCCATCTATATCTATATCCATCTATTTTTGATCCGATCCCGCTATCAGGTTGCCAAGAGCAACAACTATCATGGTCAATAATCAACTTGTCAACATCAACAATAAATAAAGTGTTATTGGTAACATCAACATCATCAACAATACACTAACGGTTTAAACATGTTTAAACCAAAAAACAACAATAAATAGAGTTCTTGGTAACATCAACGTGTTGCACAAATCCAAAACCAAAACTGTTATAGGAGACTTGGATCAATCCTACCATGGTCGTCCCGAAGAAGGTTCCCCGGTTACCATGACACCCCCAGGGCAAAAGGCAGTCCTTGAAGGTACACCACCAGTTGGCCATGAAAGGAAAGTCAAATCCCACGAAATCATGGTAGGTTGGTGGTTTCAACCCTACCCCTCTGAAAAATGACGGAGTTCGTCAGTTGGGATTATGACATTCCCAGCAAATGGAAAAATAATCCAAATCTTCCAAACCACCAACCAGTGGTAGGTTGAATCTTTTCACTGAATCTTTTTGGTGGTTACCGTAAATGTTAGTACGTGGACTCTCTGGTAATTGAACATCACCATGGAAAAGCCCAATGTTTCACAAGACAATCAGCCTTAATTGGCTTTAAACCGTCCATGTTTGCAATACATATAACTACAAACATTAACAAACATTAACAAACATGAACAAACAGTAACAAACATTAACAAGCATTAACAAACATTAACAAACATTAACACACATTAACAAACATTAACACAGATCGACATACATTAACAAACGTTAACAACCATTAACACACATTAACAAACATTAACACAGATCAACATATATACTTGAACATACATTAACAAACATTAATAAATGGTATAAGTTAAGCAGTTTGCTCTCCCAGCTGATCCGCCAAGGTTCACACTGATCCGCCACAGTGCCATCCACCAGTTGCAACATGCGCACGTAGTCCCCCAGGGGCCGCGCACGGATGCGACGCTTGGACACCAAGAACTGTGAGCCTTGGAACGGCGAAAAGTTGGCGAAGCCCTGGGGCAACTTCCAACGGCCAAAATGGATGAACATGGTGCTACTTATAGGGTTCAAATGGGTTCAATGATTCATCAATGATGTTCAATTCTTGGCGTTTTTGTTGCGTACTCTCACTGGATGACAGTCACTCTCATTGTGAAACGGGCGGACGACATACTTGAAACCATGCGATGAAGCGGCAGCAGTACGTGAAGAGTCGATGTTGAGAGGGGCGACCGAAGGCACGTTGATAGATGTCATCTTGACCTTGATTCATCATCCCGAATCATCCCCATCACTGAGACCAAAGAATCTTCGGTTGGGATGAACTTTGATATGCCAGGTGGAGAATCAGTCAACCCGTTTTTTTGCATCCTGGCATTACCACGACTTTTTTTTTGCCGGAGCAATGACTAATGGCTCAAATATTCCTGTAACCTGGCATTACCACGACTAATGGCTCATTTTGATCACTCTGAGGTTTGGTCTAAGATAAGCACCTTCTTTTGCAGCACACCATGATACATGCCCAAAGCTACACATTTTTCTCATTGTGGAGTCAGCAGCAAAATGCGCATTCCACTTATGCCTTGAACAATTACGAATAATTCAGATCACAGGCGCCAAACTCCTGCCAGTTCTGCATAAATAGCATGTCTCCACGCAACTCCAATTGAAACATCCCGTGAAAAACAATACGTTAGTAGCATATGGAAAATGGTTTTATTAAAAAAAGTTACCCCCCAAACACAATGATTTTCTCATCTTCCCCAATTGTTCATGACCCTTTTGACATATCATATACCCCATTTGTGGACAAACCCACATGACATTTCTGAAATTTCCAAGGTGCTCCGAACCTTTTGCATGCTCTAAAAGGTGGCCCCAGCTATATATTCTGGTTTATTTAGAAAAAAACACATAAAACACTTAGATGTTTTTTAGATTTAGAAATTGTCCTAGCATAAACCACAGTTGACAAAATGTTACAATCCATCTTTGTTAACGCACCACATGGGCCACATCTGCCATGGCCAAGCGACAAGGATTGTAGGTGGCCACTAATCTCGGTGCACCCAAATGCACGAAGTCTAACTGACCTGGGAATCTGGGAACGCGACGGATGCCGGACACGGCTGGTGTATGGTTGATGTCCATGGTGCCGGACATTCGCAGTTTTATGATGTTTTAAGGGGAGCTCATGGGATTTCTATGGATTTATAATCCCCACGTGAGTCCTTTGAAATGGAGACACCATGATATGGTTCATCCCAGGAGGGTGTTGGCCGTGCGAAGACGCCCCCCCTGATTTCTGCATCGCCCAGTTGAAGTAGAATAAAACACAGAAAATTGGTTCACTAATTGTCATTGCTGGCTGATTTACATTGGTTTATACATTGATTTTCCTTCCATCTTGGGAAAATGGTGCCTGTTATCCTCAAGTAGCTGTTTCTCCCTCCATTTTCCAGCAACTAGTGAGTTAGTGACTCACATATGTCCATGATTTCCCGCAAAGTCTGGAACAAAACAAGTTCATGTCCAGGTTGCCAGGAAATCCCCATTGTCAGCCGCCCACCTTTCCAGCAAGTTGCTGAAGGTCCCCAAAGTCAGTCCCCGAAAAACCAGGTTCAACAGACCGAACGGCGTATGGTCGGATGGGTCGCCATGCCTAGGGAAGGTCATGGCTGGGTGATGATGAAATCAGCTTCAAAAAATATGGATATAATATGGATTAACCAGGGAAACTAACACCAACCAACAACAAAATGGTAGTTGTACTGTCCAAATAAATGGGGACCATTCCTGTATAGTCAAGATCGTGTGTTCAAACATGGTTGTGAAACTTTCACGGAAACAAATTGAAAACCACCCATGAACTGATCCACATGATCAGTTTGAGGTTACCAACTCTGGGGAGGGAATCAGCGAAGTATGGCTTGTAATGTTCGAACCGCCAATCGGCAAATATTTGGGAATGTTCCAACTACCCTCCGGTGTCATCAATGTTTAGTGATTGTTTTCCACTAAAACCTCCATATTTTAGTTCGGTGAATTGCCAGCCGCCAAGTTTCATGACACCGGGGGGTATATTTTCGTGACCACCCATCTCTTTTTCGCGAAGAGCAGTGCTGCTGTCACCGCTTAAATGTGGCTTGCGGCTGAGATATTCTTTTGATAGACTGGTAAACCATGTGGTGCAGCATTTACATCATTGACATGAAACTCTCCACATTTAAAGTTGGTTCATTTGCCTGGGACATATCTGGGTAAATTATCATAGTTCACTAACCTGAATAGTTCGGCCATTTTGGGATGATTCCCCTTAACCATGGGTCACCGGATCCGGAATACTCCGGAATCCAATGAGTCCATCCCGATGCCGCACCATGGATTTCCATGGTGATTTCTCCATGTTCGGATGTGAAATCATGTGACATCATCATGTTCAATGGTGATCATTTTCAATGGTTCAATCACCACTGAATTGGATGCTTCAAAACCCTCCCCAAGCCATCCACAACCCATCCACAACCCATCCATGGATCCATGATGATCCATGACCACGGCACAGAAAGAGTGTGACCTCCGCCAGGTCCTCCCAATGCATCACCACGTGGCTCAGATACGCCGTGCACTCGTCCCTTCGCGCCGCTTGCCCCGTGGCCGGGTCTGCCGGATCGTCCAGGCGAGTGAAGACCAGCTGCACCTGGGATGGTGATGGGGGAACTGATGGGGAAGGGCTGGGACTTTAAGATGAGTCATGGAGAAGTGATCATAGATATGATATAGTATATAGATAGATAGATAGATAGATGGATGGATGGATGGATGGATAGATATATATATATATATATGTGATGATGATAGATCATGATTGTATCATGTTTTAATCATTGGTGTGATGATCATGCAATGAAACTCAATGTATTCTCACCATGTTTGTCAATTTCTTGAAATTTGTCCATGCAAGAAGAAGAAATCAAAGAAGTTGATACTTTCGAGCCATACTCAAAAATCACCAAATATATCCGAGAATTGTGAGACTGTTTGGGGACAAAAACACGTTTTTTTTCTGTTGGTCCATCTCCGTTTTTGGTTGAAACGGCTGGTGGTTTGCCGCGCCGGTTACTGGGTTACGTAAGGGATGCCAAAACACGACCTTGAGCAACTGTCAATCACGGGCTGATGAATAATGTCAACCCCGGATTAATAAACTATTTTTTTTGCCGGGGCTTCTCAGATTAATAAACTATGGTTTATTAATTAGGGGGGTACTCCTCCAATAGTCATAATCTGATACTTAAATGGTACCCTCCCAATTAAACAGCCTAGGGGTTTATTAATCCAGGGTTGACATTACCCGTTAGTCTATACAAGGTGGTGCTCCCCCAGCTATGAATTGCCTTAGATAATAGCATGATAGCTGAAGCAACTTTGCCAACAGAGCAATGGGAAAACCACTTTTCTGAACAAACCTCAGCCATCTCCAAAAAGAAATCCAGCAAGGTCCCTGCTTCTTTCGGCCAGCCTACATGGCACTGCCATTGTCCGAAGCCCCAGGCACATTTGCGGGTAAAACAGCTTGCAGCTGATGCAGTAGACGTTCATCTCCTCCACATTTCTCGTAGATGAAAACCCGCGTCCGCGCCGGCAGGAACTGAACCAAAGAGCTGTTTCCTAGCCATGACCTGGGTCGAAATTCACTAACTGCCTGGTACACCTCTGTGATTTGCTGAGGGCACTGCCAGAGAGGGCGGGCTAGGAAAGCTGATCCCCAGAGCACATGTTCATTTGGGCCATATGATGCCATATGTATCCATATGTTTCCAGAATTTTCCACGTTTCCGTGGGCAATCTGTACTCAGATTGTCATCAGCTGCTTCGAAGCTACAAATCCTCGCGGCAATGAGGCAAGACAATGTCCGTGGACAATGATTTTCTGCCAGCGTCCTGAACAACGAGGAGCCAGTTCAGTTTTGGCTTAAAAAAGGCAGGCATCGTTCTTAGACATGTTACCCTCCGGTAAACTTAAACATAGCTATATTGAAAATGGCAATTTATAGTTGATTTACCCATGAAAAATGGTGATTTTCCATAGTTTATGTTCATTTACCAGAGGGTATCCTGCTCATCAACACGTTTCAAGCTCTTTACAAAGTGTAGACCGGTGAAAAAAACCCATTCTGGTGATCATTCTGGCTGCTCAATTCCAGTGTTTAACTGGTTAAATCATTAAATCCCAAATGTGTATGGAATGATCTAATATATGCATGATGGGATATATATATATATAAATAGATAGATAGATAGATAGATAATCACATCCCATGTCTGGTTTCAATCCCAAATGTTTTTTTTACGTCAATTCCGAGTTTTTCCCGCTGCACTTTTTTTTGGTATGGTCAACTCATAATCCTTGCTTATGCCAATTTTCTAAATTCAAGACACCTCCTTGATTATTGAGCCATATATAGCGCTGTATAGCATCATATCCGAAAATATCATTTTTCCCAAAATATACAGCCATATAGCATCATAATATGTAGCCATATAGAACCCACCTGTTTTTTCCAACCAAAAGTCCCTAAAACTTTCTCCAAGGCGCATGGCGCCACAGCAGTGTTTCATCGATGCGTTCCATGGCGTCATTCCAGGGCCAGGCCTTCTTGACTCCCTCCGCGTGGACGCCCGCCTTACTGGAAGATTTCACCATTGGGGACATGGATCATGATGACCGAATGAATATTTAATGGATTTTAATGGGATAACCGTATTTGATCGGTTTAATGAGTTGTTTAATATGATTTAATGGATGTTTAATAATTTAGTATGCATATTTAATGGATGTTTAATGGGATAATTACTATTATATGATGTAGTTATGTACTAATAATACTGCTGTACATTAAGTACATAATATCATAACTATTACCATCTGGTTATGACTAACAGTTTGCCATGGAAAGATCCACCATTTTCAAGAACGGTAAACCATCTATTTCTATGGGTCATTTCCCACGGCGAACTGTTAAATAACAGAGGGCAATGGATATTAATGGGATAAAATCCAAGTCAATTGGGTCATGTTGGGTCATAACTTTTGAGAAATAAGATGACCGTATTTAATGGATTTAATGGGATACCCTCTGGTCAACATACCAAAAAACTATGGAACGTCACCATTTTCTAGCTGGGTAAATCAACTATAAATTTGGATCTAATATGACTTTAAAGGGATAAAATCCAAAACAGTTGGGTCATGTTGGGTCCTAACTTTTGAGATTGTTTGAAATGATGAGTAGGGATGATTTATTGATATTCACCATCTACTTTGGGGGATTTGCATCCTGCGAAATATATTGGGATCCCCTGCCAAAATTTTGATAGGTGTCTGAAAATGGACCCGGCAATTATCAACCAGTGGATATCAATGGAAATCAATGGATTAAGGGTGACATCCCACCTCTAAATTGGAGATTTCCTGAGATTTCACCATGTCTCGCTGCCTCTTCGGTTGGGTTATCTCACCATGATAGCACTGGGGAAATCCCCATGTCTCATCATGTCTCCGTGAAAAATCATTGGTTTCACTGTGTACTTTCACTATGTTTTACATATCTTTACATATCTTTACATATCTTTACATATCTTTACCGTTTTTTCCCATGAAATTGCCAGTTTCATCCATTGTGATCCGCCCAAAACCATGTTTTTTGTCCCCCGGAAAGCCCCTCCTTGGCGCCCAAGGACCACCTCAGGGATATCCATCATCTCCTCTGCACGGGCCACCAACTCCAAAGCCTCGTTCACCTCGTGGGTGTATAAACCTCCGTGGAAGATTCGATGACGTTCTTCGATGATGTTTCCCATGACGGATCCTAACGGTGCTGCTATATATATATGGTGTGACATGGATCCCATACATATACCCCCAATGTTAGCATATATACCATACATGGATCCTATGGGTTTGATCTCTTTTTTCCTGCAGAGTCTTGTCTCAGATTCGATGATGGATATATGGGTATGGATCAATACCTATTAATACCATGTTTAGGGGGATGAACATCCATCCATTTACCAGCTATTTTGATGTTCACCAGGGGTACAAGGTTTTGACACACTGCCATGTGGATGTGGGGACTTTCGAAAGTCGATTCGATGATCTGGGGAGTTTTTTGATGTTTTTTGTGTGAAGTCAATAAGATGAAAACGTGGTGACATGGGGGGATTTTCTCCAAGCCGAAAAGTTGCCTAGGCAACTAGTGGGATGATCAGCACTGTTTGGAAATGCCCAGTGCCATGTGGGGTGAAAACATGGGCCGAACATGGGAGCCCTATCATTTGTGGTCGTCTGAAATCATCGATTTTTTGGGCCAAAATGAACTAGTTGTGTTGACACAAATCAAGAAAATAGTAACCAGTAGCTTGCTGAATGGAACAACCCATATAGCCATATAGTATCATTAAAGTAAAATGTAAACATGTTTTTGCAAATGTCCCATATCATCCATGATTTCTTGTCCCCAACTTGGTACCCAGCGTGATTCTGCCAGCAGCAAATGCGCCAGCACCTCGGCGTTTGGAGTTTGAAGATGTGGTTCCTGTTGAAGTTGGGGGTTTTAAAGGACAAACTTGGGATAGAGGTCGAAGTGAACCAGCTCTACACACCACTTCCAATCCATTCCATGGAAAAAAAAAAGTATCACAACACTTATCATAAGAATCAAACAAAATTGGTCTAAAAATAGGGGAATCCCTCAACAAATCCATGATTTCGGGAGCTGTTCCCCAGGCACCAAGGCACCACCATGCCAGGGCATCCCAGCAGCATTTCACGCTGATACACTGGTGGCAGCGTGGCCAGAAAGAAGGCCTCGCGCAACGGCGGACGTCGCTTCTCCTGGGACGCCAGCGACGGGGTTGGGAAGGAGTTTTTTAATGTGTTTTAAGCCCTCCAAATAGTGACAACCTGATACTTTTAGTTGATACCCCCCCAATTTTTCACAGCCGTTTGGGGTTTATGAATCCAGGGTTGGCATTATCCATTGGCACACAAGCACTGGAAAAGAACTGGCAATCCACACCTTTAGTCCCAACAAAAGGAATACGTTCTATTACGCGACATTGCCAGGGTGCATCAGTCCGGCACGCAAAAAATGTTGGAAGCCAATAAAGTGGAGCAGGCCCTTGAAATTCGGTAAGGTTTGTAAGCAATAACAAACCACTTGGAATTGATGGTTATAGCACCCATCTATGGTAAATGTATGTGAATGTGGGGATGGTTGACTATTGCTGTACTAACGTGTCCAATCTCAACTTTTGGGATATGTCAACCACGCGGCCTAAAGGTCTTACACAGTCACCAACTGATGATAAGGCTGGTGAGGCCGGAAGGGCATAATCAATCTTACCTAACAAATGGTGATTGTACATTTGAAAAGCGTCATGGAATCTAAGCTGTCAAGACGGAACTGCATCCTTTATGGGAGTCCATTTCCTTTGGCATATGCCGTTGATGGCTTAGATGGTCGGAGAGGATAGGATCCTGATGCCAAATACTGATCATGCGCAGGTTGTGGCATGTTGTGGTGGCTGGGGTTCTAAGCACCCAAATTGTCACCAATCTGGATATGAAAGCACCACCTTCTGATTTAGTTGATCCAGGGTATCAAATTATTGCTAGAAATTCTGGAATCCTCAGTTCTGAGAAATGCAGAGGCCTTCTAATCATTTTCGATCTGCACACTTTCAGAATCACCCGCATGTGCTAAACATTTCGGACCCCCAGCAACATGTCGAGTGGGATAATGTGGGGGGTGCATCTCACGGCACCAAGAACTTGGTGTAAGGCAAATCTGCAGGAAACCATAGGACACCCGATATTTTTGGAGTAAAACACCATGGTTTTCGGTCGATTTTCCCTTAATTCCAACAAAAAGCAAGGGCAACCAGGACTTCCCAAGAACGTCCTGGTAGTAGGCCTTGAGCCGCATCTGAAACTGCGCACAGCTGATGGAATGGTCGAAGCATTGCTCCCCAACACACCAGTCCAAACGAAACTCCGATGGGTACGTGGCCTGGCCACAGCCCTGGATGGTTCGTTTTCGGAAGGGCTCAACGATGGGTAAATGGTATATATAGTCTGTACTACTATATAGAATAAAAATAATGTATGATTGAATCATTTTTTGGGTATGCATCCAGTTTAGGATGGTCTGATGATAATTTCACACAAATTCATCCCAAGTTAACGTTCATGCAATATTCATAAGTTTTATTCTGGCGAGAATGTACAATGCTGCAAATAACAACAGTTAAGTCAAAGATTCATTCTACTGAGCCGATCTTCATCACATAGATCTAGAATTTCTATGAATTTCCGGTAATTCTATGTAATTCTAACAATCTAGAATTTCTATGAATTTCCGGTACATAATATCTTGTATTATCTTGTGTCGCATTCATTTCCGGTAATGTCAGGTTTTCTGAACAAACATGGACACCGACCTGCGCCGCCAGCGGCGCAGGAAGCAGGGCCAAACGCGCCAGCTGAAAGAGGCGCATGGCGAAACATGGATCTTCCGTGGCTAAACAAGGAGTTTCAAGAAAAACCCATAGAAAACCAATGGGCTGGTGGTGACCCACCAAATTCTTGTGCGTTGGATCGTCTCACATTGCTTGCGTATGTGCGAGACCACAGAACTGAGGTCAATGGGTTCCTGAAATCCAACTGAAAAGCCTTGATGAGTCGCGAGTTCGTTTCGAAGGTCGGCTCAACTTCAGGTTATGATTTTTCAGATCGTTCCAGTTTCACTGCCATGGACCTGCTGCCCAAATGCATGATTTGACTTGATTTGACCGTTTCTTGTGGTGAGTTTGTTGACGATTTTTCCTTGAACCTGATGAGCAGGCACTGTTGGCAGGTCGGAAAAGCCCAACAAAGTGCCCCAGCTATTCTCTGATCACAAAAAACGATTCAACAATCATGGATGAATATGGATGATCCAATGGCACATTTGCAGAATCTGTCCCGTGCAGGACACGAAGAAACACCCTTTTAACGAGGGGAATATGTGTGGATATGTCTACAATTTATGTGGATATGTTACTTTGTTTATTATGTCGTTCACGCAATTTCTTCCGATGTACCCTCTGGTAATTTAACATAACTATGGAAAATCACCATTTATAGTGAACGTTCCCATTAAAAGGGTGATTTTCCATGGTTATGTTAATTTACCAGAGGGTAACCCAGTGAAACAAACCTTTCCCCCCAAATATTAATACGACACCACAGAATGGCCATTAATCCCGATTATAGCCCATATAATAATATCCCAAATAATCCCACTAAAATCCCTATGAACCAAAAGAGCGGTTGAAGTTTGATAGTTCATATCCCTATATCATTACCTACCCGTGTTTCCTAATATATGAATAGATATATTAACCTTTATTCTTGGGCCACAAAGGGTCACCAACCATGGCCCCAGGACGCCTTCGCTGTCGTCCTCTGGCGCCACCGTCAGCCGACATGCGCCAACATCATCGGCGTCGCGCTGGAAGTCGGCGCCGAACATGCTTTCGAGCACCTCAAGCAATGGATGTTAGCAAACATAGGGATTTCAAGAAGAAACAGTTGGCATTCTTTTGAGCAGAAAAACAGGGATATTCCTGGATTTCACAAGAAAGTTTGGAATGACACGATTTTTCATAACACTTATGACGTTTTTTTTGGTACAAAACACTCATCATCAAACATTTTCAGGGGATACCGACCAAAAACACCAAATCTCCAATGGTGTCTTACCTTGACCTAAATGCTGGGAGGTGCAGTACCGGAATCGCTCGCGGTGAGGAAAGGCTTCCCTTGAAGCCGATTTCCACGGATGATTGCTTAATAATCAGCTACTGTCACACACAATATATATATATATATATGTATAAATACATATATAATTAAATATATACAATTATTTTAATTATATATACAGTATTATTATTATTGTTATTGTTATTATTATTACTATTATTATTATCATCATCATTATCATCATTATCATCATTATCATTATTATCATTATTATTATTATTGTTATTATTATTATATATACACATGAAAAATCTGGAATATTGATTAGCTTCATTTAGCTTGTACATGCCTCCGCCTAGTGGATAGATCGGGAGTGAAAGTACCAATATCCCTCGTGGCCACTGGTCTCACCTCCAGCTCATCGGCAGCCTCATCTGACAGCATGGCGTCACGTCCCGACAAGGGCTTAAGGTATAGAAAGGTCATCTGGAGACTAGAGACATGACCCAAATGCTTGGAGATAAGCCACCTTGACGGAAAGACTTTTCGGACATTTGTTCTATAGGTGTCAAGCTTGCACAGAATCCGTTTCTAACGTCAAAATGAAAGCCATGGGTTGCTTAGTTGCATAGGTGATATTGAGCCTTCCTCTCGAAATTAAACATGAACCTGAGATGTGGGTTCCAAATTCCAAACAAATATGTCTACTATTCTGAGGGTCTATCCCGAAATATCCCGAGCTTCGAACCATGTCATCTTGTGAAAACAGCACAATGTGCAGGCTTGTCAGCCCAATTCCGCTTACAAATATGAATATGGCACGCCTTTACAGTACTTTATATACTTGGGTGTTTCTTAAAAACTGTAACTGTCAAACAGCATCAACTGCTCAATCAATTATGTCTCCGGCCTAGCCTAGCCAACTTTAAGAATTCCTCATTAAAAAAACCCGTGAAGCTGCGTCTGATCCGAAGCTGCGCGGCACAAAGGAAACAATGCTGCAGAAAGTCTAAACGCTGAAGCGAAAAGACTGCTCTGCTGTGATTCATGACAATTAACCTTTGGGCGGATTTTGGAGATTTATATATAAACAGCGGATTGGAATCATTTGAACAGAATTGGTATATGGTTCATATTCATCCCAACCAATTTATTCCAACCATCAACATATTTAGCCAACACACCGCAGGAAGCTGTGCGCAGAACGTCCAAACAGTTCATCAAAAGCTCGGAGGAATAAAAAAGGTGCAAATTGAAGCTGCATGCATGGAAGCTGAAAACAAATGACTCTTGGGTCATAGGCATCCGGGAGTCAAACATGGCAACCGGACATTCCCTATACAAACTTGGCATTGATATAGCTCGGAGCAAGTCATCTAAAAATGGGGAATTATCCATTGCCATTTTTGAGTAATAGAGGGTAGTCATCAAGCAGCACAAAACCAACAAACCAACAAGCTGCAGCCAACCCAACCAACGACGATCCAAAAGCCTGTTCTTGACCATGGCAACAGAAAATTCTCCAATTTTGTCTCACTGCCCACAGCTCATTGCCAATCCCAACTTCCCACTACACAAGGAAGTGTTTATGAAAAGTGTTTCATCCTAGCTACCCACACTAGATTCACTAGTTGCACCATGTCCCTGGTTATAACACAAATTTTCCAAGGCAAACAAGCACAGGTTGTTTTGATGCTACTCAGTTGCAAAGATCCAATGTGGCTTCACCAAAAACACTGCCAGCAAAGCAAGCACTCCAGCTAGGTATCAGTAGTTGGGTTATAAGTTATAAGATTAAATAACATTATGTTATACTAAACTAAGATACCCAACCATAGATACTCTTCAACAAATAAGACTTGGATGTCCATTGGAAAGGACACCTACGCCAGTTTCACCTACCATCAAGGATGCCGGTAGCTTCAGTCTCATTTCTGTGTCCCTTTCACCTTTGCACCCAAGGGCTATCAAAACTAAAAACTAATCGATATATAAACCAGTTCATCATAAGGAGTCTCCGACTTTTTAGAAAAATAACAAAAATCCACGGTTTCTCTTCACATAGATGGAACCATCCCAATTCCTCATCCGAGAAAAACGTGTCTTTTCTGTTTGAGATCGATCATGGCGTGCCGACTTTGCAGCTGCCTGGCCTGAAGCCCACGGGGCAGGACCTGGGAATCCTATGTGTCTCAAAAGTTCAGGCAGCCCGTCCGGCCGTATTTCGTAACAACTGACATGTACTGACAAAAATCTGGGGTATAGGGTATATCATCCTGAAATAAAAAAAAAACTGGGTATATCATCTGGGTATATCTGGGGTATAATTATCTGACTATATCATCCAAATTATAAACTCTTCAAGTTAACTTAACCACATGAGATTCAGGAATCCCACACCAAATCCACCAGTGGATACAACGACGTGAAACCGCGCTTCCGCGCACCTGCGACCGGTTTAGCCTGGTCTTTCCTTATCTTTCGCGGACTCGGCCTCGGGCTGCATGACATGGCCGACCTTTCATGGTTCACCTTTGATTCCTTCATGATTCCATTGCTATGGTGTCATTGAACACCTGTCTTCTATAATCATGATATATCATGATATTGACATAGTTTCTTTGATGTGTTCACCCACCAGTAAAGTAACATGGCTATGGAAATTCATCATTGTTGATACGGAATAATTTTAAACAAATGTTCTAAATCATCTATAAATGGGCAATGTTCTATAGCAAACCGATTTCTTCTCAGAGGGTATAGCAGTATAGGATGGTATAGGTTGAATCGTCTTCCTCCACCGATAAGATGCGAATCAATCCGTGAACCAACGCTGGCCAGTTCTATGTCAAACCATGTCCGTGTCCAAGAGAAATCTCTCAAGTAATGAACTGTGCACATGTACGACCACATTGTTGATTGCATTGTGTTCGCACAAGATAGCCCATGCGCAACATTGGTGGGCACTAAATTCATTCCAACAAACATATTGAGGACCCTTGGATACACCCCTGGTGAACATATCCTAGACATATGATGTGACGTATGGCTTAAGTGACGATTGCTGTCGTTCGGTTTCTGTTCATATCCATCCGCATCTTACGACCCAACCACCTCCCCCCAAGCCACCATGGCGAACTCCAGTTCTTTCGCTTCCTCGTCCAGCGCATATGTGTGTATGAAGGTGATCTTTGAAAGCAAACGGATCCAGAAAAGGTGGTCTTCATCAACAGAATCTGTAGTTTTCATTGTTTCGGATGCGTTCAGATCCTCCCTCCATAAAAAAGACAGTATGCCCACTGTCATGTCGACCCCTCAATGCCGGTGAGAATGCTCCCATGCTACTCACGTTTACATATATTTCCTCTGTGGTATGAAGATGCACAGGCGCAACGCCATGCAGCTTGTCGAGTAGACATCAAAGAACAAGCACTGTATGCATAGCATGTATGCACACACATACACATATTACACATATTATACATATTATATATATATATATCAATGTATAACCATCCTGAAGTAGATCGGATATGACATGTTCAAAGATCTTCCCAGTTTAGTGATGAATGGTTGAAGATGTCATATATCTCCAGGATGACCTTGAGGCATCATCCAACACACCAGCCTCCAGCAGAGATGTCGCTTGCTCCCAGCATTCCTCACATTGACCTGCGGAGATCCGGTCAGGTTTCCAGAAATGGGTCGCCCTCGAAATCATCCAGCTATTGGGGGACCCAACTCTTGGAACCCACCATATATCATATGATCTGTAGGATATATCGATGGCAAAAATAGAAGAGTAAAATCCTACCAAAAAGATCTAAAACGTGAATAATCATGATTTATAGTTTGTCCACCTCTTTGGGGAAACTATCATCTAGCAAAGCCACTTGTGAACATTATGGACCACTTTCACTTTTCACTTTCACATCCCGCGCCCTGCATGCCCACCACGGCAACTTGGCACAACTGTCTCGGTATTGTACAAAGTCTTTGCTCAAAGTTTAGACAATAAACCAATTATGAACTATATCCTTTTGGGCAAACGATATTGGACCCAAGTGGATAAGATCTACAAGAACTAGTGCAACTCTGAATTTATGTGAACTGAAGCAATGAAAATTGCCAGGAATTAGCATGTCAACCTTGTTATTTCTGTTAATGTCATGTCTTGGAACCTGTGTTCATAAAACATCCAACCGTTGAGCCCTGGACAAGCCATGATGGTTGCACCTCAGGCTTTGAAGCAAAGCCGCGCATCCAAAATGGGGGACTTGTGGTGAACATTCTCCAGACACCGGGTCTATCCGAGTCTGGGATTGTTACAAAAGGTTTCAAAAAAAACGTGGTGGGTCAGCAGTTTTCCTTTTGGGAAACCCTAGCAGTTGCAGACGTGTCTATGTTCATTAGAGTTCCAGTTTTGACTTTTCAGCGTACTCCTAGTCTCCTGCTTGGCAAATCTGGAGGACCAGAGCGGGAACCATAAATATAGCTTAACTTGACCATTTATATACCATTTAATGTGGTTAAAACAATAATAAACCATCCCCCAAATCACCATTTTTATAGGTGGTATAAACAATTCCAAAATGGGTGGTTTATTATTGTCTTACCCACATTATACATATTGACACACCATGTGCCAAGCTGTTGTGAAAAAATCCTGAACGACTTTGCGATTGTTCCACATTCAGGATGATTATAATTCATGATATATATATATATGGATGCACGTAATATGTTGCATGCATAAATCTAGACACGTATGTATATGTGTGTGCATTTTCTTCCGTGTATTAACATTGTAGATAAGTGAAATTATATGTATTAATTAAATGTCTGCGGGCAAACATGGGCAATCAAACAACATGTTGATCCCCACTTTCCAAACGCAAATGTCCGGAAAAAAAACTACCTATAATTAATATCCGTTATATATTGATTGAACACTTTGCACATACATAGTTTTAATATATGCACCTATGTACATTCAAAAAAAAACATATCGGTGCATGTGGATTTCATATCCCATCATATGCCATGCTGAAGAAACGAGGAAAAAACAATCATCTGGATTCATCTGGTTGCCGCTTCACGTCCAGCATCCCTACACCAAGCCGCAATATGCAGTCATCAGCGACACGCCGTCGCCTTGCAAGGGGTGGGTTTCTCATGTTTTTTTTCAGAACTGATATGCTTTCTGGCCATGCTTCGGGTGGCTTTGAATATACCCTCTGGTCATCAAACATGGCTGGAAGATCCATGAAATCCGAGATCGCTGCCACGTTGGTGCACTTTCAACCCCGACAACAAATATTAAGCATTGGGGATCATCATCCCAAATATGGCTGCAAATGAACAATACTTGAAACCACTCACCAGATCTAGTCCATTATATCCAACGCTTAAATCAGTATGTTTTAGGGATTTTCAGGCTGAATCGATATCCCTGTGTTTAATTGTTTCGTATGAAACACTCCCGACAATTCAAGCACCTTTTTGGCTTTTGATGTCCTCTTTGGTAATCGCAGTTCAGATCGCGTATCTTCGCGTTGACGTTGCCCTCTGATGATCACTGCTCTTGTTACCAGGCATCCATTCCGCCTAGTCAACACCCCCAATCGAAACGGATATTAGATCTACATATATATATATATAGAAAGTTGGAGGATTTAGAATTTAGAGGATCTATTTTGTGTTTGAATCTTTTGATTTAACTAAGGTCCAATATTAACAATAGCGCACCACTGACTTTTTTCGCCAGGGCCATGCTTGGCCCCGGGGGCAAGCGCATGACTTCAGTCGGACAAGTTTAGCACCATCGCTGGGAGGGATTGGTTGTGGTAGTTTGGCAACAACAAAAAGTAACATGGGGTCTGCAGAAGGAAATTGATCATACCCATAGGATCCATGTATGCTAATATATATGGTAACATTTACCATCCATATACCCCCAATGTTAGCATATATACCATACATGGATCCTATGGGATATAATCATACATCACTTTCAACAATAAATATAGAGTTAATAGATGATGACAATAACGATATGACTATCCGGGTCAGTCAACTTGATCCTTTGATCCACTCGTCACAACTTTGAAACAAACTGAAGTCAGTGACTTGACAAACCCAAACTTGTCACTGGAAATACCAAGCTCTAGCTATCTCCCCGTTCTCACAATGTATCTATTGCAGGTATCTCCAGCGAATTGCCGCAAATCCAGTGGATGTTTGAAAAAAACGCCCCCCAAAAAATGGTGAAATGATGTGATTTTTGAGGGGTTAGTGACTGTTAGTGGGCATGGCATGGCATGGCTTCTCATTGGTTAAAAACCAACAAAAAACCATCTGATGCTTTTCTGCTCTGAAAGTCTCAACTTTCCAGGACTCGGCCCAGGCTCCCCATTTGGGATCAGTTCCACCACGACTTCACAAGAGGCTGCGGCTTGGACTCATGTTTCAAGTTGGACATCTGGGGGGCAAATCGGGCACCACCAAAAAATACTTTTGATGGTCAAACATACCCAGTTGACCGTTATCGACCAGTTGATTTTGCGGGGTACCCGGAGACCCTATTTTCAGACTACCCCATCTGTCGGTATCTGCGCCATCGAGGTGGCTGGTGAGCAGTTTCAACATGCTTCCCCCATCCAATCACTAGTTTTTTCTTGGAGTAATCTGCGCATGGGTCAAAATCACCCACCACCCTTTTGGGACATCAAGGGGCCCAAGTGGATGGTTTGATGTATATACTCCCTCCATGACCACTTTTGTGGGCCCATTGGCCATTGCTACCCCAATTTCGACCCATGAATCTCACGTCCGAAGAAGTGCATAACGTCCGAACGTAAGCGTCTTGATGGTTTCCAATGGAGCCTGAGATTGCCTTCACATTAAGCTATAGTATAGCTATAGTTAGGTCTTGATGGAAAACACAGACGACCTTGAGTCCTTGAGTCCTTGAACACTTTCATTTTGATCGCGTAGAATGTCAGAAAATGTCAGAAACACCCCAGGGTTCCTTTAAACAAACACCATCAGGACGTGTGCGAAAAATCTGGTGGCGCTGATCCACTACCCCAATCCTACCCCAGGGCCATGGTCTCAGCAAAGAGCGTCCCCGTGTCGATGCTCGAGACCTGCAATTTGGTTGATACCATCTGGTTATGACTAACAGTTCGCCATGGAAAATCACCATTTTTAATAGGTAAACATAGGTAAACCATCTATTTCTATGGGCCATCTATACCATGGCGAACTGTTAGTCATATCCAGAGGGTTTTTGTGGTGATATGATCTCAAATTGGAACACCATGGTGTTTTGAAAAGATATATTAACACCCGCAAACATCCACCACGAAACTTCGTGGCCGTACAGTCATATACGACGTCATGTAGTATGTTCTTCCATCAAACTAACAAGAATAGTGGACCATAGTGGACCTAAAACATAAACCCACCAACATCTACCAACCCAAGGTTCTACAACACCCAGGTGCTTTTTGCCTGCGTGCTAGGTACAGAATTTGATGAGTTCTTATGCGGTTAAACCATGTTAAACCAAACAATTATGCTTGGGAATTTTGGGTATCAAGAAAATTTGACCCATTCTCATCAGTCCCATCAACGAGGTTTTATGATTTTAGAGAACTTGAGATGTTTCAAGATGATTTCGATTTGAAACATGTGAAACTGCCCCCTTTGGGACCTATGATTTCGATAGATTGGAATCCGAGCTTCAGAACAGATACCCTCTGGTTATGTCAAAATAGCTATAGAAAATCACCATTTTTGATAGGTAAACCAGGTAAACCATCTATAAATGGGCCATTTTCCATAGCTATCTTAGTTTACCAGAGAGTATTTTGCTTCTTAGCCACGCCCAAATAAATCAGGGGCCTTGCACCGCTTCGCTGGTGACTCCAAGTTGTGCCCCTGCAGCGAGCATTGGGTGACAGAATCATGGCGACACCATTAGAGATAGCAATGGCACCTTGAGTGATTGTCCACTGGTGAGAGATGTATGGGAAAACCTTGGGGCCCAGTTCATTTCTGGTCTCTTTTTGTTTGAACCATCGGCTGTTTGGAGGGAGCATCTAGTTTTGACTCGTATCTGCGCATGTAGAGGCTGGGAATATAAGCAAACATGAGGGTTTTAACTCATGAAACATGAGTGTGGACCAACAAGTGGGATTTGACCCAAACAATACGCACATGCCTTGAGTTCTGGGAAGCAACTCAAGTACGTCAAAGAGCGCGCTATGTTTTCCAATCCTTAGTTCCGACTTCATACTCTTAACCCGGGACTAACAATTATCCCCAGTTTTATAGAGATGGGGTACCAATTTCAATGTTACCCTCTGGTAATTTCACAGTTTGCTATTGAAAATTGCCATATAAAATTATAGTTCGTATTTGCCCAGTATTTGGCGATTTTCAACAGCTATGTAAACGTTTACCAGGCCGGGTAATCTCTCATTGTTTTGGGGGTCTGCCCAGTCTGCCCCCCACCTCCTCACGACGGTCGTCTGATGGGATCCGTTGAGATAAGGAGGTGCCTTCGATGTGAATCTCCGAGATCAGACCTGCGATTTAAAGATATCGAAGGCAAGTCATCAAAGTCATCAAACGCACCCAAGCTGCCAAGCTCCCAATTTATACACCGTTTCATATGATAGATGATATAGATGTTCCGCTGCTGATTTCTTTACTGTTCTTGATCCAATTTAGCTATGATTCCTATAATCGGACTAGCAACAACTTCAAACCAACGTGTGGTTGGGAGACTCTTAGCAGCTCCTAAGGGAATATGGGGACCCATAGTTCCAAACTGCTCCCTCCAAAACCACTGAGTAGCAATTCCGAAACCTCCCCAACTCCCCGCAACCACCTCGAGCTTGTTGCTGTAAATCCTGAATCACTGAAGGAATTTGTTGCGGGAAAATTGGGAGCTTCTCGGAGAGTATGCGTATACTTATGCTATCTAGCTACCCCAAAAGCACTCGTCGACATGTAAAAAAACACACATGCAAAAACATGCAAAAACAAGATCTCAGTCAGTTGGATATTTTTTGTGGGGTAACTGGTTTCTTAAGCTTTCACAGAAGGACTCATCGCTGCTTCGCCTTCACATCCGACTGCTTGGCCTTAGCCAGGTCCTGAGACTTTTTGCCATGGCGAATCTTTAGGGACCCTTGGAGAAAAAAAAACATCAACGATGAGTTTGAGGCAAATTTAACGGATTGTGGACTATTCGTCTACTTCCTAGCCAACCCTCTCGACTTTTGGCATATTCTATTACTTTCAGCATATTTTCGACCCTCTACCCTTGAGTAAATTCACGTAAACAGGAAAAAAAAACCAGTTCTAGATCACTTTCCTAGGAAAACTCCTGGATTTCCATAGTCTTTTAAACCTGTTCAAAAAATAGCGGGAGGCTATCTATCTATCTATCTATCTATCCATCCATCCATCCATCCATCTATCTATCTATCTATTACATATATATACATATATAGACATAAAGGTATCCATATCACTTTCAACCCCGGCTTGATCATTCTCTTCCAGCCACCGCCATCGCGCCCGTCCTGCACGCGTTTCTCCACCGCACGACAGGCCGTGGTGTTCTCCTCGCAGCGACGCTTCTCTTGGACCAAGGACTCGCGATTCGCAAAGAGCTCCTGGAGAAGCAGTGGTGGTGAAGTTTTGCTGGATATTTAAGGGCGGATTATCTTCATATTTATCCATTTATCCATATATATATAATATGTATATATATATATAATATGTTTATATATAATATGTATATATTCATATAAGCCAAATGTAGCAAAATACCGTTTGTAACTATGCGTATAAACGTATGTTTAACTGTTAAAATTGAAAATCAATGATATTGATGGACAATCCAGCAGCTATTGATGATTGCCCCAATGCAAAAACATGTCTTGTGCGAGAAAACATGCCCGGGAGTATAGCACCTAAACCAAGAGTACGTGAGAGAAATTACATCTCTATATATCTCTATGTATGACTCTTCCGATCTGACCTGGCAATGGACAATTTTTCCATCAGCTATACAGGGGCTATTCATATTTCAAGGCTGGATCTGCCATTGCCCGTGAGCAGTAGATGCAATGGAGAAATTCCACGTGTTCTCCAGTCTAATTATTGCATGATTTTGCCCGACACACCGGGATGTTGCCATGTTTTCTGCATCAAAGGTAACATAAATAAATATAAAAATATAATGAATGGATATAAATGGTTCGGAACATTTAAGACATGTATATCAGCTATATCAGCTGTCAAGACGGTCCAATCAGAATCTGAGCCATTGAGTAAGTTCTCATTTCAGGTCATCCCTGAAAGGCAAATTTTGCTCGATCAACTATCATTGATGCGCCTTGGTTAGCCATGAGGTCGATATGTAAATGTTCCAAGTTGAATATTTCGCTCCGTCGAAAACCAAGATCCAATATTAAAGTCCATTAGACCACTTAAGTGGGCATTTACCCTCTGGTAAACTAACATAACTATGGAACATCACCATTTTTCATGGGAAAATCCACTATTTCTATGGCCATTTTCAAGTTCGCAAACTGTTAGTTTACCAGAGGGAATGGTGTGCTAACCCGATGAGTTCATACAAACTACATCCATGACACTACACGCGTTATAATTTCTTTTAGACAGGTTACAAGACTTCATGGGCAAATCATGGCCTATCTAACTATCGAACTATCGAAGTACAGAATGTGTTCACATACACACATCTATGTATATATATATATATACACCTTAATCTGTATATGTGAATGTGTGTATACAAAACAGATTATAGCAGCATATAAGAATAATAGTAATAGTAAAAATAATAACAATAATATGTATGTTTTATATGTGCATATATATATAACTTAACATAACTAGCCATGTCTCCAATGAACCCCTGCTGTCCAATCTGTCCAGGCTGTCCTTCAACTCCAATAGCAAAGCTTCCTGCACTTTGTGGCCTCAGGTGTAGATAAGGCCTGTGATGCCAAACTCTTCAACAACGCAGTTTTTTGGGCAAGAAAAAATGAAGCTTTAGTTGGCTTGGAAAATAATCTATCGATTGTTGTTTTTTTTAAATATCCCGCAAGGCACATTTGATTGCTGAAGGGTACCCCTGAAGCCCCGGAAGCACTAGGAATTAAGAATCATGCTGAGGCGAAGCTGTGAGTTCCTTTCAATTTGCTCAGAATTGGCTGAGGGGAAGCAGTGAAACACATCGCAAAACGCTGTGGTTGATGAGGTTCACCAAAGCATTGTTGGCCTATGTGAGGCCACAATGAAGGTTCAGTAGGTCTACCTGGCCATGCTTCAACCCCTGTTACTTGCTCTCTCTCTCTCTCTCTCTCTCGCTCTCATATATTTCACCAGCCACTGCACCGTTGGTATGAATCTGACCTTCAATCAAATCCCAAATATAGGATCAATAGCGGTGCATGATATAGCATCCCCTGACAATCCAAGCAAACATGGTAAACACCTAAGCGGTCTAATTCACTACTGTAAACACAACATGAATGGTAAAACTGCCATCTGTAAGTCAAACCCAATGTCATCATAAGGAATCATTTGCCCCTCAACTAACATAGACCTCGAGAATCACCAATGCTTGGAGGAAAGTAGCCTTCCAACCCCCACGAATGTCAAGATCTATGTTAGTTGGATTGTCATGAATCATTCTATGACCATTTATCCATTTATAATCCAACCTGTCTGGCATCAAACCAACTGTATATGAACATGTTGGCACATGTTTTTTAAACGAGAATTTTATTACCCGATACCCAATTCTAATCATCCATTAATCACTTGGGAGTCCAAAAAGTCGACCCTCCGGTTGTGCTTCAAGTGGCAATCCTCCATGAGTTCCCTGTGGGCACTGCAAATGCCCTCCTCTCGCGCGGCCTCTTTCAGAGCGTCGTCCACCTTTTGTCGCACCGGCGACCGGCATGGTGGATGGTCACTGAAACCGGTCCAAGAGGGCCATTTTTTGTGGGTAAAACAAGGTCATAAACCAGCCATGCCCTCTGGTAATTTAAAATGGCCATTCAAAGTGGATTTACCCATTAAAAATGGTGATTTTCCATAGCTATGTTAGTTTACCAGAGGGTAACTGGGAATGGTTTATACTTTCATACCAACTATTTATGGTGATTTGATGACTGGGGTGTATTTTTGTTTTACCCACATGAATGCCAAGCATGGGCAATGGGCATTTTTGGGAGATGTTTGGGATAGCATTTTGGCAAAAATCAGCCTGTTGGGAGTCTAAAGAAACAAATGCCCACACAGTAAGATATTCATGTAGAATATGAATCATCAATGTATGGTGAGCTTCTTCAAGGTGGCCATAAATATGTTCATGTTTGGAAACCGGAGATCCCAGTCTTACACAAGTTTCTCCAATCTTTATATCGAGAAACTTCTGCATTGCCATGAATGCCATTGATAGATGGTTGGCTGTTTCCAATTAATGTGGGAGTTGATCTTTCCAACCAGCTATGGGTCAAGCTTGTCCATCCCTAATATTACTTTGTTTACACTAAACTGAACCTGAATCCATGCTTACAATGTGGACAAACTAACACCAAGTTCAAGAGTTTCACTGATTTGCCCAAATTTTCCGACAAACACCACAGTTTCCCCAAAAATTCTGTAGCTGGATGTTCCCAAATTTATTTCAAACAGGTCCTTGATGCATCCGTCCAAGAAGGCCCCCGGCCCACGGCTCCCATTTTAAAAATGTGTCCCGCCTGCGCCAAGAGCTGGATCCTGACGCTGCCGTGGTTGAAAATACCTGAAATTCATGGGTTTATGATGGCTTTACCATCAAGTTATGACTAACATAGCCATGGAAAATCACCATTTTTAAGAACGGTAAACCATCTATTTCTATGGGCCATCTATACCATGGCGAATTGTTAGTCATAACCAGAGGGTATATTGGAAAATGCTGGCCTAATCCATGAGTTTTTACGAGATTCTGCCATCAAAAACCATCGATTTCTGCCAGGTGGCTGGGACATTGGCGACTAGGAAATTCTGATTCATGGAGACTTTGCCGCGGGGATTGATTCCAGAAACAATCCCATATGCGAACCATGGTGCCGGTATATTTACCTACAAAACTGGGTGATTTTGTTCGGGCAAATGTTGGGATTCATATTCCAGCACCATGGAGCATATGGGAATGGATATTCGAATCCTGTATGAATCTAAGCTGCTGGGAATCACCATGGAACTAGTCGGAAAATGAAACACACCCGTGAGGAATTGCTCCAGCCGGATGAGATTGCCACAAAGAATTTAGCCAAGCTGGGGGAAAAACCTTTCCATGACGAAAATCGTAAAATATGTTTTTTTGAAACACTGGATGTTGAGTTCATAGACTTACTGTTAAGTGGCCCAATGTCTGTATCATTTTGTATCCATTCCAAGATGTGCCACACCACATCCATACTAGTGAGGTCGTTCATTTTCCCAGGCACTCCCTCAAACGAATGAGATGATGATCGAATAGTATATACAAAATGAGGTAATATGTCATGCCCCCCCATAATATAACATAATTCAACAGCAACATAGTATAGGATATAGTCAAATAAAAACACCATATATTGGTTTTTTGTATGCTGGATGCAATTTGTGTGAAAGGCATTACAACCGGATGTGGATCTGATGAAAATCCTGGCGCCCAAAATCTGATCACATCCCAATTTACTCAACGGAATAATTGTCTGATCAAATCCTGGAAATTTACAGTAGATGAAACCACATTCTATGGAAATCAACCTATGTATATATATATGTAATTTATTCATAATCATTGGGTAAATCATATATTTATATATATATAATATTCAACCTGTATATAATATATATATATATTTGTAATTTATTCATAATCATTCCATTGGATAAGATTAGAGAAACAAGGAAAGCTGGAAGAGTCCTGTATGTCCTGTATACCAACCCCGTGATCAACGGAAAAATACCAGAAATTGGAGGTTAACAATTGATATTGAGCCTTACCCATGTTAGAAGATATAACTTAACCAATAAACAGAGGAAATTGGGCCACCATTCAATGCAATGATACAATCATATACCATTCAATGTAACTAGGTGGTGTTGACCCTAGTTACGTCAGCCCCTGATCAAAAAATCATTGTTTATACTTTAAATGGAAGGTTATATAATGTTATATACCCACCCACCCCCCAAAAAAAAAGTGCTACTTTGCCAACATTGAATAGCATACAGCCCAAACATCTGACCTCTCTGGGTCTGACATCCTCCACGCAACGGACCACGTGTCCGCTCCTCTCGGTCTCCACTTCGGACGGCTCCACCGCGGTTGGAACCTCCACGGCAGCTGGAAGCTCTGCATCTGCACTCAGCTGCTCCTGGAGCTTCTTTGAACACATGGTGGTTTCCTGAAGTAGGGGTACCCCCAGTCATCATCCAATTATAGATGGGATTTTCATGGATTTTCCATGAAATAAACCATCCAGCGGAGTGCCCCATGACTATGGAAACCTCCTGCGGTGTTTCACATGACGCTGGGATGATTCGCAGTAGATCTCACCGGTCCTTGATCTGGGCCAATTCCGCGGACAGCGACGCAGCACGAGCCTTGGGATGGGCAAGTTGTGGATAGCTGGGATATGGTCAGGATAACAGGTAGGATGAGAAAAACAACAACCACCCCAACGGCGTATCTGATATCCAACAACACAATGTATTTTGTAGAAAACCGCATGTGGTTGTGACCATCATCACAACAAGCATCCCAACAATCATTTCTGGTGTTGACTAGTTATGACCACCGGTTTGTTTTGTTTTCAAGTTGGGATTGGTCAACATGATGTGGTAAACCCAGCAATCAACCATCCCCAATATCACTATGAATGGGTGGTAAGAATCATCCCCAAATTAATTAATATGGGTTTATTGTTATTATTGGGTTTACCACATTATAGCTATACCTTCCAAAAAAGGACCTGAGCTACCCAGCGAAGAACACGCTTAAATGACTCTGAGTGTGGACGTAACGCGCAACAATGGAGGTGTAATTTGCGTTATCCCTGTTCTCCGTTGCTACTCCGGTTCCATAGAAATTTCCATGCATACTATCCTGTAATTTAACTTCGCTTTGAAACAACACCATTTGGAGTAGGAAAATCATTTACTATCGTTTCTGGCTTCCAATTTCACCAACGTGCTTTATCCAGAAACTCCATGGTCTCCCACCCTAGCCCCATCCAAAAAACATTGATGAATTTACATACCCTCATGGCCTAAAGATCAAGTAGACTATACCCAGGGTTTCCTCATGACCCCCCGCCGAGGTACTTCCGCCTCAGCCAAGGCTTCCTGAAGTTTCACCTTCTCCCCATCGACTGCCGCGTCCGGAGCGACAGCCTGGTGGATCTGTGGCGATGTGGATCTGTGGGTGATGCTGCTGCTGATGATTTTGTGACGGATAAAACATGATTTATCAGATGGATATCACCAGCATCATTTATCCCCAAAACATGATAAAATATCACCGGATCCCCACAGCCACATGATAATCATCTAAGTCATTGGATCTACAAGTCATGGAATTGAAAACAACATGGCTTGTATACAGTGCGCCCATTCGAATTTGAGACCCCAATGTATACAGCACAGTTAGTAGAAATCAAATGATGTTGGGTGATTTCTGAATGCCTGCTGTCAATCTTCCACTGACTCTTTCGCTGTTGGTCAGGGGCTTTGGGCTTGGCTACTGCAAATGACTTCAACAGCTCCCAAGAATTAAATGATCCAACATGATCCCACAATCATCGCTCTCTCTTCCCCTCTCAGATTTTGGAAAGGCCACATTTGTTTGCCAATCTGGGTATGTCTTAACTAACATAACTACGGAAAATCACTATTTTTAATGGGTAAATCCACTATAAATCGCCATTTTCTATGTCGCAAACTGTTTGTTCACCAGGGGGTAAGTCACATTAAAACTCCGCTGGTTCATCAATTGCCACATATTCGACTTGGAATTTAAGGCAGGGTCTAGCCGAGCCTGTCTGGCCATGTCTGGCAAAACACAGTTTGTTAGTTTTACCCTCTGGTAATTTAACGTAGCTATTGAAAATTGCCATTTATAGTGAGTTTTCCCATTAAAAATGGTGATTTTCCATAGCTATGTTAGTATCCCCAATTTTTAGGTTGTTTCAATGCCATTTTTGCTCGACAAACATTCCAATGCTCGATCGTATAACCCCATAGGCAAATCATCAACCATAATTTCTGGATGAACCATAATTTCTGGATTAATACTATGGTTGATGATTTGCCTAATGATACATAGATCATATGAATAGATATCATCAACCATTTTCGATATCTATGGATACATATTCCCATGATCCCACTATATTCCAATTATCCTAATGGATTAATACCTATGCATGGTAAACAATACTCACTATAACATCGCTATATATGAATATGTTTGATATATTTTGATAGGGATATTAATGGGTAGTGAGTACAGTATTGCCCACATCATTCCATATCCCATTAAAATTAATTAAAATCCATTCAACATGTGAAACATACAGCCATTGGAAATAAGATTAAATCCCAAAATCCATTAAAACCCATTAAAATCCATTAATTAAAATCCATTAAACACTCCATTAAACACTCCATTAAACAATCCATTAAACAACCCATTAAATCTGTTGGTTGTCTCTATCACTTCAGCCATCGGATCGCCACGAAACCTCCGTCACCTCCGCAAGCTCCGGTGGCGCGATGGAACTCTCCTCCATCTTGGCGTTGAGGTCTGGCGCATCCTTCACCTTCACACCTGCAACCCACGTGGGAAGATGGAAGTAACACATGACATGATGGTAGATATGGTAGTTTTCTCTGCTATTTGATTTGTCATGTTGATTCAAAACGTTCAGCTTGGTAAGTCCTAAAAATCAATTTGGCAGGTCATCTGGATCAAATAAAGATCCACAACGGGCATCTGCTGAACAGCGCTGCATGGCCAAGCTTGGATGCAGAATCAGCCCCAGTTGTAGCTTCGAAAATCAACCTATCGCGGCAATCCAAGGCTCTACAACAAAAACCCATGCGAATCCCCCTTGATAGCAAAGCGAATTGATATAAATTCATCAATCTAATTATATATATATATGTATAAATGATATGCGATTTTCCATTGCAGTGCCATCTTTTAAAGGCTAGCCACATGGCTACCACCTGACCAAACCGCACCAAAAAAAAGAACAACGCCGAGGCCTAGCTTCACGAAGGAGGTGACGAAGGTGAACCTGTGCCCAGTCCTAAAAATCATCTGGAGATAACATCATTATTCCATTATTCCATTATTCCATCATTAAAAAAACATGTTCCATCAGTTATCCCACTATTATTGCTTAATATCCCACAATTAGATACAATGAGTGGTTACCCTCTGGTGAAACATACAAAAAACGATGGAAAATCCCCAGGCTGGGTATCTGGAGATAACAACCGACTCAGCAAATCCTATGGTGGTTTGGTGGCCGGCGTGGCCAACGTTAAATCGCTGGGATGGAAAATGATGCCTTTAAAACGAAAGTAGATTCCTGCCGGTTGGGATGAAAATGAGTGGAAAATATGCGAAAAGAGAGAATCCGGATTGCAAAATCATGTTCTCTCATTTGAGCAATTTTGAGAAACAATGGCAATTGCAGTATAACATAGATGTGCTATCACACCTATAGCCATATAGCCATTGTAATCCCACAACGCTTCTTACAAGACCAGCCATATAGTTGGTACATGTTGGTACCATCCAAAGCCACCAGTTTTTTTACAAACCGTCATCCCAGGTGACCCAGCTCCACCTTTTGAATCCCACCAAGAAACTGCAATTCACTGTTCTGCTGCCAGCCTTTAGTAAGTTGCACCTGATCGCCATCCGTCAGTCCTGGGAATGGTGGCCAGACCGCCGTTCCAAAAATGGACCAACTGGTGAGATTCGGTGGTTTCGGAAAGGGACAAAGCTGGTTTCCAAGATGTCCCCCTTGAATCAATCCAGAATATATTGAATGTCAAATTTGTTGCTTAATGTTGCTGCAAATTCTCTGAATTGATCTATCCGAATCTATCCCCATTCAAGTTGGTTTTATCATCGTTCTATTTAAAGGGCTGAATCAGCAGGTGATTAACATGCCGTCCTTCTAGTGTCGCTTCAAAACACCAAAAAAATAGCTAGTTCGACAAGTCTATACCATAAACCGTTCAAATACTCACAACATTTACACTAAATATCCAACACCTGATACTTATCAACATTACTGAATGAATTTTAACAAGTTTCAGTTGGTTCAAACATGTTTAAACATCTTTAAACCGATTTATTCACCATCTTTTCATGGTTTTCATCAGCCGAAGGCTCGCGAAGCTTCGCCCTTTCCCAAGGACTGACCGTTCAAAAAGGTGCCGTTGGAACTGCCTGGGATCCGCAACGGGCGCCGTTTTTGGGTCAGTGGATGACGCCAGCTTTTTTTAATCCAATTCTGCTATATCATGACACCCTCTGGTAAACTAACATAGCTATGGAAAATCACCATGTTTAATGGGAAAATCCACTATAAATGGGCATTTTCAATAGCCATGTTAAATTACCAGAGGGTAACAGTATATATATATATAATTGGGATATAATAGTGGGATAACAATTTACTAAGTCCATTTTTTTAAGTTGATAAGTATGGCATATATCTGGGTAAATTATCGTATTTCACTAACCTGAATTAAGGCCATTTGGGGATGATTTCCCTTACTAACCATGATTCCAGCGAGGTCGCAGTGAGGTCGTTATAATTTACATATATATATATAGATAGTTGGGATATAATTGTGGGATAACAATACTAAGTCCTAATTTCAAGCTGATAACTATGGCATATATGATTGTCAATAATGGTTAATAATGGTAAATGACGGTTATAATGACGGTTATATATATATACTGGTTGCTGGTTGAGTTTCAACCCCTCTGAAACATGATGGATTTAGTCAGTTGGGATCATTATTCCCAATATATGGAAAAATAAAAAATGCTCCAAACCACCAACCAGTATAATTTGGATATAATTGGTAGTGAGTATAGTATTGCCCACATCCTTCCATATCCCAGAAAACTCTCTGGTAACTTAACATAGCTATTGAAAATTGCTCATTTATAGTTGAATTTGCCATTAAACATGGTGATGGTCCATGGCTACATTAGTTTACCAGAGGGTATATGATTACAATCTCATCCCTCATTGTCAATGGAAATCCCATTTAGGTATAAAGATGATATTGAAATCACCAATTGCTATTGGGAATCTACATTCTGGAAATTTAACAGTTTGCTATGGAAAATGGCTCAGAAATAGTTGATTTTGCCATTAAACATGGTGATGGTCCATGGCTACATTAGTTTACCAGAGGGTATATGATTACAGTCTCATCCCTCATTGTCAATGGCAATCCCATTTGGGTATAAAGATGATATTGAAATCACCAATTGCTATTGGGAATCTACCTTCTGGTAATTTAACAGTTTGCTATGGAAAATGGCTCAGAAATAGTTGATTTTGCCATTAAACGTGGTGATGTTCCATAGCTATGTCAGTTTACCAAAGGGTGTGTATATATATATATATTACAATCTCATCTCATCCCCCATTATTAATGGCAATCTGATATGTGTAAATGATATATCAGCAATTCTCCCATTTACGATACTGGGATGATTGGAGATGGTAATTCTGCTGACATATCATTTATATATACCCTCTGGTAAACTAACATAGCTATGGAAAATCACCATGTTTAATGGGAAAACTCACTATAAATGGCAATTTTCAATAGCTATGTTAGTTTACCAGAGGGTATATATATATATATATGAATATCATTTACAAAAGGCTGATATCCCATTTTAGCTGGGTATGGGGATGATTGGAGGATCAACCAATAATATTTGGATCAGGGGAGATAATGGATATTAACCAACCACTAATGGGATATGAATGAGGATATCGATAGAATTGCTGGGGATGGAAATATAAACGTAAGCGATTGCAAATGTAGATGTATAATATATATCATGCTTCATGATACTTCAAGCCAATATAATGGGACTGCAAATGTATGTAAATTACGGTTGATTCTGGAAATATATATATATATATATCATGTATCATCCCAGTATTAATTGATATATATATATATAGATGTATAATCATATGCTACTCCACGCAGCACATTAGTTATCCTGATTTCAAAGCCTCCTAAAATGGAACCCAAAAATGAACAAATGTGGACCCAACCCCAAGAGACATGGGGATATGGAGAGAAATTTCTAGTCTTCCACCACAAGAGACGACAACTAACACGGCCACTAATGATCCACAAACAGAATGGGTTCCAGGAACTCCTATGGCGATTGCTTGGAGAAAAAAACACGTACTGTTTTGTGCTTGGATGATAGATTCCTAGTCACTGCAAAAATGGAGGTTTCGCAATGGAAACATGGTACTACATGCTGCGAGAGCCTTTGGGATCACTGTGATTTTCATCAACTCTCCATGACCATGTCAGGCGTGGAATGAACAGTTGCGGCGAAAACGGGATTGCTGCAACCCCCATGGGTGAAAAAAACATAAAAAAAACAGGGTCCAGTTTGATTCCAAAGCATGGAGCATATCTGGAACTTTGTTTTTGTTTTCACATCAGTGTCACAATTCTTTTACATGCTCTCATCATCTCTCATCGTTTGCTTCCATTTCTGCATCTTTATTGGTACCCTCTGGTAAACTAACAGTTTGCTATGGAAAATCACCATTTTTAATGGGAAAATCCACTATTTCTACAGCCATTTTCAATAGCAAACTGTCAAATTACCAGAGGGTAAAATTTCACCTTACGTTTCGCCCTTTAAACCACACCATACCACACCCCATCCTTTCGTCGCTTCCAGGTGTCGGTCGACCAGCTGAAAGCATTGCAACTGCGCTGTCCATTTCACCTGCCGGCTCTCACCTTTGGGGAGGGTTGAAAACCTACCGTTACCCGCTGGTAAACGTTTACAAAAAACATCAAACAACTATGGAAAATCACCATGTTTAATGGGTAAATCAAATCCACATAAATCCACTATTTCTATGGCCATGTTCAATAGCAAAGTGTTAAATTACCAGAGGGTAATGGGAGGAGACCAAAGCAACTTGGTAAACTGGTTGGTGGTATAGCTACCCCTCTGACAAATATGAAAATCAGTTGGGATGATGACATTCCCAACATATGGAAAGTCATAAAATTCATGTTCCAAACCACCAACCAGTAGATCACTATGAAGTTGGCCGCTTTGATATCTTTGATCTGATGCTGTACCATGCCCTATTACCCCATCAGACCCAAGCGGGCGTCCCCAATGGATAGGGATTTGACCTTCGAAAGATCTTGAAAGTTGACCGGTTTTTGGCTACCCCAAACGGTAAACGTTTACAGTTTGCGAAGTGGAAAATGGTGATTTACAATTATAGTGGATTTACCCAGCTAGAAAATTGATGGAATTTTCTAGCTAGTTTTTTGTAAACGTTTACCAAAGGCTACCCCAAACTCGAATGGTTGAAAACATATAGGAAAACCATATAACCCCGTTGAAGATATGGCATGAAGCCATGACAAATCCGTCTGGATTCCCATCCAAAATGACCTCGCCTCGCACTGCACCGCGCTGATGGTTTTGCCATCGACCTTGATCCGACAGGAATCCTTGCGACCAATGGAAACCTCAGCAGCTGTCTGCCAGAGTGCAGGAAGATCTCCCAGTCAGCTGATGGTTTACATAGAGATTGATATGCAACTGATATGGCTTAATATGGTTTATCATGGCTTAATAGTGTTTAATATGGTTTAATAGAGTTTGATATGGCTTAATATGGTTTTTATCATGGCTTGCAATATTGATTTATATTGTTTAACCATGTGAAGAACTGACCCAAAAACGGAGGCTTAGCCGTCAGATTGAAACAAGGAAATAAGAGGAAATAAGACCTTACCCCCTGCTAACCAAACATGGCCATGGAAAAACGTCTGTAGTAGGAACGTGGCATATATACTGCAAGTAAACATGTTTCATTGCTAGGTTAGATTGTCACAATGTCATTCATAAAGTAACTTAATATGATATATATATATATATATATATAATCACTCCATATCAAGTCATATTAATGTCAAGAGTATGTGAAGAGCGCTCCTGCAGCCTCATTAGGTGCGCCATTCATTGGTGGCTATTCCAGCATCTGCAGCATCATTGTTGAATATTTAGGGCTAGAAGAATAGACCTTTGATATAGTGGGTATCATTGGGTTCTCGGCTCACCACAAATATGCATAGTGCATTTACCAGGATTTATCCCCAAACATATTAGTTTCTGCCAATCAAACATTGCAATGAACATGTATCCTGTTTATAGATGATTTTCCCATTGAATGCCTAGTTATAGAGGATGTTCAATTGCCATGTGTGACTGCTGGATGGTAAAATGGTTCAGACTAGGTCGTGTGAATGTCACGACCTAGTGGCATGGTAACCGAGCCTTTCATTTACAACTGATACCACCTGGTTATTTAACATAGCCATGGAAAATCACCTTTTTTAAGAACGGTAAACCATCTATTTCTATGGGCCATTTCCCATGGCGAACTGTTAGTCATAAGCAGAGGGTATTTCACAACATCCCAAGAAACTTCCCAGTGGCGAAACCTTGAAACCTGGCTTTTGAGGGAAAAGGCCCCTTTGCAAAGGTCCATTGATTCAAGTAAGCCGACTAAAACCCCATAGATGGTTACCCTCTGGTAAACTAACCCTTTGCGACATAGAAAATCGCCATAGAAATAGTGGATCTACCCATTAAACATCGTGATTTTCCATAGTTATGTAAACGTTTACCAGAGGGTAATTATAAATGGGGGATTCAACCAGCAAAGATAGGCATCTAACAGATGATCTAATGGTATAAAATGGTATAGACTTCGCTCCATCCAATTTCAGGCAGAAATTGGATCCTTTTGGAATGGCCATTCCCAAGGGAATCTGACAAGGGGCCCCTGAACCCACCTCAATTGGATGATCCGGATTCGTCTGCTGAATCAGCCATGCGTGGCACGGCGACATCGCACACGGCGACATGGCGGCGCGTGTTGCGCGGCTTGGTAAGAAGAACTATGTCAGCTGGGGATCATAGCTGTGGTTGTCGCAAGCCATTGACTCCGGTGTTGACCTCAAAGTAATGTTGTAGGGGATGAAGTTTGCTGATTCGATATCACCAAATGTCGCGAAGATAGGTTTCACTGCCTGACCAGCAACGATGAACAAATTCCAAGTTTCAAGGCACGTGGCCAATCCTAGACGGTCTCAAATCATGTGGGGGCCCTTTGGTATCTAACATTCCATGGTGAATTCCCCCCGACCGGTCCGCCCCCCTGGCCGCGTGTTGCACACTGCACCAGGGGTGGCTCAATGCCGCGCCGACCGCGGCTGTCAGCAGAAAGTGGCGCGGCAGTCTCCGTAGAGTCAGAACGAAAGAAGTGGTTGCTGATGGTTGGTGTATTTCAACCTGAACAATATTGGTCATTGGGGATCATTCCAAATATCCCAAGTGTTGAACAGAAAAACCTTTGAAATCGCCAGGTAAAAAATAGGCAAAGTCAACAGCCTTCACAGAAGCTACTCAAAGCAACATTAAACCTGCTCAGGGTTCTGAAATATGGCAGTGTGTCAAAACCTTGTACCCCTGGTGAACATCAAAATAGCTGGTAAATGGATGTTCATCCCACTAAAAATGGTATTAATAGGTATTGATCCATACCCATATCTGAAAATCGTCACTACAACCATTTTTTTAAGGGCCACCAAGGCTGCAAATCTGTACTTTGCTTTCCAGCCATCGGCTCTGTGAGGATCTCCCCAGCAGAGCTTGACAAAAACCCTCTGCCCTTCAAAAACCTACAGAGCCTGACATGGGAACATCTAAATGCCTTGAATATGCCTTGAATTACCTCGAGTATTGACATGGACAAAGGCATATAATTAACATGATTGATCATAATTGGTCAGATTTTTGGTACCCTCTGGTTATGACTAACATAGCCATGGAAAATCCACCCATTTTTAAGAACGGTAAACCATCTATTTCGATTAGGGCCATCGAAAAACCATGGCCAGAGATCCACATCCAAAATGGTGGTTGAGCCCTAGCCCTCTGAAAAATATGAGGTAGTCTATTGGGATGATGATTATTCCCAATATTTGGGAAAAATATGGAAAAATGTTCCAAACCACCAACCAGATATAGTATATTTTATCTGCTCCTGAGGTTTCTATCCATATTCTGTGGATTTTTTTTAGCCAACACCGTACTCATCGCTGATCATACCATGATCCCTCGCCTGTGAAAGCGCCAAGGAGCTCAACCTGGAAGCCGTTGAATCGATGGATTTGTGGGGACCATTTAAGGCTGGACAACCAACGGGTTTCTGACCACCAAACGGACGGAGATTATGGGAGTTTCCGGTGGCAAATTTCCCCTGAACCAATGATGTGGGAAGCTAAAGTCTGATTCACCTGAAATATCTGAAATCAAGTGATGGCATAATGGGGAAGTTCCCACAGAATAATATCATATAATAATCATCATTCTGCGAAACTTCTACTCATCAGGTCCTGCCATCATGATCCCCCACTTGTTGGCTTTGGAACATGTGTTTCCTGTCAGTATGGCCATGTTTGTGCCTCCTTGTGTGATTTACAGTGCAATAATGTGAATTATGGCGGCTCATGACCAGTCACCAATGATGCTGCAAACCTGCCGTGGAATTTTGGCTAGCTCACTGCAAACAAGTAAGCAACAGTTGCACCACAGTTTCAACCAACAAACGCATGGTTTTTGGCACGATCGTGTTATGGCTCACTTTGCAAACGGTGGTTCCATTCTCGACATCCATTTCGGATTCCATCAGGTGCTCGACCTAGTTTAATCTGGTCGGATTACCAACGGCCAAGTTTAACCTGGCCGACCTGGAAGGCCTGGAATATATCAAAAAACAAAAAACAAACCATATCCAAAATCTACCCTCTGGTAATTTGACAGTTTGCTATTGAAAATTGTCATTTATAGTGGATTTACCCATTAAACATTGTGATTTTCCATAGTTTTTTTTGTAAACGTTTACCAGAGGGTAACATGGAAGATCATCGTAAAGGGTGAAATTTATGGTGCCCCGTGGTGCCCCACGGTGGCCCAAATTTTTGTGCGTTGTTTGTCCCTGGGGCTCCTGCTGCTTTCTGCCACTGTGCAACCTGTGGGGATGGGACATCAGGATGGGATTTGCCGATGCATAAACCATAAAGAGGGATATGATTGGTATGATTTAAAAGATACATTTGATATCATGTGATGGCAACCTCTGGTTATCTAGGTTTGGTTGTAGGCTGCCATAGATGGTCTGGGATATGATTCTCACTGAAGATTGGCACTACGACTGCGACTTGGCAAACTTCCTGAGGATCTCCTTGCACACGAAATTGCTCCCTGTGCATCATCAGTGTTTTCATCAAGGTGTTTTTGAATGCCCAAAAACTATGGATATATATATATACCCTCTGGTTATTTAACATAGCCATGGAAAACGGCCCATTTATAGATGATTTACCTATTAAAAATGGTGATTTTCCATGGCTATGTTAGTCATAACCAGAGGGTATTTAAAACATATAAAGAATGACCAGCCTTTTGTTGGCCTTTTGGCAAATGTGTACCCCAAATGATATAGTATTTATTGGGGCCCTAAGCCATAGCCGCAGCCTGCGCGCAGGTCCGTAAGACGGATAGGTGAACTTTCTCCATGGCCGACCTGGGCTAAGTCTCTAATGTGTCACAGATTTTTGTAAGTTATGATGGCTCAAGTAGTTGATTAAAAAATAAAAATAAAGATAACAGGAACTGCTAAGGCAGCATGTGATCAATCTAGTAATCTAGTCAGGCCTTGCATTGGATTGCAGAAATGTCTGTCATGTCTGTCAACAATTGTTGGTTGAAGCACCCCCCAAAAAATGAAAGTCAACAAGAACATCATTCCAAGTAAAATAGAATGGGATCTCATTTTACACGTTGGAAGTTGACAAACCTGAGGGACCCAATTCCGGTACAGCCCTCTGATCACCCCGGCAACGTCTCCAAATCTGCCAGTTTCAAGCTGGGTTCCCCATGAAACAGTAGGGAATTGATGCCCTGTGGATCCAAATGCGTTACCCGGGCAATTTTTTTATAAGTTCGCCATTCCAACCTCCAGAGAAAATTCTACAAATTACAAAGTCATACGAAGCCAATGTGGGTTCGAACACGCAACGTCTCCAAATACATGCATGTGTATTAGTATATCACACACACATAGAATATATATATATATAGAGTGTAGAAATCAATTTAAACAAAAATATAAAGATAAACATTTCCATAACAGATGCATTAATGACAATGATGTTTTCCATATTTTCTATAATATAATGATAAATATAAATCATCCACTTTTGCAGAACATTTCCATCATTTTTCTGGATCCATCTCTCCACTCCGTTTTTGCACCGCGAAAAAGGCTGGCTGTCAGGTGCCGCGGAACGACTCCTCGAAAAGGGGACACAACGGGACACAACGGGACATGGGTTATTCTCCTCTGGTAAATCATTGGATTGGTTTTGCTTGGAAAATCTACAGGAAACCATGGTTTTTACCATCAAATATAGGGCTTAAACCAGTAAATTTTCCCCTCATCCAATTCTATGAGTAAACTAACATAGCTATTGAATTATTGAAAATTGCCATTTATAGTTGATTTATCTTTAAAAAATGCTGATATTCCATAGTTATGTTAGTTTACCAGGGGGTATCCTATACATGGCCTATGATGTTATGCCCGTTGAATCGTTGATAACTTATAATTACAGCAATGTGGATACACAAGTCAAATATGTGTAAACCATGTTTTTTTTCCTGGTGCTAAACCGATTCAACCGTTGACTGCAGCATTTGATCGCCATGTTTTTGACTCTGGGAGGGTGATTTTGGCACCTTTTGAAATACATATCAGAATTACCTTGCATAGAAAAGCATTCTAAAATAAAAGGACTGCAAAGCAAATCGCATGACATGTGTATGGATTATTTGAGGCCACTGTAGTTCTATCACTAAAGTATTAGCGTCAAAATCCTGTACTAAATCAGAGAGCTGTTTAATATTGGGGGTGGGATTGTTCTCTCTCTGTCTCTCTCTCTCTCTCTCTCTCGTCCTCTCCCTCTAGGATTAGGTATAGCAACCTCCGCAAAGATAGAACAGTGAAATCCCAATCAGATTATGTTTGATCAATCTAACCTTTTCCATCCTTTTCCATTTTTTGGGGATTATATATATATATATATTATATATGTATATATATATATAGAGTAAATTTACAGTAGGGTCATTACAGTCTCCATCCACTCCGGCCAGGGGCGCCGCAGCCATCCGCAGCCTCTGTACACTTTCGGCCACCAGCTGCGGTATCTGCATCGCCACTGTCACCCCATGAAACGGCAGATGCCTGGCCGATCCGGCGACGGCCAGGTTTCACCACGGGATTTTAATGACGAAAAAACTATAGCTAAATAGGCTAAAGTGGGTGGTTTTGAACCAAAATATCACATATATGTATTATGTTTATATATATATATCAAAAGTATATATATATATACATATTCAACTGGGGGGTACCACCTTATAACCTTGCAGTGGGCCAATGATTCGTAGGAAGCATGTCAGATTTTCAAAACAAAAGAAGCCGCAGGCAAATGACATCCATGACTAAAATCAATTCATCTTTTGAATGCCAGCATGTTTTTCTGTCTGACAATAGCCCCAAATTCAATGGTTTATCCTCATCCTGCAATCCTTCCCATACAACAATGCAAAATTGAAGGGCATCCCTCATTTTTCAAAGCCATTTCTTCACTAAACAATGACTAAGAACGGAACGACTGGGCTCCATCACTTCCCCCAGGTCCTTGGAATCTTGGGATGCCATCCTTTGACTTCGTTGGCTTCCTGCCAGCTTTGGGCGCGAACGTGGGGTTGCTGTTGAGGCATCTTTGATGCCTAACATTCAAGCTAACTTTGTTGGGTTGATTGGGTTGTAACTTAATATAGTAATGGTTGTAACTATACTATAGTCATTATGGTATGATCCCGGTGATCCAGCAAAGTTTGAGCTTGGGTTGTCACATCCCAGCCCTCTCAAATACGTCAAATACGAGCATGCCACCCAGCAACGCAGCAGATTATGCAGATTTTCCAACCCAGTTATAATGCGGTATTTAATCTCATGTTCTATGTGGTTTTTACATGTGTTTACATGTTTTTACATCTTACCCCACTGATTACCCTAAATCATTCGCCGCCAACCCGCCCAGCCTTCAGGCTGTGTATCAACCATCTGTTCCTTGACCTCAGCAGAAGCCACGGCCTGAAGCAGCATGGCAACCGCTGCTTGAAGGCACCAGTTCGGAATTGCTAACTTGTTTCAGAAACGTGGGTTAAATGGAATCTATGTGACATGATGTAGGTGAAAACTATGGTGTATGATGGGGTTTATAGATGCTTATGGTGGCAATAACTATAGTTAACCATCAGAAACAAACATCTGTTATTGCAACAATGGTCAACTATCTGTTTATGGTGGTAATAACTATGCTGGGATTTATAGACCAAACAGAAGTGGCTTAGCACCATTTTTCGGGATGGAAGATCCAATGCAGACAACCCCATGCCATGTGGCTTGAAGATGGCTTAAAACTAAGGAAAAACCCTGGTCCCCTGGTACAACAATTTTCACAACTGGTATATGGATGTTGTTCCTCTCCCGAAAACCAAAAAAAAACATGTGGCCTTATTTGGTCTCATAGGTTTTAACCCATCCCCACTGGGATGCCAAAGTATGGATATAGAGGGCTGGGCAATGTCAGTGACGAATAGGAAGATGGTTCTAATGATTCCAATATAAGGCTTCCAGCTGGAAGATGGAGAAAACCATCCTGACCCACTGATGGGTACCTCATGGATTGATGGATTGCAGCTACGCATGACCCACCGGGAAATCCGCATGACGATTCTGAATGATCTTCAGTTCTCCATCAGTGGCGAGATCCTTGAAGTCACGACATTTGGAAAAATGCTGGGATATGTAGATATGCGCTTGGATGATGGAATTAGTTGGAAATCGAATCATTATTACGAAGCTATGTGTCTTGGATGTACCCAAGTTTTGCATGGCTTTTCATCCCACTAGCTGAGTTGCACTACCAAGTAGATTCTCTGACAAGCACATGTGCACACATGATCTGGGATGTAGATTTGGGAATAGTTGGAACAGTTTGTGTGTTACAAACTGTGAATTATGCTGGAAGTTAGGATCTATGGATAGTAACCGGATAGTCATTCACCCCGATTTTTACTTGCTGATTTCATGGCTTTGCCTAAATATGTCATCTGGACTATTTTATTGTAAATGTCAGCCACCACATAATTAGTGCACCATCATTGGAGATGTCTAATTAAGCTTGCTGCATAGCAACCCCCAATATGGAATCCAATAGATGGAAACATCATTTAGCATCATTTTAGTGGTATTTCACTTTTCTACCTTTTGGGCGTTGGTTACTGGTTGGTGGTGCAATAACCATCTTGAAAAATGATAGAGTTTGTCAATGGGAAGAATCACATCCCATATGTGAAATGGAACAAGAAAATGTCTGAAACCACCAACCAGCCAATATCATTCAATATCTATGGATGCATATCCCAATGATCCCATTATATTTAAATAATCTACCAACTGATCCCAGATTGATTCTATGCCCCGCTATCCATGGAGATGAGCATCGCCTCTGGCGTAGGAGGCGCAAAGTCTTCGACCACCTCTGACTTTGTCGGATGGGATGGCAGCAGAAAAAAAAGGGTCTGAAAAGGATGTTTACCACGAAACTGGCAATCTCTATGGGGAAAATGAGTGTCAACTAGGGGATTTAGGGCTATCCTATCTTTATCTATCTGTTTTGACCATTGAAAAACTCCATGAAACATAAGGAAAATTCCATGAAAAATAATGAAAATACCATAACAACATAGGGAACATCCCTTTACAGATGGATTTTCCAATCTTTCGCCGACCACCTGCGTCTCCGCAAAGCTGAGATCGATGTGATCGCCAGGCGCTGCCCGAAGTCCTGGAGCGAAAGGAAGGCGAGGGGAAAAGCTGGTATAAACCATATTATATATATATATGGTATAGCCTAGCAGTGGATGATTTGGGGATCATGTATGGATAATATATTCGATAATTAATGGATTATTTATGGATTATTATGTTTTTAATAGTACAATAACTTAACCAATGATGGATGATTATTTACTGATACTATAACCAATAAAAATGAAAGTTTAGCAATAGTAATGGAATAATGATGGAACATAACGGCACATCATGGGATGTTTTTTGCAACTTGGGATGCACCCAATGCCAAAAACCTTTATGATTTTGGGGATGTATTGTTATTGGGATTACCACAGTAGTAATAAATGTCCATTAAAACATGCATTTGAAATACAATAATTCAACCATTTGGAGATGATTCCCCTTACTATCATCATTGAGGTGAGTTAAGTCATGCAAATGAAGGATTAAGTCATAATTTAATGGTCATAGTTAGAAGGTCATAATTACTTTTGTATGTTTTTTTCTTGGATGATAGAACTAATAATCAGGTGTAATCGATTATATGTGACATAATGCATGGTAGAAATGATGTCATTATAATAATTATGGTAATTTGAGGTGTTCTGTGTAGTTGATAGTGCCATTATGACTAAGAATAACTAATAGTAAAAGTAATCATCAAGCAACGCTTCACTCAAGGGATCGATTTCTTTGGGAATGTCTCAAGGGATCTGCAGGAATTCCCAAAATGTTGCCTGCTAATAGATGAGTTTCCTGTAAATTTTAAGTGCCAATGTCGACCAGTTAAGTTCGACATTGAGTCCATTGGGCTTGGTTTGGAATCCGGGCATTCCAGGGCGCACCGGCAAGTGGACCAATATAAAAAAATCACTGGGATGGGGAAAGCCCCAACAGGATTGTCTGCACATGTTCTCAGTGAATCTTAAGTCGCACATGTTTATACTGAACTCTTCCCTGAAACCATAATCTCGGGCCAAATTTGAATATAATGCACTTATAAATAACACTCATGGATAAATAGGTGTCTGGTTAAAAGAAATGTTTCTGATTGGCAATCAGAAACACCCGATTTCATAAACATCCACACCAAAAAAACCCTGGTTACCGCAAGTACTGGATCTATGCCCATTGTACCCATTTTGGGGGTGCAGCTTTTCATGGTTTGTCTACAAAAACCTGGGATGATCTGGGGATGGGTCAAAACCTTTGCACAGAATTTCACAGAATTCCCCCATTTTCTTTCGGCAGACCAGTTGGCCACTCCTCGAAATCTTGCCGTGGAGGGCTCCTGATGAACGTTGACCACAACGTGTTTCAGCCCAGCGAAACGTGGTAGAAGGGTGGCAGTCATCGCGCATTCGGACATGCTAAACATTGGTACCCTCTGGTAATTTAACATAGCTATTGAAAATTGCCATTTATAGTGGTTTTTCTGATTAAAAATGGTGATTTTCCATAGCTATGTTAGTTTCCCAGAGGGTATATAAACCGTTACTAATGGGGATCACACAAAGCAAACCTTCCGAACCATTGCTGGATCAATCACATGGTCAAAAATAAAAACATCAAGACGATATATGACATATGATGATACATAGTATATGTGTGATATATATATATATATATGTATATATATATATATATTGTAATATGATTGCATATATATATATATATATATGCAATCAATCAATTAAATTAATCCACCGTGAATTCTAGGAACTCACCAGCCTGAAGCCTTTTGTGATTTTCAGGTTTATTTACCCTCTGGTAATGAAACATGGCCCATGGTGAAAAAGGAAACGCCTACCGCTGCATATGACAAACACATGTTTTTCTTCCAGGAAACCAAGTTTGAAGAATAAAAAGAGGGGAACAACACGCAACGAGTTGCATGATAGTTGCATGATGTTGCATATGTTTTACACAAGTCTCAGAATGTTGTAGCACACATACCCGCTGGTTGATAGACCTCCATTTATAGAGGATTTCCCATATGTTCCCACATGTTTCTATGAATTTCCGCCTTAAACCTCCATTAGTTCGGGGATTTCCCAGACTATACTTCCCAGCCAGCCATGTTTGATTTCCTCCATGACTATTTCCAACATGATACAGTGATACATGTTTTTTGAAATGGAGCCATTAAATCATGTTAGTTTGAGCAGAATTTTGCCAAGCAAGACCTCAATACCCATAGGATCCATGGTGCTGCTATATATGGTAACATGGATCCCATCCATATACCCCCGTCATGTTAGCATATATACCAGCACCATGGATCCGTCATGGGATATGAAATGGCTGCCTTTTTAGGCATTCTGGGGAACAATCAGCTGCGGGGCATCCAACGTTGATCCCAGATCCTCGTCAATCTGAGTGTCACCCAACGCACCAAACTCCTGGGGCTGCAACGCACCAAAGCCTCTGGTAATTTAAACATGGAAAATGGTCATTTAATGATTTGCATTGATTTACTAAAAATAACAAGGTGATGCTCAATATGTTAAGTTTCCAGAGGTAAACTCACCAATTTTTGGAGGGCTAATCATCCAAAAAAAGGAATTATAATTTGACAGTGTTTTTAAATATCCTGACATGAGGATGGAACGCCAATATCAAATCGAATAGAATATCACAGTGGCCCTCCCATCTGCCGATTGAGCCAGCACTGAGATCCACATCTCAGTTTCACCATATTTCACCATCAAACATCAACAACATTAATAATTACCGTATTAATTCAACTAACCATGTTATGTTTGGTTACCATTTTTATACCATATAATAATACCATATAATCTCATATATCCAACCATTTCATATGCCATGGTGAAATCTGACACCTTTAATATGAATGGCGTATGGTCATGCCATCTGTTGATTCAGATTGGTACGCCCTCGTTGATCATCCCAGGGGTCTGTGGCACCATCGAAAACAGGTAATTCATGGATATTAATGGCTAATTAGTCTTTATAAATACCATGCTCAAACAGAAAGAAACCAGTGAATTCTAGCTGGGAAGTTTAGATAGTAAAATTATGTAAAACTAAGTTGTTAGAACTATATGGCTAAACTATGCTAAACTGCCCAACCAGTTTGTTTCTCCATTTATTCGCCATCAATGGCACAGCCCAAGGCCCTAAGGCCCCAAGGCCTAACCCACAGATCCTCCATAGATTCGCCATCTAACTCAGAGTCGTGCAAGGTGTGGCTGTCGGCAGGTGAGCCTAGGATCAAGTCACTTCTCCCCTTCAGAAATGAGGCGAATGAAACAACCAATGTGAATAGAGATAGGAATTCAGCCATCAAACAACCACGGTCGGGAAACCAGCAATGATTTTTGCAACTTTATTTATGTTTATAACAACCAATCAATGGAAATTTCGCCAACATAGCCCCATTCTATTCAGAGAAAGGCAACGGAAAGTCCGGGATCTTCGTCAATTACTGGAGGGCTAGAGGGCAGCCGCCTCCAGGTTTTGCAACCCCAAAAATTACGGATCCAAATCAATCTGTTTCATCAGTTTTGCATGCCTAAAAAAAAACTGAACTTCTGGATCTTGCTGTTGCTACTCTACATCTGCTAATTAGTTGTACCTGAAATCGAACATCACACATTTTGCGATACCAAAGGGTGTTCCGTTTCAAACCGCAGGTGTGGTTACCTCCCAAGGGTGTTCCCCATCAACTTTCCCTCGCTGAGGAACCGGTTCCGGTTCGAAGTCTGCGAGGGGACCGTGTCCTGCTGCGGCCTGACGAGCTGCTCTTTCTTCGGAAAAATATGGAAAAATCATGTTTGTAAAGTGTGTACCCTCTGGTAATTTAACAGTTTGCTATTGAAAATGGCCATTTATTGTGGATTTACCCAGCTAGAAAATGGTGATTTTCCATAGTTATGTAAACGTTTACCAGAGGGTAACCATTCCATCACATCAAAGAAACCCATCTACAGTCAACATCAGTCAACTCAGTTGAACTTTCAAATCTCACAATGGAACATGCCCCAACTTAGTTTTTGCGCCGTGCAATGGTGTTCGCCTATCGTTGTTTGGTGGTTCCCAACGCTGTAAAAGGTGCACTTCGCCCAGTTTTCAAGCAGCCGACAACAAAGGGTTGGCGCTCGCTGGCAGCTGTTCTGCCATGGAGAAGATGACGTGGCATCGATGCACTGAAAGCCGGACAAGGTATCCTGATGTATTCAGCATACGGGGCACATCTGGGCAAGTTTAATTGAAAATCAAAACATACAGGATGGTGCCCCTCAGTTATAAGTTGGTTTATAAACCCCATTAACTATAGTTATATCTGCCATAAACCATAGTTATGGGAGTTATAAACCAACTTAGCTAACTATGGGGCACCACCTTGTACGTTCAATAATCAAAAAGTAAAATCACAAAACATCAAGATCGCCAACGATACAGCATGAGTGGAGCGAACATTCTTGTCGCATCAAACCGCACTCTGCGTTCAGAACTGCGCTGGTCTTGCGCCGAACTGGGGCAGTTTCTCCCCAGATCACCTGCAAGGTGGTGCCCCAAAGAAGTTGGTTGATAAACCACATCAATCATGGCTTAATATTACTACAATATGCTATAACCACAATAAACCAACATAAACCCTAGTTAATATACTTAATCTACTTACACATACTTACACTACAAACTGAAGCAAGTTAGCTGACCAGGGAGCACCACCTTGCACTTCTCTTGATTCTCCTATCAACTTTGGGTCAAAAGATCTGCACTGCTTCAGAGCCAGCCACTGGGTGGCTTCAATGGGGTGCCCAACAGGGACCGGCAAAGCCAAAAGAATCCGGTGCTTGCTCCAACCCTCAAGGCTTGCTGAACCAATCAGGACGCAGCTGGGGAACTTCATATGCCCCTATTGCCAGTGGAACCATGTTGACCTCATCCTTGGATTGGAAATCGGTCACCAACTGAAGGTGCTCAAATGCTCAGAACCCCTCATGAGCGCTGGCATACGCTCGCAATCGGACACCACATGAGATTGGAGGCCATCTGCACACTGGCACTTCGAAACCAACACCACCATTTGTTGCACTTTTCTGTTCCATCAGTCACTATATAGACTGATTTCAAACAATATCTACACTTTAAATTCACCAGTGTTTTTTCTCCATGAAACATCTGTGGATATCTATGGTATTGTTTTTGTTTTTATATAAAATGATTCTCCATAATATATATATATATGATATGATATGATATGATATGATATGATATAATATGATATAATATAATATGATATGATATGATATGTACTATAATATCTTTTCCCCATCTATGCATAATCATTCTAATACAATACCATAGATATCCATATAATATAATGTAGATTTCCCCATAAAACAATTAAATATCCATATATGTATATTATATGATGGTGTTTTCCCGTAGCTTAAGCGTCACTCAGGAGAGCTCGGTTTCCGACTCTTCCGACTCCGAGTCCTACGAGGCTGAGAAAGTCATCGGGAAAGTCATAAAAATTACCCTCTGGTAATTTAACAATAGGTAAACCATCCATAAATGGGCCATTTTCCATCGCTATGTTAGTTTACCAGAGGGTAGGCACTCAAAAATTCGCCATGCAAGGGATTATTTTTCGGTGATGTCCATGGGAGTTATAAAAGTTATAGCATACTAAACAGGTGGAATGATCCTTCAAGTCGACTGAGTGCCCACGTGCTAGTTTCACATTGTCTACCTTAATTTTTGGGGGGTACTTGGGATCCAGGAATGGATCCATGATTCGGGAATGAGCTAAACTATTGGTAGGTTCATTGCTGACGAGTTCCCTTTTTGCTCATAACTTGTGCGCACATCATCTGTAAGGCCTGAACAATCCGCTTACAATTTGTCTAGATACAATTTATCCACTAGTCCAAGAACTCATGGCAAGCAAGTGAACAAAAGGATCACCAACCACAATTGCTGCAAAAAATGTCAAATGTCAAGCTTGCATGAAACGCATAATTGTATAATATAAATATATATATATACGTATATATAAATATATATGTATACATACTCCTTTTGGTAATCCAACCCGTCAGTAGGAAAAGTATGTCATTTACATTCATTGCATTTCATTCCAAAGATTAAAACACAGAGTTTTGCAAATGATAAATGCATATTGAGCTAATGATGGTCCCATGATGGTCCCATGATGGTCCCATGGTTTCCCCATTGAAAGTGGCAACGTTTTGGATGTTTTGTGGTGCCGAAATCATAGGACCCGTCCCAGGTTCCGTGTCCTCCCACTCCGTCAGAGCTGTTGGATCTTCGTCAAAGCGATCGCGGAGCCATCCCAGGAACCCGAAGATTGACATCACCTTTTTGGCGGCCACAGCCTTTCGATCATTGGATGTTCCCAAGGGACGAATTTCGGAAAACCATAGCATTTACCAATTTTAACAACACTGATTTTTTATATATTGAAAATTGCATCCTGCAAAATGGCCTCCTAAACCAATGGGAGATCAGGGTGAGGACCAGTGAAAACTCTGAGACTTGAAAGGTCTATAATGGTCTATATATATATAATTATATATATATAAAATCTAGTAAATGATATACCGATAGTGAGGATATGCGATACCTATGTTCCTGAGGCCTCGATTGAGTCTGCTCACTATCTGTACCAAGCATCCGTTGGGCACGCAACCAAGACCAACATGGCGCCCAAGAAGAGCGTGGAGCCTCCTGAGACGGCGAACTCTGCATCGCGATGCGAAGTTAGCATGAGAAAATACATCATAACTGGAAGAACAATAGTAATAACAATAACAATAAGAATAATGCTAACTATATTCATAATCATCATCATCATCATCATCATCATCAACCAAAGGTTAACCGTTTTTTTGTTGGTGGTTTGGAATCGGATATCCCACAATAGCAATCCCCTTGATAGATCTTTGTAAGCACCAGACCAACCAGTTGACCTTGGCAATGTTTCAGGCCAAGCCCACTTACTGTATATCCAAACATAATCATCAGAGTCTATAGTGAGGTGAAATCCAATTTCTATAGTATATGATGATTATATCCCAGCTTCTACTTTTTTTTTTGGTGAGGTGGTCTTGAGGTCATTGTCATTTGCTCAGGAACGTCTTGCAACAGTCAGATTTGCTATTTTTTGACAATGGTGCAGTGAATATACCCTATGAAACAAACCAGGGTCTGCTTCTCTATTACCAATGGCCGGGCCATTTTTGAAAACAAAAAACAATAAATAAAACTTCGAGACAACATAAGCAGCATCACTATGCACCAAACTTGCAATATATGAAAGACACTCTGATGAATGCGGATTGGAACCCCCAGTACAAAAAAAAAAGCAAACAGCCATGTGCCAGAATGATGATGAACCCCAAAAGCAAATACCATTTAGCTGAGACCATGGAAGCGACTGGCACAAAAAGTTTCCAAATCAGGAATCGATGTCGTACGGGAAAACGGTTGGACCAGAAACGTTGTTGGACTACAGGCTTCACGTTGGGAGTATGATGATTATCAAGATTAGTCCAATTATAGCTATCGAGAATGTATGATTATCAAGATTAGTAGTAAACAACTAGAATTCAGACATTCTCGATAGCTACCACCATCAACAAATGGCTCTGGCATGCTTTGACAATGGGGATGGGTAAACAAAACAAACCTGTTGTCACCGAATAAACATCTGGTTGGTGGTATACCTACCCCTCCGAAAAATATGAGTTTGTCCGTTGAGGTGATGAGATTCCCAATATATGGAAAGTCATAATCCAGTCATGTTCCAAACCACCAACCAAATATGGTCAAAAAATCATCAACAAGTCTAGGAATCTAGGATTCCTACCATTAACATCCATTAAACAAACGATTAAACATTCATTAACATCCATATAACAAAGAATTTTGGAGTACCGTACCGACCAAGGTAGTACCCGGTAGGGACTTGATCCAACCGCAGCCCTTAAAAAGATCGCCTTTATGCCAGTCAAAGACGGAGTAGATGGGGCACTCCTCGGGATCCGGACAGATGTTTGGTGGATTCCCTGAAATCATAGGGGGGAAAGGAAGGGAACTGATGGGAAAATTATGGGAAAATCATGGGAAAATGATGGGAAAATCATGGGACAATGCAGAAACACCAAAAAAAATCAAACACATCTGATTCTCACGGCACGTGTACTTGCATGTATTTGCTGTCAGAGGTCCACAGGTTAAGTCAAGAGCTAAGTCTAGCCGAACTGTGCCAGGTAATCATCCCAAGTTCCCAAGGTTTCGTTCCTAAAATCGTCGACATTTAAGGATGATTTGGGGCTAATTGTGCCCATTATTGCCCATTTCAAGAAACCTCCATATTGGGATAGTTACCCTTAATTACCCAGTGAGGGCGTGATAATCCCTATGAATGAAAAAGACAGTAACTTCATCCCCCTCAACATTCTGGATTCCGTTCCAATAGACCCCAAATTTCTGGATAGCGACGAGACATTCCACCACTTAGGCAGGCCATGGAGTTAGTTAACTGGTTCATACCTGTGAAAAACCCATGGATTTATAAAGCACAGTTTAGCCATTCGGAGATATTTCACCCCGGCAGATCACCAGTTTAGCTCGTCAAGTCCCATGGCCATCCCATGGCCCATACATTCCGGTGTTGCAAGGTGCATCTCTGGGGTATTCCGCACCTCATGCACTGGAGATTGGTACCCTCTGGTAATTTGACAGTTTGCTATTGAAAATGGCCCATTTATAGTGGATTTACCCATTAAAAATGGTGATTTTCCATAGCTATTTGTTAGTTTACCAGAGGGTATGTCTGAAAGTGACCCCTTGGCAGTTTTCATAGGCAAAAAATATGATGAAGCACGGGATTTGGCGGGGAGCCCTGTTTGAGACAAAGCCATAAGGATACACATCTGGCAATGTCATGCTGGGGACACCATTTTTAAAGTTCCATGGTGAATCTGGGCATGTATCTTCTGCCAATAACATGCATAAAATATCATGAAATTCAGCATGTCCATGTTGGATATCAGCCAATAACAAGGTATACCATCTGGTTATCTAACATAGCCATGGAAAACCCCCATTTTTAATAGGTAAACCATCTATAAATAGGCCATCTATACCATGGCTATGTTAGTCATAATCAGAGGGTAAGTGCAGCTAACTCTCAGATTTTACCCTGGGATGGCCATTTTGAGCTACAGCAAGGATGGTCAACAAAAAGCGGTGCTAGGATGGACCTACTTTTCGGGACTGTTAAGTCTGGACGGAATTACAGGCAGCAGATGGCAGCAGGCCTCAAGAACGAACATGGACATGAAATCCAAATAGCCAATGGAATCCATTAAGGATTCCATGTGTGTTCCATCATGGAATCCAGTGATTCACTCAGGTCACCCAGGAAGTGCTGATTGATTGTATCACCTCACTCGTGTAGTGGGTTATCATGGATGATTCGCCACTGATTAACACATTATATATATATATATATAACTAACTCTATGATCAATCTGAGTGAGAAAGAAATAGCCCTCCAAACATGGCAGTACCTGAGAAATTCCTACCCATCACCATGTAAACTGAGTCTGGATCAAGCTTGCCGCAGAAATTGGATGACCAAGGCCCATGCTGCGCTGCCCCATTAGCCGATGTCCACCGTAGCATATAGGTTACCCTCTGGTAAATAAACATAGACCCTGGCAGATAGGGTTTGGAAGACTAGTTTCCATTAAAAATTGGTGATTTTCAGGGTCTATGTTTATTTACCAGAGGGTAATGACCCACAATGTTGGGCGTGCCTCAAATTCGAGGTATCCAAAGACCACCGGTTTCCCCACAAAAATGGCATGTTTGGATAAGTTTCACGTCCCCCAGGTAGAGAACCTCCAACTTTTGCACCGAGTCGCAGCCATCAAGGGTTCCAATGCGCATGGTGTACTGCAGGTAGGTCCAAATGTTGTACAAGACCTGTGTGAGAGAATGTTCTGACGGAATTGAACACCCCTAATACCGTTGAATGAATCTGAAAGCAATTTCATGATCGATATGTTCGAAAGGGAAAATGCAAATGCTGATTGAAAGTCTCAATATGCTGATCATAGAAGCAACATACCCTCTGGTCGGGAAATGTATGCCTTTGCTGAATCACAGCCCATTAAGTACAGTTGTCCCAAACCCTCTTCAACGCAACGGCTTTTGTTTCGCTAACATTGGCAATATCATTTCATGTTGGACAAGGTCCAACCTAACATTCAAAAACAAACAAACAAACAAACAAACAAACAAACAGCAATGTTTGGACTAGAAACTACACATGACTTGACATACCAACCTGCAATCATCTGCAAAGTGTTCAAGGTGGTGCTCCCCCTCTCTTTGATCGCCAACTCAGCCCTCATTATACAATTTTAGACGTGTATCAATAAGTATGCACATGTCATATAATATGTGTATATATAATATATATATATATATAGTTCACTTACACATATATCATCATATATCTATATATAATTATAATTATATATATATATATGTGTGTGTGCGTTATATACAGTATATACAAAAAAACATAAATCCCAGTTCTTAGACTTATCAACCAACTTGGCCGCCAAGTCACCCCCGCCACCATGAGCCAACCCCAGTGGGTCACGCGGAAAGGTATCCTCCTCGGGCGTTGGTCACGGCTCGTCTGAGGGGTGGACGGAAACTGATCTGCAGATGTGCAAAACCCATCAAAAGCCATGGGTTTCAGATGGAAAAATCATGGGTTTCCCGTAAAAAAGAACTGATCTGCAGTTTCTGGTGGGCTGTAACGTTTACAGGAGGAGGGTAGGGTCTGGCTCGAATTGGCTTTGTCACCTATATAGTACCTGGATGTAACTGGGATGAAGCATCAAATCACCAACGATGATGGGGACAATACGTGTACCATCAAACATCACTGGGCTAGTTGGAGAAAACGGCTGTCAACTATATCACCAACGTTTACTGTACATTTGTTACCATAGTTATCCATAGTTACTAGTTGCACCAGCTAATAAAACTATTAAATACAATTTAAATACTGCTAATATGTTAGCAGAATGATTCCATTGGCCGTAAGGGGATACCAAGGCACCAACTCCTTGGGTGTCTCAACTGGCCAAACTGACTGGTAGACAAAAAAGAACACCTCGACCGGAAAATACAACAAGTACATGCTACACATGTCGTGCAGCACCGTCTGCAACAACAGGTTTGGGAACTACTGAGTATTTGAACAAGAATCTCGGTGATTCCTTCCTCATCATATATCATATAAGGTCCGGTTATTAATTAATAATAAGGCACCTCCCGTTTACGCAATCAGAAGCCATTTCGCACGGTATTTCAAACCCATTATCATCCCGCACATCTCATAGCCCATCTCATGGCGGAGATAAGCATCGAGAAGAGAAACGTGATCAACATCCCCAGGCTTTGAAAGCCGTGCACGTACAAGTTGTCGTAGGTGGTTTTGTATCCTGTGGGCTGGAAATGTCTCATGCTATTCCATAAAAGAAGAGCTGAAACTACCAAAAAACTGTGTGACTCGGGAATGGCTGCATTTGCCTTGTTCATATTTGATTTTCGTTGGAAGTTTGGTGACGGTTGAACCCAAAATGTGTGCCTTTTTTTTTGGTCAGGGCTACTTGGCGACTTTCTTCACGAATCCCAGCTGCCCAGCCCCACTTTTTGGCCCAACCTGGTCGGAGGCTCCAGATTGGCACCTCCAAGGACCAGTACATGAAGACCACCATGAAGGACAACCTGATCGAATTCATGTGGGAAACCCAATGGTAAATGATGGGTTGAATAATGGTTAATAATGGTTAATAATGGTTTGAAACTTGAAACCATCATTGGGTTTTTGTCAAAATCTGAACATCGGAAAGCATATCATATGGTTTTTACCAATAGATGGGGGTGTCCTGTAAAATGTCACCAAAAAAAACAATCCAATAAAAACCGTGGTGTTTTGACATCGGTTTTACCATGAAAATCCCATGGATTTGATGTTTCGGGAGGCTTTTGGGATCACCAAATGTTTTTTCGTCATCTCTGCGCAAGTGGCTTAAGTGGCTTACAGGGGAACAAAAAAAAGGGTTGACCTGTTGACCTGTTAAATGGATCTAAATGGTGGCTGCAGAGTTTCAGGTGGTTTCCTAAAATACATATAGATAATACATAGATAATACGGGTTTGGCATACCAAAATTGTCACCATGTACCAATTGTTTGCTCAAGGGGGTGTTGCTGCTAAATTTTATGGCCCCTAGGAAAGCTGAGGATGTAACAAACAACAACTTGCATGTAAAGCAGCAACAACAACTATTGTTTCGACCAACAATAATATGGCTCGAATGGGAAAACAACAACTTTAGTAAAAATGGACTTGATAAGCAGTACAACAGAAATTTGACAAGGATACAAAGCACCAAATATGGGGAATTGAACACAATGACAATGATATCCTCATTGACGGAAAACTACAAGGATCAATGATGATCAAATGATCTCCTCACATCTCCTCACCTAAAACACATGGAGTACCTCCCCACAGAAGCGTCGCTCTTAGCCTTGCCAACCTTTGCCCTCGATCGAAAGTGATCCGGCCAAAATCGCTTGATTTAAGGGAAAAGCCCAGAGGAAACACGGAAAATCTGTAGCCATTTAGCCTCCTCCAATCCTAGGACCCACCGGCAGTCACTGGCTTTTCCACGTCTCCACCGGTTGTCTCTACCCGTTGTCTCCACCGGGTCACGGCAGCTGCAGGCAGAAGAGCACCAGCGCGATGCAGACCGTCACCGGTGCAGAAGCGCTGTCGCTGCGGTGCTTCAAATCGCTGATGGCTGCGCGAAGCTCCACCTGGGGCGGAAGGGCTATGGGTAGTTGACTGGTGATTGCCATATAGTTTATAACCTATGACATATCCCATTTATCATATCATATATATATATTATATGTAATATACAATAGTTATATCATTATATCGGGTGAACTATGGATGCGTGTACCAGTTTGGAATCGCCCAGTTGGTTCAGAGAAGTTGGTGAACTAAAGGTTTATGGTACAGTAGGCACGGCTTCTAGAATCCGTGGCGGCTGGAAGGTGGGTACTTGATATCTGGATAGGCCTAGTCTGGAGCCATTTTTAACAGGCTGACTGTCAGGTCTATGGGCCTCAAAATCTGCTGAAAAATTGTGATATCTACCAGTGCTGTAGGGTTAGATGTTAGGAACGCCAATAGATAGTATTGATTGGATTCTAATGCAACTGAATCCCATTTAAAACTGGGCACCTCAAAGTAGATATACCCAAAAGCCGAGCCCGAAAATATATTGAACACATGCAATAAGAAGATCAAATTAGTCTCCAAAATATTATATATGTTCTTTTTTGGCATATCTGTGCGATCCGTCTATATATATATATATATACGTAGGAATAAAGTTGTTTTCAAATGATAAAAAAAATTGCGATTTGTTTGGAAAAAAAACACATCACAAACCACAAACCTGAAAAAATCAGCCATTTGGGGTTGATTCACCTGGAAACATAGCATCATCCAAGCACAAGATACCTGCAACGTGGTTCCCCCATATTAATCATTGTTAGAATCACCATAAACCTTCATAAACCATCATAGAAACGCTAGTTTAACCCATAGTTCACCTAGTTCCACTATAAACCAGCTTAGCTACCTACCATTACCCTCTGGTAAACTAACATAACTATGGAAAACCAGAATTTTTAGTGTGTAAATCAACGAATTGAATTAATCACCATTTTCCATAGCAAACTATTGGTTCAGTCACTGTGATTATAGCTGTGATTTATAGTTTTACCCATTAAAAATGGTGGATTTTCAACTTACTCGGAGGGTACCTCTACAAAAACACGGTTATTTTCACCCCAGCGAGCTCACCACGGCACCGCCGAGGCAGCTGCGCCGCCCAGCGTGGCTTGCAGCGTCTCCGCGGCATTTTGGCGACGCTGGAGCCGCCGGAAACTCAGAAAGGTGGCCGCCACCAGGAAGACGCTGCAGAGAACCTGCCAGATTTTGGGATTTTCCCCATAGATAATAGAATGGAATCATAATGATCATATAAACCCATAGAAAATTTTTGGATGATTTTTTAGCCCTCAAAAATCCCATGAATCATATAATGATCATATAATGATCATGAAAATCCCATTTTATGGAGGATCATAATCCCATTTTTGGATCATTTTTTAGCCCTAAAAAATCCCATGGAGGATCATATAATGATATATAATGATCATCAAAATCCAGAAAGCAAATATAGAAAAAATGAAGCTCTCGATTTTTGGATGAGTTTTGTAAGCCTCACAAATCCCATCGTGAATCATTGAATTCTCGGACCAGAATGCAGGCTACCCGGCGTTCCGTAGCCGTCTGAAAAGCATGTGAAAAATCATTGGAATTTAATGACCAAGAACACATGATATGGTTAATTTATATATCAAACATGGCTAGCTCAGAAATCCCCAATCATCTATATAGACTGTTGATTGCTGGAAGGTAGGGAAGAGGAAGTTAGGATTGACGAAAATTAGAGAGTCATACATCCATCTTTAATAAATTTAGGGAATTTCACTATATAGCCAGCATGGTTTTAAGACATGTTATACAATGTGATTCTCTATTCGTACTGATATGCAGTCTTCAACCTGGCGGACTCGATAAGAATCATGTGCTTCCGCTGGGAAGAAGAACTTTTCAAAATCAATCTCGGATTACTTACTCTTGATCATTGTTTAAGCACATTGTGGGTGTACCATTCCATATTATTCAATATGGCATTGTTACCCTCTGGTAATTTAACATAGCTATTGAAAATGACCATTTATAGTGGATTTTCCCATTAAAAATGGTGATTTTCCATAGTTATGTTAGTTTACCAGAGGGTATCACATTGGGGTATTTCCTCAGGGTGCCCCCTTTGTAATCCAGGCCATTCGAAATATCCAAACATCACCACGGATACACCTGGAAAAAGAGCGAGATGTGCGTCAAGTACATGAAATAGAAGCCGCCTCAGCTGAACATTTTTTGCATCAAAAAAAACAACCAAAAAAAGGATGAAAAAGGACAAGGATAAACACGAACATGCAACCTGCGGCCTCAACTACACAGTTCAAAGAGACATAAAGAGACAAAATTAAAGCCGTCACACCGGGAAAAAATCAGGTTTCAGCCCTCCTCAAGAAGTAGTGTGATTTATAGTTGGTACCTGCACCTTCAGTATAAATCGGTTAAGGCGCGGCTAGCAACCAAACCTGGAATCTTGAAAATTCTTCAGCCCGCAACTTGTGGAAAGTAGCTGTGAAAACTGGTCCAGCCCAAGAAAAGGCTTTGGGTTTCCAATGGCTGATGAATGGCGATCCCTGCATAAACAAAGTAGACTTTAATGGGATAGATAGCTCCCATGTACAATACAACTAAAACATGCCAAAGAATGCACGCACACACACACACCTATCTATCTATCTATCTATCTGTCTATTCTAATCTAATCTAATTTAATCCAATCTAATCTAATCTAATCTATCCATCTATATCGCCCATATCTATATGTATTGTAAAGCTGCAATATACTAAAAGTGGGATATAATTCACATGATGATATTGATAAAACATGATAAAACCAAATACTAAATTAGCTTGTTTCCCTGATCTCCATAACTTCCACGTGGCTGTCATAGTAGGTGATCACATCATAGCAGGCATGGCCTTAGAGCGGGACAGGTTGGGCATGTGAATCCTGGAATTTTGGAATCTTCTCTCTTCAAATCATCTCTGATATCATCCCAATATGGGGATGGGTCAAAACCCTGGTACCTATGTGAACCCCAAGTCATAGCTGGGATTTATGGATGTTCATCCCACTAAAAATGTATCTATAGGTATTGATCCATACCCAATATCTCACCACAAGAAACCACCAAAGAGCCATGCATTGAATCAATCCATAAAAATCGGGGAAGCATCAGATTCACCCTGCACAATGCCGTTGGAAATATTCATGGGTGCTGAGCCATCTTTAACCACCTGAACAGTGAAAGGAAAAACACAACAAGTTGTTCAACATCCAACCTCCGATAAGTTCGGGATCTTGAAAATCTTGAAAACAACTTAGACTATGCGGCATGCCGCTGAGTCTCATTGTGAACTTTCAAGGTTGCATTGTACCACAACTTTCATTCGACTGCTTTTGACTTCTTTTTGGAGGTTAACCATGGTTAACCCACACTTTGCTGGTCTGATCGGATCCCATGAACTGTCTTCCCATCTCCACCAAATGCGTGCCGTCCCTTCATTGAATCATATCGAATCGATTTTATGCCTTTTGTATGCCTTTTGTATCACCAGGTCTTTTTCATTCTTTTTCAACATCTATAATCTATAATAAGTCCCGAAAGGATAGAAAAGTAAAACCCCAGGAAAAGAATCTAAAATATATAGCGACATAAAACGCCATCCCATCTATTTCCAAAAAGCTCTCATCCCCGTTTTCCATTCCAAAAGGTTCTCACCTCCCCTTCCATCCATGGCACCCACATAGCTAGCAGCCAGCAGGGTCCGCAACACCAGCACGCTCCAAGGACCGATGCATCTGGCCGTGGCCATGGCCTCGCTGGTTGTTTTTTCGAGCACTTAAAGGATGATCCCAATGGAATTCTAGCTCCTACCTTCTGGTAATTTGTTACATAGCTATTGAAAATGGCAATTTATAGTGAGTTTTCCCATTAAAAATGGTGATGTTCAATAGCTGTGTTAAATTACCAGAGGGTAATTTACACTTTGTCATGTGAATTTCAGAATCAAAAGATTCTGGATTTTACAATCTACATCATCTACTTCAGCGAGTTGCTTCACTCGAAAACTCTTAGTATATCGTGGCGCCACTGGCGCCACTGGAACCCGCCTCGGGCCAGGACCATTCCTCCGGGCCCTTCGGAAAACTCACACGGAGCCCCATGGCGCTCCAGGAGGTCGCGGTAGATTGGTTGGTGTATCTGTGGTTTTCCAAGGCTCAAAAGGTTGAGATTATGGTGTATTTAGTATTTATTCTTTTTGTGTAAGGTAAGGTATGTGTAAGGTTATTGTGTATGTATGTATCTTTTTGTGTAAGCGCTTTTTTATGCAAACATGGAATTATGGATCAAAATGATCAAACAGAGCCTGTTGTCAGATTTGATCCATACCAAGGTGGGTGGCTTTTCTGCAGTTCGGAGTAGGTATAGAACGTCCAACCTGACTAACCACGATATTCAAAAATAGCATGTAGAGATCAAAGGTTCCGTATGACCATTGATCTACCGCACTTAAAATGTTTGAGTCGGATTTGGCAACTGACTGTTGTTTCCCTTGTGTCCGTTGCTTGGTAACAAAAGCTGCAGAGTAAGCAGTGCTGTCAACATGCACCACCAGTGAGATAACAATCAATATTTGTTGGATACTGTTGACATGATTTATGATTTACTGGGAGAACGGGTACGAAATTCACTGGGGATTTGGGACACAACGCCCTTTCTCTTGCATAAGGTCACCCACAAGAAATACGTGATTGGTTTAGACCCTTGAATTGGACTGTGGTGCTTTGTCCCTTTTAGCACTTTGAAGGTCAAGGTACCGAAACTGGAGGTACCTAGCATGTTGTCTCAGGTGTGGATTGCCCAATCGTGAAACAACCAGTGGGAAGCTGTTTGTGCTCATGGAAATCTAAGTGTCGCAAAGACCTACAGTAGTAAGGTGTGATAGTTGTTGACAACCTCGAGGGCCTTTCTCTATGATGTTATTTTGTACAACTATGTACCTCAACAATCGGGGCCAAGATTCAAGATTTGGCCCCTATGGCAGGGCCAAGATTCACCGCCCCAGTTGATGTGACTTCAAACATCTTCAAACAGCTGATGAAATTCATCCCATGACAAATACACGCAACTTTTCCGTTGTCACCCTAATATCCCATGATCATGATATATACTTAATTTAGTCAGCAATACCATATAATATCCTGGTATTATCGTTTTAGATCATAATAACATCATCATCTCGGTTGTGTCATGATATATTATCACTGGAGAACCTTGATCATATGTTTCTCATTTTCACATGCCATCGGTCATATCATTGGATAATCCAAATTTGCAAGAACTACTCAGTTATGAACTGATTCTATGGTATAATTTTCCAATGATATAACTGAGTTGGAGTGAACAAAATTTACTCAGTTGGAGTACCTGGAAATTATACCATTAGATACCATTAGTGTCATAATGATTGCCACTCATGACACTAATGATTCAATATAATATCACTATTGAATCGTCAATGTCAGTGATAATCCGACCTGGAAAAAAATTGCCGCCTCCGTGGAGAGTTGCCTGGCATGATCGGGCCCGAGCGGATCCGATCGCGGATCGCGTTTTTCACATAAGGTGGGTCTGTTCCTGCTATAGCAGCTATGACGTGTGCCGAAAAACATGTGTCCTGTTTAATGCTAAAATGACCGGGGTTTAGATCAACCCCACATTCCACAAGGTGGTGCACCTTGTCTGTTTGCTTAGTTTCACCTACTTGCTTTTTGCAAGTTACTGAGGGGACCAGCAGTTTGCTGGGCCTGAAAAACTATGCAATCATCAACCATCAGTTATCAATCAATATTCATCATCATCTATCATTCCATCACTAAATTATACCATAACATCATTATACCATCATCTATCATCTATACCATCATCATCTATTCATCATCTATCATCCTTATACCATCATTATAGCATCATCTCCAGATGTTCTCAGCGCCTCCGGCGCCGAGCGCGGCATCGTCGGACCCGACCGCTTCGGCATCGCTGTCGGCATCGTGCGGTGAAGGCCGGGCATCAGCAGCTCGCCGTCCACGAACATGAAGCCCAGGTGATCTCGGGCGACATGGCGATGCCAGTCTTCACCGATAGAAAAACTCAACTCATGTGGGTAAATATGGTGATAAATGGATGATTCATGGTGATTATTGATCATTAATTTTGATTAAATGGCTTGGATGATTAGTGAATGATGAAAAAAAACATATAAATGATTAGTGGTGATTTTCATGCGGGTTTTTAGCAATGCCATTGTTACACCACCCATTTTTCTGAGAATCGTTACTCCAATACCACCTATAAAAATGGTGATTTTGAGCCCAGACATGGAGTAGATCATCTTGGATCATCTTAAGGATCATCTTAGATATAGATATCACAAAAAGATCTTGATCATGGTTAGTGAGCTAACTGGTGAGCATAAGTGGGTTATAACTTATAACCCATGAAATGACCGGCTTTAAGAATTTCAGTATAAAAATGTATAAATGGTTATGATGGGACACATGACCACCATCACAGGAATATGATTCGGAAGATGATTATGTCTGCAAATTCAGAGTACCCAGAAAAATGTAATGTTCATATAAAGAAGTGAAGATGATGCTTAAACACAAAATTTGCGGGTTGCCTATTTTCAAACTGCTAACAACATTGCTACATTGCTACTCAAGTTGCAAATTTGTGGTGAATGTTAGTGTTTGGCGGTTGCATTTTTTATGGAAAAGTTGAACGGTGCGCCAACCAAAAAAAAATGACTTCAAATGGGATCATCCAGGATCAACAATTTGCCAGGGAAAATGTATCAAACTGAGAACACCAAAAAATGCGCACTACTGCGCATAAGATTTCAAGGGCGTAGCCCAACAAGCAAATTGTTCATCTATGGCAAATGTCCCGCACAAATCACCCAAATGTGTAGATATGGGCCGCCGGGTATAGGCTCCAACAACGGTGGGTGTGACAAACAAAAGGCACAAGGTACTTCATGTAGTTGCAACGATGGAGCCACAGTCACAACGCGCATTTGAACAACAAACGGACTTCATTGAAGATTCTTCTTGTGGTGGGCCCAGTGAAGGGCATATTATCTGGACATGTTTTTAATTTCTGCTGATCTCAGTATAGCAGCTCACTGGGGGATCGTTAACCTAGTAGGATGAAAGCATGCCCACATTTTATGTAGCAAATCGCAAATCTAGTACATGTCCACTGGTGTGTAGGTAGGTAGCCCATTTATTGGAGTGTAGATTCGTTCCTTGTTTTTGCCGTTGATCCAAATGTTATTTCATGTTTATAAAAACCCAGGAGGAAAAAAACCGGCCGATTTCAACAAAAGGATCCTATCATTTTGTTCAGGTCAGCCCTCCCAATCCAATGAAATCACGGCCAGCTGCTGAAATTCGCGTCGCGGCAGGCGTCAATGGCACTCCGTGCGTTGGAGACCACATTCCTGAAGCTGAGCTGGAAGAAAAAAGGTGATCGTCTGATCATCGTAACCCAAAAGAATATGAATATTACCCTCTGGTAAACCAACATAGCTATTGAACATGGTCATTTATAGTTGATTTATCGATTGATTTACCTTTAAAAAATTGTGATTTTCCAGAGTTGTGTTAGTTTACCAGAGGGTAACCATCTATTCTTACAACAATCGCTATTTAGGTGGGTTGGTTGAATCCTCATTAAATGATGAAAATTAGCAGTGTCGAAAACCCATTGGAACATTCTTGTCAACGGTTGGCAAAACATTTCGGAGTCCATTGATAAATAAATGAATGTATACATATAATTTTTAATATATATATATATATGTGTGTGTTTGTATGTATATGCACAACACAAATATACATATATATATTATATTATTCAAATAGACAAATATCCCACACACACACACCATCCTATTCCCAAAAAACAATGCTATTCGATTCCAACGTTTTGCAAAAGCCAAAAACTGATGAACGTGAGATATGCTGAAGATGACACCAGAAAAAAATCTTCCGTACGTTCCCTAGGCTATATATAGTCACCCCCTACATGGATTTGGTGGATGTACCAATGGAAACATCGAAAATCACCGTCTACTTGGGCATTTCTTCACCCGAAAGATGGCATCCGATGGATCCAAGTTGATCCAAGTCTCACCCTTTGTCCCTTGGAGGCGCGCTTGCGGGCAAACTCCAGAAGAAAGTCCTGATTTTTTGGATTTGTTGGTCACGGGGGATGCAGAAAAACCATTTGAAGTGTGACCGAGGAAAAATCGTTTGAAATTGCTAAACTATTCAGAATGTGGGTTTAACTTGCAAGAATCAGGGTTTGAAACTGTTTAACTATTCCAACTTCGAATTTAACGATCAAAAACAAACAGGAATATAATCTAATATATCATAATATATATAATCAATGAACAATGGCTATGGCTTTGTTGAAAACTGACGCACAGCCAGTTCCAAAGGATTCCAAAGGTCACATTTTCTGCTGAAAAAATCACCATTCGATCCGGTCCCATTGACAGGTCCGAGTCTCCAAGACATCACAGCCCAATGGCACCCATTGAACCTGGCGCTCCAAAGGAAAGTGGGAACCTACAGTAGCCTACGGAAACACCTACTCGAACATGAAAACCTAGTGGGATTGCACAATACGTTTTTTTAAAATCATAACTTCAAGTAACCTGTTCACATTAGAAAATTCAGTTATGCAACATGGGGGAAGTAACTCTTATAGTCATTCCTCAAGTCAGACTTGGCCTCATGGTATATGAAAAACCCAAGCATTATGGCCACTAGCGGCCGGATCTCAAATGAAAAACATGTGCAGGGAACACCAACTGTTGATAAAATGTATCCAACTCTTCAGGTCTGCAGAACTGCGTTTGATCTGTCCCCAATGTTTAGCCATCGTCATTGAGTTCCTGCCCGCGGGATGCATTTTCAAACTATCCGCATCAATGATATCATATGATGGCACACCTCATTTGAAAACCCATGGCTGACCACTTTCGGGCATCTAGCGGCTAAAGTTCCGATGCATAATTTCCACACGGCTCTATATATATATAAAGATATATAGATATACTATCTATAGATATAGATATATTATGCATAGATGTACCATGTATATATATATATATGTGTGTGTGTTATACATTTCTTCCGTTTGTTGAACCTCCATCTACATATGTCACAAAACTCGTGCACCAGTGACCTGGTTAAATACATGTCTGAAGTTCTGGATGAAACACCTCGGGACAACTCACCCCAAAAACATCAACATATGGTGCATTATTATACCATTTACACATGTACATGTCACTTGTGTAGTTTCCCCAAATTCTTTGATATATCCAACTATTGAGTATAGATTTATGCATTTTCACCATATCGCAACCATGTCATAAAAAAATATCAAACACATGTCATCGAAACGATCTCAGCACCGCAATTGTTTGGGGAACAACTCAGCCAGTCCGACCAAGTTCTGCAGGGAGGCGACCCGGTCGCCTCCCAGAGAAAGGGCCGACTCGCCTGCGAAAACCATGAGATTCTGCAGGTTCTGCATGAGATTCTGTGGGTTATGGAGCTTTCATGGATTTTTATAAACAACCACTTGGAAGTGCAAATATTAGTATCTTACTGTATGTTGGTTTCACCAGTAAAAAAATAAGCTAAATGTGGTTAAATGATGTTAAATGTTTGGTTGCGTGAGCTTGATCTATCTCACCATCCAAAATGCCGGGTTTCACCAGCAAGCAACGAGGTTTGGAATGGTTAAACCATCCAAAACGGTTGTACAGTTATACATGTTTATACTCAAAAAATACATGGACCTTGTTAATGCCAACACCGGATTAATAAACCCCCCTCCAGAAGGTCAGGGTAGACCTTGTGGAGCCCCCCTTAATAATAAGCATCTTCTGAACCATAAAACTTTGGATATGGCTTACGTCAATTAGATCTTCATAGAATTCCATTGGATTTGAGAAGATTTGATTGTTAAAATCTCATGGATCAGAAAGGGGGTTGATTAATAAGGGGCAAACCCTGGTTATTATTAATGGGGGACATGGGCTCATGGGGGGTACCCTTTGGGAGCTATCGAAACTGCTGATTTTTATAAAGACTTTAATTCGAAATTGATCATTTGGGGAATAGTTTTTTTTTCAATTTTTCAATGATCAACAGTGATGGATTCTGGTGTTCATGAGGTTTCAACTTAAGTATAGAATTTGGAAACCATTTGAAAATAAAGAGAGTTGGAAAATAAAACAAAATAGGATTTCAGCACTGGTGGTTGATTAATCATGTCCGGCCAAAACGTTTTTTGGTCCTGGGGGACCACCTGTTTTTAAATTGCAAAAAAATGGGAGGAGGAGAAGGAGGTTGATTAAGAACGGGATGTTGATTAATCCTGACTTGACATAATCCTGACTTGACATTACATGGAAAGAACAAATGTTTCTTTTTTTTGTGGATATGGCTATAAAATGCCATAAATATTGCTCCCATGGGAATTTGGGAAGTGCATATCCAACCTCAAAAAACACATAGATTAACGACTGAATCGAAAAATACCCACACTTCTATAATATTCTATGCGTATCTATTTTTTTCGTTGTCATTTTGTAATCGCATTGGTAAGGATTGTCAAGCTATAGGTTTATATTTATATGTTTTTGTTTGATGGGAGAAGTCAAGCCAGGAAGTGGAGGTGGTTGTCGAGCGATCTTTTCTTCGCGGCCGCCACTTCGCGCTTCTCTGTCCGAGACCTGCCGGAGCGGCCAGATGACAGGCGACATGCCAAGGCCTTGTCAAGGGGAGAAATGCACGTGTTCATTGCAAAAAAAAAGCCGGGGAAACTGGAAATCATCGGGATCTCAACTCATTTAATCTTGCGATTGTCATTTCTTTTGTGAAGTTGAGGCCGCTAGAATTTTCCAAGAAACATTCACCCTCCTACAAACCTCCAAACACCCTGCGAAATCACTATTGCAAAGCAATCGATCTTCCTATCATTCATTAGGGTTAACTGGTTAACCATCAACAATTTGGGTTTAACCATGAGTTTAACCTATCATTCAATGGTGATCTATGGCCAAGACTAGTCGTCAACCCTCTGGGCCCCAAAATGAACAAATCTAAGAATCTAAGACTAAACCAGGGTTTAATATGGTTTAATCACATAAGTTTACAAGGTGAATTGGCTGAATCAGAATAGGTCACCAACATTCATTTTTAGGCATTTTCTTGTAGAATTCCTTCTTCTAGCCATCAATGATTGCAACGTTGTTATGAGGCGTTAGAAATCAGACCGAGAAAAAAAAAGTATATAAACAACCCCAAAATACCACACAAATCTAGAAGTAAATGAGTGGGCTAAACAATTCATCCTTTGCATGGGTTTACCATGGTTTACCATTGGCGCTACATTCGTTTCATTAGTGTACCATATCAACCGATCGAGCCAGGTTCCCCGACCCCTTTTTTCATTTTTTTTCCCCCGAGCGCTCGGCGAAAAAGTCGTGGTGTCAAACCATCAGCGTCTCAGCGTTCAACGACCTGCCGGGAAAGGGTTCCACCACGACCTGCGGACCCTGAATCTGCAGCTGCAACGACAAAATCTCTCCGGCGCCATCTTCGAAAGTAAGCCTCATCGGGCTCACGGATTCAAATGGGGTGTTGACCTAAAGCAACCTTGATATAAATCTATAATGTGAATAGCCTAAGTTAACAGCATATCAAAAAAAAACGATAGAACCCCAGCAAGAATCGGCAATAACGACTGTTTGTGGGCATTTTTTGAAGATTTAGAGGACGCAAAACCATAAACCACTCGGAAAGGAAGCTCTACCAAGCCTTTGTTAGTTGGTGCCGAGAGTTTCGCATCTTCACCTGTATGGCGCTTGTTTTGGATCATTCATTCGAAGGGTGGTCCTAGTGGTGAACAGCCTGTGACAGGTACCAAACATAGAAGAGCCATATACCATCATATGCCCAGCCCAGTGAGCATCAGTAAGGCTTGTTGCATTCCAGTGCCCCAGCTAGTGTTTAACTCATACTGTGTACCATGATGGGCTGATAGTCCTGTACCTCATCAGAACACCGCTACCGAGTGACAGGTAGTCCCCTGGTGCCCTCACCAAATCACCTTCAGCAGTGGCGAGAAGAAAGCTGTTCCTCAGGTCACAGCGATTTTTTCCATTGGCTGTTGCCTCTACTTGGGATTATTTTAAAAAACAACATTGCAATGTTCAAAACCCTCTGTCGTCCTTTGATGTTGGTTCTTGCTTCAGGATTTCTATGATTTCTCGGCTCATGAGGAATGACCATCCCTATTTATTGGATATATCTGCATTCTCGCGGTTGGCCGGTGGGCGGCGCCAGCTGCCTTGCACATCTTCGTGAAGATCTTCACGTGAAAATCCCGACATCTTCATACATCTTCGGACACCTCTGCAACTTCAATATAACCCCATATAGCCCCCTCATCAAACCCCCTACCCTCTGGTTATTTAACATAGCCATGGTATAGATGGCCCATTTATAGAGATGATTTTTCCCAGCTAGAAACCTCCATTTATGGTTGGGATTTTCCATGGCGAACTGTTAGTCATAACCAGATGGTAACTGTTTTCATCAAAGGTGTAACAGCAACTGACCTGGCCCGGTGCCGCCACTGAGGCGCTGGGAGATGGTGAAGTTCACATGGGCCTCGGATCCAGCTGCGATGTTCTTCGCACGCGCGAAGTCGAAGAGGGACTTCTGGGGATGCAACGGCAACGCCACCTGCGATCCCGGAGATGCGGTACGGGTCCATGTCTGAATTCCCTTGGGATCAGTGTACATCATTGTATATCTTCCAGTAATGTTGGGAATATAGATGAATATAGTATATATATAAAATTATATAGAACACAAATTAAATGAGATTAAAATAGATTGGCATCAAGAAACACTGGGGTGCAAAAATGTTGACCCACAGCCACGCTTGAAACCCCGCGGCACTCGCCTGCTTCGGGTGAAAATAGGCCATGACAACTGCATCGCCCATGAGTGAGCCCAGATTTCCTGGGGGGCACCATGCAGGGCAAATGGCAAGGGGATGGTTGACTGGCAGATGGTTGAATGAACCACACATACCCTCCGGTAAACGTTTTTTCTATGGAAAATCGCCATTTTTGATGGTTAAATCAACTATAAATGGCCATGTTCAATAGCTATGTTAGTTTACCAGAGGGTACCAAGATTATTGAGCCAAACAGGGATTCATAACTATGATAAATCGAAATGTGAAGAGTTTTTGGATGAATGTTAGAAAGTCTGCAGGAATACTTGTAATTCCAAGTTCATATGAATAACCCCGCCCTTAGAAGGTTAGAGTCCCACCCAATTAATATCCTCACTACCACAAAATTAGGATTTCTGAGCAGGGCGTCATCTAATAGGGGGCTGCACATGTCTATTAATAGGGAGGGACCAACCCAAAGTAGTATTGCCAAACATTTTTTGGACAGTGGGTGTTGTTTAAATTCGGGGGTGATTATTGACATGAATTTAACATTGAGTTATTACCATGATGTAAAGGGATTGTGTACTTTTGCTTTTCCTGTCCAATTATTCCGGGGAAAAAACAAATCATCCCAGATTTCCATGTATTTCCCAAACGATTTCCCATCACCTTTTCATCAATTTTCTCGGGGCATAAACGGTAAACATCGTTTTTGCTGATCTTGCCATGTAGGTTGGGCAAAACAGGCCGCTTTTGCTTCTTCAACCCCATGTGACATGGAAAAACAACGAGGTGAGGCTTATGACTATTTAGCATAATTTCCCGAGAGGTTGTTCAATGGAGCCTTTAATCAACTACAAAAAGGACATCAGGATTATAGTAAGCTCAAGAATGATTGACTCCCAACTTTGGAATGGTTGACGATTACAGGCAGTTACTTCTTTTTTTGGGGGAATGGCTAACTCCTATATACTCAAAATGACAAATTGTGTGAGTTCATTTTGTGGGTCTATTGGGAGCCATTGGTAAAACCGATGTTTGCTTGCCATTTTCAAATCTAAAAAGTTGGGAATTTGCTACATTTCAAGGATATTTGGTAAATCCATGAAAATCCAACATATCTACAGTAGATCATGTTCATTTTCCTGGGGAAACCATGGATTCCGATAGGTTCCAAGCGCGCCACGTGCGACGACCGTGAAGGTCACGTTGGATGTCACAGTACTGGAGAGCACCACGGGGCGAAGGTCAGCGTTCAACGTTGGCGTGAAGGATAGGCTGAAGCGGCTGAGGGATAAGCCGAAACCAAACCTGGCGATGGAATGATCCAAGCGATTCAACCAATGATTCCCTATAGTGATTCCCTATACCCATAGGATCCATGTATGCTATATATGGTAACATTTACCATCAATATACCCCCAATGTTAGCATATATACCATACATGGATCCTATGGGATAGTGATTCCCTATAGTGATTTAACCATATTCAGATTATTCAACCATATTCAACCATATTCAACCAATGATTCAAAGCAATGATTTCCTTTTTTGTGATTTGGCTTGGTGATGTGGAATCCCCTGATGGCCCTTATCACCCTTGGACTCTTCGTCAGCAATTCCAGTCCCCACCACCTGAGCAGTGCTTGCAATGACTGCTTCCATGATAGAGTTACAACGATTGCATCATTCGGTTGGCTTACAGGGGAGCATGTACTGTACAGAAAATGGTATCATTTACGATTAAATAATGGCTTTCCTGCAGATTTTCAATCAAATTGTCCCTTCATCTGGGTGTAGGCATATTCGAACATGTTTCAACTGTCTCACTGCATCAGCCGCACTGTACTAACCTAAATATAAGTTCACTGGGTTTCGGGTTTAGTATGTTTAGTGGTATAAATGCCCCGTTGGGCCACCAAACGAAGGGGATTTGACGATGTTTGCTTGGACATTGCAGTGATTCCCCTTTTTTATGGTTCGGTGAGACGTTTCTAGACCCCTGCCGCTAGTGGTTTGTTGAAGCAACCTACTTTGAAGATCTTTGAAGGGCAAAGTGTAAAGGATTGAAATGAGAGTAATATAGAGTAATTAATCAAGGTGGATATTTGGCAATCTGACGTGATCCATGCAAGATTCTTGCGGGGAGAGCACTAGTATACCTGGAGTGTCAGCAGCAGAACTGAACACTGAAAAAGATTGGGAAGGTAGCAAGGAAAATGGTCGGAATCCATGATGTTCAACAGAGATGGCACCATGAATTTCTCTTCAGAGTTTGGCATTACAACATGTTTACATACACGTCGCACAGCTGGAAAAAAAAACTTCTCAAGCGCAGAATAACACCCACAAAAATCGCATTTTGGACACCTTGGACACCTTGGCTCCCTATGGACCCAACTACCCACGGTTTCCCCAATTGTGTCCCTTTGGAGGATCCAGAACTTTCTATCCGCGCAACGGTACCACGGCATCCGCTCCGTAGCGATAGGTGCGCTGGTGCGTGACGTCGTGATCGATCATGGAGTTATGATTGGGCCAGTCTGATCGATACCTGGAGGGTCATCCGGATCTCCAGTTTTTCCATGTTTTTCCCCAATGATTTACCCACGATTGTGGTAGATTGTGAGATGGCAAGCATGATAACATAATATTATATAATATATATCCCTAAAGTCAATTATGGTACAACAACATACAACAACCCATTTCTATCTTTTTCCGCGTTCATATGCTTGGTCGACCGAACAGAACTGAACAGTTTCCGAAGAGTTTTTGCCAAGGCACACCGTGTAGGGCATGCGGCCCCACTTATTGGCTAGTCCGAAAATGGATTGAGCAAGCGCCGTGGCACCTCCGCTTATTCAAAAGCAGGGAGGCCATGAAGCCGGCAATCAGTTGAACAACAGTTGGATTCATGATGGATGATATTATCTAATTGGTTATATTTAATTATAGTAAGATGATGTTAATTCTGGTAAAAAAAATGTTATAATCTAATTTGATAGTGACTGGGGTGATAAGGTGAGAACCACCAAACCAGTCGTCAACATTCCGCTGCAATCAACTGCCGTCTCAGACCTTCCATCCCGGGATAAAAGGCTTCGATCACTGCCACGTTGTTCTTGTTCAGGAACTCTTCCACTGCAACCATGCCTTGGGATTTCAACATCAGCTTAACTTCCCAAAATAAATAATCTTCAATGGCGTTTAACATATTTATCCGGAGCTTAGTGTGTACTTGTGGCTGTTTTCTCCTGTTTGCATTGCTGTAGTTGATTTTCCACTCAGAGCCTTCAACTTCTTCACACTTGGACCCGGTTGGCATAACGCCGAGCAGCCGCCGTTCAGCAGGAAAACAATCGTCGGCTTTCCGAGTCCAATGATTTCAGCGGCCAATTGCTTCCTGAGCTCCGCAAGACTTGCCATGCCGTGACTTGCCACTGCTACATCCCATGTCTTGAACTGATACCTGCTACATCCTGCTACATCCTGGTACATCTACTAATCCAAAATAACATCTAATATCCATATATCATCCTATCTTCCTTGGCTTGTTGGAACCCAACCCACCATATACCATATATATATAAATATAATATATCATATATAGATTCATATTAATTATCATATAGCTATATCATCCCTCCCCTCACGGCATCCTCGTCCCTGCCCAGCGTTCCCAGCATCTGCACGTTGGGCAAATCGATGCTGTCGCGGTCGTGCGCTTCGCGCTCCAAAAAATTGTCGCTGATCTCCGGGCGCTCCGAGATGCCCAGACCCAGAACCACCACCTCCTCGGCGGATCGAGAGCTGCGGCCATGGGAACCGTGCTAGGGACCGTTAAAAGGAAACGGTTATAGATGGTGCTAGATATACTTAAGTTACTTAAGTGATGGTTATATAAGGTATATAGCGCTTATAGAATGTTATAGATGGTGATACTTAATTAAGTGATGATTCATGGGTTGTAACTTAGAAATCATTGATAGCCCGGCTATAATTGGGTTACAAGGGGATAATTCACCCAGTTATGAAGCAGTTGAAAAACCCAATGGCCCATCTAAATAGGCTCTGGACCTTAAAGAAAGGGCATTTTCCAAAGGACTTAGTGAGTGCTTCAGTGATGATGATGATCTTGCTGATGATGTTTTAATGATAAAAGGCCCAGGGTACCAAATCGAACTTCATAAAGGGGCCTTGCATCAAGCACGATCAAGTACGCACCCAAATACGACCCTACATGGAACAGTGGTTGTGTACCGTCATGTTCGGGCCCCGGGCCCCTGTAATGGTCAAATATCACGCAACTTGCTATGTGTTGAGCTTCAAACTTAGAAACATCTCAGGTTCATGGTGTGTTCAGCTTGTTTTCCAACCAAAAATCTTCCATCTCCCAACGTATGCGCAAGGTTTTTTCCACATTGTCCACATTTCTTCTTTCTGCCACCTTTTCCCGTGGAGCTTCCAATGGTTTTCCCGTTCTCCCCGGGCACATGTTTCCATCATTTTCCATGACATCCCTGGGCAGAATAAACGTCACCGGGCATCGGAGGCCTTGGCTGCGGAAATTGCCTGCTGCAGACCACCAGGAATGGCTTCCGACAAGTTGCAGCCCTTGACCTGTGAAGCGCTGCAAAGAGGAAAAGTGCCATGATGTTGTTGAGATTTGTTGGTTTTAATATGTCGTAACTGATTTCTGCTTTTGATGTCTATACTATACATTTATATATTTGATTTATATTCGTATTTCTGAATCATTTCTGGAAACCTTGACAGGAGTCAGTTTCATTTCATCATTTCATGATTTCACTTTTTTTGCTGGCCACCAGTGGCAACCAACTTGGACGTAAGTTTCAACCGGTCCCAGTGGCATAGACAGTGCTGCCATTTTTGGCAGCGTTCAGCGATTGAATGGCTGCATAAGGCGTCTTCACACACCTCAGCTTGCAGCAAACTTCGACTTAGTCCTCCCTATGGTTTTTCTTTTTCAACTATAAGACATGTCACTGACTGCACATGATTTCTTCCATCATTCATACTCACACCGAATATTTCACCGGCCACGGTTTCACCATGTTTCACCAGCATCAGCAGCCAAAAAACGCTCGACTCATCACTTAAAGTCGTCACTTTTTTTTTACGCCAACATCATTTATTGATGAATAATATGAATAAGGCCAGCAAGCCATACCTTAAGTCATACCTGGCATACCACACCCAGTCATCATACCAAATCATCACCCATCAAATCACCTTTTTTTTAACGCCAGCAAATCCACCTTAAATCCACCCAGCAAGTCATATTAATCCCAGTCATACCTTACATATATCATTGATATTCCACTAACCATTAGTATACCATTAACCATTAGTATAGCATTAGTATAAGCCATATGAAAAACCCAGTCATACCATATTCAAGTCATATCTTGTGGGCCATATCCAAGACATACCTTAAGTCATACCTTAAGTCATACCATTTGTATACCATTAGTATAAGCCAATGGAAGGATGACATCCCATATAATTATGAAATGGAACATCAATGGAAAATAACACATCTTTGTTTGAAACCACCACCACCACCCAGTTGGCGCCAGCCATAATCCCTTCCTCCTAATACTAAACGTCCCCCTAATACTAAAAACAGGCATCCATCTCCAATTTCCGAAAATTTCAGTTTGGCCAATTTGACTTTTAATTGATCCCCTTTAAAAAACAATTTAAAAATCAACCTACCATTTGTGGGTTCTCCCCCCTAATACTAAAAACTAGTTCACCCCGGGGTGTTTAGTATTAGGGGGGCCTAGTCCCAATCCCTCACTCCAAGCTGCCTGGCTACTCTAGCAATTAGGGGTAAGCTTCGAACTGCCATTTTTGGCAATATTTTAATTGCGTTATATAAGGAAATTTAATTGATTTTGAGATCGGAAAAAATAGTTTTTAGTATTAAGGGTTTTAATTTAGTATTAGGGGTAAGCTTCGAACTGCCATTTTTGGCAATATTTTAATTGCGTTATATAAGGAAATTTAATTAATTAATTAACATGACTTCGATTTGGTTCCCTAATAATAAATACCCCCCTAATACTAAAAACTACCTGCCGTGTTTTGTATTAGGGGGGGGGGTTTAGTATTAGGAGGAAGGGATTATCTATCTGAAGCCGCCATCTCCAAGGCTTCCAAGGCGCCAAAAGTTCTCGTCATCCCCGGTGTCCCCAGGGCACACTCGGCCGGTGTCCACTTGGATGAGATCCATCGAGGCGGCCGCGTGGGGCCCAAGCAGCGCCAGCCGCTGACCGCCTGACTCACGCGGCGGTAGCTGGGAACGGTGAAGAAAAACCATGGGAAAAACCATGGAAAAACACATGGAAAGTGGAAAAAACCATGGAAAAACATGGAAAGTAGTGGATGTATTGGGGATTTTATGGGATTTTGTATGATTGAGGCTTAATGGACTGTGCTGGTGATGGGATTCAAGAGTGAGTCTTAGTCGGCCTTAATCAAGGACCGATGCATCAATGCGCTTCGGACTCACTGGTTAACATCAGTTCCATATGTCCCCACGTGGTACGGTACATGCGGTATCTGGGAGAAAACTCAAACGTCAATCGTTTAAAACTTAGAACAAAAACCTGGTTATATAAATAGTTTCCCGATGACTGGACATGGCTATCAATGGTGGTAAGTCCCACTTTCCGACAAACCCGTATCTTTCCTTGATACCCTCCTGTAGTCAAACATGACAATTGGAAATTCCCTGAAAAATTGAGGTTATAATCGGAATTCTCTATGAATGATGGATTTTCCATTGCCATGTTTGACTATCTTTCAGGATTCCATTGATAATGAATTTCTATGGGTAGATCATGGATTTTGCAAGTTGCAAATATCATCTTATGGATTGATTGTAGTGGAAACGATCTAATTATATGTGGATCACCCATGCCATTGATTTCGCTTCACCATCCCCCGGTGGTACCTTTCAGTGGCAAAATGCCCGGGTTGCTGAGCAAAACCAGTGAGGCTTGCGCAGCCTCCAAATTCAACTCCTGCGCCGCCAGTATACCACCAGTTATTGCTACTATGGTAGTGAGAAAATCCCTACTTTTGGGAGAAATTCACTAGCAAACCATGAAGTGTCATAAAGCTACCGGGTTGTGGTCTGTCATAATATAATTTATAAGTCACACATTCAACTGTAACTCATTATAGCCCATTGAAGTATGGATATACATGTACAGATTATATATATAGTTTGTGAAGGCCATGAAGTATCTGTGTAGTGGTGGTGTTATAGTGTAAGCTATAGTTACAGCTTGTTATCAACCGGATTTTTTTTTTTAACGTAGTAACTTAGTAGTTAACCCATCTAAGTCCATCTAAGTGGGAACATATCATGAAAATCATCATGTGGTGTGACAATTCCAGTGGAATGATCTTCATTCAATTTGTGCCGCCTGAGGTTCGGTGCTTTATGTGGTGACTGGTGCCCCTTTCGGGGCAGCGAAATCATGTCGAAATCAAGTTCGGACACCGTGACAGCTCTACCAGGACTCAATATCCCAATAAACATCCCTAATGCTTGATTGTTGATTGTAGGTGTTTGCTGCTTCAGGGGCTTCAATTAAAAAAAAAAACGATCCTTCCAAAACTTACGACTGAAGATATAGCATAAGATGGGGTTAAATTAAGGTAGTGAACAATGCCATCAACATGCTCAACCAACGCATGGTTGGATCATCCGCATCCTTCGCATTGTCAGTTCCAATGTCACCTGCCCAAGCACCCATCAAGGTGGAAGTTGGAATACACCAAACTGGGAGAAACCTCGTGCTGATCATTGGGTTGATGTAAGAACGCAACATCATAAGTCTTCAGGCTTGATGCCCTCTGGTAATTTAACATAGCTATTGAAAATGACCATTTACAGTGGAATTTCCCATTAAACATGGTGATTTTACATAGTTATGTTAGTTTACCAGAGGGTACATCAAAAAGAATGATGCGACAAGCCATGTTCTCCTGCAGCTCTGCCCCGTTTTCATCCGCCCTTTTTGGCCATGCCTAGGACCCTGCAGAAAGGAGGCAATCAACAATAAAACCATGGGGCAATAGTGGAACAAATAGCCGCAGGTGCCTGGACAAACACCATCAAACACCTCTCACGAAACCACCCTTGCACCTGCGCCCAGTTTCCAGTAGGGTTGGTCAGCCGTGGGATCAAACAGTCCCAGTTCAAATCGCACCCGCAAGGTGTTGAACAAAGCTCGGTCCACATCCTGCATCGGCAATGCCATGGGGCAGTGCCATGGGTCAAGATTGGGAAGAACGAAATCCATGGGTCAAGAACGAAATGACGTGAAACCCAGTTGATGTTCACCCCCAAGGCAGTTCAAAGGATCAATATAACAATTGATGCGACGGCTTGCCGTCTATCCGCCCACTGAGCACTCTCCTGCATGGAACAATGGCCTTCCTGGACACCTTGCAGGAGATTGTCATAGTAGGTGTTTCCACTGTCAATATCCTCAGTTCTTCATGGCTCCAACAGTAACAACCTCCCGGTTGCAAAGGTAATATCAACTGCACATCCTTCGACAATTGGCGTAAAAAAGAATTGAAAGACAATATCTCGGTGATGATTTTACATACTTACATAGTTAAAATTACAACATGATCTAGGTATGAACTGTAGACAATCTATATTGATTGCGTATGCTATTATAGTCCACGATCATCATCCCCTTTTATTATTTGATGATAACCTCCCAAAAATATGATGACACCCCTGATTTCTGGATCCAAAAAAACATTCCCAAAATTTCACCAGCCAAGTGTCACACTGCCCGTTCTTCACAGCTAAACAGCTGGCTTCTGCCTTGGGATTGAACATGATTGAACTAAGTCTAAGTCTAACCCCCTGCCTAGAAAAAAACGCCTGATGCCCAAATGAAATCCATCCGCGTAACAAAGTTAGTAAATTTTGTGCATAACTGGGTCGTAACCCGAATCTGCGATGTAGACATGGAAAAGGTTCAGAAATATAAGAAATATCCGTCCACGAACTTTAGGAATCGTACCAGCATACGTGCATGTAAACCTTCAATTCAAATTTATTCATATTCATAAACACCTCTTTGGTCAAATAGGCCATCCGACAATCATCTGCTGGGTTTGTTTTTTCACCTGCCAGGTGGCTAGCAATACTTCAGTGCCAGACAGTGGGATTCTTTTCACAATAAATATGCGCTTATGTCGATGAAACAATTATTCAAATATAGTTTTTGCTTTATTCTTTTTATATGTGTTATTATTTTGAGGGTTTCTGAGTATTAAAGTGGCCCAAGTACTAGTTACCTCCAGGTGGATTATAGTCCTGTTCACTTTTAATGGATAGACGAAAACATACATATAAAAAAATGTCTAATTCATGGAGGAACCACAAAAATAAGAACTCCACATTATTGGTAATTTGTTGTTGGATGATACGCCTTGATTATCACTGATTCTGGGGATGATGTATAACAATCGTAACTATAACAATAACTAGGGATTAATTATGTGTATTTATGTGTTTGCACATCCCACATTGCCCTTGTTTATGCCTTGTTTATTGTTTATGTTCAAATGACACCCTGTGAAGCTGCAAATGTAGCTAATGACTATAAACTAATTGTGTGAAGAATTGGAATCACATGCCATACTTCGTACTCAGTTGTCAAACTTCGGATTGAAGTATCGACAGAATATGAATGATAAAGCAAACCTATTTTCATCCATGTCAAATATTGCAGCAGAGTTCTCCTGTAGACAATACCAAACTCAACAATGCTGAAGTCCACACATTGTTAAACCAATATGGGGATATTAATGTAACAACGGGCTAAGAAAAATGACATGATAATCATGTAACAATAATGATGATATAAATTTAAATGGAAAATAATTATTTATAATATGTTATAATTGGTACATATTGTCACTGGCTATCATTCATCACCCAAAAAACATCACAAATCCCAACGCTCCCGCGTCCCGCCCGTCCCGCCCGAGGGGCCGGCGTCTGCACGTAGCGATGCCGTCGCCAAGCGTCGCTGACCGCGTCGCTGTCGCTGGTCACGTAGCCCGTGAAGTTCCAAGCGGTCCGGGCGGCTTTCATCAAGGGATCAAGGCAGGTGGGGATGCCATTCACCTCGGTGATTGCTTTCTGGATTTCTGGCGAAAAGTTAGGTGATGTCCATGGTTTATTTTTGGCGATATAACCAAGAAAAATGGCAAATCTTGAAGGAGAAAAAATATTGGATGGTGAGAGTTATGGGAGATATATCTGTAGTGGATAGGGTTTTATTTTGTTTGAAACTTACAACGAACGGCACAACCTCGAAGGAAAACTTTAGGGATGTTTGCCAACAATTGGGGATACAATGATGGTGGCTAATGCTGGTGAATGACTGTAACACTGACATTTTTCTGTGACACAAGCACAACCCAAAGAAGCTGGATCTCTCGGTGATTTTCTTTGTGAAACCCCGCGATTTCACGACATCTGCTGTGCTTTCACCCAGGCACGGCGTTGTAGCTGCACATTACCCCTTTGGCCTTGCCTTCTCTGATGGGTGCCTTGAAAGCGGGCCAATAATAGTCCTGGACGGCACGAATCGGCTGTTAGAGTGCGTGGCTTTTGTTAGACAAAAATCAAACATAAACATCCAAAATATTCGAAAATAGTATGAGGATTATAATGGATTGTTATAGGTATATAGGTAAAAAAAAATGATAGTAACAAAACATGTCGACATATCTTCAAGACATGTTGTGACACACGCTCTGAACATGTATTTTCTTTCCAATATTGCACCTAATTCATACTTGAATGAACATGCCTACAGATAATTCCCATTATTTTGTATAAATATAGTTTAATATTATAAATTGTTTCCAGCATGCTATAAAAAGTTTCCACGATGTTATTTTTTTTCAAGAATCTACACCCCCTCTAATAAGACATGCCATTTAAGGAGGCCATGCCCCCCACTAATGTAAACGTCTAGTCTAGTACTACATACCAACCAACATACACATTTCACTTCGTTCTATATGCATACAGTTGATACATACATGTAATGTAAAGACAGCAAATTAGAGCGCATCTAACTTTAAAAAATAATAGTCACTTTTCTATACTGTTCTACCTTTTCTTTGTCTTCCCATCACCCAACAAAATACCCATTGAAAATCAAGCGTGGCTTGGACAAATCCTTCATGTCGATGATTTTCCCAAGTCTAGCCTTAATTTAGTTCAGGCATTTTCCATTGTCACCTTATTGGTGCTGCCACCGGAAACATCACTACCCCATAATCTCCGAAATTCCACCAGTCGTTTGACCAAATCTCTACGGTTACCCTCTGGTAAACATACAAAAATCTATGAAAAATCACCATGCTATCAATGGGTAAATCCACTATTTAACTATGGCCATTTTCCAGTTCGCAAACTGTTCACATAACCAGAGGGTATTCTCTGGTAATTTAACATAGCTATTGAAAATGGCCCAATTATAGTTGATTTACCTATTAAAAATGGTGATTTTCCATAGTTTTTTGTACGTTTACCAGAGGGTAAACCATCGTGAACAGATCCCACCGGGGCCGTGCAGCGGTCCGCCAAGAGATACTTCGAAATCGTGGCGCTGAAGTCGTGTCGATCGTAGCCCTGGTCCGCCTCAGCGCCGCCCTCCAGGGAGTTGGCGTCGAAGTGTTTCAGGGTCACCGCCACCTGCGGAACCACCCGGGGACCGGAAGATGAGGAGTTCATTGTGGTGATACACCCTGGTAAATTAACTTGTTGACCCTGAAAATCACCCATTTTTAATGGAAACTAGTCTTCCAACCCCGACAACTGCCAGGGTCTATGTTAATTTACCAGAGGGTATATTTTACCAATGCTGGAAGAACGGTTGAATTATATTGAAGTTAACAGAATATGATGATATATAGTAACAATATATTACTCAGTCTGTTAAGGACAAAATGGATAAGTCAGTAAAATCATCCGATGTTAATCAATTGCTTATTGATTAAAATAAATTCAAACACCTACAGTAGAGGTAATTTCACTGTAAGCTACTTTCTTTTTAAAGTTATGACAAGGTTTCATGATCAATCAAGAGGGGGTTCTACAAGAATGGGACCCTTGAAAAATATAACCATCAACATCTCTCAATAACATACAGTATGATACATACAACTAAATATATATTATATGATCATATATATTTATATAATCATATATATATATAATCATATATATATATGGTGTTTTCCTAAAATAGGGGTACCCCCAAATCATCCATTTTAGTCGGAATTTCCATTATAACCAGTTCTAAACCATCCAGCTATTGGGGTAGCCCAATTTTAGGAAACCTCCCACGGTCGTCGAATCCACGAGATTCAAGGGATTGAATTACCATGGGATTTGCCAACAGCATTTGGTTGGTTTTTTCTCCATGTATACCCTCTGGTAAACGTTTACATAGCAATGGAAAATCACCATTTTCAATGGGAAAATCCACTATTTCAATAGCAATTTTCAATAGCAAACTGTTAACATAACCAAAGGGTACTGGATGTATTGCTGGCAACTCCCAGCCTCACCAAATCATCAGCCCCTGAAGATCCGTTGAAATATGTTCAAATCATCTGGCGCATGTCTGAGGTAACAATCCATAAATAAGGGGTAACAAATAATGCCAGGGTTCCACATGTTTCACATCTTCAGCGGTGAATTGCGGTGATCTGGTGAAAAATCTCTCAAGTTTCCAGTTCAGAGAACCTATTGCTGGAGGCAAACACACAAAAAGACAATGCCATAAACCAGCCATTTGGGGTTTATACCACCTATAAAAATGGTGATGATTGGGGGATGGTATATTCTAGTTTTACTCGCATTAAACATATTGGCATTTATTGGCTATATCACACAGATTTCACATGGACCAAATGGTCACAGTCCCACAGCCCTGGGAAATCCAACATTTCTAAAATGGCGAATTGTCCATGGCCATGTTTGATTACCAGAGGGCAATGGAAACTACATAATATTGACTCATACCGCATACCCCGTCATGATGCATAATCCTTCAACCTTCTTCCATCCTTCGTCCAGGAAGGAAAGTCACCAAACATCCACTTTACGCCCGATCCTTGTTGATGGTTACATAAACCTCCATTGCTACTTAAATCACTTAAACCCTTTATGATTTCCAGGTTTCACCTGCGTTACCCATAATTTGGGGGGATGAAGCAATAGATCCCCAAGAGATGTCCCCTTTTTTCCTGGATGAACCAATGGAAAAATAATGAACAAATCCATGACAAACATGAAAATCGCTGTCCGAAAGCTGATATTGATCCATAGATATCAACAGCAATTTCGCCATTTCCATAGCCTTCTCCACATCATTTCCCAGTGATGTACCATAGATATGCATAGATACCCATACCCATCATTTCCCATTGATGGACCTGTATGAAGCGTTTATCCTCTCCTTCCTGCAATCCTTTGGTCCACGCCAAACCCAGCTGACCCATCAAGAAGGGGTCCTGCAAGGCGGAACAAGGCAGAACTGGGCGCTGCACCCTGAGCCCCAGGGACCGCATATTTGGCCTTGATTTCATAATACATACATAGTATATTAAATGTAATATATATTATATATATATATGTTTATTTATGCTTTCACGTGTGTATATTATAAATATATGTCCAATGTATATATAATAAACACACATTATATATATATTATAATCAGACAGAAATCCTGGAAAAAGTTTGGAACATTGCTGAAATAAACTATAACTATAAGCATTGAAGCTATGCATGAGAAAAATCAGCGAAGAATCGTCTGAACTCTGAACTCCATTCTGTGCTTCGATGTCCGTAAATCCTGCAGCTTCTTTGAGGACTTTGTTGAGGATCCTCCATGATCAAACCATGATTTTTACCAATGTGGTCGTCAAAGGCCATTGCAAAGAAGTATGAAAACCACGACCCCAAAGCCCGGCCAAACAGAAGAAGGACACATACACCGCATACACCATGACACTTTGCTGTCAATGCCATAATTGTCATAATTCTTGTGCAAAACATTCTGGGCTCAATTTTAAAAGATCAGCTTACTATAGTAACTGTGGTATGTCCCATGCAAATCTACAAAGCCCAATTCATATCCAAAGAACAATCAAACTGTCCAACTAAACATGCCCTTCGGTAATCAACATGGCAATGGAAATTCTCCCAGCTAGTTCGGGTAGTTTCCCAGCTATAAATATCCATTTAGTTCGGGTATTTTCCAGCAAGCCATGTTTGGTTGCCAGAGGGTAACACCAATATAAGTTGGTTTATAGACCTGATGAACTACAGTCCTACAACTATAGTGACATACAATTATCATCAACACCCATAAACCCATATTACAACCCTAGTTACCCAAACAGGTAAACACACAATAAGATCTGGTTTTCCCCATGTTTTTTTTCGCGTCCTCAGTGCCTCCCTCACCGTGCCGCCCCCAGCGCGGATCGCGATTGATGTTGAGCACTGGGCCCCAGCAGTCCAAGCCCATACCGTTCCTTGCCCCGGCACAACCGGCCCAGGCCCCGGTCACAACCTTTGTGGGATGGTTTTCTACAGGTTTTGCTAAGTTTGCTATTCAAATTGTTTGTATTCAACAAATCATTACTGGGTTGACTTCGTGCTTGAAAGTCCCGTGGTGCGAATGTTTAAATGTTGAAGATCCTGCTAACGATGGGCACGTCTCTACCGCCAATCGGCTTTCAAATCCCCTCCAAGTTGAAAACTAGTGGGACTGGCTATATACAATCCGTCCAGAACATGGAGTGTCCATGTCGCATGAAAAACCATCTGGTAATCTCTACGCGTCCCCCAGCAGTAGACAATGTACCAACAGTCACCAACTTATAGCTTTGTGGAGATGGTCTACAACTCTGCAATCAAGTAGAAAGGTGCTCCAGTATTTCAAAAAGTGCTGGCAGGAGAAAAAAAGCAATCTGGTTAGAAGAAGGGGAAAATACCATAATCCAACAAACTTGGGAACGTAAAACTATGTCGATGTTGACTATGTAAGTATCACTAGCACATCGTCAATAACAATGAGGTTCCACCGGCAAAAGACTATAATAGCATATCTAACATACCTATTTGCATGCAATTTGATTGATGTGCAAAAGGTGATCATACTGTGTGAGCTAATCATCTATGAGTTTCGTACTTGATCCATGATTTGACTATTGGGACCTAAATATCAACAAAAAACCTTCAGGAAGTCTCTCCAAGAGTCTTGCCATTGTCCGTGAAGTTTCCCATGTTGAAAAATGCCCGGGTCTCCCTTCCAACGACCCCAGCCATGCTCCGCATGAGCTCACGATCAAAGGTGGCCGACCAGGAGGGACCGCTGGGGAAGGACGTGGAACAGCGACCAGCAGCAGTGCAATTGGCCGACATGGCGGAATGAAGGCAGTTGGAGCCCCAGTAGTACCTGAGTGCCAAAAAAAAGTGCCCCTGGTGGAAAGTTGGTGGAAGTTGGTAAAAGCAACTAATAAGCCCAATTACTTGATGACAGAGATGTGTACGATACATTAGAATATAATTATATAGTATAAATACCATGTTAGTGGCAGAGCTGGTTATATATTCATCCCCAAAGCTGCTTATTAACCCCCGGTTAACCTACTTAACCAACTTAGCTAACATTACCCTGACCTTCCAACCACAGCTCAAAGAATGGTGGTTTCCATAACCCCCTTTCTTTGTCCTTTCATGTCCTCGGTATTTTCAGACTTGGAGGGTGTTGCACTCCGCACCGATTCCATGAAAACCTGATTATTCGAATAAGGCTGTTTTTTTAGAATTTCCGTTTGCTTTATCACGATGCAAACACCAAAGAACGGATTTGTACATTCAAACGATTCCGGTGAAAATCGGGGAGGAAGATGAACATGATGATGCATGTGTAAAATACCTCATGGACACGATGCTAGCTTACAGGTCAGACAGAAACGTATGCCTTGATCGAATAGGAACAAAACCCAAAAAGGCAACAAAATGCATGCCTCATGCAAGTATAGGTAAACACATTTTCCCTCAGCAATCCATGAAGCAAATAGAGCACGGGATTGTTCTTTGTTTCTTTTATATGCTCAGTTCGAGTAGTTTTCAGGAAGTTGAGTCCCAGCAAGCAAGTCAGAACATATGACAATGACTGATGGGCAACTTGTGGAGGGCATCAGGGCGTATTTTGCTTGTTGGTAACTGATTTGATTTTCATCGGAGAACTACAATGTTGCAAGCAGCCTGCAGGTTTTTGAAGCACTTCAAGCTACTGTGAACAAAGTAAAAACACACCCACAACCCTGCAATACCCTGCAACAGGTTGGGACTTGTTTGAAGTACCAGTACATAGGATACCTGGACGAACATTAAAATATGCAATTTCATTTGTTGATCTTGCCCATTTCATGTTTTGTACACACTCCTTTGCGTCGATAGCACTTGGCTTTTTGGTCAGACATGTTTCCTGTGTTGCCCTATTTTAGCCGCAACTAGTGGATGTAATTTTAGCATATTTTAGCCGCAACTAGTGGATACTGTTTTTCATGTTATAGGGGTGTTTCTCATGGGATATTCAACATCACCGCACTGGTGGAAAGAAGCCCCGAAATATCATTACATTGCCAAAAGCAAATATGTATAAATACGGTCTGTCCAACCATTCCCACCGGCTGGTAAAATCCCAGATAGGCGGGCATTTTTTTGCTGGCATCCGTTTAGGTCAGGCAATGTTTGCTGGCAAATAAAAGGCAGTGATGATTCCACCCCAGCTGAAGGTACAAAACAACTTTAGATTTCAAAACATCCATGATGATATCAACGGATTAAAACGTAAAACTGGGTCTTGACGCTTTCAATCACTTGATGGCCAGCATCTCTCAAGCATCAACGACCAATGGCAGTTTCTTGTTAACCATCTCTAAAGTAATATGTTTTTTTGTTCAAGAAGCATGCCATGTGCGGGGGTTCAAAAAACTGCAATGTTTATCAATGCTTGCTGCAGCCACCGCACAACGGCCACTGGACTTTCAATCTGAATTCTTGGCAACTCTTGCTATGTGTTTTTCCCTGTTGTTTTATGCTCCAACTCACTGATTTCTATATTGCCTTCCTTTACTGCGTATCTATGGTAAAGTCAAAAAAAGGCCCCAACCTCCCCTGACTTGGCAAATCCAGGTTTGCCATGGCGTCAATACGTGAGGGAAACTTAATGCAAGAAAACCTAAACTGATCGATACTAAGAGGGGCAAAGCATGGTAAAGGAGAAATGAAATCAAATTGCAGCTGACAACAATCAACATCTAATTTTCAGCGACCGTCGTTCACGCCAAAAAAAGGGGGTTCACGCAAAACTACGGGGGTTCACGCTAGTTTCACGCGGGTTTCACGCGGTTTCACGCGACGGATTTTCACACACTGGTCATGGTGACAGTTTTGTTCATCTACCGAATTCTCGGGTCCGGATCGTCTTGTTTGCTTTATCTGATTTTACTACATGCTTCACTACTGAATACTCGTGTTTGTGCAAATGCTCATTAACGAAGGAAGAACCGCTCTGCTTTGAGCTGTTTTTGTCCAAAGTCGCACAGTGCAAGGGAAAACTGCATAGCCACAGTGCTTGTTACTTAGTTTCCATCAATTACTATTTATGTGCAATCGGTTTGCTATGTAATTACCCAAGACCATCCGCTACAGTGACTGTACGAACATATGAATGCAGTGTTCATCTTGATTGAATTTGACAACAAAAAGATAAGTGAAACAAACAAACAGGACTTCGTGGACTTGGGAACAAAGACAGTTCCATTAAAACCATTTAAAACCCAAATCTCGAAACTGCGAGCTTTTGAAAACACATTTTACCCTGAGCACATGAAAACAAATCTAGTTGTCCACATTGATTAGGGCCGGTTAAAAATCAAGCATGAGGATGAGGACAAAGGACCAAGGCAGGGAATGAATACATTCAAGTAGAATAGGTCCAAAAGACCTCCATGCACTAGCATCAGTCAAGCGGTTTAGTTTTATTTGTTCAATATGGAGGCGGCAAACATCTGTATGTTATTTGTATACATGTGTACGCATATCAATCATCCATTTCAACTATATTGAAGAAATAAGAACCCATTTGCGAACATTTTGATTTTCCAGGCTTTCTTCGGGCCTTATTTTGGAGGTTGCCTGATGTCGCACAGATTTTGAAACATTCAGTGCTCCACCACCACTACATTACTGTAATTATGCTGCACAAGTACATAACATGCATTACTAATTGCACCAAGAAGTTGGAGGGCAACCACATCACATAAGTGAGTCGAATAACAAACTAAAAACTAACGTATACCTTCTTTATTTCTCAATTGTTTCAAGCTTTGTCTTTGTTGTTTTGTCTTCAAGATGTCTTCCCTCAAGAACCATTGTGCGAAACACTCAGCACACTTGTACTGATGATGAATCACTGCAATTTAGAAGTCGCAAAACGAGATGCAAACCAGATACACAAACCCAGTGATAACACGCACAGATTTTGAAGGTTGGCTTGCACTTGGATCTTGACTCTCGTGTGTGAAATGACGCCAAATACATATAGTGTTCGATATTGTTTTTGTCCCAGGCAAAGGCGTGCTAAACAAAGTGCATTTTTGAATCTGTGTCAGCAGGTTGTTGGAAGCCTTCCTGAGTCTTTTGTCTACATGTCACTTCTGACAAGAACAAATTTTGCGATTTCAAGATGTAACGCAATATGGCACAAGATGATGGACGTGCTGTAAAATGTCATGAGACTTCTTTGTGTGTGACACCTACTATGCAAAAATCATAAAAATGGTTGGATCTTACAACACATGTTCTTTTGGCATTCGGCACATGTAAGGAAATCAACGTTCACTTTGAGTGAATTTATGTTTTTTTTGGGGAACGAACATGAGAGTACTTGATTTTGATGTTTGCTGACTATGCAGCCCAGGTCAACATGCAAAAAAAGGGGGTTCACGCAATTTAATGGTCGACGTTCAACCACCATTCTTTGGAGTGTCGAGGAAGCCTAGGGATTATACTCGTAGCAAATTATGCGGCTCCACCTTGTGGCAACCATGACCCAGCCACAAACCACCACAAAAAAAATGCGCCACTGTTCTACATCAGAACCTTAAAAATTCCAGTTCAGCATTCTAAACGAAAAAAAAGGCAGTCTTGCTGTCTTGCTTCCCAACATCTCTTCCCCTTCCCACCTTGCTTCCTTAAGGGTATGGGTCAATATACGTCAATATTATTCGGCAAAGCGCATGGTTTCAACAGCCAAGGCTCTTTGGGGTTTGCCACCAAATTTGTGCATTTTAATTGCACGCGCCTAAAAAAAACAACTCTTCCAGTTCAACCAAAAATTTAAACATATGTTTTACCATGGGTTTTTCCACATCTTTGCCCCCCATTCCACTTACCCTCTGGTAAATTGTTACGTAGCTATTGGAAATGGCCATAGAAAGTTCGTTGATTTACCTATTCAAAAAGGTGATTCTCATTGATTTTCCATATGTTACCAGAGGGTTTTTTCTTCAGTTCATCCCAGTTGCGATGGCACCCCGAGCTCGGGCAAGGCCTGCCTTCCTCGGTTTTTCAGGTGCCCCCGGGCCGTCAGCAGATTCGCCTTGGCCTCCACTGGGATGCGCGAAACGAGGTCGTGGACCCGGGCGTCCAAGGGCAGCGACACGTTGCAGAAGGGGAAGTGGTCGAAACCGCCACCCACCACACAGGCCGAAACGCCTACATAGAGAGGAAACCACCGGGAAATGATGTGAAAGATGGTGAAATATGGTGAAATGTGTCATATAGGTGGTGAATCCCGCGGTTCAGATGATTTAGTTGTAACAGCTATAAATAGAAAGTGGACGAATGGTGAAAAACATGGTGAACATGGTGATTTGGTCACCGGCGAAAAAAATGAAAGATTTAGCAGCTAACATGGTGGATTGATCAAACAACATAAGGTTTTGAACAACAGAGATCTGGGTATGACGAAATATGTCGAACAAACAGTGCTTAGAGGCTTAGACAGTGCCTGCAGATTGTGTAATTAATACCCTCGGCGGGGAAAATCCTACTAACATGATTTAGGGGTAGCCCCAAAAAAACTTGGGAAACCTCCAAGTCACCCCATTTATTTTTCCAGCATCCTCAAAAATATCCCCATAAAACCGCCAGTCCTGCATCATAGTACGAGGGCTGAGCACCAGCAACCGCCAGCAACGCAGAAAACCAGCGCGGGAAAGGCATCTTTTGGCGCCCAATTGGCGCACGAAAAACGCCCGGCCGAGGTCACTGGTGCTGGGCAGCTGCGGCAAAAAATCTGGTGTTTTTTAATGCACGTTATTATATATATATATGAAGTATTTAAGGTAGATAACCTATTATAGTAATATATATATATATCAATCAGAGCCATTTTTTTGAAGCCGCGAAAATTGTTCTCAGGCAATCTCTGGCCAAACGGGTCGCAACCTGCAACACTTTCAGGTCGCCATGTCTGGTCCATTTTTTGCATCAAAATCCGCTGTTTGGATAGCCATGACTTCCCATGAAATTTCATGGAATCCAATGAAAGCACCGCAGGAACCAAATTCAACATCCTCATCATATACCCTCTGGTAAACGAACATAGCTATTGAAAATGGCCATTTACAGTCGAGGGCTGAAGTCAGAGCAATTTTCTTGAATGTGGACAAACCGCTTGCGGAAAAGTCGCCACGACCGGGTCACAGCAGGGTCACAGCAATCCATCAAAACACAAGGGGATTGCCTTCATTTGAAGGATACAAAGTACCATTATAACAAACACGAGAGAGCCCACCCCTCGCACTGCAGACTACTCTTCTGCCAGCACTGCTTTGCATTACAAACAATCATTCTGCCACAATGGTTTGATTTGAGAAGGAGTACGACTGAGTGAACGAAGGAAACAATGAAAAGAGAAGAAGTAACAGTCTGTGAGAAAGAAAGAGAAGAAGATAAAAAAAGGAACAAACAAAGAACACAAATGAAAACAAGTGCTGAAAATACAACCGAACGACCCCCCGAACGACCCCCGAACGACCCCCCGAACGACCCCTGATTCATGAGTTGTCAAGCGCAGGACCCAGGGCCATCATTGACCACAACATGAAGTGCGGAACTCCCTGCGCCACCGCACCCCTTCTTCATCCCAAACCATCAAATAAAGAAAACGAACGTCCCTCCCATCCAAAAGAGGTATGTAAGAGGAATGACCAAAGGGACGTTTCCCCCATGTAAGCTAAATGTTAAATATGCTGGAACAACCTCAGCAAATAATACATAATACGAGCGCCGGGCCCAAGTCACATCATGCGGGAAAAGTCACATCATCCCCATGGCACGGCGGCGATACAGGGCAGGTAGTGGAAAGTCACATCAGGGAAGAAGAACCACCATGGCACAGCCTCTTTCATCTATAATTAGAGATTTAGTTAAAAGTAGCCGAAGCATTGCGCACAGCGATGATTTTGAAGGGCACAAGTTAATACAAATAAATTCTCGGCAGCTATTCCTATTGGATTTGAACATATTATATATATTGATGTCCTGCGTCGCGCGACCACATCAAACCCCTGTTGGTACAGCCTCAAATTTCTTGCAATGCAAATGGGTTAGCTGTAGCAAATCCTATTGGCAGGGCTATGATCTAGCATGATATAAGGATATGGAGGCCCGTTGTTTTCCGCAGCCAAATCTATGGCTGGCGCGATGTGCATCAAGGTCATGGGCAGCTCTCAGAAAGTTTGTTGTCCTATCCACCCAGGCAAGCAAGCAGCAGCAGCAGCAAGCAAGCAGCAAGCAAGCCAGCCAGCCAGCCAGCAAGCCAGCCAGCCAGCAAGCAGCAAGCAGCAGCAAGCAGCAGCAGCAGCAGCAGCAACAGCAGCAACAAACAGCAAGCAGCAGGCAAGCAGGCAAGCAGGCAAGCAGCAGCAGGCAAGCAGCAGCAAGGAAAGCAGCAGCAAGCAAGCAGCAACCAGCGTTTGCCACCTTGAATGAATGAACAAATATAAGCTTTAAAAATCAACGCGATACTAAAAATTGAACTTTTTCCAGGCGCACGGCCTCCCGATACGACTTTAAGAAACTGATGCGACTTAAACCGAGCACTTGTATGGTCATCCAAGAACCCAACGGAAATACATGGATTTGACCCACAAAAGCCTCTAAAACGATTCAACAAATCACTGCAAATCTCATAGGCACAGCCACAATCGCTACGACCCCCCTGAAAAGCTTCGCCCAATGGTATGGACTCAAAAGCAAAGAATCGCTACGACTTTGGCCCTTGACTGTATAGTGAGTTTTCCCATTAAAAATGGTGACTTCCATAGTTATGTTAGTTTACCAAAGGGTATCATCCTGGGAATCCTCTGTGCCAAAAATGCCAGCAGCTGCTTGGGATAATTTTTTGTCCAATGTGTCCGTGATGAGTAAAGGAGTGGGCGGTGATGTCCTTGGTGTTTTCATGGCCCAGTGACCATCCCATGACCATCCCAAGGACCCTTGAAAAATGCACCATTCTATAGTAAAAACTGGCCTACCAACCTCATCTCTATAGAATCGTGCCGGTTACCTATTTTATAGAGATAATTCCAAGGAGGATGTTCATAATGTGTTCAAATGTCAATTTCACTTTCATTGTATCAAACTGCATCAAATCCTCGAAATGAAGTAAATGAAATAAAATGAAATCCACAAATTGCATCACTGGTTGGTGGTTTTAACCATCTTGAAAAATGATGGAGTGCGTCAATGGAAAGGATGACATCCCATATATGAAATGGAAAATAATCCAGCCATGTTCCAAACCACCAGTCCCAGATCAATATGTCGATACGTTTCAACATGTTCTCCCATCGTACCATGTTTGTCATGTCGAAACTCACCTTCGTACCAGGTCATGGCTGCCACGGTGAGCCTGGAAACGTTGCCATGGCGAAGCCATGGCATGCCGAAGCCTGAAGCCTTAGGAATCCACTTCCAACATCCAACATGGCAATAGCCATGGTATTTAGTTGGCTAGTATCAGATCTATACAGATCTTTTTTATGATCTATATACATCTCCCTTGGGGGCAAAAAAAAAAGAGGGAATCAATCCAGGGGAAGCATTGCCAATATGGAACATCAGCCATGGATGGACAATGGCAATGCATCCCAGCGCAGCAAAAAGCAACGATGGCCGTTCTTTGTGACGTCCGGTCTGAAGCCTCTGAACCTAGAAGACACGGCCAAAAAACGGCGGGGTTTTGCGTGGCGTTTTGCGGAGTCCACATAAATTGGTTTCCCGCAATATACCCTCTAATTGGTACATATTGTATCATAATTGTATCATATTGTCACTGGCTATCATTCATCACCCAAAAAACATACCCTCTGGTTATTTAACATAGCCATGGAAAATGGACCATTTATAGATGGTTTACCTGGGTTTACCTATTAAAAATGGTGATTGTCCATGGCTATGTTAAATAACCAGAGGGTATATTTTGAGTATGAAAATGAAAGATCACAAACCATTTTTTCCGAGGGACAATCACAACTCTCATGAACATACAAACAAAATAATGAAAGTGAAACAACACCTGCAGGCTAAACCCACGCAGTCTGATCGTATCCCTTTGGACTGGTGCCAAAGACTATGAACTGCAAGCCATCTAGAAGGTTGTTGAGCCCTTTGCCGGCATAACCTTTCTATATCTAGACATTCAAACGATGTAAAAAACAACCACCCACAAGTTCGAAAATGCAACATCTCTTGGCCAGTCTCAAGAGATGCAACAGAGGCCAACGCGGTTTCCACTGGATGACCAGTCTGTTTTTTGTAATCTGTTCCCCTGTTTTTTATGCCACCCCCAAAAACACATAAAAACACATGCTTTGGTATTGCTTCGTTCCATCTTGGGGAACTTTTTCCTGGCTGCATATATCTGTATATCTTCGTTTGCAAGATGGTTCAACCGTCAAAAAAAAAACATGCTCTATTGCTGCTAAACCCCCATTTTTCATTCGAGTCATCCACAGTGACACGCCTGGTCAAATATCAGGGGACCATCTCGCCACATCCGGGGTCTGCAAGATCTGCAAGTCTCGGCACCCTCCGAGACAAATAGATCCTGGCAAATGGAGCAGCGCGCCCGAAGCTTTGCTTCAATATAATATACCCTCTGGTTATTTAACATAGCCATGGAAAATCACCATTTTTAATAGGTAAACCCAGGTAAACCATCTATAAATGGTCCATTTTCCATGGCTATGTTAAATAACCAGATGGTATATATACAGTTTAACTATGTTAAACTATCCTGACATGGGGACATGGGAGCATATGTATACAGAGAGAGAGAGAGAGTTTTAATTAATCCAATATGTTCCAATTAATATGAATACCCATGTATTGTCCTATAGGAGAGGAACATTGAACATGGAGGTATACACTCTGGAATCATGGCCATATTATGGCAATGGAATGCCCCATCTTTCATTGGGAAAATTATGGGAAAATCATTGAACTACATAGGCGATTGTCCAGCAAACCAACCATGCTGAAATGGGTATGTATCGCCAACAGCAGACTGGCCCCCAAAAATCGATAGATTCAATGTGTTCGAATACTAACGATAATATTGTAGGGGGATCTTTGATAACGTGACAATTGCAACCTGAAAACCAGCATGTGGCTAGGAAACTCTTAGTAGCTTGGCTCCCTATATTTCAATAATATATGTAATATGGCTTGATAGGGACTATGGCCTCCTAATCGGATGGACGTAATGATAAACATTGATCAACATGGAGACGAACAGTTGGATCATTTGAATATGAGGTATGTGACATGATTGCAGCATTTAGCGAATCTTTGGGTACATGTCATGTGTTACATACGGGTACATGACAGGCGACCCACAGGCTCCCACCTGACATGGTCGCCGTATGTCGCCGTCGCCATCATGACTGAGTCATGACATCACCGGAAGGCAACCTCGGCCAGGGGACTCCCCGACTGAGGCTTTCACCGACACCAACATGGCCAAAAAACGACCATTTGTCACAGCAAAGAACGACCCTTTGATAAGTAGGATTAAGTAGGCATACAACCGGTTGTACTTGGGACCAGTTGTCTCCAAGTCATCAAAAAAAGGTTGTTCTAATACTGCATCAGTGAATCATACAATTACGTGTAGGATCGTATAGTTATGGAGTGCAATTGTTTGACGCCCTTCACATGGGGCGCCAAAAACTCTGCTGTGTCCGCCCCAAAGTCATGCCAAAATAATCCATGCCATCACTGCAACACATCATCCATGTCACCTCCAAATAGGCTGCGGTTGAATCACCTATCCGATGTGGGGTTTCTCCAATGATCATGTTAGACAAATACCGGCCACTATCAATTACTGGTTACGTGGTTGAGCCCTACCCCTCTGAAAAATATGAGTTCGTCAGTTGGGATGATTATTCCATATTATTCCCAATACATGGAAAAATGTTCCAAACCATCAACCAGATTATCAATGGTGATTGCTTTGCAGTAGATTTGTAGTATCGATTCTTCGCCCAGTCAGCACTATCTCATCAGGAAAAGCTGCCATTCTTACCCATTGAATCCATTGAATAGAGATTCCAGCTCAAATGATTTAACTCTAACTTCGCATTTGACATGAATTTCTAGTTCTGATTCGAGCACTCAAAGACCCATGCAAAATAGTAGCCTGTTACCATCCAGTGCATTCCTGCTGTCCGTTGTCATGATCCATTATACCATTGCCCATTCATGTTCATAATCCTATCCATGACGGGCAAATGGTAAAATAGATCATAATAATCGAAAGATATCCATGCTTATCATCCATTCATATCCATTCGTGTTATGGTGCACCACCTGCCATTCTCATCCATTCTCCATATTGGTACAATATTCATGGATAATCGTGGTTATAGAACAGAAATCTATATACATTTATCATCCTTATCACTTATCATCCATTCATGTTATGGAGAATCACCAAGTGACTATATCCATGGATAATAATCCGTTATTATGCTATAGAAAAGAAATATCCATAGCATTATCTGGTAAACTAGGCCCTCTGGTTAACTAACATTGCTATTGAACATGGTCATTTAGTTCGTTGATTTACCCATTCAAAATGATGTTTTTCCAGTTTCTTTTGTATGTTTGCCAGAGGGTAAACCCTTATTAGTGGATGTAGATGTGGCTATATCCATGATTAATAACCCTATATCCATGATAAACATCCATTAATATGCTATAGAAGAAATATCCATAGTATTTCATCACCTGCCATTCTCCAGCCGCGGCCGTGGCTAGCAGCCAACCATCACCGCCGTCGCAGCAGCGCCATACCCTGCAGTTCCAGCTGTCGACAGCAGCGCAGCGACGCCGCGACCGCGACAGCGCCGCCTAGCTCTAGGCGACGCGACAGCGCGGCGCTGGTGATGAGATCCGGTTGCAGCTGTTGATGCGCCATCTCCTGGAGATGTGTAAAAAATGGACAAAAACATGTAAATAATAGGTAAAATCACAATTTTTTAAAGGTAAACCATCTATAAATGGGCCATCTATACCATGGCTATGTTAAATAACCAGAGGGTAGGATAAATTGGTGTAGTGTTATATTTATAACATAGATATAGATGGATGAGTGTGTGTGTGTGACTATATGTTTATCGTTGTTCCCCCGCCTCCGTCCTTTGGAGTTGGTCTAATGGGAAGAAACCGTGTTTTCTTTGCAAATCAGGGGTTGAGAAAAAAAAGTAAAAAAAAACCAGGGAAGACTAGAATCCTAGAAGAAATTGGGTACAGTATAAACAATAATTACATTGGAGGGTTTATGCCAACCATTAAAAGTATGTATTTGGGATGTTGACAAGCACAAAAAAACGGACTCAATCAATGCTGCTGCTAACAGCAGTGGGCTTGGATGTTTTTCTTATTTTTTCCCCGTGCACATACACACCATGTCGTGATCCAAAGATATATAAAAAATGAAGAATCCGAACGACTGTGACGTCACTAAGTGGATGTTAATTGGGACAAGCATCTCAAGGATGGAAGCCACATTGATCTAATGGAGATAAGCAGCTATGTTCTATACAATCGAGATGACAACGATAATCCATGACTACTTAGATGGGCTATGGAGTTAGTTGCAGTAACTGCTTGACAATTCGGTTACAACCCCCTTACAACCCAGAAAAATGCCCAGGGATCAACACCAATTATTAGCCAGCTAGGTATCACATACTACTGTCAATGTCAAATACCCTGCCCCCAAAAAATCCACTAAACTGCCTATCACCAGTTTGTATACCCAAATGTCCGCTTTGTTGCTGGTTTATGTCCGCATTGTTGTTACTTCTTTAAGCACACACACAGACGTAATCAATCGTAATCATATGTATGTATATATATGTGTGTGTACGCTTATATGTATACATATCCAAAAATGAAGGCCTTCCATGCTGCTTGCTTGCGAGGAATTGTTGGTTGTATCCGCATGAAATGTACACGATCCTGGGAAAAATCCCCTATTTCCAAGCTTCATCCAGCTGGATTTTTGCACCATCCACTTGGTTCACCCTCCATTTCGATGGTTACCCTGCGTAAAAAAACAGTCGTGGCTTGCTGGGAGGAAAAATACACCCTTTATAGATGATTTTCTCAGAAAAAGACATCCATTTCCAGGGGGGTCCTCTAGGTTGCAGTGATTTTCGATGATGTTCCCATGATTTTTCCCATGATTTTCGAAGATTTTTCCCACGATTTTCGACGCTTTTTCCCATTAAAAGCTCCATTTTTACCATGGGGATGTCCATTTCAAAGCTTCACTTCGATCTCCTGAGCCAAAGCCAGCGCCACGTCCCAGGGACATTGCTCCAGAAGTGCGTTGTAGCCTCAAGGTTGCCATATGGAGATGTGGAGATGCGGAAATATCTATAATGTGTATAACATATACCATCTGGTTATTTAACATAGCCATGGAAAATCCCTTATAAATGGAGGTTTTGATGGGAAAATCATCTATAAATGGGCTATTTTCCATGGCTATGTTAAATAACCAGAGGGTGTATATATATATATCCACATTATTTATAGAATATCATGTGTAAAAAAAATGCTGTATAAAAAACACATATTTTTTGGATTATGGGGGACGCTGGCGGTACTGATTTTATAGCTGAAATATCCAAGGGAATTAAATATCCGTATATATATTATATATATTATTATAGAATATCAGTACATTTTTATTCAGCGGCAGCCCAATTTTTTGTCACCCAATAGGGCAACGGTTTACCAGAGGATCCATCACTTAGTTGGACGAGCGGCTGATCAAATCCACCATTTCAGCTTGCTCCATCTGAAAGAACCTGGGGTTCTAAAAGGGCCATGGTGCCATGGCAGAGATGCCACAGTTTCATGGCATCAACACTTGACAAGTAACTAGTTGACTTGGTCTGTATGAAATTTGCAACAGAATCTCTAGCTTGTAGGTGCAAGAGACCAGCAGATCATCCTGCGCTTACTTCTAGGATCTTCTATGCGTATCACTAGCACAATGTTGACACTCGTATGATGACACACGCTGAATGTGACATGCTTTGAACATGTTTGAACAACGTAAGCTGAAAAAATCCAAACTCCCTTCCACATATAACCTCCTGATAAAACATGGGTCAAGAAGGATACCCATGGATATCCCATATATTCCCATGGCTCTTTTCAGACCTTCCCATGCCTCAGTTTCCGACAAAGCCAAAGCCATGCGCCACTGCTGGCCGCTTCCTAAGGCGCTCAAAACAGCATTTCCGGCCACCTGCATGCGGCCCACATGCGGCCCACAGTGCACTTGCTGGATGAAAATCTGTCAAAATCACCATGATTTTCAGTAAAAATGATCAAAGTCCAATTGTTTTGTGATGAGAATGGCATTTGTAATGAGAAAAAATATTGATCAGAAACACCATTGTTGATTTTCTCATGATCAAAGTTCAATATATGTGTCCAAATTGTGCGCTCAAATGCGCTAATTAAAAATACAATTGGTATATCACATGGTTCCTTGGGGTACCTTATTGTTGCACGGCCCCCTTTTCCTTGTTGAACACATCCCATGTTTTCCATCAGATTTCAACAATGGCTTGGCTGGCTGATGACTTCTGATCTTCTATCATCACCCATCATCACAAAAAACATATGATTCGGGCCATGAAATTGACAGTTTCACCTCTGTTTGTTGCATCACTTGCAGTTCTGTCTAGGGTGGCCACGGAATCATTTCCACAGTTCCAAATGGGTCCAAATTGGGTGCCCGATCTCCCTGAGTCCATCGAACATACTTCAAAAAAAACGTGTGGCACATCTATATCCTCATGATTCACTCATGATTATCTGGTTGGTGGTTGAGCCCTACCCCTCTGAAAAACATGAAAGTCAGTTGGGATTACTATTCCCAATCTATGGAAAAATAAAAAAAAACGTTCCAAGCCACCAATAATATATAATCACCAGTTCTTATCACTTGGTGCCCTATACTTAACTTGGTTTATAAACTTAAGTAGAATTTATGATGGGCATATCTGTACTACATGGAGTGAAAATTAGACCAACCAACACTGCTAGTGGCAAACACCTTGTACCAATCTCTAGTGAGTAAATCCCATTCTCTCTCACATTTTTTAGTGGTATACCCATACATATACATATATGTATAGATAAATAAATAAACAAATGAATAATTAAATGAATAAACAAACATATATACAGATAATATAACCACCTATAAAAACCCAACAATCTCCATTAGAAACCAGCAATTTTTCTGATTTCAGGACTTCGGTAGTTTCGGTAGCCTGGTCCAGTTGTAAAGTCCTCTCCCAGAGCTGCTGCAGGAGACTCAGAGCCGCTGGCCACTGGCCGCATTTCTCACAGGCGCTGACCTGGTTGAAACTCAGCCTTTTGGGGTCAGGATCAATAAGGATCAAAAAGCTGGTTATATCTGGTAAGTTGCGCTATATGTTGGGTTAGGACATATTAGAACTAGACAAACTGGGAGTTATGGTGGAGATGTCGAAAGTTGGATGGGTTATAAACCAACTTTGGGCACCTTTTGGTGGAGTCAGGCAAGCGCATTTCCAATGCGCAAAAAACACATTGATGTCTTGGCGAACCCCAACATGGGGCACCAGGACAAAATGGGTGAGTTTTAGTATTTGAACATCCATTGTTTGGTGAATGTTCGAATATGGTGAGTTATTTTAGGCAATATTATCACATCCATACTGCTGAGTCAATGACTTTGAGCCATACCAACATAAGAAAATAGCTTTGACTAAAAATAGGACACCCCAAAGGTTCCATAATCGAAATATCATTTTTCCCACTAGAATCTGTGCATCTCAGATTTCAATAGATCTCAGGTTTGTCAATTGGTATCCCAATGAATTATGGGGCATCATAATCCCCAAGCAATAGTAATATAGGTCGAATAACCAAGGTTTTTCACCAGAATTACTCTAACCACAACAAACAACATCAAACATACAATCAACAACAAGACCAGTTTTCTTGGTGTATAATGGCCATTTATGGTTGGTTTACCTATTAAAAATTGTGATTTTCCATAGCTATCCATCAACATTCACTGAACCATCCAGGTGACCGCTGCGCCATAGGCCACGATGTCCGGCGCCGGCAATGTCGGCGTTTCGGCTCGGCGCATCTCGGTGAGGAGAAGCAAACAGCGCTGCCATTGCCTGGCAACACATGAAATACCCGGCCTGGTTTAATATGGGATTTACTGGTTTTTATGGTTAATGGGATTGGATAATGGTGGTTTAATGGGATTTACTCCTCCAGTTATGGTTTAATGATGGTTTAATGGTGGTTTAGTGGGATTTACTGGTAATTTAATGGGATTTACCCTCTGGTGATTTAACAAAATAACTATTGAAAATTCCCATAGAAATAGTGGATTTACCCATTGAAAATGGTTATGTCAAAATGAAATACCCGGCCTGGTTTAATATGGTTATGTTGGGATGATTTGCTGGGATAATGATGGGATAATACTGGGATATTGATGGATATACCCTCTGGTTATGACTAACAGTTTGCCATGGAACGGTAAACCATGCTAAACTGCTAAACCTCTTGGAAAATGGGCCATCTATACCATGGCGAACTGTTAAATAGCCAGAGGGTATATTAATCCTCTATAAATAAGGCAAATCATCAACATCCATGAGCTAACACAGCTATGGGAAATTAGGAATAGCTATTTTTATAGGTGAATCATCTATTTCTATGGACCATCCGGACCATTTTCCAGAGCTATGTCAGTTTACCAGAGGCTATCTGCAATTGTAACCCTAGTTGTATATGATTGCTTCCAATATCCCAAAGAAACAAGGGGGAAACATTAGCGTAAAGATGACGCGTGGCTACGATTCACCTAAATACCACCTTGGAGCTGGCTGCTGTTACGTTTCGTACGTTTATATTTGGTGAATTATGGATAATATGGATATAAATCTAGCTTATACCATAAGTTAGCTAAGTTGGTTGAGAAAAGTAGGTTACCTGTTAAACAGTTAGGAGTGTGGCAGATTCATCTATATCTAGATAGATTCTCTAAAGTTAATGGGGTGAAACTAACCAACAAACATAGCTTGGGGGAGCACCAACAGTGCTGCGCTCCGCACAACTGGATTGATCCAACATCAGCGGAGGACCGGGGATCTAACCAATGCCGGGATAAGATAGGGGGATATACCCTCTGGTAATTTAACTATTGAACATAGTCATAGAAAGTTCGTTGATTCACCTATTTAAAAAGGGGGCATTTTCCATAGGTAACAGGCCACGATCCACCATGAAACTGCTCCCAAGCCTCGCACCTGCCCTTCTCACAAGCACTCAAGGTGCTACAACAGGCCATCAGGTCTGGAGGCACTTGACGCCTCGAGTTGTACCAACAGTTATGTTATGGGAGATGTAGCATGTGGATACAATGCATACCTGGACATCCAAAAGCTGCATCTTTTTTTGGTCTGGACTGAAAAGTAGTGAGCGACCAAAAATCGAACAATTGCTTATTTTTGCCCTCTGTCAGTCACATTTGGAAGGACCAAAAATATGACGCAAAATGATGCGAAAGACCAACTTTTTGACACCAAAACTGTGTCCTTGAATCCATCACTCTTAGCCCAAAAGTGATTTTTAGGCCCCATCCGAAAATCCACAAAGATCGAAAATTATGCGGCTCAAGGACTGTCCAGGTATATATATATATAATAATAACTATATTTATGCATAATTTCATATAGTCATATTTAGATGTGCATTTAAACTCAACTCTATTATATATGTATAGCAACATGTTACAAACACACACACACATATATATATATATATATGTATCAACAAATCATGTATATTATATATAATGTATAAACATCATATACACATAACATATGTGATGTTATGTATATAGAATACATATATATATATATAGAAATATGTTTTTACATGTGTGTATTCCAAATGTGTATATATATATATCTAATGATATCTATGTATAATCATGTATAATCTATAATATACATATATGTTGATCATGTAACGCTTTTAAAACTGTGAATGATGTGGATGAATAGACATGGGATAATGGGCTGGATCTCTGATTCGATGATGACTAGTGCACGGCTGCCCTCGCACCTATTGGAAAATTACTTTACTTCGTGTGATCCCCACCATGACATTTATACATTTTCTTCTTGGCAAATCTTCTGGCATTCTATCTGGCATATCTTCTGACATTCTATTTGACATTCTATCTGGCATATCTTCTGGCATGTGATCTGGCATATCTTCTGGCATATCTTCTGGCATCTGGCAAATCTTCTGGCATTCTATCTGGCATATCTTCTGGCACTCTATCTGACATATCTTCTGGCATTCTATCTGGCATATCTTCTGGCATATATTCTGACATATCTTCTGGCATTCTATCTGACATATCTTCTGGCATATATTCTGACATATCTTCTGGCATATCTTCTGGCATATCTTCTGGCATATCTTCTGACATATCTATCTGGCATATCTTCTGGCATATTTTCTGGCATTCTATCTGGCAAATCTTCTGGCATTCTATCTGGCATTCTATCTGGCATTCTATCTGGCATATCTTCTGGCATATTATCTGGCATTCTATCTGGCATATCTTCTGGCATATCTTCTGACATTCTTTCTGACATTCTTTCTAACTTTCTTCTGCACATTCTTTGTCCCATATCTTCCTACATGAGGTCCGGCAGGGAACACTTGGCGTGGATACTCGCGGTTGAGGTCCGGCAGGGAACACTGGGCGTGGATGGTCGTGGTTGAGGTCCGGCAGGGAACACTGGGCGAGGATGGTCGTGGTTGAGGTCCGGCAGGGAACATTGGGCGTGGATGGTCGTGGTTGAGGTCCGGCAGGGAACACTGGGCGTGGATGGTCGTGGTTGAGGTCCGGCAGAGAACACTGTGGATCGCGGGTCGCAGTTGAGCAAGGACGACGAGGACGACGAGGACGACGAGGACGACGACGAGGAGGAGGAGGAGAGGAGGACGAGGCAGGAGGAGGCGGAGGAGGAGGAGGAGAAGGAGGAGAAGGAGGAGGAGGCAACTGACATAAAATCTAACAACCCTCACCTGGCAGGTGGGGAAAAAACAGCTGAATTCTTTCTGGGGAGACCAAATAATCCAAATATCAACTCTTCCTTTTTTGCTCATGAGCAAACCTTTATCCCATTCCCACCAGAAGTGGGGAAAGCACATGAAAGAACGAAAACAAGGAGGACATCAACGGTACTTGTGCGTAGCGTACAAGGTCGGCTACTTAGACTTGTCTACGTCACCTCCTCGAAATGAGGATCTTTCAGTCACATGAAGGAGTAACTCTCAAAATGGAGATATTCTAAAACACTACTGTAGTATACTGTAGTAGAATACAGTCTCGGTTGTGCCCAAAAATGCCAAACCTGAGCTCACCATGGTTCCACCGATTCATATTTTGGGTGGGCCAATTGCTGTTGGCCAGGCATTCTTCGTGTCCTTGCTGTTGATCCTTAACAACGCTACATTTATCAATGGAGCTCCGTCATTGAAAATGAATAGTGACTGCCTTCCCGCAGTCATGGGTAGCTCAGTAGCTCAAACTGCATCTATAGGATATTATAGGATTATAGGGGCCGACCATTGAAGTATCTCAATCCAACTACAATGTGGTAGTGCCCCCCCAGCTGTAAGTCTTTTGAATAGATGTTGGAAATCTTTGCCATAAACCATAAACCCCATATAGTTACAGTATAAACAGTTATAAACCAACTTAGCTAACGAACTGGGGTAACCCCATAGTTATAAACAGTTATAAATTATAAACCAACTTAGCTAACAAAAAACGGGGTACCACCACCAAATAATTCGTCGAACCGAGCGGCTCAGTCATGTCTTGTAGCAGGGCAATGGCAACTTCCCACTCCTGGAAGGTGGAGCTGGAGAGAATGGAGCCAGTTAGTTGGTGACCCGGCCTGGTAAACTAACCGTTAATTGGTGATTTAATGGGATATATATGGGGATTTAATGGGATATATATGGGGATTTAATGGGATATATATGGGGATTTAATGGGATATATATGGGGATTTAATGGGATATATATGGGGATTTAATGGGATGATTTAATGGGATTTTATAGTGATTTAATGGGATTTTATAGTGATTTAATGGGATTTTATAGTGATTTAATGGGATATATATGGTGATTTAATGGGATTTTATAGTGATTTAATGGGATTTTATAGTGATTTAATGGGATTTTATAGTGATTTAATGGGATATTAATGGGATATACCCTCTGGTAAACATACAAAAAGCTATTGAAAATGGCCCAGTCGAAATAGTGGATTTACCCAGCTAGAAAATGCATGGTGATTTTCCATAGTAAACTGTAAACGCTTACCAGGCCGGGTAACTGATGTTCAAAATTGGGTTATCATCCCCCCAACTAACATGGACCTGGTTGGTGGTTGAGCCCTACCCGTCTGAAAAAATATGAGTTCGTCAGTTGGGATGAGTGTTCCCAATATATATATATATGGGTCATTAAATGTCCCCATTGAACATCACCCAACCGTGTATGACCATGCCAAGAGTTGGGGAAGATTTTTTGAACACACAAAAAACAGGTGTTGCACCCGGTGAAAGGTGGCGATATACTTTCATTTCTCCGCTCCTTTCCCGGCACGTTCCCTCAAAGTACCTGGAAATCATTAGCCTCTGGAAATTTAATACAGCTATGGAACATCACATGTTTAACAAGTAAATCATCTACACATGGGCAATGTTCAATAGCAAACTGTTAAATTACCAAAGGGTAGTCAGAAAGCACTCAAGAAATTCTACCATGGCGATCGCTTGACAAATGACCAGGTTCCACAGTGATGACTGGTTCTCTTTGCACCCAAAAAAAGGGCTGTATGTGACGATGCAGCTTGGATTGGAACAAAATTTCTGGCAAAATCCCGAAAAATCGGGCAGTCACCTTTTGCGCCACAATCCCCGTCCATGGATCCCAAACTACCCATACCGCCAGTCATGGGTGTTCTCGCAGGCACGCAACCTCGGAAGTCACCGCTTGGCCGGTAGTTGCACCCGGCACACAGAATCATGCCTGCAAAAGGTGCCAACCGATGCAAGCTCCATACGCATGTATATGTTCACAATAAATCATCCCAATTTCCTGTCAATGTCTTTGTTTTTTTTTAATCATCATCGGAATGAAATTATGGGCAACACAATAATAAACCATCCCCCAGTCATCACCATTTTTATAGATGTTATATATAGATTGTTATAGACCATTCCCAAAAATACGTGGTTTACGACCTTGTTTTACCCACATAAAACATCTTAAAACATCTTGAAGCCTCAAAATATGTTGAACTCTCCCCGCTTCCGCCGAGCCGCACCGCGCCATAGCTGGCACAGTCGGCCCTCAAACGTTTGGACATCAGCGAGAGCAACGCCAGGCCGCACCTTGGATGTCCCCATGAGACTTTGTGAAAATCAGTGGAAAATGGTTCAAAAAATCAAAATCACTGGGATGTAAATTGATAGATTAGTGCTGTTCATTCAGATCTTCCACTATGCTAGTTTCCTGGGAAAGAATGTATGGGATTAAATTGATGCAATCTTATACCAATTGATCAAATATAAGACCATATATTATATTCGTATATATATCTATACTATACATGCACATATACATTAAACATGGAGCCCAAAAAGCAGCCCGTTTCATGTCTGCAGTGTGCAGCTGAAGCGACTCCCATGGGGTGGCTGCCAGAAGTGTGTTCCAGGTCACCAAATCAGCTGTGCCCCTGTCCTGCGTGGGGACAGGGTTACCCAAAAACCCTACAGTGAACGGTTGAAACCAAGCCGACTACGGGGCACCACATTGCATAATTATGACTATATAATTAATAATGTTGTCAAGTGCTTTAGCTGACAACTGTGTGCAATCTTTGATTCATATTTCGGATTTACGAGCTTCGCGCCACTTTGAGCCCCCTAAAACCACAATTTCGAGCACATCACCACATAAACCGTTAAACCCATCCATTTAAATTCATCTTTGCACTGGAAAAAAATGGATGCCGTAAATGCCCAATGTTCCATTAGAAATTGCCTAAACTTGACATAAAACAACCATATCATATCCAAGTCCTCTATCACCGTAAACTTGTGCTTCAATGCCAAACAAAAATCTGCTATGAATCCACGAAAGTCCCTGGAACAATGCCATCAAATTGTGCCTAAATCACCTAAATCACCTACCCTCTGGTAAACGTTTACATAACTATGGAAAAACACCATGTTTAATGGGAAAATCAACTATTTCTATGGCCATGTTCAATAGCTATGTTAGTCATTACCAGAGGGTAAATCCATCATTTTTCCATGATTTTCCCATGGCCTACCACCAGTGCCTCCAACAAAAGCTGCATGGCTCGCGACCAGCACGGCACCAGGGCCGTCACCAGGGCGCCCAAAGCGCTCCGCGTCTGCGGCAGACTGGGACGCAGCCGAAGGACCTGTGCAGGGGTCACCATCCTCCAGTTGTTAACACCACCTTGGATGCTTGAAACCCTATAAATAATGGGATAAACCATGATAAACCATCCATCAACTGGTGTTTTTTTCAGTTTTAACATGGGTCATGACTGATGTCCCCATTTTTCACATCACCCAACCATTAGGTATATGGTCTATAATGGCTACTATTTTGGGTGATGTCCAATATATCCAAAATGGGACAGTTACCAACCCCTGTTTAATGTTGGTCTGGTTGATGGTTGGGATAATGACATTCCCAATATATGGAAGAATTGATGATGGTAATTTAACCTTATTAATCATCTATAGTTGATTTACATTGATTTACCCTCTGGTAATTTAACATAGCTATTTAAAAATTGCACATTTATAGTTGATTTACCTATTCTGGTTGATGGAATGTTCCAACCCCTCTGAAAAATGGAGTTCGTCAGTTGGGATAATGGAATTCCCAATATATGGAAAAATAAAAGCCATGTTTCAAACCACCAACCAGTATAGTTGGCTCTGGAAACATGATGTTAGTGGGGCATTATTTGACGTAATCCTAAATATATAGTTACAAATGGTCAATAAGTTTAGTTGTACCACATGTTGAAGAAATAAGACATATAATTTGGTTGTTAGTTACTTCTTTAGTTGAAACGTTTCAGTGGCAATGAACCACCATGGTCATTAAGTGATGTTTAACAACCCATGAAACTTACCATTGCAATGGAGAAATCACTGGAGAAACCTGGTTTTATGGATTATTATATCGCTTTTCATAATTGTTCATAGTGTGCAATCGAAATATATCTTGATGCTTACCACTTTAATGGATCGTGAAAAAAATGCTATGGTTGCTATGGTGATGGATCATGGGATCATGATTTTGACGAAAAATCAGGTAGAACCCTAAAAATCCAACCGCATTCTGGGGGTATGATCCCCAAGCTCAACGCCACTCAAGCTCAACCACTTCTCTGAATCAATGGTACTTCTTTGACAAGTCATATGCTTTCAGACATGTCATACAGTTGACTCTATATCATGAGATTTCATTTACAATAAAACATCAGTCCCATTTTCATATACTGTCAGTCGGCTCTATATGTTCATGAGGTTTCATCACCATTTACAATAAAACATCAATAATTTCACTCAAGTAACATTAACAATAAAACATCTATAAGTATATCTAAGTTATCTAAGTTACAATTTCATGACATGTCATTTCAATTTAACTCATCCCTTTCACGTTAAACAGTGAATTCTCAGGTTTGCCGCAAAACGCCCACCTCCAAGGCGTGTTGCCAACAGGCACCGGTGGCACAGGCGGAAAGTGCAGCCACACAGATCTGTGCATCAACGCCTTGGGAACCGATTGACAGGAGTTTATATGGATCATCTATTATATCATATCCATTATAAGAAGAATTAATCATTAATATGATGATGATGATGATGATGATTATTATATTATGATTATTATATTATGATTATCTATTGTTTCTATAGCCGATCTATTTCTTGATGATTCTGGATAAGTTATGATGGCGAAAAAGATGATCTCTCTGGATAGATTACAAGAATTCACTGAGCTGAAAGATCATTTTGAAATAGTTCATCCATGTTCATCCCCTGACCGTTCTAGTGACGTCGCATGAATATTCTGACAAAAAAAACATGAAATTCATGGTCTTTAAGACATTGAGCATAATCTTTCGTGATTTGGTCGGTCGGGAAAGGATCTCTATGCTCCTGAAAAAATAAAAATGTTCGATACCACATCATCTTGAAGCAAGTGTTTAAACGCGGTTTCCTCAATTTGGGGAAACATCTCGGAAAATTTGGGTGTGTTGCAGGAAAACATGAATAGAATTAACCAAAGCGGAGGCGCAATCAGTGACAGTTGATGGTCAGTATATGACAAACAACACAACGGTGGTCTTGTCGCTCTTACGGAAGTGACATACGACATCATACGACTTTTCACAGGATAAATCCTTTTGAGAATCTCTGTCTGTCGAATATGTCGTATTGATATACCCTCCGGTAATTTAACATAGCTATTGAAAATGGCCATTGATAGTGAGTGTTCTCATTAAAAATGGTGATTTCCATAGTTATGCAAACGTTTACCAGAGGGTATTATCGATGTACACGATTTCATATTGAACCAATGGATGAGCCATGGAGTTTGTTGACTAGCCTAGACGCTTACTCACCAGTTGGCTAATCCATGGCCCATCTAAGGATGCGCAATGGATTGCCACGTCTACTGCCTTGCTAATGGATCTTAATACTGGATGCTGATCATCACTACATTGTCAATACATCACCATTACCATATTAAAATTCGAAAAATATGACATGAGATACCATAACATAATATAGCAATGGTGATTACCATTGATAATCACCATGGATCACCATTACCATAACATAATATAATATAATTCATAACGCAATCTGTGTTCTACCTGCTTGAACCACCAGTTGGGGCGAAATCTCCAAGTGGCGAAATCGCTGCTGGGCCCTGGAGAACAGCTCAAGGCTCCGCTCCCAGGCGCTGGGAACGGCGCATGCGGCTAAGCAGCTGCTGAAACCTCTGCTGGCGTCGAGATTTTTCGGTCAGCTTCGGCGGGCTGGATCCCCATGGATCACATAAGTTTCACTAATATGTTGAAGATTAATGTTCACCATTCACATCATCATCATCATCATCATCATCATCACCATCATCATCCTAAATTCCAAGTATGTCCAGTTTCGTGTGTTTTTCTAGGGATAGACATTCCGCATGTTCCCAAACTTTCTGGAGACCTGCGTGCGGGCAGCTGATTATGTCCGGGCTCACTTGGCTATCCTCCATGAATTGCAATAGGTGGACGGCGTGGTGCCAACTCCTGGCAGCAGGTAGTTTTCTTTAAAGTGCCCATCAAACAAGGGGATTTTAGATATTTTAGTCACAGAAAATGGAAAAAATGGTGAATGTACTGAAGAAAAAGCAAGAGTAGGATTTAAGCAACACATATGACATTCAATGGATTGTTTCAAAGGAAATCATGGAAAAAAACACGTCAAACCCTATGAAGATTTCACAGGGAACATGATGCTCAGCCATTCGCCTTTGGATCTGCATTCAGCATCAAAATCAAGGGATTGTCGGATTATCCATCAAACGTATTGATTCAAAAAACGAGTCGAATTACTAAGGAGACATATTATGCAAATTGGAAAATATATAAAATATATATAATATATGATCCAATTTTATGATATCCAATTATATTATATCATCATGTCCCTTTTAAAATAATTGGAATTTCCCTACCGAAGAAAACCATTGCATCAAATCGCTCAAAGCTGCGGTCAAGGAGCTGCGCAGACTGCGCTCTCTGCGCAGAGGGATCCAATATGATCCAATCATATCATATCCGGATGGCAGTTTAAGGACCAATACCATGATTACCATGGTAAGCTTGCTGTTGGAATGTAGTGACTATGTAGTTGGATTCCAGAATCCCTTGAGGTAAACCAGGTAAACAGATCAAACAGCGCCTGGCATCAGCACAGGAGTTCAGGGCAGCATTCCTCGGCGCTTCAGTGTTTATTTTTTTTAAACGCAGGAATTTGTCCAGTCGGGGAATGGCAAATTCAAGCGGGAGAATAATGATACACCATGATAAGTCATGATATACTGGGAGAATGATGGGAAAAAACAGTGATACACCATGATATACCATGATATACCATGATATACCATGATATACCATGATATACCATGATATACCATTGGACTTTGGATGATTTTGGAAATCCAAGTTTTGAGACCCCTTTCCACAGCTCACCTCAGAGATACCCTGCAAATAGCTTAGGCAAGCCATGGCAAGGCCAGCAACATGGCCTTGGATTTGCCTGAGAAAAAGCACATGAGATAGGTTTTCTTCATTATCATGCGATATCATGCCCAAAAAAATTACAATTGGCCCTATTCTGATATCAACCCCAGTTACAACCTGATTGTGACCCTCTCTCTCTCTCTCATTTCTTAGCCACTCGTTCGACCCCTTTAAGATCTACAAGCTGAAGATTCACTGGGGCTGGGCCCCCTGGTCGGTCGAGCCATGTTGAGCCACCCATTCACCAAGCCCGTGGGTTTTGAGGACAACCGCTCTGTTTCCGAGCCCATTTCTCCGTGGTGCATAAACATAGGACTCATAGGACTCCTTAGTTCCCTGATGTTCCCTGCAAACCACCACATGGTTCCAGATATATCATGATCTATCATGACATATGCAGAGATATGCAGAGTACGTATAACATATACCCTCTGGTAAACTAACATAGCTATGGAAAATCACAATTTTTAATGGGTAAATCCACCATTTCTATGGCCATTTTCAATAGCAAACTGTTAGTTTACCAGAGGGTAGCCCACTATATCCGCAGATTCTGTGCGCCATCCCCATATCATCGCCACGTGTCCATGCGACCAGATCCGTCTCCATGCGCTGCTGCGGCATCTGCTCAAGGAGCTGAATTGCCATGGTCCAGTGGCAGCAACCCATCAGGCAGGTGTAGGTCACACAGCTGGGACGGACACCTGAAACATTTCTTGAGGAAAATGATGGGAAATGCAAAAGGGATCAAGAATGGGCTTCATTCATGTTTATTCCAATGCTATGTACTTAAATTCCAATTTGATTTCATGGGGCTTACAGGAAACCGCATGAGTTCTATAGGTTTATCACCAAATTTAAGGAATTCAATGGTGATTTGTCCCAAAATCACCAGGAGATTGGGGAAATCATGGGTATTTTTGGGGATTGACCCTGAGATAATGATGGGATGGAGAACCTGAAGTTTGGGGTACTTGAAGTACTTGGTTCTTGTCTGAACACATGGCCGTGTACCAACTCGGCCCAATTCAACCCATCCATCATTGTTGTGACATTTTTGGGGGTATTGTCTGCAGCGAACTTCAGCTATTCCCCTATTCCCATGTTTGGAGGAAGTGTAAAGTTGGGACTTAGTTGGCCACCTGATTGGTTGTAAATAGTTGTGGTCGAAGCATGTCGAAGCTAGGGTCAGCCTTGAAAGTGCGATGGCACTGCCCACTTCCCATGTTCTTTTTTTGGACCATCACAGCGTGTACTCACTAAACATGAAAATGCAACCAGCCTTGCGCTTTCCAACTTCGCCACTTCGACAGCGCTGCTTCTCCCTGGGTACCTCGCAGGCATCAGCGAGAGGCGTCAGTGGAAGGACCAAGAGTCATCAAAAAGCTAATCAAATCCCTGGCTCAATGGGTTCCATTGGTTCGAAGAAATTCCTTGTGTCCATATGTATATATATATACACATACAATCATACATTACATTATAATGATAATACATTAGATACATAATATACATATAATTTTGTGTCCATATATATATATAATTATATGAATGGAAAGACTGAAAAGGATTGGAAAGGCATCGCCGTAGCCTCCTCAGACCCATAGTGTGCCCGGGAGGTTACCGGTTGGGTGCCCTGAGACTTCCATGATCCAGCGTTGAAAGCCATCGGTCATCTCAGCTCCAAATGTCACCCACGACTCTACGGACATTGAATAGTGATGAATATTGAATATTGGGGTATGAAATGCAAAAGAAGCTCCGAAATGTTCCCACCTCATGTAGATTTCCGTGACATGACTCTTGTAGTTCTGAAGATGTTTGTCCCCACCAAGAAAGGGAAACACACCATTTCAACAGAAGTCGCCGAGAAAAAATGCTTAACTGCACAAGGTTATCATGGCAAGAAAATAAAGAATGCTAAATCAACACATCAACATATCAAAAACAAAACTGCATGCATTTCTCACTACTTCAAGAAGCACATCCCCTGCAATTTCCGAGTTAAAGCAAGTGAACAAAGTGAACAAACATGTGAAAAGTCCCAAAATCCCACACTTCCGAACTTCCTACCCTCTGGTAATTTAACATAGCTATTGAAAATGGCCATTTATAGTGGATTTTCCCAGTAAAAATGGTCATTTTCAATAGCTACGTTAAATTACCAGAGGGTACAATTGGTGGGTGTTTTCCAACATCGAGCCGCGCACCTCGACTCAGTGCAGACAGCACGGCATTGTAACAGACCACGCTGGGTTGCACCGAAGCCTTGGCACGCCAGGCACTGCCAACAGTTTCACCCTGGAAGAAACCTTGGTGACCGCCAAAAGAGATAAAAATAGTGACAAAATGATGACAAATGATCTTACAAATGTTACAATATGATATAGATACATCTATAGATACATCAAAATTAAACATCTATATGTACATCTTATATTTATATTCAAATGGGAACCCACATTGGTACGTAAAGCATATAGTACACTGGGGCCGTTTTCTAAATATCCTGGGTTTACACGGTCACTTTGTGACACCCTTTTTTTGATCATCGGAGTTCTCACCGAAACGCGATTTCGAAGATAGTTAGCCTTTGGTAAACATACCTTAAAAACGATGGACATTCACCATCTTTTACTAGGTAAATCAACCATAAATGGAGAAATTTATGATCATTTTCAATAGCAAACTGTAAACGTTTACGAGGGTCGCAATAAGCACCACATTGACAAATCGTTAAGATCCCAGCTGCCATAGGCATCCTGCCAGGCTACTTGAGACATCTCGTCCAGAAGCGCAGAGGCAGTCTGCCAGTGGCCGCTGGCCATGCATGCCATCACCTGGGATGAAAAAAATTGAAAATGGAACATGTCAACTCAATGAACTGTTGTTCCCAATTATATAGTGGTACATTATGGTACATTGCTCTATATTATAGCATATTATAGCATATTATAGCCTCATGATGAATCATGTGTTGTTAACCTATTTAGCAATGTGGGAAAGGGATGGGTAAAAAGGGATTTAGTCCACTTCAGATTTCAGGATCCGAACAAGGAGTTACCCAACCGAAAATTCTACGAAGGTTATGGCCCTGGCTTAAATCACCATATTTTCAACAGGTGAATCATCATGTTTATTCATGTTTATATATGTCTATACTCTATTTAACTATGATTTTCTATGGTTCATGGCTTCAGCATGGCTTCAGCTATGAGTAACCAGCGGGTAGCCGTGGGCCCACCGTGCTTCCCAAGCTTTCACCGCAGCTTTCACCGGTGTCCGAGCTGCCAGCGTCCATGCAGGCAGATCTGGCATCAGCTCGTCCTGTCGCATCCTCGCTGTGTTTTCCGCACCAACTGAGTCAAAATTCTGTTTTTTTGCCCAAAACAATGGATTCATGGTTGATTTCAAGTTTATTTCAAAAATTTTCTGACTATGAATATGTGTTTTTGTTTTTTTTCTGGATGATTTATGATGACGTTGATTTGTTGATGCCCTAGCATCATTGCCGTCTGAGTCTTCTTATAACGTTTTTGTCCCCTGACTTTTGGATGAAGCCATTGCGATGCCTATTCCGTGGTTCACCAGCCATTGTGGTTTCCTTAAATCCCAACGTGCTGCACGGTGGTTGAGCCCCAAGAATATATGGTCAGTTGGGATCATCATCCCATTTTCTATCCATTTCTGGGGTAAAAAAAAAACTAATTGGTGGTTTCAACCGAACCCCCCTGAAAAATGATTGAGTTCGTCAGATTGGATCATCATCCCAACTAGGAAGGGGTTTCAATGTTCCAAGCCATGTTCCAAAGCACCAACCAGTCAGTTAGTTCATGTTGTTTCATAACCATAAACCATCATAAACCCATAGAAATTTCACCTATAGATGTCCCATATATCATCATATATCATCCCAACACCAACCAGTATTCGCCATCCCCCCATCACCGTAGCACCAGCGTAGCGTCTTCCGTAGCACCTGCAACGCTGAAGTCCAGGCCCGGGCCTTTTTGAAGCCCTGCAGCGCAGCCCTGACGCTGCCTATGGTCAAGTCCTGGGCCGGTCCGGGGAAGACGACCTCTTGGGGAAAATCTACAATGAATGGTTGATATAATAATTATAATGATTATCATGTATATATTTATGTGATTATATATAATTATATATGATGATTATATATGTTTGTATATGATTGTACATGATTGTGTATATATATATATGATTATAAATTATATGTACATGATTATATATCATGTTACCGACTCAAAAATGGGGAAGTCCCGTAAAATCAGCGGTTTGAAGCAGCAAGCTCAAGCAATTCATGGAGTTAGATGAGGATGAGCTAGGAAGAAGTCCAAGACTTTGAGGGCACACCTGATTGGGCTTACATCTAGGCTCAATAGAAGTCATCATCAATGACCATGTTCAGCACAAGTCATTTCCCGTCTGGCACCTGAAATTATGGACTCCCATGGACTCTGGACTTAGGCTTCGAACTGCCCATAAGAGGAGGCTATGGCTATCTACCATCTCCCAGTTACATCAGGACTGCACCATCTGAGACCCAGTTGGGGAAGCTGCATCATTGTAGGCTTAGTGACGTACCCAACTGTCCTGCGGCGCAGCTGCAGTCATGCTCGGCGCAAAGACTCTTCCGCCAGCAGTTGCCACGAATCAAGGCCTCAGGGAAAAGGCCTCACATATTTCATACCCTCTGGTAAACGTTTACACTTTGCTATTGAAAATGACCATTTATGGTTGATTTACCTAGTAAAAGATGGTGAATTTCCATAGTTTTTGGTATGTTTACCATAGTTGTTTGTTACAGTAATTCCCAAAAAATCTTGAGGCTTCAATCCTCCTTGCCTCGAAAATCCCTGGCATCCCTCCATGTCACATTCAGCTACCATGGAAATCCACCTGAGCCTGAGCCTTTTTTTTTGTTGACTCACATCCATTCATATACATAATCATATATATATATATATATATTCATATCCCCCATGACCATGGCTCCAAATTACTGCCACCAAATGATATGTCCATTATACCCTGTATCATACTAGAACCACAAGGCTTCAATGAAATAATGGTATTCAAAATTGCTCGTGAATATCCCCAGTATATAATCCCCACAAGAATGATCTTATCAATATTGTTTACATCAATAGATTACCAGCAAAAATGGCTTCAATCCCATTTTGTTCATCAAAAAAAATCTCCCACACATCTGTGTCTATGGCCCTTATATAACCTTCCAAACATCGCATCCAGGCATCCAGGTGGCCATCATAAATCGCTCCAGTTGGTGCCATGAAAAACGCTGGCTTCACCATCAAAAATGGGGAAACCCTAAAGACCACCATTTGTTTGGTGTCGGTGGGCTTTCGACGGAGCGCCGGTGCCAAGGGGAAAGCAGTGTGTTCTCATGCTTTGACAATCCAAAGATCCAAATGGGTGTGTTCAAAAATACGGTAATTATTCCCATTCCCCTTTGTAGCCACTTAATGAGGAAATTGTGCGATAAACCATTAGATTTAGGGATATCGTATGTTCAAACCAATCCAAAAATGGGGGTTTACTGCAAACGTTTCCTGTCAGAGCTGCATCATTGTTCCTTGGGCCAAAGAAATGCGGAGATCACAGCAGCAAGTTGGGACCTACCCCTTGGTAATTTAACAGTTTGCTATTGAAAATGGCATCATTTATAGTTGAATTAGCTGTTAAAGATGGTGATTTTCCATAGCTATTTGTTAGTTTACCAGAGGGTAGCCCCATCCAAGCACTGGAGAAAAGTCAGATCTTCAATCCAACATGTTGGCGTCACTCATTTGTGACCCAAAAATACTCTGCACATGGCTACGGCTACTCTTCAAATCTTCAAACATACTGCCAGCTACCCCTCAACATTCCAGACAAATTATACCAAAAAATATTGAAATTTCTAGCTTCCAAAAATCTCCAAAACATTCAACAAGAAACTCGCTTCCATCCCTGATGCTGCACATATTATCACGAAGCATGGCAGGTGACCTTGGAGACGTCACTGGATGGGGTTAGTGACTATTAGTAACCGGTAACCCTCAAACAGATTCAAAAGTTACTGTGGGATTGCTGGATTATGCTGGATTATGCTGTTGTACTGGGATTAATTGGATTGATCTATCATGATTTTAGTAGGATTTTCCTTTTCTATCCCTTTTGAGGCTAGTGTATTGATTTCCCTCTACATAGATGAAGTCTAATGATTCACTACCTCTCGACCTGTTGTTTTCATCCAATGATTTACGGCAAAAAATGCACTCACGGACCTACTAATTAACCACCCAAGTTTGCACATAAAATAGTCTTGCAAAGTGGGTGACCCCAGTTCAAACTTAGTTTATAAACCTATCTTACTCAAAATATCCTCGATAAATCAAAGTCGATCCAATTAAATACTCTCTGGTCATTTAACGTAGCTATGGAAAGTCACCTTTTAATAGGTTTATCAGTTTATCATCCAAGAAAATCAGAAATCATCATGATTCATATAAATCATCTTCTATAAATGGGTTATTTTCGTAGCTATGTCTGTTAGTTATAACCATACTTGGTAGGGTATGCCATATCATCAGCACCAAGGCTTCTTCCCGGAAGTTCCCCCGCCTTCCATGTTCACAAAGGCACGAAGCCGCGCGGACTGAGCGTAGGATGTGGATGGATGTGGTGGATGTATCAAGGGGCCGGTGCAGCTGAACATGAGCGGAGGCAGCTGCGTTCGAGATTTATGAAGATTTCAGGAACAGAAACGGGGATTGAAAGTGGGTTTAGGCCCTTTAGGCTAGCTAAGTTGGTTGAGAAGAGTAGGTGAACTGATGGATTTATGGTAGATCTATGGAACTTGTTAATGGCGGGAAACTAAACCAACAAAATAACCGGGAGCACAACCTTGTCTCAATTTGTATCACATGTCGATCTCCAAAAGGATCAAGGTCCAAGATTTTCTGAAAAGGTCCAAGGTTTTTGTGGTTTTGATATGATTTTGCTATGGTTTTGATATGGTTTTGATACGATTTTGATACAGGTCTCGACCAATCTTGATATTTTTATGGAAATTCATAGGCCTGGCGTAGGATGGGACATTGAGCCATTCATAGTACCCTCTGGGACTTTAACAAAGCTATTGAAAATGGCCATTTATATTGAATTTTCCCACTAAACATTGTGATTTTCCATAGTTATATGTTAGTTTACCAAAGGGTAATAGGGATTTTACCAGGCAAAATCATGTACCATTCAGAATGGGATTCTCGCTGCTGAATTCCAACGTGTGCAAAAACCTGCTCGATACTCTGCGAATTTGCCGAGGTTCATCCACAAAATGCTGGGTTGGTTTTTAGGTGATCTTCCCCATCTGCTTAAACCAGGCTAAAACCAGTTTTTAGGTGGTTCATGACTCCAACTCATGTTAAATCCTACCATGTGTATCCATCGTCTTACCATGTTCATGATTTCTTTTAATTTCCCATGTTTTAGTTTTGTTTGATGATGTTTGCTCGACTTCTCCATTGAAACAAATGGTTCACGCACCACTCACCACAATTCTGAACACACAGATACACACACACACATATATATATATGCATAATATGATGTATAAATAACACAATATAATATACGTAATGTGTATATACATAATGTGTATATACATGTGTGTTTTTCTTGATATACACACAGCATTCACCTTAAGCTTCGCAACACTTCCATGGTGATCTGCCAAGAAACTGGGCATCGCTCTTGAACCTGCTGACAGCAGGCCACCAGACGTTCCTAAACGGTCGATGGAACCAGCAATTTCTTGGGGATATGGGACATATCATGGGGATGTGTTATTTTTTGTTTTTTTTTGGAATATCAATGGGATATAAGTGTTGAGTAGTTGCGAAGTGTAGATAGGTTTATGCATAATGCATCAATAGTGAATTACAACACATGAAAATCAAGCGTGTTGAGACACGAAGTATCTGCATATAGATCTATATGATTCTATATCATCTTTTGCCAGACCAATTTGAACCATATTTTCTTGAAGTGTTTCAATTCTGGTACCCTCTGGTAAACTAAGATATATAACCACGGAAAATCACCGTTTTTAATGGGTAAACCAACTCTATAAATTGCAATTTTCAATAGACTCCATAGCTATGTTAAATTACCAGAGGGTACCCTCTGGTAAACGTTTACATAACTATGGAAAATCACCATGTATAGTGGATTTTCCCATTAAAAATGGTGGATCTTTCCATAGTTATGTTAGTCATAACCAGAGGGTACATCGGAAGAAGGTTGGATTGATCAAGCCGTCATCCCATGTGATCCCTCATCGTGGCTGAGCATCTGCGTCGTCCAAATGATGCGCCGAGCACGTCGCCGACGTAGCCGACGTAGCCCTGGGCCAGGGCAAACACCACAAAACAACAGCAAAACAACATCCCAAACATATAGAAAGACTGTAAAACATGACAAACTGTGCCTAAAAGCAACATCCCTTAAGGACATTTAATTATATTTAATTTAGGGGGATCTTTCAAACTAATTTCCTTTAAACAAATGACACATGTTCAGGGCAGATGGTCGCCGAATTGCCCAGAAATCACCTCGAGCTTCCGATGGCGCTGCCATCGATGAGGAAGATGGCCTTCCAAGGAGCAAGAATCATCAAAGCCTCAAAAAAAAACCATGAAATTCTATTATGGTGATTTAATGGGATATTATAGTGATTTAATGGGATTTTATAGTGATTTAATGGGATATTAATGGGATATACCCTCTGGTAAACTAACAGTTTGCCATTGAGAATGGCCACAGAAATAGTGGATTTACCCATTGAGAATGGTGATTTTCCATCGTTTTGTGTATGTTTACCAGAGGGTAGTATAGGGGCCATATGCCTCAAGATATGGCCAATCTGATTGAGTCTTAGATTTAGTGAAGATATCTTGAGTTCTTTTTTGGAGAGTTAGTGAAGATCACCTTTTGTAGCAAAGGATTAGAAGGAAAGTGGAATAACTGCTGAATCTAAAACAGCTGGCATGCGCATCCACCAAGGTATTAGATTATAGGTTTTGATCCATCCCTTGTTTTTGTCTCAAAATTGAGATGTAATAAAATGCTCCTTCAGCCACTAAAAATGGTGAGTAAAAAACGGTCAAATCAATAAACCCATGAACAATGACACTATAGTGTGTTCATCTCAAACATTGTGAATTGGGCCCCCAATTTACAGCATGACCTTCAACACTGGGGATTTGGTTCAAATATGTTCAATTTTTGTATCTACACTTTCCATCACTTTCCCGTCCTTTCGAACAAAGCCATGGCCATGTCATGTCACCAGGGAGAGCCGGCTGCGCCTCGTAGCTTTCCTCCGAGGTCCCTTCCGCCATGGCTATCTTCGCCCGCGGCTTTTTGCTTTGAGCCCAGCGAATCGAAAGGATCGACCAGGACCTGGGATGGGTGTTTTTTCCATGGAAATGTCATGATACCCTCTGGTAAACATACAAAAAACATACAAAAAACGTTGGAAAATCATCATTTTTAATGGATAGTTGATGATAATTGAACTATAAATGAACCATTTTCAATTATGTTAAATTACCAGAGGCTATTTCCCCAGATTTTTAACCTGGGGATGATTTCGCTACCATCTATGGTGAGGTTGCTCAGATCAGGTGATATCCCAATGGTCATTCAGAAAAAACGACTGGGTTCTTGAGTGACCTGAAGACGAAGAAATGAAGTGAACACCATGGACCCCACAATTTACAAAGGTCAAAGTGCCTGAACCCTTTGGTGGCCAACCCAACTACTCTGTCAATTGTGTGAATTCCGTGCCTGCAGTACCTGGTTGCCAATATAACTTTCAACGGTGGTGGCTGTCCTCCAGATGAATTGTGACGCCAAAATGTTGTGAAATCAGGAGAAGATCCAGAGAAACAGCGCTCAACCGCTAACGAGTATCATAAAAATCCTTAGCACCACAGGAAAAGCAACAGACCCTTGCACAAGCTACCCAGTTTTAGAAAAGATTCCCATTGTCGTTGCACCGGTCCAAATCTGGTTGCTGACCCTCTGAACCAATTGCCCCCCAACTGGGACCAGCACCCCATTTTCAAGGATGAATAAAACTGTTTTTTTTTAAACAACCAACTGCCAAATCCCTTAAGTTCCTTCATCTAGACATCCAGCTGATAAATTCGACCGTGGCCAAACTTGGATACCCTGCCAAACAATACATGTTTTTGACTAATAGACTAAAACCATTCAACAATCTCGGAACAAAAAAAAACACTAGAAGAACTAGCCTCCGGTAATTTAAGATATAGCCGATATAGCCGTTTTTTCACTGGCCCATGTAAAACGATGATTTACCTCTAAGTTCCTCTAAGTTCCGTGGTGATCTCATTCCATAGCGCAAACCCTTCACTCTGAGACACCCCTGCGGCGGAGTTGAGGAAAGGATCTCGATGGCATTTTCCCAAAGGAGACCCTCCTGGGCATTGGGAAATCCTGCGCCTTCCCCAGATGTTTAACCAAATATCAATAGAGACGGAAACAAGAAATTAAATGGGTTACCCTCTGGTAAACGTTTACATAACTATGGAAAATCACCATTTGTTATGGGAAATTTCCCTATAAATGGCCATTTTCAATAGCTGTGTTGGTGTATGAAAAAATGCCTTGGATTTCATAGGATCGATAAACGATGAATGATGAATTTCATACCGAAAACAAGTTGTGTCCTGTGGACACTGCTCTGCCGATCTCCCTTTGTCCTTGGTATCCATCACTTCAGTTGGTTTATAAATGTTAATAAGTAGTTGAACTATAAGGTTTTCTGGCAAATGCTAACTAAATAACTAAATATCGAACTCCATTTTTTTTCACCAACTCATTCCAACATCGAACGAGTGAGTCCCCACCTCACAGGCACAGGCAGCTGTAATCCAAAAGCCCCAACCTTGGCCGATCAAAAGCGCCACTCTGTCGGCATCTGTAACGGTGCCGTACCAAACCGCCTTTGAGGCACATCCTGCGGTGATAGCCTCATTTTGAATTTCGCTTCCATGAGATGGAACGGGATGCACACTCAAAACTAACGTGCATCTGAGAAAACTGGATTTGGAACATGTTCCGAGTGGCTTCTGGGGTAGTTTTCAGGGCTGCGCCTAAAAAAAAGTGCCCATACCAGGGAATGTCCGTTCAAAATGTCTAAGTTTAGGTACCAAACCAGGACCAATATCCACATGTAAGAATCTAACATACCACATCATACCACATCTCCATTTCTCGACCTGACCCCCCTGGTACGCGTACAATCAAGAACAATCATATGGTCATTTGGCAAAGATTGGCAAACATCTGGCAACCCCAACTTGGGTTCCAGGTTGCCTTGGTGATCGGAAACGATTTTCAGCACTTAATCCTGGCAAACCGATGATAAGATCTGACCTTATTAAACACTATTGTTAACATGTTTTTTTGTGCGTGTGTTAAGTGAACAACCTTGTAAATAACCATGGCATAACCATTCGCCATCGGCCTGTTGGTGCACCGGTACTGGTGAACTCTCGATACCTGGAGAGTCAGCGCAAGGAGCTTCGCAACGCTGAGATCCATCGGTCGAGACATGTCAAGACGCAACATACTTTTGCCACTTTGACAAGAGGGAAACCTATGGAAACCTCTACTATCCGATTGGAAATTCATAGCTGATCTGAAACAGTTTAGATCAACAATCTGTTAATTTTGCTGTTTTTTTTCCAATGTCCCAATTGTACTTTTCTAGTCTATCTGCATAGAATCTACCATCTTAGAGAGGTTCATATAAAATTTAGAGATGTTGAAAACCCCACCCTTTGCCCACACAGCTGATCATCAGTTTCTTCATGGAAACTCTTCCTCCGCGCCCATCCGCGCACAATGTCATCGCATCCTCCGCCGCCGTGATGCGTGAGCGAGATGGCTCCAAACACCTCAAGAGATCTCTTGAAGCGACCGGACCATTGGACCATGGAAGGTTGTACGTGTTTTATTGATCTACATATATATACCCATAGGATCCATGTATGGTATATATGCTAACATGCAAATATGGATCCTATGGGTATATATATAAATACACACAAATATAAATATAAGCATTTGAACACATACATATATATAATATAATCATTTACATCTGCACAATGTTAATTAATTATTAACCATATACATACCGTATGAACACCACAACACATTAATAACCAGTGCGGTATAAAAGTTGTAAATCACAACTATTATCGCAACTATCATTTGTCAAACAAAAACAATGATAATCACAACTATTAATCATATAACCCCAGCATAAAATATGGTTAACTCGAGTTAACTCTATAATCACAAGGCAAATCTGTGGTTTCCACCATATAAATCCACTATTTTAACATCTAAAATCTAACCATATCTATGCAGTCGGATCTTTTACCGGCCCACAAATTCGACATTTTTGTTACATGTCATCTTAAACCTCTTGGGGTGGGGGTTGGGCGGGGTGGGGTGGGGCATGTCAACGTTCGTTTGCACTTGAAGTTGATGCTACGTCACGCATGGGGTTGGGGGGTGTGGGGTGGGGCATGTCAACGTTCGTTTGCACTTGCGTCATGAAGTTGATGCTATGTCAGGCATGGGGTTGGGGTTGGGTGGGGTGGGGTGGGGCATGTTAACGTTCGCTTGCACTTCCGTCATGAAGTTGATGCTACGTCACGCATTGGGTTGGGGTTGGGTGGGGTGGGGCATGTTAACGTTCGCTTGCACTTGCGTCATGAAGTTGATGCTACGTCACGCATGGGGTTGGGGTTGGGTGGGGTGGGGTGGGCCATGTTAACGTTCGCTTGCACTACAGATACGTAGAGGCATATATAGATTCTTACCTGTAGAGTATTCGCATCTACATATGTATACATACACCGATATTGCGATCACTATATGTAATATGAATGTTCATGTATACATATGGACACATATATAGATATGATACATTTGTAAATATATAGATATGATACCTGCTGGCCAAAACGGGCCTCTACCTGGCAAAGCTGTGAGCTGAAAAAAGGAAAACCGAACTCGGCACGTTTTTGACCACAAAATGCTGGAAGGGTTGACGAAAGCATCTTGCGATGAACTTTTTTTTAAGAAACTTTCTTGGACCCAGAATGTGCGTTTGGCTAGCACGAGAACGACGTTTTTGAGAAATCATGGGACGGTGAAAGATCCGTCGGGATATCTATCTATATATCTATCTATCTATCTATCTATATCTATCTATCTATCTATCTATATATCTATCTATATAACTATATATATATCTATTTATCTATTTATCTATTTATCTATCTATCTATCTATCTATATCTATATATATATCTATCTATCTATATATCTATATATATCTATCTATCTAACTATATCTATCTATCTATCTATCTATCTATATATCTCTATCTATCTATCTATCTATCTATCTATATATATATATCTCTATCTATCTATATATATATATATCTATCTATCTATCTATATATATATATATATCTCTATCTATCTATATATATATATATATATATCCATATAAATCCATGGTTTTCCACGGTTTCCTTGTCATATCCTCCGCTTCTTTCGCTTCTTTCCCCCCACGGGTCACTACGCTCCGGACGCCCCCATGGCACAGGCATAGGCCCAGGAGTCCACAGACAGGGCCTCGTTGCCTGGAAACACCGTTGGTGTTTTAAGGAAATGCTTGGATATGTTTATATATATATATATACATCTGTCTACATATATATATATAGATATATATATATATATTATATATGTACAATTATGTACATACATACATTTGCGTGTGTGCTGTGTTTGTGTGTTAAATCAGCATTGTCTTCAATGAAATTGCAATGTTGCGGGTCAAATTGTATATCCAGCATCAAAATTTACAGGGTACCATGCTGCGTTTACCTACAACATATTACATGTTCCTATGTTTTCCTCCCAAAAACACTGAACCGGCCTTCCCCAACGAGCCATGAAAAACCCTTATCCCATTCCATTACCTATACCAATTGGTTAAGAACGGCCTCCGGCTTGGCCGATGTGTTACGCTTTTACCAATCCACCAGTTCCCAAGTGTCATTTTCCCAATTCAACATCTACCCTCTGGTAATTTAACATAGCTATTGAAGATGGCCATTTAGTTCGTTGATTTACCCATTAAAAATTGTGATTTTCCATAGTTACGTAAACGTTTACCACGTTTACCAGAGGGTACCAGAATTGAAAGGTTGAAACCGCCAAACGTGATGAGAAAAAAAAACCTGGAATAACCAATCATTGTTTGCTCGAAAGGGTATTGAAACAACGGGTTCCCTCTGAAAGCTTAAACTGACTTGAACTACTGAATAAATCGTGTAAAATCCCTCAGGCCTCCCCCTTTGTAGTGATTGAAAAGGTCAACCAAATAAGATCCCTGCGCATACTGATTAGTGAATGTTGAATGAATTGGTAAAATCACTGTCATTCAAATCTCTGGTTCTGGATTCCCTGCTATGTTTCGTTCTTTTCATTTAAGGTGTTTACCCAGAAATAGTCTAGATATTCCCAATTATTGGTCAAGATTAAATGTACTGAACAAAATCATCCCCATGATTTTTCAATGAGTGTCCATATGTGTCCATTATTTTTTTTTATCAACCGACTATTACCAACCCTCTGTTATTAAAATCATGTGTCAAATATCCTGCTAAAACACTGTCTTTAAATATTATCTTAAATATCCAAACTAAATCAAAATGGCATCAAAATGGCATCAAAATGACTAGCATATAGCAACCCGGACAAAAGATGAAAAGTAAGTGATCGCTATTTCCGGTCTGGAATTTATCAATTCTATCTTCTTGGAGGTTGCTATATTCAACCAACTAACTCATCCTCACCATTTAAAAATGATGGTTACTTCCCATGAATCCCCAAAAGCAGTCTTAAAATAGATATCATACCCCTTCCGAATAATCCAACTAAAAACATCATGGACTAAAGAATCCAAATAATTGTAATCCATACATCACCATTAAAAAACACACATGTTATAGTTCGGGAATTTCACATAATTTACATAACATATATCACTACCCTCTGGTAAATTAACATGGCTACGGAAAATAACAATATTTTAATAGGTAAATCAACGAACCAAATGGCCATGTTCAATAGCTATGCGAAATTACCAGAGGGTAACCATGGATGAGGCCCTCATATTCATGGATTATATATTGATCATATATTAAACTATATATTGTCATAAGAATAGTGGATGGTTGAACACTGATGGGTAATCCAAATACTAAAAACTAATCCAATTATATATCCACTATTGTTGGTTATTGGTCCATTATAAACTATCATTAGCCAGTATTAACCATCCCCTAGTATCACATTATAGTCATAGTTAATTAACTATAGTTAATGGGATCTTAATGGGATCTTAATGGGATGTTGACATACATCACTAATCCAACTATTATAAGTGGTAATGTCAATCCAGGATAGTCCAACTGTTAAACATGGCTATAAGTGGTATATTTCAACATAGGTATAATCCGCCAACGCTAATCCAGCTATGTATAAGTGATCCCCTAAACTATCTATTGTTCATAGTGATCATATTAAACTATATATTGCTATATAGATATGGCTATAACCATTAATATAGTGGATGGTTAAACAAACAGTTAAACCAACAGTTTTGCACACTGATGGTCAGATCTTCACATCAGATGCCCTTTTTTTGTCCCCAATTACCCACCGGTCCACCGACTTCTCCGCGAGGCACGCGCCAGGTCCAGGAATTGCAAAGCAGCCGCCCAAGCCTCGGTGGCAGCAGTTGCGCGGCCATCCCAAGCCTTGGGAGTTGACCATCAAAGATATGGACCTTTTTGACCATCCAAAATGGTAAAAAAAAACCATCCAAAATTTACAGATATGGAGTAAACATGATTTAACAATATTTAACACATATAGAATATGAGGATTTTTTTTTGCCAGAAAAAATTGGAACATGATTGGATCAAACCAAGCACTTGAAAATAAAGATATCAGATATCATAGAGATATCAGGGGGAAGCGAGGGTGTTTTCTCTATGAGGTGAGATGTTGAAGTGGAATGATGATGATCACAAGTCATTGAGATTAATCTGCCATGGATTTTTTCCAGTTCCTAGGCACGGCCTATTGATATGTGCAAATCAACTGAAGCTTTATCAAGCCCGGCTTGACACATTTGCAACACTGTGACCTGGGCACAAGGAGTCCAACACAAAAAAGAACAGAACGGCCCCTCCTGGGGAAGTGATTTTTGCTCTAAAAATGGTCAAAAAGAATTGGGGGATCACAAACCAAACATAGATTATTTTTAAGCTTACATATGGGCGGATTTCCCAAACAAGGGATTGTCAATGAGAAACTGTTGACTTTTTTGTGGAGACAGTCCCGAGAGCAGTGTTTCAAACCCTGCGTCATCCCTCCCTGCTGGTTTACCAATAGGGATTCCCAATAATCCTCAATAAACTAGGCAGTATGACGCTTATGCCTCGCAACAAAATGACAAATCAACCAGAGTAATGAAACCACGATATGATGTGAAAACATATTTTTTTTAAAAAAAAGCACGAGCTTTGCTGATTGACTCCACATCTGGGAGACTTCAACCCATTAACCCTCCCCTATTCAATGGTCATTTCAGGAACCGATTGATTGGAGGTACCGATTCCATAGAAAAAAGGCCTATTTTTGAGGCCTAAATTTCAGGGAATATCCCCACAAAATATAGTCTTATATGGTACAGTACCTCCATTTTAGGATCCTGAAATTTTCATTGTCCGTGTCTCAGCCGCCGGCTCCAAACCTTCGACATGCTCGGAGCACCAAACCCAGGGCCTGGCGATGATGTTCACTGGCGATATTGTAAAATTGAAAGTTTCTTGGAATGCAGTCATTGAATGGATACCCTCTGGTAATTTAACAGTTTGCTATTGAAAATGACCATTTATAGTGGACTTACCCATTAAAAATGGTGGTTTTCCATATATCAATTAGTATGACTTATTGTTTCAAACAATTCGCATGTTCAAATATGTTCTACTTGCAAATGCTTGCGGATATTGACCCAATTGTTCTCCTTCTATCCACAAAGAACTTGTACACAACATGTTACAACGGACTCCCAGCCAGTTACTAAGTACGAATGTGGCAAAGCTAAGTACAGGCCATCCATGACCATCCACAATACTACCATAAATGGTAGGATGGTTCTGGTTAGACAATCTTTACTTTGATGCTTGTATATGCTTGTGGTTAGACCGTTGTTTTTATAGACAGCCCCAATGTTTCACCATCCATAATCCATCCCCTGTTCAAAAAACATCAAAAAGAGCCCACTTCGTAACAGCTTAATATAGCTCAATCACCCGGCCTTTATGATCCAGTTATGGGATAACTCCACTGAATGGGGATTTAACAAAAACTAGGGTCATTCACCACTTAACAAAAACGATTCGTGGGATGATCCTCCAACCATCCCCACTTTGACAGCCACCCTGCGGCGCCCGGGAAATCACTTTTTGCGGCTAGATCTGCTGGCTCCCGCGTGGTACCAAGGGCAAGCAGCAGTTGATGAAGCCTGCGAGGCACTGCGAGGCACTGCGAGGCACTGCGAGGTGGAGAACCTCCTTGAGATCAATTTGAAACAACTTGGGGAAGTTGGGAGAATGATGAGACAATGATTTGACAGAAAACAAACTCAAACATGTTCCACAATCAGTCCGGCCATCAGGCCCTCTGCTGTTCAGATCTGCAGGATGCTGAGTGATTCTGAATGAGTGAGGAGGAGCCTTGCCCTCCAGGCACCCCATTGGATGTTCATCCCCCAATGAGTAAATCATAGGTATTTCGCCAAAGGACTGAGCTCAGAAGAAAACACAAAACACTAGTTTGCTAGTCATTGGCCAAATAATTCTGGTGGTTTTCCAATGACTCAGACTCGTCTGAGCAGAGAGTTCATATCCATCTGTCATTCCACTATACTGAATACTTCAAGAACGGGATATCCAGTTCATGGATGATGATGATGATGATGATGATGATGATGATGATCCATGATAATTCCCAATATAAAAAGGGTAGTGCAATCTCTGAATCAATCATCAACCAACAGGGGTATCTTGCAGCCACTGCTCGCATTGGTTTCCGGTCGTATATCCTCATGTCGCACACACACACACTTATATGTATATATATATATATATTAATTATACCAAAGAAACGTTTCAAAAGGCACATCAAAATGGAATAGTTAGTCATGTGATGTCCTGCATATATATATATATATATTTATATATATATATATACATATATACTGTATTTACACTAAATATAGACGTGTAAGTCCAATTAACCCCAAACGACACACGTTTTGTCAAAACCAGGTGACTTCCATCAGTGCTCTTCTCAAAGAAATCCAGGTTCCTGAGCCGATGCCGCGATGCATCGCGATGCCGCCATGGCGAACTGCTTCCAGGGTCCCACTGAAGAGTTCTGCCAGAAATATGTTATCTCGACGTTATTTGAAAAATCGCGATCAATTGAATCAATCCACTAGTTGTCATAAATCATGGTTAAATCGTGGTTAAAACATGGGCAAAATTCATGGTTCAAACATGGATACCATCTGGTTATTTACCATAGCCATGGAAAATCCCTTATAAATGGAGGCTTTAATGGGAAAATCATCTATAAATGGACCATTTTCCATGGCTATGTTAAATAACCAGAGGGTAAATCATGAAAAATCAGTACATCTGCAGCCCAGCAGCTTCCAACCGACCCATCCCTTGGAGAGGATGGCTTTCAAGTCGTCCTTCCCCGTGTAGTGAGGATCAACGATGAGATATGCCACCTGGTGCCAATGACGTTAACACCATGAACGTTAATGGTATACTATAGCTATGATCAGCAGAATTGACTTACTTAGCCTATAGGTTAAACATGGCGGAGAAAAAACACTCGTACTAACCAAATGCAAATTCTTGAATCAGTTATTAGCAATTCACTTGAGAGGGAAGGGTGAAAGATCGAAAGGTAGGCGTGGGTTGGAACAGGAGAAGAGAGCAAGGGAACGAGGCATATCCGCTGCGGACGGACGTGGGTGGAGTTGGGGCGGATATCGAAAAAAGTCTTCTGGGCTTGGACTCGAGGGCGGGTACCAAAAAGGTAGGTTTCAGGGAGGGGGGACACGACACACACACACAGACACAGACATATATATATATATAAATACATACATATAGTTAGATATATGTATAAATATCAGGTTATGGGGTTTGCGAGGCAACGTGTAAATGGGGGCAGCACATTGTTGCAACGCGGATGGGGTTGATTCTGGTGTGTACATGTGTAGAACAGTGTGGGATTCACAAACGTGGTGTTTTGACCCCAGCATGTACCCAAAGCAACTGACTTAGGGCTATCCTGGTGCTGGAATCTTGGTGCAAAAAGTGGGCCCGCGGGGTGACTTCTTGCAAACGCGGCTTTAGAGGCGGACCTTGGGGGAATCGAAGGGGGGGTTTCAATATAGTTGTGATAATTATGTTCTAGTTATTATAGTAATTCTAGTGATTATAGGTGTTCTAGTTATTATACATGATAACTATATATATACGAATATACATATATATGAAACATATTGAAATGTCATTAGCGAAGTCTTTTGGTTGAAGAGAATATCTTGGAGGAACCCTTGCGGAAAATCCACCAAATGATCGATATGCTGAGCAAGGGGCAGCGATTATGCTTCGGCAACCACTAGCCAAAGCGCAATATCCCACAATTGCTGGGTAGAGTATGCATATATATATATATATATACGAATCTATATGTATATTGAGATTATTTAGTATATATATATATATATATATCATGGAATTATTATGTGTATATATATATATAGATACATATCTTTAACTATATTGTCGAAGGAAGTTGAGAAGCTAAACTTCCGACAATATGGACAGATGAAAAGCAGAGCAGGGCAGAGGCAGAGAGAAGAGAAAGTTCAGAAGAGAAAGAGTCAGAAGAAAGAAGATGCAGATGCGCGAAAAGGTAGGAAAGTCGCGGTTCACTGTGTTTTTCCAATGATTTGTGGTTCCGGAGGGTCGAAAAGTAGGCTCGCTAAAGCGGCGGGTGCGGAGACATATGGGGAGATGAGACATGAAAAATTGCACGCCGTTGTGGCGCGAAGCACATTTCCAAGTCAAAATGCACAAAACACCAGAGGATCGGACCACTTTTGGCGCTTCAGATGTCGAAAAAGTGTACGCCGTTGTGGCGCGAAGCACATCCCCAAGTCAAAATGTACAAAACACACCAGGGTCTGACCACTTTTGGAAGTTGCGATGTCGAAAAAGTGCACACCGTTGTGGCGCGAAGCACATGTCCAGGTCAAAATGTAGAAAACACACCAAGTGCGGACCACTTTTGGCACTTAAGATGTCGAAAAAGTGCACGCCGTTGTGGCGCGAAGCACATTTCCAAGTCAAAATGTACAAAACACCAGGGGTTCGGACCACTTTTGGAAGTTGTGATGTCGAAAAAGTGCACGCCGTTGTGGCGCGAAGCACATTTCCAAGTCAAAATGTGCAAAACACCAGGGGTTCGGACCACTTTTGGAAGTTGTGATGTCGAAAAAGTGCACGCCGTTGTGGCGCGAAGCACATTTCCAAGTCAAAATGTTAAAAACACTAGGGGTTCGGACCACTTTTGGAGGCTCAGAGGTCGAGTTTCGAAAAAGTGCACGCCGTTGTGGCACGAAGCACATTTCCAAGTCAAAATGTTAAAAACACTAGGGGTTCGGACCACTTTTGGAGGCTCAGAGGTCGAGTTTCGAAAAAGTGCACGCCGCTGTGGCGCGAAGCACATTTCGAAGTCAAAATGTACAAACCACACCATGTTCGGACCACTTTTGGAGGCTCAGAGGTCGAGTTTCGAAAAAGTGCACGCCGTTGTGGCGCGAAGCAGATTTGGAAGTTAACATGTTAAAAACACTAGGGTTTCGGACCACTTTTGGCGGTTCAGATGTTGCTTCGCTTAACTCGACTACACTACATGACACTACACTTTGCTGCACTACACTACATTACACTACATTACATTACACTACACTTCACAACACTACAGGTTACAACTACAACTACACAACTACAGTCCACTACAGTCCACTACACTAAATTACACTGCACTACACTCTCTACACTACACTTCACTACATTACACTACACTACACTCCACTACACTACAAATACAACTACACCTACCCAACTACACTCCACTACACTACAAATACAACTACACCTACCCAACTACACTCCACTACACTCCACTACACAACATTAAACTACACTACACTACCTTACACTACACTACACTCCACAACACTACAACTAAAACTACACAACTACACTCCACTACACTACACTACCTTACACTACACTACGTTACACTACACTAGACTCCACTACACTACACTACATTACACTACACTACACTACCTGCCGCTACACTTCACGACACTACTCTACACTACACTCCACTACCACCTACAACTACAACTACACTCCACTACATTACACTACATTACACTACATTACACTAACTACATTACACTGAATGACACTGCACAAAAGATAGACAGGTAGACAGCTAGACAGATAGATAGATAAGAAAGATAGATAGATAGATAGATAGATAGATAGATTGATTGATTGATTGATTGATATGATAGATAGATAGATAGATAGATAGATAGATAGATCGATCGATAGATCGATAGATCGATAGATCGATAGATCGATAGATAGATAGATATGATAGATGTGATAGATGTGATAGATATGATAGATATGATAAATATGATAGATATGGTAGATATGATAGATATGATAGATATGATAGATATGATAGATATGATAGATATGATAGATATGATAGATAGATAGATATGATAGATAGGATAGATAGGATAGATAGGATAGATAGATAGATAGGATAGATAGGATAGATAGGATAGATATGATAGATAGATAGATAGATAGATAGATAAGATAGATAATAGATAGATAGATAGATAGATAGAGGGATAGATAGATAGATAGATAGATAGGGATAGATAGATAGATCGATAGATCGATAGATCGATAGATCGATAGATCGATAGATCGATAGATCGATAGATCGATAGATCGATAGATAGATAGATAGAGAAATAGATGGATAGATGGATAGATGGATAGATGGATAGATGGATAGATGGATAGATGGATAGATGGATAGATGGATAGATGGATAGATAGATAGATAGATAGATGGATAGATATGATAGATAGATAGATAGACAGGTAGACAAGAGTGAGAGAGATCAATCGCCTTTCAGTCCAGCAGTGGCTTCGCTCTGCCATCTCTGATTCACAACAACCAATCTCTCCTATAGGTTTCCTATTTTTGAAACTTCCGCCACCGCTTTGTGCGGTACTACTGGTATATCATGTACGATTTTTGAGACTACTGCAACGCAGTCCGTCGCAACGTTCTTGCTACGACATTGTTCATCGCGGTTGTTAGGGTGAACGAAACAAAGTTCTTGAGCAATCTGACATTGTCGAGTTTCAGTGCGGGTCTTGACTTCGGTTGGGGTGGGGATGTATGTAAACGTGGTGGATGAAAGTGCATGTGCGGCTGTTGGCGTTTCCTTGTAGTCCGCCTATGTTGCAAACCCGGCTTTAGAGGCGGACCTGGGGGGAATCGAAGGGTGGGGGGGGGGGGGCCCCCCTTGAAAGGCGGACCGAGACATAACCGGCCCAAACTCTTGCACTTGCACCGCTCGCCCCCTAATACTTGCTACGCAAGGGGGAACTCAGGTAGCTCACCGCTACCTTTCGAGATAACTCATAATTAGTATCATGAGCATTGACTGTCAATAAACAAACACATAAACCCTAAGTAACTTAGCTAACGACCTGGGGCACCACCTTGTTGTGAAGGGACTAGATGCCATTCCCATGGTGATGCACGTGGCTGCTTCAACCAGTCAAAATGGAACAACCCAGGAGTAATTTAACGAAGGTGTTCATGGCTTCTTGGGATGGTTTACCATTAAAAAAACTCAACCGGAAACCATATATCAGCAAAAATTTAATAGTTTTTACATATCGTTTACTCTTCAACAAACCTGAGGGGTTTTCCTATGGGTTTCCCTCTTTGTTTTCTGCCATCCGACTCCAAATCTGGATGATCCACACCTCGCCAGTCTCCGAGTCGAAGCAAAGGCCCACCAGAGTGTAGGCATACATCCCGGCACCTCAGTAGCCGAATGAATTGGGTGTAAAAAACACACACCATGTCCTGTAGATATCAAGATCTTCCTTTAAGCCGGCTCAGTAATATATGAATATGATGAACATCTGCAATGTGTGAAAATTCATCTGGATGAGAAAGACATAGAAAGACATGATGAATGAAGAATATTCTAGATGTTTTCTGCCTGGTTTGCAATAGTTGTGGATGTTTTTCAAATGTCCTCTACAGATCCAGAGAACTGCTTGCGGGACCACAACAGACGTCATCAAGCGTCCCCGCCGCCGGAAGTGCATGATCATTCTAAACTCATTTAAGGTGTAAAAGTACCCTATGTAAACAAACATATAGTTAAATCGTGCAATGCATATACCAAATATAACATTATATATAACTCTTTTATGTTATACAATATTATACACAGTATATAATATATACATGATCATGTACATATTTAGTGTGTGTATGTTTTCCGTAAAAGATGCCATTTAAGCAGCACCGGAATGATCCACCGAGGTGCACATCATGATGGGAGTCCCTTCTCGCTCCAGGTGCTCCAACATTTCTGCCCCTTGGCTGGCCATGTCGCTGGCATTTTGCATGTACATCATCTTGCAGTCCACCTGGCTACGGCGTACGGGCACAAAAACCACATGGGAAAAGTTATACCCTCTGGTAATTTAACATAGCTATAGGGAAATCACCATTTTTAATGGGAAAATCATGGAAAATCCACTATTTCGACTGGGTCATTTTCAATAGCAAACTGTTAGTTTACCAGAGGGTATCAGATGTTCTTCATGGATTGGTTTTTGTGGGAAAATCTGTAAACATCTGTTGTGTCAACTATGTTCAACGGGTTTTTTGAAGCACCGCTTTGCCGCTTTGACCTTCCAACTGCGACATCGTTTAGGTCAGCTTGACAAACCCCGGGACGGATGGGGACCATCCCATGAGCATCGGCTCGCATAGTCTGGGCAAATCTTGCGATGCAACCCTCTAATGCGGCTACATATATATATATATATATATTATATATATATACGTATATACAGTGGCTTTGGCACAGGCATTTATTTCTAGCTGCCAGTTGTGATATCAATTTTACATGTTGAAGTCAGGAGTCAGTCAGGAAAACCATCTGGAAACGCCAGTTGATTTTCCCGTATTGCCACGCATAGCTAGTCTAATCCAGGTTCATCGAATGCTGATCCCATCTTCTTGAGGTTTCATAGATGCTCCATCCTATCCCTTAATCTCTCCCCTCAGTTACTACTACTACTACTCCTCCTCTACTACTACTACTACTACTACTACGACCACCTCTAACCTCAGCGGCAGCCCGGTGCCAGATCTTACGCCGATGCCTTCAGGTACTCTTGCAGCAAGTACATGCCTTCAACCGTGCCAATCCTCGGGTTTCATGATGATTTAATGTGGGTAAAACAACAATAAACCCTACCATTTTTGATGGTGATGAATGGATGATTAATAGATGACTAATGGATGACTAATGTGTTTAAAACAATCTACCCATGAAAGGGAATGGTAAACATACCACCCATAAAAATGGTGACTTGGGGGATGGTTTATTATTGTGTTAACCATGTTACTCATGGTCAACTCATTGATGTCCAGGCCTGTGGAAAGTGACCCCCCCCGGCAGCCCGGTGCAGCCCAAAGGTGCCATTTCTTGCTCCCGATCTCCAGGTCTTTATGCGCCTGCAAAAAGTGGCCCGTCTGATGTTGTGGGGCTAACGTTCGTGAGAATTCTTACAACAGTCATGATTGTGCTTCATCATCATATATATATATATATGTATATGTATTTATTTATTCATTTATTTTATACATATATATATATATATAATGTATATTCTGTATATTTCATTATATATATAATATTATATATATAAATGATAAAATATTATATATATATATATATTATTATATTATATATTATATATATATATTGCACTTCTGCAATGCATGTTGATTCTCATTTCCACCATTGCTCTTGTTGGTTACAATGCATCAGCTACTTTTTGATCTAGGTCCTGGCGCCTCATCGATTCGTTTCAACAAACCTGGTCGCGGCACCACATTACCGTTGCACCCATGGAGGTTAGTTCGATGTGTTTGGATGGTTAATGATGGTTAATATATATGTATCCTATCCCCATCTATTTCCCAAATCACGTCTATTACAGTGTGTGTGTGTGTGTATAAGTATTATAGTCTATATAGGTATGTAAGTATGTCTGTAGTAGATATAATTGTAGATATATTAGATATCACAAAAAATGTGTGGCATGGGGCCTCGCCATGCCAAGCCTCTTCCAGATTCATGGCCTATGTTTACATTGGACCAAAGTCATGGATGAGATATATGTTGAGTGTGGAATCAAAGATTGCCATGTCATCCGTTTACAGCTTTGAGCCAAAAAAAATATATTAACATCAATTTAACATCATCTAAAATTCGACCTCCAAGGTTTAGCCGCTTAGCCCCCACAACTCGAGCCCAGAAACGTTGGATTTCCGGGATGCTTGGCACAGCGACTTCGGACCCGACGTAGTGCTGCATGCGATACCAGCTGACGCAGGTCTGCAGTGACCGATAGGCGCAGCCCCAGCCGTTGTCGTCGAAGCTGTCCTGGCCATGGAGATGTTTTGGGTGCGCGAAAGGCCAAAGAATTGAACAAATCCCATGCTGTACTGAAGATGATTGTGGTTGCATCAACAACACTGTCAAACCGGAATCATATCCAATATAGTTACTATATATAATATAATACTGCCTAGGCTATATTTATATCCTACCGATAGATTGGAATTCCATCATCGATCCTGATTTCAGTCGTGAGTTCAATCGTATTTCAATAAGGATCCTCCATACTTGACCTATAAGGTCTCGATGAGACACCCTACTGGTCACCCTACTACCATCTACTACCCCTCCGTCACGGGGTAGTCGTGTCCTGCATGTAGTGATTGTACTCGTAGAGCCCTCGCACGAAAGCGCGTTTGGTGCTCCGGCCTTTCCACCAGCTGGGCTGCAGGCCGCAATCCTTGTGGGGATTCAGCGGCTTGCCTGTGGCTTGTGCCAGCGCCTGTGCGGTAGAACATGGTAGAACCCCTGCCCCACTGAAGATCGGGTAAAAGGAGGGTTAATTATTACAGGGTTATTACTAATTATTACGATTTGTTTCCATGTCTAACTCTCAAAGTCTAAAACGAATCAATCTACAGAATCTACGAGTCTGTCCGTCAACTCTACGTCAACTGCTCCTTTACACCGTTGAAACCACAGTCGAATCAACCATCCGCCTGTCCCGGCGGTGGCAATGCCGCAGCGGGCACCAGCAGAGGTTCCTCGGGCAAACGCAAGAGCGCATGCCTCGGCTACAGGAACTGGTCCAGAGGCAGGTGCTGTGTTTTTCCCATGTTTTCCTATGGGCCCTTTTGGCCATGCCAAAAACCGAGAAAAATGGAAACACAAAAATGAGATGTCACCACGAAACAAGAGTGATTCATGGAAAAAAAATATGTCTTTGACATGGGTTTGATCAGATTGATCAACAGAAACAACATCGAGAAAACCTTGCAGCCGACCTTTCAGTGGAGATGATTCTCCATGGGCTGATGACTCTCATGTCCCGAGAAATAAAACCGGCTGAGAGCCACCCCCGAGCATTTGCCATCCTTTCCATCATCAGTGGTTGCTTTCATTGATTTCATATGTAAACCTTGTCACTTAAAACCAAGGACTCCTAAGATTCCTAAGGTCAAAAAAAAAATCACATAGTTTCAAAAGTTCTTGAAAATCATCATGTTAAACTCGGAAAATTAATATACACATTCATTCGAAATCTGAAGTAAAAAAAGGGGGGGTACCAAATCATATAAAATCATATCAAATCATCCAGATTAGACCTTTGAAACATATTGAAACATATCCCATAGGATCCATGTATGGTATATATGCTAACATTTGGGGTATATTGATGGTAAATGATACCATATATAGCATACATGGATCCTATATGAAACCCATGGTGACTTGGTGACTTGGGGATACCCCCAAGGCCAGGCACAGCTTCTGTCGCTGCGCCGCATCCTCGGTGCCTTGCAACAGCACCGCATGGCCCACGGGCCCTGGGGCGTAGCAACGCACCTCGATGCGGATTTACCAGCTGGATGGGACTTTGTGTATATATATATATTATTATATCATATAATATTATTTATATACATAATATATATATATATTTATATATGGCTTAGATTTTAGGTACCCTGGATGTGTCCATCCTTTTTTTCTACCTCAAAGTATCTGTATACACGGCTTGGTGGCTTGTTCCACCTGGAAAACCTTCGAAAAATATCGAAACATCAGGATTTCACCGTGAGTGTCACACTGGAACACTGGGAATTGGTTAACCAACCAGTAGATGATGTTTGTTTAAGTGGGTTGGCAATCTGGGTCTGATGTTTTTTTTCCTCCAAATTTACCATCCAAGTGTCACTGAGATTGGCCACTTTGCCAGCCCGGACTTCTGCTTCCACTCTCGCAAACCTGACATTGGTCTTTTGGTGGAGTCCCCGGGGCATCCTGGGATGGTCCTGGGATTACCCCCAAAACCACCACCAGAAAGCCATCACTTAACCATTGGTCAACTCAGAACGACTCAACCAGCTCCAATTTCCAGAAAATCCCAGGTCAAAATTCGGGTAGATCATCGGGTGGAACACCATTGAAGATATCATTGTTGGTTGGTTATACGATGTTTTTTCATGATATACCCGACCCTGGTTATCCCTATATACTATCCCTGTTGAATCCCCGTTAAACACATATATGAAATCCAATTAAATAGCATTAAATCACCATTGGTCAAAGAGGCCTGGTACAAACATGTAGGTTCGGGGCCGAGTAGCTGGTCCTTCGCAGCTTCTGCCAGTTCTTCGGCCTCTGTTCTACGGATCGACATTGTCCAAAAAAAAACGTGTGGCAAAAGCCACCCAGCTAGTGATTAGTTTGGGCACGGACATGTAGCAGATGGATGGAAATGTAACTATAGTTCTCTGTCTCACGGTCTCACGTGATGAATCGAACATCACTTATCATCAGTTTGCCTACCTGGTTAAATGTAAATGTATGTAAATGGCCATCTGGTTGGTGGTACACCTACCCCTCTGAAAAATATGAAAGTCAGTTGGGATTATGACATTCCCAATATATGGAGAAAGAAAAGCCATGTTCCAAACCACCAACCAGCCATAAATTGGGGTACATCCCAGGTGGTTGATGAAGCCAGTCGCTGGCACTGGCCGCACAGTCGCGGCATTGTTTTTCAGCATGACAAGCCTAGAAATATATGGGGCCCATATGGGGATATTTCTGAGTAACATCTCAAGGAAATCAACAGGAAGTACGCACTCACTTCAATGACAAGTTGCCAGCCAAAAAATGAACCATATGAACATATATGAACTGATCCAGCTGCCATGTCTTGGTTCCAAGCAGCCATTCGCTCCAGCGAGGCATCCTTCGACACATAAGCTGCAAAGTCCACGCGGCTCAATGCAGTTGAGGGCCCAGAAGTATCCAGATCCACCTGAAATCACGGGGGGATGGCTGAGATGGGCCTGGGCCATGGGAGTTTCCATAGCTACTTTGCAAACCGAAAAAACATCACCCATTTGTGTAAATGATATAATGATCGAAGTATATGATGAGATGATATGATATAAAATAATATGACATAATGATACAATATAACATAATGATATAGGGGAACCAAGGGTAATGAGTAATTAGTATGGAGTATTGAAGACATGTTTCATCTAAGAGATTCCCCAATCTCAATCCGTCAGTCGTGTCATATGCGTTGCTTAAAATCCCATTCTCCAATTCTTGGAGAAACAGATCCCCAAACTCAACATTCATAAACCAACTAAGCCATTCCAACCTTCAAAATATCGTCCATCAAAAAGCCATTCCAAGCCCCAAAATACCCTCTGGTAAACTAACATAGCTATGGATAATCACTACTTCTAATGGGTAAATCCACTATAAATGGTTCATTTTCAATAGCTATGTTAAATTACCAGAGGGTATCATCCATCAAAAGCCATTCCAACCCTCTTCGAAAACCACCCGCTGTCTCGCCCCGAGACGAGCCCCGAGCCACGAAATTGGCGCGGTCACAGGTGGCTCCCAGCTCCGCGGCCAAGACCTCCACGATGACCTCGCCCGAGGCCGCGAGCTCTGCTGGGAGGCTGAGGCCCTTGGCCAAACCTGCGAGCCGCGGAGAACCGGAGGAGAGGTGGATCATGGTCAGGGCCATGGTTACCCTCTGGTAAACTAACATAACTATGGAAAATCACCATTTTTAATGGGAAAATCCACTATAAATAGCCATTTTCAATAGCTATGTTAAATTACCAGAGGGTAGATAGTTCATGTTAGGTTGAATATCCATAAAAGGCCATGGTTTGTTAGTTCACTAGTTTTTAGTGCATGAAAATGGATGATCACTGGGGATACTTCGTGGAAAATAACATGTTATAACTTAGTTTCGCACTAGCTAACTAGTCCGTGGTCAATCCAAGTAATGTACATGTCTATGGACAAAGACAAGATCAACTGGAGATATAATATACTGGATGGGGATATATAATGGGATTTAAAAATGGCATGTGAATTATCAATAATTATCATAGAATCATGATTTGGTAGCCTCCAGATACCCAAAACATTATAAAAACAAATCTTCGAATATGTCATTGGAGGTAGTTTCTGGCTGGTGTGCCACTTTTGAACAGAGAATTTGGGCTCTTAAATCTGATGAACACTCCTGAGCACTGATCAGCACCTTTTCACTCAGTCAGCTCGAAGGTAGCTGAAAGCACTAAAATGGCTGCAGCACATATACAAACATATATGCTACATGTGACATAGTCTACACTGTACACATATCTGATCATGTTTAAAAACGGCGCTCCCGTCCAATTATTTGAACTAGGCGAGTTTTGATATGTACAGCTACTCATAGCCACGCTCAAGCCATCTATGCTCTCAGTGTCAGGTGATGCTCACCTTCCAGAAAGTGAAAATTCATATTTCGCAAGGCTTTATTCATTTTCTCTTCTATGACAGGTTTCGTCAAGACGTCGGCAAGCATATCGCCAGTGTCGACCTTCTTCAGCCGAAAATAGCGCTTGGCAACGCGGTCTTGTACCCAATGGTATTGAGTATCCACGTGCTTGGCCTTGCCTAGTCCTCTGCGAGAACCCATTGCTATTCCTGCACTTGCGTCCATGAAAACTTCACTCTCGGGTTGCAAACCCCAGTCTTTGGCGGTTGAAACTTCTCCCAGCAAATTGCTGGCACCGCTCACAAGAGCGTAATACTCACTCTCTCCAGACGAAAGACTGACTACTCCTTGTCCTTTAGAGTAAGTCTTGATACAACAACCTCCGGCCATCAGGACGCCTCCTGACACGCTCTTCCATGTGATAATTCTGTTCAGGACTCTGATGTCCTGGATGGTGTTTGGTGTTCCTGGTGGTCCTAAAATACCACGTTCCACACATTTCCACTTCTTCGACAGCTCTTCATGAAGCCATTTGCTGTTGTCAAATGTTCCGGCTGTTGTAAAATCATCTCCATGTACAACAGTTCTGAGGTCTCGGCCTGCATGGTAGTAAATGCATGGATTGCTTTTTCCTTGCTTGAAACCTAAGGCCAACATGACCTTCTGTATCTGCAACTCCCAGTTGAGAGGTGCGTCTCTGGTTCCATACAATGACTTGAGCAATCTTCCTACCACATCTTCTCCAGGCTTCTTTGCTTCTGCAGGAAGTTCCACATAGATCTCACGCGTCGCATCTGAGTAAAAGTGGGCGCGTTTCACATCCAAAAATCCTAGAAGTCTACGCTTGCGATAGGCTTCCTTGACAGCTTTTCCAGCGTCTGGCAACTGAAACGTGACGGCTATTGTAACTAGCATCTTCAAAGCCGACAAACTGGGCATAGCTGCGAAGAACTCATCAAAACCTGAGCCCTTCTTGACTTCTTGAGCTACTAACCTACTTCTATAAAGTGGATTCTCTTCATCCTGCTTGTTGACATCTACCCATCGTGTTCCAATGGTGCGTACCCCTTTGGGCATCTTGTGTCTGGGAATCTTTTCCCAAACTGGAAAACTTTCGATGATTTCGACCTCATCTTTTCTGGCTTGTTCTACACCTTTGCTGTCTAAAATCTTTCCACTGATATCATCGTAATAATACCATGTGGCTGCTTCATCTTCCAGTTCTGGTGGAAGAGGAATTGTCTCTTCACAAACTGGCTCTTCTTCACCTTCAATGGACTGAAGGTACTTCTCCCGATCTTCCATGATCAGGTTCATAAGACATTGGTCTATGTCATCCATGTCTTCTGGTCTCTCATTCTCAGGTGGCCGTTTGGTGCCCTTAGACGCCTGAGCTGAAGCAGCTCGGCTGTCCTTGGACTTTGACGTTTCGCCTCCTGAGTCTGCAGGTCTTTTCCGACCTTTGGTTGGAGACATTTCCAACCTTTTGTGTGCTCTTTCTTCTTGCTCGCCTCCTGCCCTCTTGGCTGAGGCTGTGCTTGCGCTTGCGCTTTCTGCAGGTGGATCTGCAGCTTGTCCGGTAGCAGGACTCTGCCTCGCGATAGCAGGTCCAGCCGTTGGCAAACTTGGAGCAGATTCCCCTGTGGCTGAGTACCACAGTTCAGTGACGATATCTGCGTCATCAATCAAAGGCGCGTTGATGACTTCATCTCCTAAACTAGGATCCATTGGTTCAGACTTGATAATATTTCCTGTTTTGAAATCTCTGGTGACTCTCCACCAGACATTATCCCAACTGGGACCTTCTGGCATAGTACCCTTGAGATACCTTGCATTCTTGTCAAGGCGCGCAAACACCTTAAAACCGTGAGGAACTTCTTGTGGTTTCTCACTTGAATACCCATAAAGAATCTTTGTGCCTTCTTCGGACACTTCTTGTTTCTGACCAGTGATTTCAGAATCAACCTTGGCCGTATGTTGGGCTACTCTCAGGTTGCCCTCTTCTGCTTGAAGCAGACGTTCCATCCTTTCTCTGCAGGCAGGAGTGTGATGAACTCCAGTGCCTCTCTTGCCAATTCTAGTGGCATCACAGGCGACACAACCAGCGGTGTAGCCATACTTGTCCAAATCACGTTTGGTGATGTAAAGTCGTCTTGTCGACTTCTTTGCTGGCTCAACTGGCACTGATGGCGCCAGTGGCTGCTGATCTCCCCCAACAATCTGAGGAAGCAAAACATCATCTCTTTTTGATGCTTGAGGATCCCAGGGAACCCCAGTGACTGACATCAAAGTTTCGGCATCATATCTGTCGTCAGCACTCTTGCGTCGAATGCTTTGCACAGTGAAAACACCTGATGCATTTCCCACTATCTTCTCAGTGGTATTGTCTTTGACTCCCAAGAAAACTCCTTGGTGCCATCTTTGTTCAAACTTGTGACCTCTTTTGAGGAATTCAATTGTTTCCCCAAATGGTGGTAATGACACTCTCCACTCACGACCACGGTGTCTAGAGTACGGTGTCTTCCCATCTTTGACTTCCAATGATCTGTGAAACAAATTGTAAGTGGTGCTAGCATGTTCAACCAACCATGTCAAAACTGGGTGGTCGTCTGGCACCTTTCTTCCATAGCTTGTCTCCAAGGCACTTCTGAGTGTCCTGGATTGAGATTCAATAGCTTGAACTGCTCTTTCAATTTCCCCTTTGGATTCTGAGACTCCTTTGGGAACTTTTTCCAAAACCAACTGTTTGTCAAAACCATTCTTGGCTGCCTCAACTACGGAGTTGAGTGCAGGCTCTGGGTCATACCTCATGACCATCTTGGGGTACCCAAACTTCTTAAGGTCATTCAAAAGACACTTAGATCCAATAGGACCTTGGGTAACTCCCTTGTATGGCAAAACGTGTGCGTAGGTCAACTTGGACCATCGATCATGTACTATCAAAACTGGTGCATGCTTTTTCTGCACTTCTTCTGTGATGACAGTGTCATCCACTGAATTCATGAAACAATAGTCAGCTGAGATCACAGGAACTGTTTCATCTGAATGATCTACTTTGACATGTCTCATTGCCTTTGCCTTACCTCGAATGCAATGTTCACACCAACTCCTAAAGGGATAATGGCTGACAAAATGCTCTTCTTTTTCTCTCTGCGTCGGCGCTGCTGCAGTTGGTAGCGCTTGAGAACCTAGCTTACTACTGCCCGGTTCATCATCTCCACTACCTGCGCTCTCTGTGGTCTCCACAGGACTTACGCCTTCAACCCTTCTGTGGGCTGCCCATGAAAATCCATGGCTATCTTGAAAACACCTCCAGTCATGGTGACTGGAACCTTCTTGGCTCCCCTTTGCAGAAACGATCCATTGGGGCCGAAGGTTACTGTCCAGCCTTTCTCAACCAGCTTGGACACAGACAACAATGGCTTTGCAACATCCATTGCCCGGAACTGTCCCACACCTTTGACTTGTGGGCCTCCTTTCTCACCCATGGTCACTATAGGGTTGCACACCCCATGCACCTGGACTGGCTGCCCTGATGCGTTGGTGAACGGCTTCTCATCCACAGGTGTCATAGCCAACTCCAATGACTGTGCCAATTCCTTGGGTAGGCAACTGGTTGCTGCCCCTGAGTCAACGGTGGCCCAGACAATGGTATCCACCTGAGATGCCAAACTTCCCAGGAAGTCGAGGTTGGAGTCTGACCGAACTCCTCCTCCTGGTGAATGCTCCCTGGGCTTGGGAGATGGCGTTTTCTCCCTCTTCTTCCTGGCTTTTCTTTCCATGTAGTTAGCTGCATCACGCACCGTCTTCTCCAGGAATCTCTTGGTGCCCATGCTGAACTTTCCCCTGCCCTTGGACGCCTGGGCTGAATCAGCCCGGCTGTCCTCAGGCGCTCTCGATGGGGATTTGGACTTCAGCTCGATGGGTGCTCTGGGTGCCTCTTCTTCTTCTTTCTTTTCTTCTTTCTCTTTCTCCTCGACCTTCTCTTTCTCCCCTGGCCTCTTGGGGATCTTCTTCACCTCGGGCTTCACTTCATCTTTGCCCTTGTGCCTGAAGCGCTCGTAGTGCTCCTCAAAGCTTTGCTTGCGCTTCTTCCTTTCTTCATCCTTGGCAATCTCTTGGCGCCTCTTCTCATCTTTGGCTTCTGCATCATCCATGGGGCGCTTCTGGGATGATTCTCCTTCTTCTCGTGCCTCTCTCTCTCTGCCTTTACCTGACGATGTTCTTTCTTCCAAAACTCCAGGGCATACTGAGGATAGCATTGCTTGTTCTCCACATGTTGCCAAAAGCTTGCAACGCTCATGGAGTTGAGTGCCTTTCCACATGACTGGCACTTCACATAGGGATACCCTTTGTTGGAGACAGTTTTGCACTTCTCATGCAACTCCTTGAATGGAATGGGTCTTCGAAAGGAATTCTGCCAATGCTCGACCACATCCTCCATGCCTGGTGCTGGCTCCTGGTTGTAGGGCAAATCGTCTGGATCTGTCTCATCAGAAGATCCTAGGTCAAGAACTTCACCATAGGCTTTCTCGTAGGCTTCCTTCAAGACGTTGTCCAACTTGCTGAGGACTTCAGGATCGGTTTTCAGCTTTTCAAGTCTGCTAACAAACTCATATCCTTCAGAGGAAATGCTCTCCTCAGAGGAAATCTCACACTTGTCATGGATCCATTGTGGGATCTCATCCTTGCTCATCTCTTTCATCTTCTCCTTATTGGCCTTCTTCCTTGCTTCATCTGCTCTTCGTCTTTCAGACCTGTGATGTCCTCCTCTATGGCGCTTGGGTTCCAGCTTTCTTGCTTTGGGAGGTTCAGGAAGATCTCCCATGTCATCCTTGTCCCACTTGTCAGGGTCGGCCTGTCCAAAGGTGGCCAACTCATAGCGCTTGAAGCTGGATGCTCTTTGTCCAGCAGTGGCTGCTCGATGACTGGCAGCTCTCTGACTTCCTTTCTTTTTTATTGGCAGCTCTTGGATGTACTCTAGCATCAAGGTCGGCTTGCATCCGACGAGAGGGTGCAGCCGGTGCTGAAGCAGCACGGCCTTCTGCCCTCACTTTGGCCATTGCCTCTTTGGCCTCTTTGTGATGCTGGGCTGCCTCTTTCTTCAACTTGTCCAGGGCTTCTTGGCGTTCCTTAAGAGCTTGATTTGCTTGACGCCCTTTGTCCTGAGCTTCTTTGACAGCGCTCTCAGCCTGAGCAATCATCTTGCCAAACAGCTCCTTGTTAGACCCAGAAGCTGATGCCAAAGCGCTCTGAGCCATGACGATAGCGCTCCTGGTCACAGTGCTCCTTGAAGGTGCTTGAAGGTTTGCTCGTCTTGGGCTTCGACCACAACGAGAAGATTCATCTCGAGCTTCAGACTTGGGCGGCATAGCGTCTTCCAAGGTGAACAGCGCTGTGAGTTCAGGTTCAGGTTGATCACCAGTGGCAGTTGCTGCAGGTTGCTCTTGAGCCCAAGTATCAGACTCAACATTAGCAACTTTACGACCTTTGCCTTGATCCCCTTTTCCTTTACCTTTGTCTTGACCTTTCTTACCTTTGCCTTTGCTCTTGGAGTCATTGGTATTCTGTTTAGACCAAGACTGCTGATTCCAAGATTGATTGTTCCAAGACTGATTGTTCCAAGACTTGTTGTATGAATTGTTTGACCAAGACGAAGACTGACTCTTTCCTTTGCCTTTACCTTTGGACTTACCTTTGCCTTTCCCTTTATCAGGTTTTCCTTTTCCCTTACCCTTAGCAAGGGAATCCACATCCATGGGAACGGCTCCTGACTTTGCTTCTTTCCTGGTCTCGACGTTCTCAAGGTAGGCCAAAACTTCAGCTTTCACCTGGTCATACGTGGTCAATCTCGAAGCCTGCAAGTCCAAATGATCTTGCAACTTGTTGGGACACATCTGCTGCAAGCAACTCCTGCAGATGTCATCTTCAAGTGGTTTCTTTCTCCTGTCTTCGTACTTTCTTTTCAAGTTCTCCCAACTCTCAAGCCCTTCTCGAAGCTTATCAAGACTGCATTGACTTGGATGCAGAACCTTTTTCAACAAGGCTGAGTTGGCTTGAGGATTTTGAGGATCATATTTGCACAACAGTCGTCTCATGGCTTCTAGGCCAAGTGGCTACCACGAGATGTGTTCTTGACAATTTCCAACGCTTCTCCCTCAGTCAATGATATGAGGGCTTGTCTAGCCTGAGCTGAAACTAGCTCGGCGCCTTCATCAAAGTCTACTTCTAGACTTGACTCAGTGATCTCTTTGTCACACTGAGACTCGACTTGTGCCACAATCTTCACAGCGTTCTTGTGGCAACTTTCAACCCATGTCTTAAATTTGTACCACCAACTATCCCAAGTGCCTGATGCTCCAGTGAACTTATCAGGTTTTGGTATGCCTTTCAACTCTGATCTGTCTTTGTACTCAACAGATCTCTCAACATTTTTGTTGATCTGAAGCTGCTGGCTCATAGCCTCGGTCATTGCCTGGCTCAACTGCGCCTGACCCTGAGTCAATTGGGCCATCATCTGCATAACCATCTGGGACATGTTGGGACCATTGCCTTGTGCTTGTTGGGGTGCTGGTGGAGTGCCTGGTTGATGAGGTGGCTGCTGTTGCTGAGCCATCCTTAGTCGTTCTTCAGGTGCTTAGAGACCTGGTTCAAAAGAACCCTTGGATACTGTTGGAGATGCACTCCCAGGTTATGGAAGTACCTTTGGAGTTTCCTGATTTTCAGGAGCTTGAGTGTCAACCTTTTCCAGTTGGCACTGGGTAGGCGCGCCAGAGCTGATGCAGCTCGGCGTTGACACCTACACATTCACAGCTGGGTATCAGAACCTCAGCTCCGCTACCATGAACAGAGAATTTGGGCTCTTAAATCTGATGAACACTCCTGAGCACTGATCAGCACCTTTTCACTCAGTCAGCTCGAAGGTAGCTGAAAGCACTAAAATGGCTGCAGCACATATACAAACATATATGCTACATGTGGCATAGTCTACACTGTACACATATCTGATCAACTTTGCCAACCCCATTTCTCGCCATATTTTTGGTGCTTCAATCAGACCGTATAATTCTCCCAGCGTGGCTTTCCATCAGTTTTTGCTTCCGAAAAAAACCACTCAGCAGCCGGTGAGCTTCCCATCATTTCGCAGGTTGATAAGTTGATGCTGTCCGTTTTCACATCTTACCTTGGTAAATTATAATAATTCACTAATCTGAAATAAGGAAATGTTGGGATGATTCCTCTTACTAACCATGATTCCAGTGAGGTCGCAGTGAGGTCGTTATAATTTACCCAGATCTTACCCCTTGCAACCCACCCCTTCCCCCAGGCGCCTGCTTTGAGCTGCACCAAACTGGGCGCTTGCGCAGCCTGCGGGAAGCGATAGTGCAGGGTGCCCAGGGTGCCCACGTCCCGCGCCATGGCGCTGAGCGCCAGCTGCATCTCCTCGAGGACGGAGATCTCACTGATGAATCACTAGAAATGGGGATTTAAGCAGTCACTATCTGGTTGGTTAATAATGGTTAATGATGGTTAATGATGGTTAATGATGGTTAATATATATATATATTATGTATACTGGTTGGTGATTGAGCCCTACCCCTCTGAAAAATATGAGTTATATGAGTTCGTCAGTTGGGATGATGAAATTCCCAATATATGGAAAGTCATAAAAGCCATGTTCCAAACCACCAACCAGCTATACTTCGATGGGTGGTTAGATAACTAGTAACTAGTTCATCTATGTTAATCTATGTTAATCTATGTTAATCTATGTTAATCTATGCTAGCAAATGGATATAACAATATACCATCTGGTTATGACTAACAGTTCGCCATGGAACATCACCATATTTTATAGCTAGGTAAACCATCTATTTCAATGGACCATCTATACCATGGCTAGCTCTGTTAGTCATAACCAGACGGTAACTTGTTGCAACGATCAGCAGTTGAATCGCTGGGAAGGTCATTCTTTCCCTGTTTTTAGATCAATCCCAAAAGGGGAAGATATCATCAAGGAACATGGCAGTTTACTGGAACCAATATGAAGCAAAAATGTGCTGCCAGCTGACACCAGGTGACTTACTAACCTGGGTGATTGAATATATAAGCACTTACTAGATGGGATGATGCAAGCATGGAGGAGGGGATGATTGAATCGACAGGACAACTACACCAAAGCGACCGCCACATGGCTAAATGATGCTAAATGACCAATTTAATATGGTGCATCCTTACATATCCTTACATTCAGATGTCACCTGATAGATAATATCTGTGTGGCTGTGAACATGGTCGATAACATACGTGATCATGACATTCAAGACCCCACTATGGTCGATGTCATATCACCAAAGCCACCTGGGAACAGCTGGAACCACCCCAGCTGTTCCTCCTGAGACGGAGGCACATGGACCTCCAGGGAAGAACGAACCAAGAGATCTGAAGGCTGTCCTACCTGGCAGAAAGTTGCGGGAGATGCTGTGAAGGGTTTGCCCTCTGGTAACATAGACATAGCCATGGCAAGTGGCTGGTGAAAGTAGATAATTTACATTGATTTACCAAAACATGGTGGCTTCGCATAGTAGTTGGATTACCAGATGGTCACATGTCCGTTTTACTTGGCAATTCAATCTGACAACAGGACATCCCCACTTTTCCCATGTCGAGCGTAAACAAAAAATACACACACCACTACAAACGGCATCATTCATTGGCAAGTCAGATTACCACAGGATATCCGACAAAATCTGAGTGTGGCTGGTTTCTGAAGACCATGATTTTGGTTGCACGAATACTCTGGTTGGTCATCCAGATTCTTTCAGTTTGCTTGGCTTTGAATCACTAGGCCTTGGTTGTATCCCCCCTTTGGTTCAGTATGGTTCAGTTACATCCCGAGCAGCACTTCAATTTCAAGGTGGTGCTCTCCAGTTCTTGGTTGATTTATCACCAATCTAACCCCTGTATAGCTATAATGTGCTATAATCATCGGAAATTCTGCTTAGCCTTGTTAATCTTGTTATCAACTAAGTGAGCTAACAATGGGGCACCCACCTTGATTGAATTGTTTGAGGTTGTGCGAGGTGAATTGTGATCCTTTCTGGGGCAATTTCTGGGTGTTCTAGCATAAATATTAGCATAGTCATAGTCTTGTTTGCTGCTTCAATCCACACGTTTGTCACTATTTCTCCAGCTCAATAGATCTCAATAGTTCCTCAACGATCATCATTGAAAAGTGTTTGGCCATCCCAGGCGAAGGTTCAGATAGCTTCAGTAATTAGGTGCTGCCAGTGTTGCCCAGTTACGGGGATATAGCCTGATGGCCAGCTATGAACCATTGCCATTAACTGCAGTTGGCTCATCTAAGCCGTGGATCCAGTTTCCCCTGAAATCGTCGATTTTTTCGAACGTGGGAAAGAAATTGGAATCAAAAATCACCAGCGACTCAGCACATGGCCGCGCCTTCCAATCTCTCAGTTCCTTCTCCTCCATCCGGAGCACCAGCTGCTGCTCCTCCCGCCACGCCACAGTCCCTCCGCCGGAGGCATCGTTTCCGCAGTAGCGGCCCAAGAGGGCCAGGCCGCGTGGTAACAGCGGTGGGGCTGCGAGCCTGGTGCCAATCTTACGGGGTGGGGCAGCATGGGGCAGCAGTTCGGTAGCGAAGTTGGTTCATCACTGGGTTAACTTGGTGGTTGTGGGTGGATATATTGTCTCTCATTGTCTCTCTCTCTCTCTCTCCATCGCCCTCTCCGGGAGTTCAGCAATACCTAATGGGATTTATAAACCAACTCATAACTGGGGGGCCTTGTAGATAACATGACCCCCGCAAGATAGCTGATTAGTACCCATTTGCTGCTAAAGATGAGAGGATTCAAGGACCCATCCAAGGTTGGCCCAGATGATAAACAGAAAACGTTAATCATGATTGCTCAAGGCCAAAAATAACTAATACACATAATAATAAGAATAATAAGAATAATAACTAATCATCATATAGTAATAATGTAGTAACAATAAATAAAATACAAATAAATAATAATAATCATCATCGTCGTCACAATGGCAGTTGCTGGTGGTCAAAGGTTCAAACCAAGCATCTCTGTGCACTGAAGCACGCTCCAAATGAAGAGTTCCTCGTCGCTCTGTCGGCCGATCAGCCAAAACCTCGCAGGGAAGTGGGGTGTGGTCGCATGAGCTCTGGGACATGAATCATTCACGTGGGAATTTCATCGAAAAAACATGGAGAACACGTGGTGAACATTGGTTTTTCCAACAAAAAACTCAAGTATGCCACCAAAAATCCACCAAAAACATGTCATCCATTTTTTTGAAAGGAACTCAATGAGCCTTTGACCAAGAGACGGGCCGGCATCCTCTGCCACAAGGGCCTTTCCCTCTTCTCCTGGAGGAGAAAAATGGTTGACCATTCACAAAACAAGGAAGATTCGGCCATCAAACATGGGATTGAAACTGAAAACAACATTTATATAGTTCTAGAAGTCATATATTCTGTATAGTCCAGAAATCAGACCCACTACAGGAAAACATCCAGTTTTGGTGCAAAACTGACATGTCAAAATCGATCAATGACAAATGGATTCATCAGAGGGTGGTTGGTCAATAGATGGCTGAAGATATCTCCAGGATCTTTCGCAGTCTTCCAAGGATTCTGCATGTCAATTTCCAGGTGTTCAAGTGGTTTTCCATAAGACATATTGGGTAATAGCAAGTGTATGTGGAAATTCCCTACTAAAGCATGATTTCTCAGGGGGTGTTTAATATTAGGGGGATGGGATTCATCCTATTTCTCAATGGTTTTTCAGTATCACCTGCTACATGTCCACTGAAAATCGCAAACCCCGTCCTTCGGTAATGAAGCCCGGGATAGGCTTCACAAAGAGCTTCATGGCGCCGACAATTTTCCGCGTCGAAATTGGAGGATTCAACGAACCCAACCGTGGGGATTCAACCATAGTTGGGCTTTGGAAAATGACCATGTGTGAAATATAGGAAAAGATATAGGAAAAACCATACCCTCTGGTTATGACTAACAGTTCGCCATGGAAAATCCCAACCATAAATGGAGGTTTTAAGAACGGTAAACCATCTATTTCTATGGGCCATCTATACCATGGTGAACTGTTAAATAACCAGAGGGTAAATCATCAATCATCTATGAATGGGTCATTTTCCCATAGCTATGTCAAATAACCAAATGGTAAATACAAGCAACAATATGGTATGAGATGGGTGTGTCTTGAAGTGAGGCATGCCACAGTATGCCTCAAAATTGCATTCTCAATACAGAAAATGATGATCAACGGGTGGATTTAGGGACATGGATGTAAAAACATATGTCTAATATATGATTTATATGATTTTATATGTATTTATATGTGGGGATGTTTGTTTACCAAAGCTTGGCACATCTTCGAGTCTTCACCCCCAACCCTTTTTATATTTTTGTAGTTTCGAGATCACAAACCTATTCATGGACAGTTCAAGTTGTTTTTTTGCTGGGATATGTGGGCCATATGTGGGCTCAACGAATCACAAACATCTCTCGAAAGTCAGGTGACTTGGCGTTGCTGAAGGAAATGATCCAGTTACGATCGATGCTTAAATTGTAGAGAATGATGCTCCAACCTGTTGGGAAACTGATGCCGAAAAAGCCGGAACATGGCAATGTTGGTATATTTGGTGATGCCATGTTTTTTTTTGAGTGCTATGACCCGATCCTCGAAATCCACAGGTCCCAAGAAAAAACTTCCATGTTGTTGCTTACTCCTATATCCCAACATATCCCATGGAGTGCAACCCATCAGGTCCTTCTTGGACGTGCACAGGATTCGTAAGTGGTCAATAATCCATTGAAATATCCCATGATTTTGTCCCGTTAAAATGCTTGGTATGAGAATATCATTGGGATATCATCTGGGATATTGGAGTGAATATTCCCAATGATCTTCCCAGGATATCCCAATGATCATATTCCCAATGGTTGGTAGCCCGGATCTCTATCAGCTGCGAACGGGCCCTTCAGGCGGAACCGCACCCTGTCGGGATTCACGGAGTCTGTGGCCCAGTAGTCCTCCAACATGGACAAGGCCTGACGGGGCCGTGGGGGGCCCTGGGTGCTGCTGGGGAGATAGAAAATGATGGAAACCCCCCAAAATGATGGAAGGATATGGAAGGATATGGAAGGTGAAATCCGAATAAAATAGCTCGGACTTTTTGATCCTTCTGTGGCTGAAAAGCATCGATAATACATGGATACTAATGCGGTAAACGCAAAAGAAAAAAAACTCCTTTTGTGAGGGGATTGTTTTGCCACGTAGCTTGTCACAGGCGTTGCTGTCCATCCAACTTTCGAGATCATCTAACAAAATCTGGGCACAGGGCAAACACAGTGGCCCAAATTTTTATAGCTTCCCGAGGATAAAAATATATAAAAAAGATGATGATATTTTCTGGAACAACCAGAATCACCCTGCCACATACTGATCATTTTTATCCATCTCTGTGGGACATTCAAAACCTCTGAGTCAGCACCTCTTCAGCACCCAAATCCTTGGTGATACCAACGATTCGCCCCGATAACCTCCCACCTGTTGCCACTTGCCCAAGGGTACGCCTTGGACGTTGCGGCAGCGCAACTCATCCCGACAAATGTGCCCTCTGGGTATTCAACTATTCAACATAGCTATGGAAGATGACCCATAGAAATAGATGATTCATGATGATTTAACAATATTTACCTGTTAAAGATGGTGATGTTCCATAGGTACGTTTAAAAAAAAACAGAAGGGTATAACAAACCACCTGGTGGTTCTTCATCCCAAAGATCGATTTCAAGAAGAACACCAAGGAAGGACCAAACCTGGGCACTCCATGACGAAAGCAAAATGGGGTGATATCTTAGACCCTGATACCAGCAGCTGGTTATCTCTTATTGGGTGTCCGGATGGGGCTGGTCTGCTCGACTAAAAATGTGTTCCGGATCCCCTGTCATATCATACCCCACCATATCAATGGGAATTTCAGGATCCTAAAATGGAGGTACTGTACCATGTAAGGCCATATTTTGTGGGGATATTCCTTTACATAGGCCTTACATAGGCCTTATATATGGAATCGGTACCTCCAATCAATCGGTTCCTGAAATGGCCATTGATATGTTGACCAACAAAATTCCAATTTGTTGTTTAAGGTTTGCCCTCCGGCAATCTAACATCGCCAGTGTTCAGAAGGGCACTGTTTAAAGTTTACTCTCTGGTTATTTAACATAGCCATGGAAAATCACCATGTTTAATAGGTAAACCATCTATAAATGGGCCATTTTCCATGGCGAACTGTTAAATAACCAGAGGGTAATCTTAAAATATGTTTCACATCTAAATCATCTACAAATGGCCATGTTTGATTACCAGAGGGATCCAGAGGGTAAGCTGAATCTTAGGAAACGACCATCCGGTCATCTGGGAGGTGGTTGAAAAATCGTCTACCATTCACTATGGTTATTTCATCACAAAAAAAAAACATCAACACTACTCAGAAACAAATTTAATTAATAATTTAGCTGGCTGTGAGGGTTTGTCTGAAATATGGAGCGCCATCTTTCACTTCAATGATGAATTTCCTATACTATATAGCAATTTTATCATCATTTTCCCATGAAATTAGCTACCGAGGTATCTTCCATGGTATCCCATTGAAATTTTCGCCATAGGGCAGCACCTTGTTGGCATCTACTTGGACCCCTGACAAGCTTGCAAGGCTGCTTCGTTGCTGGCAAAAGGCACTTGGACTCCTCGAGTCGAGTTTAGCCGTTTAGCCCGAAAGGACCCGTGCGACCCTGGAGTTTAGCGCGGCCTACAAAAGGCAAACTCGAAACCTGTAAGATGTGCAAAATCCCACTTGCAAACGGCCACGGGCAAACAAACACAAACATGGAAAACTCAATCTTGATCAAATGACACCAAGGAAGGTGAGTCCCTACTTTCTAGATGGTTAAATCACATTTTTTGATGGGTTTTCACTGCAAGGTTTTGACTAAACTCATTCCATTGATGGCGAACCTCTAGGTTGGGTGATTGGGTCCATCATAACATCCCCCTAGGCCTGGTAGGGTAGCCATAGGTTGCCCAACGATTCAGAATTTAGGGCGCGCCTGCTGATCTCATGCTCTCCAGCACTTCCAGAACCTGGCACTGGAAGACCACCAAGAAAACACAACGTGGTCCTGCGTAAGCAGTGAATTGTCCCAAAAATCATGTGATAATCCTGGTTTAACCATGGAAAAATGTTGGTTAGTTGATGGAGTTGATGCCCAGGCATTGATCAGGCTTGGGTCTCCCCTGAAAAAATGTCGGCCCAGAAAAGCAAAGGAAAGCCAAACAAAACCCGAAAGCATTCCTGCTTTCCTGACATAAGTAACACACACATATACATATATATATATATATATTTAATATACATATACTGGTTGGTGGTTTTAACCATCTTGAGAAATATTAGTCAATGGGAAGGATGACATCCCATATATTATGGAAAATTAACCCAGCTTTGCAACCCAACAGCATACCTGAATCTTCCACCTACGTCTTTTTTCAGACCCTGTGCCAAAGTCCTGTTTTTTCAGTCCCCAGAAAACTTTTCAGGACCTACTCTCAAATTCAGGACCTGGCCATTTTGGGGTATCAATGGTAATGGCAATCATTGGGTGCAAACATGTGAAACCAACATTTGGTGGATATTCAAGCCATTGGCATTGATCCACGCAAATAAAAGCTCTCCCAGCCCAAACTCATGGCAAGGCAGGATCAGAATATAGTATATTCCAGAAAGTATGTCAGAATAGATGCCAGATAGGATGCCAGAAAGAATGTCAAATAGAATCTCAGAAAATAATGTAAGATAGTATGTCAGAACATATGTGCCACATATACGTCCAGATGATATGTTAGAAACTATGTCAGAATAGTGTGTCAGGGTGGGGATCACTCTTAGTAAGGCAATTTTGAAAATATATTTCAGGTTCGGAATTTTCAAACTGTTGTCCTTCAGGCGCCGAAGCTCCCGTTGAAGGTCAGCATCGCCCCATGTCAACTGGTCCAGTCCCACTTCCATTTCAACAAGTCCAACTTCATCGATTAGGGTGTTGGTTGAATGGACTTGGGACTCTAGCTGGCACGGCATCCCTTGTAACCCTGTAGACACTGTAGTGGGCAAAAAGATTGTAACACACAGAATCAGCATCATTTTGATCAGGCATTCTTTTTGCTAATCCTTTCTCCCTATTACGAAAAATACCCCCAAATGACAAAAACTAGGTGCGATTTCCAATTTTGGGAAATGTCAAATTGGTTAATCTGATTTTTAATTGATCCCCTTGAGGAAACAATTTTAAAAAAGAAGGTACCATGTGAGGGTTTCACCCCCAAAGAATAAAAAACTAGTCAACACCGGGGTGTCTTTTATTGGGGTCCGTCCTTTAAAATCGTCAATTTTAGTTTTTTTAATTCAGGTGTTGGTGTTTTATTTGATACTAGGCGAAAGCTTCGAAATCCTATTCTTGGCAGTATTCTATTTAAAGATTATTTTCATGGATTTTGAAATTAGAAACAAAAACGGTTTAATCCCTTCCCCCTGTTGCTAAACAGTCGCCCCTTCACCCACCCACCCAAATAACAAACACCTGGAGGATTTTTTAGTATTGGGGGGTCTTTAGTATTAGGGTACGAAGCTTCCCCCTAATACTGATAAAAAAAACACACACACACACACACGCATATATATATACACATATTTCTATTTAAAAATCGATCAGATTTCTTTCTTTTTAAATCCAATTAAAATATGGCAAACAAGTGGATTCCGAAGCTTAATATCAAATAAAAACCCCCAACATAAAAAACTATGAATCTTTTTCTATTTCGAAATCGATTAGATTTCCTTTTAAAAATTAAATAAAATATGGCCAAAAAATTGGATGTCGAAGCTTTTCCCTTATATTAAACCCTAATATCATTTTGTTTTTTTCCTGTTTCAAAATCGATTAGATTTCCTTTTGAAATCTAATGAAAAAAAACAAAAAAAATGATTTTGAAGCTTTCCCCTAATATCAAATTAAAATCCAATTGTTAAAATATGTTCAAAAATTGGATTTCGATGCTTCCCCTAATCTTGCATGAAAAATTCCAATATAAAAAACTAAATTTGTTCTATTTCAGAATCGATTAGATTTCCTTATAAATCAAATTAAGATATTGCCAGAAATTGGATTTCGAAGCTTTCCCCTAATATTAAACCCTCATATCAAAGACTATTTTTTCTATATCAAAATTCATTAGATTTCCTTTTGAAATCTAATTAGAATATGGTCAAAAATTGGATTTTGAAATTTTCCCCTAATATTACATTTAAAAAAACATAATATAAAATATTATTTTTTCTTTTTTGAAATCGATTCGCTTTCCTTTTAAATTGTAGTAACAAAAATAAAAACAAAAACCGGATTTCGAAATGTTTCCTCTAATATTAAATTACCAGCCCTAATATATTTTAAAAAAAAACTGTTTCAAAATCGATTAGTTTTCTGTTTAACATATAATTAAGATATTGCTAAAAATTGGATTTCGAAGTTTTCCCCTAAGATTAAATTAAAAACACTAATTTTTAAAAAAAAACTATGTTTTTTCGATTTCAAGAATCGATTAGATTTCCTTTTGACATCCAGCAAAAATATTGCCAGGCAATGCCAAAAAGTGGATTTCGAAGTTTTCCCCCAATATTATATAAACGTTGTAATATAAAATACTTATTTTTTCGACCTTAAAAGACCCTAGTTTAAAAAAACACCGGGGCTGACTAGTTTTTATTTTTTGGTGGTGAAATCCTGAAATGGGACCTTCATGTTTAATTTGTTTTTGAAAAGGTATCAATTAAAAGTCAAACTGGCCAGCCTGAAATTTCCCAAAATTTAACGCGGACCCTAGTAAAAGGAATCAATGTAATATTTTAGTATTTAGGGTACGTTTAGTAAAAGGAGATGGGGATTAGTAAGGTTTTCAATTTAATATAAGGGGAAGCTTCGAAATCCAATTTGGCAAGATTTGAGTTAGATTTTGAATAGGAATTCAATCGGTTTTGAAATATAAAGTTCATTTTTTAAAACAAATGTTTTCAATTTAATGTCAGGGGGAAGCTTCGGAATCCAATTTTGGCAATATTTTAGTTAGATCTTATTTAAAAAATGTTTTCCAATTTAGTTTTTTTTAACCAAGGGGGAAGTTTCGCACCCACTAAATACAAAAAACTATTCCGTGTGTTCATTATTGGGTGGGGAGGGGCAAACGGTTTATTATGACGCAGGGATTGGTCAGGCATCACTTGCCGGAATTATTGGATTCTTTTGGGATGATTGGTATGATGTTTAGTCAGGCATGGTTCCCTTCAGTCATGCACGATTTTTGCAAAAATCCTATTTAGGCACGACCCCAAAATCCCAGCCCGGCAAATTCCGGCCCGGGCCCGGCAAATTCCGGCCCGTGCCCTGCAAATTCCGGCCCTGCGTTTTTCCAAAATCAGGCAAAACCAGTAAATCAGGTATTAAGTCAGGTGTAGTTACCTTTTAAGTCATTAAAGCTAGTCAGGCATGGTTCCAGTGGGTACCTTTTAATTGTGAAGGCTAGTCAGGCATGGTTCCCTTAATTCAGAGGCATGGGTACCTTTTAATTATGAAGGCTAGTCAGGCATGGGTTCTGTTAAGTCAGGCGTGGGTGGGTACCTCTTAATTATGAAGGCTAGTCAGACATGGTTCCCTTAAGTCGGGTGTGGTTACGCTTTAAGTCATGAAGGCTAGTCAGGCATGGGTACCTTTTAAGTGATGAAATCTGAATCAGGCGGAGCTCCTATTCTAAATGTGTTAAATGCAATTGTTCAGTGTGGAAAATCGATTTTTTGGCTGGTCTACGGGCAAACCCTGTGTCTTCCAATACCATAGCGTGCTGATGTCGCTTGCCTGCATAATAGTTAAGGCCAAAGCTTAGGTCATCAGTGTGATCCTGAACGACCAAGAAGATGACATGTGTAAAATGGGCCCTGGATTAACAAAGGCTGACTAATGAATTTGGAGGATGCCACTAAAGTATGACATGTAATCACTTTTGAGGAGCACTCTATGGCACGCAGCGCGCGCAGCCTGCTTTACGGTTTAGCGTTTGAAAGTTTTAGGCTTTGTCTCTATGGCACGCAGCGTTTGAAAGTTTAACCGTTTACCTCTATGGCAGGCTGTGCGCGCAGTACGCGTTACGGTTTAAAGTTTGAAAGTTTTAGGGTTTATGTGCGTGTGGCACGCAGTGCGCGCAGCGCGCATTAGGGTTCAGGGTTTGGAAGTTTTATAGTTTATTTTATTGCATGCAGCGTGCACGGTTCCAGGGTTCCAAGGTTGCAGGGTTCCAGAATCCTTGAGGGTCCCAGGGTGCCAAGGTTCCAAGGTTTCAGGGTTCCACGGTCGCAGGGTTCCAAGGTTCCAGGGTTTCAGGGTTCCAGGGTTCCGGGTTCCAGGGTTCCAGGGTTCCAGGGTTCCGGGGTTCCAAGGTTTCAGGGTTCCAAGGTCCAGGGTACCAAGGTACCAAGGTACCAGGGTCCCACAGTTTCAGGGTTCCAAGGTTTCCACGGTTCCAAGGGTTCCAAGGGTTCCAAGGGTTCCAAGGGTTCCAAGGGTTCCAAGGTTTCAGGGTCCCAGCAGGGTGCCAGGTGTGCAGGGTTGCAGGCGCTTTTTTGTACAAGGATGCCAGGTACCAAGGTGTGTGCAGGGTTCCAGAATCCTTGAGGGTTCCAGGGTGCCAAGGTTCCAAGGTTTCAGGGTTCCACGGTCGCAGGGTTCCAAGGTTCCAGGGTTTCAGGGTTCCAGGGTTCCGGGGTTCCAGGGTTCCAGGGTTCCGGGGTTCCAAGGTTTCAGGGTTCCAAGGTTCCAGGGTACCAAGGTACCATGGTCCCACGGTTTCAGGGTTCCAAGGTTTCCACGGTTCCAAGGGTTCCAAGGGTTCCAAGGGTTCCAAGGGTTCCAGGGTTTCAGGGTCCCAGCAGGGTGCAGGGTTGCAGGGTTCCAAGGTTCCAGGGTTCCAAGGTTGCAGCGTTCCAGAATCCTTGAGGGTTCCAGGGTGCCAAGGTTTCAGGGTTCCACGGTCGCAGGGTTCCAAGGTTCCAGGGTTTCAGGGTTCCAGGGTTCCGGGGTTCCAGGGTTCCAGGGTTCTGGGGTTCCAAGGTTTCAGGGTTCCAGGCTTCCAGGGTTCCAGGGTTCCAGGGTCCAGGGTTCCAGGGTTCCAGGGTTTCAGGGTTCCAGGATCCCAGCAGGGTTCCAGGTGTGCAGGGTTGCAGGGTTCCAAGGTTCCAGGGTTCCAAGGTTGCAGGGTTCCAAGGTTTCAGGGTTCCACGGTCGCAGGGTTCCAAGGTTCCAGGGTTTCAGGGTTCCAGGGTTCCGGGGTTCCAGGGTTCCAGGGTTCCAGGGTTCCGGGTTCCAAGGTTTCAGGGTTCCAGGGTTCCAGGGATCAGGGTTCCAGGTTCCAGGTTCCAGGGTACCAGGGTCCCACGGTTTCAGGGTTCCAAGGTTTCCAGGGTTCCAAGGGTTCCAAGGGTTCCAAGGGTTCCAAGGGTTCCAGGGTTTCAGGGTCCCAGCAGGGTGCCAGCAGGGTGCCAGCAGGGTGCCAGGTGTGCAGGGTTGCAGGGTTCCAAGGTCCCAGGGTTCCAAGGTCCCAGGGTTCCAAGGTTGCAGGGTTCCAGAATCCTTGAGGGTTCCAGGGTGCCAAGGTTCCAAGGTTTCAGGGTTCCACGGTCGCAGGGTTCCAAGGTTACAGGGTTTCAGGGTTCCAGGGTTCCGGGGTTCCAGGGTTCCAGGGTTCCGGGCTTCCAAGGTTTCAGGGTTCCAGGGTTCCAAGGTTCCAGATTTTCCAGGATTCCAGGATTCCAGATTTTCCAGGATTCCAAGGTTCCAGGGTTCCAGGGTTCCAGGGTTCCAGGGTTCCAGGGTTCCAGGGTTCCAAGGTTCCAGGGTTCCAGGGTTCCAGGGTTCCAGGGTTCCAAGGGTTTCAGGGTCCAAGGTTGCAGGGTTCCAAGGTTCCAGGGTTCCAAGGTTGCAGGGCTCCAGAATCCTTGAGGGTTCCAGGGTGCCAAGGTTCCAAGGTTTCAGGGTTCCACGGTCGCAGGGTTCCAAGGTTCCAGGGTTTCAGGGTTCCAGGGTTCCGGGGTTCCAGGGTTCCGGGGTTCCAAGGTTTCAGGGTTCCAAGGTTCCAGGGTACCAAGGTACCAGGGTCCCACGGTTTCAGGGTTCCAAGGTTTCCACGGTTCCAAGGGTTCCAAGGGTTCCAAGGGCCCCAAGGGTTCCAAGGGTTCCAGGGTTTCAGGGTCCCAGGTGTGCAGGGTTGCAGGGTTCCAAGGTTCCAGGGTTCCAAGGTCGCAGCGTTCCAGAATCCTTGAGGGTTCCAGGGTGCCAAGGTTTCAGGGTTCCACGGTCGCAGGGTTCCAAGGTTCCAGGGTTTCAGGGTTCCAGGGTTCCGGGGTTCCAGGGTTCCAGGGTTCTGGGGTTCCAAGGTTTCAGGGTTCCAGGCTTCCAGGGTTCCAGGGTCCAGGGTTCCAGGGTTCCAGGGTTTCAGGGTTCCAGGATCCCAGCAGGGTTCCAGCAGGGTTCCAGGTGTGCAGGGTTGCAGGGTTCCAAGGTTCCAGGGTTCCAAGGTTGCAGGGTTCCAAGGTTTCAGGGTTCCACGGTCGCAGGGTTCCAAGGTTCCAGGGTTTCAGGGTTCCAGGGTTCCGGGGTTCCAGGGTTCCAGGGTTCCGGGTTCCAAGGTTTCAGGGTTCCAGGGTTCCAGGGATCAGGGTTCCAGGTTCCAGGTTCCAGGGTACCAGGGTCCCACGGTTTCAGGGTTCCAAGGTTTCCAGGGTTCCAAGGGTTCCAAGGGTTCCAAGGGTTCCAAGGGTTCCAGGGTTTCAGGGTCCCAGCAGGGTGCCAGCAGGGTGCCAGCAGGGTGCCAGGTGTGCAGGGTTGCAGGGTTCCAAGGTCCCAGGGTTCCAAGGTCCCAGGGTTCCAAGGTTGCAGGGTTCCAGAATCCTTGAGGGTTCCAGGGTGCCAAGGTTCCAAGGTTTCAGGGTTCCACGGTCGCAGGGTTCCAAGGTTCCAGGGTTTCAGGGTTCCAGGGTTCCGGGGTTCCAGGGTTCCAGGGTTCCAGGGTTCTTCCAAGGTTTCAGGGTTCCAGGGTTCCAAGGTTCCAGATTTTCCAGATTTTCCAGGATTCCAGGATTCCAGATTTTCCAGGATTCCAAGGTTCCAGGGTTCCAGGGTTCCAGGGTTCCAGGGTTCCAGGGTTCCAGGGTTCCAAGGTTCCAGGGTTCCAGGGTTCCAGGGTTCCAGGGTTCCATTCCGGATTTTGAAGGCTGCAAGTCCCCGCGAGCCAGCCCCAGCCCTAGAGATTGAAACCCAACAGGCCCTGCTGTTGGGAATAAAAAATGTTTGAAACCACCAACCAGTATAATATGTGTTTATTGCGGATTTTCCCATCCGTCAATTCTGGAATAGGGGATTTCAACTGCTGAGCAGCTCTTGATTTTCCCATCGCCCCACCCTGCCTCTGACAACATGCCACTGGTGGCACAATGGCTCAACCTTGCGGTGGCCAGGTAGCGGATGCAACACCGACAGCAGGCCGAGGTAAACTTTACGTTTGGTAAAGCCAATAGTGAACCATCCACCATTGGAGCTTGTTATATGTTGTTTTTTCGGCATACCCTCTGGATTAGGGCCATCAAAAAACCATGGCGAATGTTAGCCATAACCAGAGGGTAGGCATACCCCCATTTGGGATGATTTGAAAAGGATTTTAAGCTGACGTCCAATTGGTTCGTTGCTGGCATTACCTCCTTTTTTGCTTCACCGGATTCTCCATTTCCAGATAGTCTTGCCAAAGGATACATCACCGTACCAGTTCACTCTCTGTCAATTTTACACTACTAGGGAAAATCACTAATACTTCATAGATAAATACATACTGTATAAGATATACTCTTGAAATCAGACATGTTTTTCGTTCCATGGTCCATAGCTGCCATAGCTATGTTCGATTAATCACTGGAGGTAGTATTCTTTCATGCCTGACCAATGCTGTACCTGCTACTGAGGCGTGCACAGCTTGCTGTCTGGATACTCACCCTCCGACCGCAGCTGTTGCAACTGGCGCCGCAAGGCTTTCTGCGCCTGCGGAGGTCTTGGACCCGGTGGAAAAAATGCGGGGTGAGCCGAGCCATCCAAAAAAAATGGTGTGACCATGTTTGACCAGAGGAAATCATGGTTTTCATGGTTTTCATCATCAACTTTTTGGGGGTTCTTGATTTGTTCATTTTGGATGTGAGCCAAAAATAAGGGTTTACATTGGTTACATGGGATTCGAATGCGATTAGAATGGGATTGCTGGGTTTTGGACCCCCCAAAAAAATTAAAAAACATCATCTCAAATACCCTTTTTCAACATGTGGAAACTGAAGAAACGAAACCTGGACAAAAACGGAAAGATTCAGGGTTTCAGATATCGGGCCCCTATAGGTGAAGCCACAACCCAGGCGACCCAGGCAGAGAGGTAGCTCGACCATATCTGGTTTTGGCCAGCCGAAATCTGTGCAAACACGAACATCCACAAAGCCCAATGTCACATATGTATATATATAATCAATTAAGAAATAATGGTAATATAGCTAATAATAATAATGATAATGATAATAATGATAATAATAATTATTATAATTAGTAATAGATAATAATAATAATGACAATAATATTACATATTCTGTGAATATCCTTGAAGCCCAAGGACGACGAGCACACCTACGTTGATTTTACCAATAGACAAACTGGCACGGCTCGCCTCCAAGAGGAACGTATACTTTTCTTGTGGGAGCTGCTGAAGCCATGGCTTCTCTCAGAGCCATGGGAAATGTCCTGTTTACAGTGCCTAAACCCTGTAAACAGTGCACTAGCTGTGTACCGAGCCTTGCTGTAGCTACGACCACTCAGCTGAAACTCGGTCTCTTCGTAATCAGGAATTCCTGGGAGCGGCTTTTCATGGGCCTCTAAAGGGGATTCCACATGATTCAACCAACCCCAGGAGGTGGGGGTGGGCGAAGCCCCAGAAATCCCTGGTGTTCAGGTTGAATCCCGAATACCTTTGGTATTTCTGGATATGTTTAAAAGTGTTTAAATACATAGGCCCCAAAAAAATGGGAATAGTTAGCCCCAATCCTAACCACCATTGCAGTGACGTAGCAGTGAGATCCAAACATATTTCATCCATATCATCCATGCTGAAACATCTAGAAAACCTTTGCCATGTTCGACTCTTCCCGTCTTATGAATTTTGGGTCGACTGTCGATGGTTTGTTTGCCAGGTCCCAGGTCCCAGGCTCTCGAAAAAAAGGCTCTTGGAACACGACATCTTTCCCTGGTCTAAAAGTCTCCTAAAATCAGAGGATGCCCTCTGATAATGACTAACAGTTTGCTATTGAAAATGGCCCAATTATAGTTGATTTACCTATTAAAGATGGTGATTTTCCATAGCTATGTTAGTTTACCAGAGGATATCAGAGGTACTGGGCTCATGTTCAACCTGCCAAGATATTCATCTCTTGTTTCTGTTCATGGCCAGTCCTTTCAACTGCCCTGTGGGGGCGCCCAAGACTTGGTCTGCGTAATAGATAACATGCTTTCACATATTCACACATATTAGTTTCACATCAAGTTATATCTGGGATTCATAGATAATTAATCATTAATTAATCAGCCTGTAAAAAAAGCTGGGTTTTTATAGGTTTTGACCTACATTTTTGTTGGCCCCCCCTAATAAGTCGCACCAGCACATCGACTAATGATCGCCCCGTGGCTCTCGGCCATCTCGAGCCATTTCATACTCCGCTTCCTGCGACCCAGGGATGACTGAAAAAGACATGTGTTTTTGTGATCGAAAAATCATCAACTTCAAAAATTTCTGGCTATTGTTTTACTGATGTGGCTCTTGGATGTTCTTGGAGTCTTGGAGCTTACGGTGATGAAATACACACCGGCTGGCCGTTGAGCACCCACAATGACTGGATTTTGGGGTACCCTATATATATTCAGACACAGCCTATGAAATATCATAGTATTACTGTACCCTCTGGTAATTTAACATAACTATGGAAAATCACCATTTTTAATGGGAAAATCCACTATAAATTGTCATTTTCAATAGCTATGTTAAATTACCAGAGGGTATATGGTTCAGGTGTCCCATTATATCTCCAATATAAATTCCAATATAAAGCCAACATATCCCAACTGGCTGTCCGACTGGCTCCCCATGATTAGGGAAAACATGTCATCCGTTACCGGAGGGGATCTGTTGCTTTATAATTCCCATTAACTACAGCTATTTCATCATAAACCATAGGTAATGGGATTTATAGTGTTGTTAAACAATAGTTCCTGTGATTATTAGCAGAACAAACCAGACTATGATTCCCGCCCTATGATTAAAAACATTATATAACTATGAACTATGACTATCAAAATTAAAAACTGTGAATTTCACCATCATCACAGGTTTATATATATAATGATAGTTACATCTGTTTTATCACCAGAAAATGATAACAACATTGTGAACTATAACATCTATCTATAACAACACTTTTAGAACATCTATGATACTATGAACTTGCCTATCACCATAGCATACCATAGCTGTTTCATCACCAAAAACCATCGCTCCTTAGCCTAGCTCCCTCCGCGGCGATGGAGGTTGCCCCAACTGCCTGTGCCGAGGATTGCCAAGGGGTCAGCTGGGATAACTTGGAGAAAATGAATGGAAAACTTGGGAAAAACATGCGGGAAACCATGGGAAACCATGCGTTTTTTTTTTGGTTTTCCATTGACATATGAAGGATGCCAACCAAATTAGTGTTTTCAACATATTCCAAGCTACAAAAAATGGGGGATCCTCCTCCGCACTAAAAAATGAGCAGGGGGTCAAGTCGACATGGATCCCGGGCACTTTTTGGTGGATGAGAACTGGTGAAAATCTCCCCGAAAATAACTGGGTTAGTTCATGGCTCATAACCACTTATGATAAACCTGTGAAAAAAAGCCTCATGGCTCATCTACTACCTAGCGTTTGCAGGAACACAATCTACAACTTGGAGATGTTCCATATTGATCGTTGTTTTCTGGAAGGTGCAATCCAATTTTGCAAACCCAAACTAGCAGTGGCTTTTAGTTTCACTCTTCATATATACGCATGATATGGGCTTTTTTTTCCCCCATGAGAATGAAAGCACGAAAGCTGCAAAGCGCAAAGGGAGCTGGGCGCTTTTACAACAAACTGACAAAATTAGTCCATGAACCAACAATTTTCCCTCTCAGTTGTTGAAAATCTTGGAGATTCCAAGTTGTGAACCATTGGGTGTTTTAAAACTGTCAAACAAATGGTGTTGGTTTCTCACATATCCCGTGGCCACTGGTGAGAACGTGTCATGGATTGAAAGGTGGTGAAAATATGGGTCGTTCCTCTGGGAAGTATGGGTCGATACCTTGGGACCCCGCTGTTCACATCTTTGGGGAAAAAAACTAATGAAAAACACACTAAATCGTTGGTAATCCTCAACTATATCAAACTAATTAGTTGTATTTTCTTGGCAGTTGGCTATAAAAAAGTATATCAACTATTCACCAACTATCTTCAAACCAACGGTGGTTTTCTTGGTCATGACCCATCAGTACCTTCCAGCTCTCTGGCCGAAAGGATGCTGGCCTCAGGTCCACTGAGCCGTGGGGCTGTCTTAACATCCAATGTGACATCCAATGTGTCACAACCATCCAATTCTGGGCAAATAAATTACAAGATTTTTTTTGCACAGAAAATCTCTCTGTTCCTCTATCCGGCGCATTTTTTTGGCGATATTTTTGGAGCAGTTTGAAAATACTGCCATAGTCATTTCACGGATTTTCCAATGAAATTCTAACATTAGCGGTGCCAAAGTACGCCATCATCCCCAAAATAAATCTGTTAATCTACAATCAACAATCTAATGGGTACTACCATCTGGTAATTTCTTGGAACATTACCCATTCAGAAGGATGATTTGCCAACACGATGATCTTCAATCGCTAAAGAACCAAAGGAAAAATACCCTTTGGTTGACCTCATAGAACATGATAAGCCGGGTGTTTTTCGTGCTATCCAGGTCACCTACCTGAGTTTATTTGGGCCCATCATCCATATTTGAAGTGGGAAAATCATCCATTGAAGTGGGAGATTTTCCAGCTTTGATTCCCATTCTGGATACCCTCTGGTTATGTCAAAATAACTATGGAAAGATCCACCATCTTTAATGGGAAAATCCACTATAAATGGCCATTTTCAATAGCTATGTTAGTATGTTTACCAGAGGGTATCTATGATGGCTTCTACACCGGACCGGACCCGCGGCGCGTTTTGGGCGGTTTTTTTGTCACCACGCAGCCATGCCAATGAGTCCCATGAGTCAGCACCCTCGGTAGCTGCACGCGTCTCGGTTGTGATCAATTTTGGGAACGAACAACAAAACAAGTGCCTAAGAACTTAAGTATCAACAAGTCATAGTAAGATACTTAAGTATACTTAAGTGTGTTTTGAGTATTTTGAGTTATCTGCAGTTATCTGATCGAAGTCGCAATAAACGACGTATCTACGTCTTTTGAAGTAACGGCATGTCACGGCACTGGGCGGCGGGCTTCGCTTCGTCTCTGGGGATCCCATTCTGAAGATTTGTCAAGCATTTCTTGGAACGTTTCTATCTTTGGGGCTAAGATGGGCTAAGTCACTAAGTCACTGACCTGAAAAGAGGTCTATTTTTTTTCCGAAAATTCCAGGTTAGTGAAAGAGTATTACCATCTCCAACTTATTCTTCATCCAGGTGATTCCCCTTACGGACCAGTTGCGAACCGTTACCATTTCATCTTTGGCATCCCCAGGTGTCGCTCAGCTTTCCTGCTTGGTGTGATGTTCCACCAACACTTTCTGACCTCGGTGTCCCAGCTGGGCCTAAACCAGCGGTATAGATGGTGATAGATTGGGGATACAACGGCCAAATATGGGGAGATGTTTTTTTTTGGTGGTCGTTAATTAGGTATGAACCCATCCAATGTGATAATTTATGATAATTTGATTATATGGAAGGAAGTAGTGGGGAATCACTGAACATATCAACGGATAATTAAAATATGATAGGATCAAGACTACATAGTCAGCATCCCAATGGCAGTAAAAATACCTCTAGTTTGTTCCTGGGGTTACTGGGGATGGTTTTTCATTGGGCTTGAGATATCTTCATAATGTCAAGTATCCTCTGGTAAACTAACATAGCTATGGAAAATCATCATTTTTAATGGGTAAATCCACTATAAATGGCCATTTTCAATAGCTATGTTGGTTTACCAGAGGGTAATTATAAAACCTTTAAAGTCTGTTTTTCTCAGGCCTGAGGGAAAACCCATGAAGAACGACCTCTTTGAGCCAAACTTTGAGCACCGAAGCTGGTCATGGCTGAGGGGCTTGAAATGACCTTCCGCAGCTTCGTTCTAGGACTTTCCAACTTCGTGAGGTTTTAATCTGTTGGGTTTCAGGTCATACCTCAGGTATCCTCAGGTCACCAAGGTCCAAGTCGACTCACTCAGCCACCCCCCGTGAGTCAGCGACGTTTGGCTTGCAGCCTCTCTCGGTAGTGAGTCGCCCGCGCGCTGAAGAAACCTTCGCCGATCAGCCCAGCGGAGCTGGGACGCTTGGGGTTGCATCAATCAGCTCCAACATTGTCTATTCATACATTCATATTTTCACATAAGCCATATACATATCATATATATATATAGTTATATGACACATGGCATGTATACCACAAATTCCAGATTCCCTACTCCTAGCTCAAGCCAATGGTTTCGCTTCGATCGAACCTTCGCCATCCTCATCCAGGTCGTCCTTCATAAAGACACGGTCCTTGCAGCATGGCGGCCATGGATTGAAGAAAAAAACGCGGAAAGATGTGGTTTTAATGGCATCTATTATTGTCAATAATGGCTAATGATGGTTAATGATGGTTAATGATGGTTAATGATGGTTAATGATGGTTAATGATGGTTAATGATGGTTAATGATGATTAATGATGGTTAATAATGGTTAATAATGGTTAATGATGGTTAATAATGGTTAATGATGGTTAATGATGGTTAATGATGGTTAATATATATGTATACTGGTTAGTGGTTGAGCCCTACCCCTCTGAAAAATATGAAATGATGGAGTTCGTCAGTTGGGATGATTATTCATCCCAACTGAATGGTAAATTAACAGCCATGTTCCATAAAGCACCAACCAGATATGGTCAAAAAAACATCAACAAGTCTAGGAATCTTGTTAAACATCACGGTAGATACGGAAGCTGCCCATGGATTTACCCTCTGGTAAACGTTTACATAACTGTGGAAAATCACCATGTTTAATGGGAAAATCCACTATAACTGGCCATTTTCAATAGCTTTTTGTATGTTTACCAGAGGGTACATCTTTTTTCCAGGAACAAACCAGAAACCTGGGGTCATCCCAGGATCATCCCAGGCGGACCTGTGTATGACGATTAGGTGACGACTTGGGGGTTTATTAATGTTTATTAACCAATGGTTAATGATGGTCAATGATGATTAATGATGATAATGGTTAATGATGGTTAATGATGGTTAATAATGGTTAATGATTGGATTCACATTGCCCAACCCGGTCCTCCTCACTTTTAAGAAGCCGCAAGCTGTCGTATCGGAAGGTGTCCAATTCCTTCACCTCAAACAGCGCGCAGTGCTGTCATTCTTGGATCTGGCTTGTCAAAAAAACATGTGACAATATGTGACACATGCCCAACATGATATGTTTTTTCTGTAAAATATGTTGGGTTTTTTTCGAAAATTCTCACAGCAACATCTGTGAGTTGATTTAGAGGATGTGCCAACCGAAAAAACACAGCACCTCTTGACCCGACTTTTTGATTTCCAAAGGTTTGATTCAAAGCTTGATCCAGTTCTTTTCCCCAAACTTGCGATTGGCCTGATGATTAAAGTTGAAAAATGGGCATGGATCAACATGACTGACCAAGATTACATGGATATATAATTAACATGTCATAATACTGACAAAGGTAATTACAAATGTTTGGGCCCATTGGCACCCCACTTCACATTCCCATCCTTAAATTCAGCCATGCCAAATTTGACCGAGATGTGTGCTTCACCACGCATTTCCCTGCAGCCAAAGACACTGGCACTGGCGGGATCGACACCGTCTGCAAGACAGTCAGCAGGTAATCGACGTCGGGTTTGGCACCCTTCATGGGCCTGCCCCCGCAAAACATGCGGGACAAGTGGGATCACGATAGGATTTTAAAATGAAACACAGCCAGAAATGAATGATGAAACGGGATCGAACAAAGCATCTGGATAGTAAATGAACAGTTGGGTCCGACGTAGGGCACATAGAAAAGCACAAGACACATGGGCATGGGACGGATTACATGTGCTGGTACAGCCCAGCAAGTGAATTCTGGGATAGAACCAACCGGAAAGAGGCCCCAACTTCTTCTCCTTTCCATGCGGCGAGCGTGGCTGGCTTCACCCCGCTGACAGCTATGAAAGCCAATTCAGGATAATAATCATCATCCAAAAGGAGAAAAACACATATAATTGAAAACTTGTTGAATCCAATAAACATGAACATCAATAATTAATTATAGGAATCATCAATGAAGGAACAATATACATCATTGAAACATATTAAAACCAATAAACAGAACAACATCATCCAGGTCGCTGCTCGCTTCCAACCCCAATGAATCGACCTGGAAGGAAGCACCGCCAGCAGGTCTTGTAGACACTTGGGAATCATCACTGGCAGCTGCGCCTCCTCGCAACAACACCGCGAAGTTACCCCGGCTGTTTCTGGAAAAAAATTATGGAAGATAGAGATATGTGATATGACCAATTGATTTCTATTAAATTTAATTCGACTTGAATGCCATGCACAAAAAATCAGGTCGTCCCCTATCGGTTTAGTGAGGATTTCAGTACTCGGAGGTATCACAAATGGGGTATCGGTAGTCCGGGGCGTCCCTTTTTTTTTGTGATGCAGGTTTTGTGCAACCTCAGAAAGGCCAAGGCGAAGCAAGACTAAATTAGTATTTAAAAAATAATTTTGTCGCTTACTATGGTAATTTCTGCTGTTTTTTTTTGCGCATTATGGGTCAGTTCACCCTGGTTTTTACATGTTTTTACACAGCATGCCCCCGCATCCATCCAGCGCAGTTCCCACTGAACCATCGGTGGTTTTGAGTGGGAACCCAGCAAATTATGAAACTTGATAGCATGAACTGGATTTTTTTTACCCACCGAAACAAGATCAAAGAAGATTAAAGACCTATAATTCCATCATATTCCATCGCAATTCCATCTGAACCAGAAGGTCGGTTTCCACATGTTTCCACACCTTTCAAGGCCACCCAAGGCCTTCCCAAAACACTCCTGGCCCTTCTGGTCTGGAGGTAAGCCTTCCACCTGTCGTTTTCGGCTGCTCACCACATCCAGCGCTGGCTTGAAGACCAACATCTTCCTCCGCAAGAGACTTCAGTCGTGAAAGGTGGATGGCTTCACGGTGATTTTTGATGATTTTTGATGTTTATTTGTTTTTCCTTGTGGGATGATTGTGGGTCCTTAGCGCAAGGACCAAAGTTGAGTGAAATCTGGAGAGATTTTTTCCTCCAGGTACCAGGTACCATCAAGATCCATCAAGTACCGCTAGCCTCCAGCCATAGAAAAGCAAGAAACTTGGAATGGAGGAAACATCATCTGTCATATCCTGGAACGTTTCCATCTGGGGGATCTCTCACCCCTTTTTTGGAGCTCTTCATCTCTGCCTTGGTCCTGATCCTTGCAGGTCTAACTTCAACTGTTGTTGCTTAGATTTGCAAATCATGTCACTTTCCCGAGTTGTGTTGTTGAAATCACCTGTTTGTGTCTGCGTATTCCTTCGGTTTCCTTCTAAAGTTACACATGTTTTCTTCGATAAATCCCAAGTTCCCATTCTCAAATCCAATTCTTTCATATTTTGTCCATGTTTTTTCCTCAAAAACTAATTGAAAATCTTTGAAACCACATAAAGTCACCATTTCTCACCATTCCTTTCCTTCCCCCCAACCAGTCCCAACCATGTCCCAACCATTTCTACCCACCCCATGATGCCATTGATGCCATCGCTGGGCCAAGCATCGACGTGTCAGGCCGCGCCACCTGCGACAGCAACCCCAGACGCAGGCCGCCTGAGGCCTGCGTGAGGCGGGCGTTCTCCGTCGCGGCATCGGTAACGGCCTGGTCCTCGATGGGTGGTTGACCAACCAATTACTGCAAGATCAATACTCTCTGGGATCTTATAGTGATTTAATGGGATATTATAGTGATTTCATGGGATTTTATAGTGATTTAATGGGATATTCTAGTTATTTAATGGGATTTTATAGTGATTTAATGGAATATTCTAGTGATTTAATGGGATATTATAGTGATTTAATGGGATTTTATAGTGATTTAATGGGATATTATAGTGATTTCATGGGATTTTATAGTGATTTCATGGGATTTTATAGTGATTTAATGGGATATTATAGTGATTTAATGGGATTTTATAGTGATTTAATGGGATATTATAGTGATTTAATGGGATTTTATAGTGATTTAATGGAATATTCTAGTGATTTAATGGGATCTTATAGTGATTTAATGGGATATTATAGTGATTTCATGGGATTTTATAGTGATTTAATGGGATATTCTAGTTATTTAATGGGATTTTATAGTGATTTAATGGGATTTTATAGTGATTTAATGGGATATTATAGTGATTTAATGGGATTTTATAGTGATTTAATGGAATATTCTAGTGATTTAATGGGATATTATAGTGATTTAATAGGATATTATAGTGATTTAATGGGATTTTATAGTGATTTAATGGGATATTAATGGGATATACCCTCTGGTAAACAAACATAGCTATTGAAAATGGCAATTTATAGTTGATTTACCCATTAAAATGGTGATGTTCCATAGTTATGTAAACGTTTACCAGGGCGTAATTCAATCATTGGCATCATTGGTGAATATCCCCATATATGAATAGTCTAAATGGGAATATTATGGGAATATGATGGGGTTCACGAATAATAATGGGAATATATAAATAAACAGGGTTTAACAACCAATTAATCATTGGGATAAATAATGAATCCATCATTGGGATCAATACTCCCCATAGTCTATTTATAGTGTATTAATTATTAGTCCCATTACGATTCATGAATTGCTGACGATCAATTTACCAATTACTGGAATTAATGGGATTTGAACGGGACTGATGGCAATATCACGGGTATAATGGGATTAATAAATGGGAACACCCTGGGATAACAAATGGAGATCGAATGTCATATGTTCTGAAAAGTCTCTACCAACTAGTGGGAATACAATGGGATTTTGGAATTATAATGGGATTAGTGGATTAATCGGAATATCATGGGATAACTAATTATAATGGTAATATCTGTTAATGTGAATATATGGGAATATAGTAACATATAGTATAATATAGTGGGAATATCGAATAAGTAATAACGGGAATATCATGGGGTTATAAGATAACGAACGACCAAACAGTGGGGTTTTGATGATTTAGATTAGTGATTCGTGAGTCGTGATTAGGTATGCTAGGAATACATGTTGATAACTATCTATCAACAAACTATATGCTGTTTGGTGGTAAACGAACCCCTCTGAAAAATGATGGAGTTCGTCAGTTGGGATTATGACATTCCCAACTGAATGGAAAGTCATAATTCAGCCATGTTCCAGTCACCACCAATCAGTATGGGAATCCCCATGGTTTCTTCAACAATCCATGGCTTATCCAGCTGGGAATGGGATACGGTGACGCTGCGGATCCTCCATTGGCACGAATGGGGCAGGAAGCAGCTCAGGTTTTGACCTCGACATGCCGAAAGGATGGAGGGGAGGGGATTTAGCCATGTGGAAACCCTGTGGCTTATGGAAACCCTGGTGCTTTTGTTAATGGTGTTTGATGGTTTTTGCACGTGTTAACGGCTGATTTATTCTGAGTAATCTAATTCTCAGACACTTGCACGCCTTCGACGTTTGTTTTGGATGACTATGACTATGAGTATAGGTCAAAGCTTGTGACACCACATTTGGTGGACCAACAATCATTTGCAAACTCTCTTTTACCAGCCCTTCAGAGGACCCCTGTGCCACCAGATACAAGACCTTTGAACAATATAATATGGATTCTCTCCAGATTTGCTGGTTGGTGGTTTTAACCCTTCTGAAAAATATGAAAGTCACTTGGGATCATTATTCCCAACTGAATGGAAGTCATAAAATTCCATGGTTCCAAACCACCAACCAGCCATTCTTCTGGTGCTTTGTTGATCACAACTCACCGTGACCGGGGCATACCGGGGCACCTGGGCAGAAGGTGCAAGAAGCGAAAGCTTTCCTCAACTTCTTGGATGCTGGTCGACCTTAGGCGGACAAGTTCGAACAAAAAGAGATGGCTTTTTGCATGGCTTTTTCGACCTTGGGTCGGAAAAAATGGATGGCTTTCCACATGTTTTCCAGGCTTCCAGTTTTTCTATCTTTTCGATATCTCTGTTTGGGGGGTGCGTGAACTGAAAAACACACATTGCTTTCTTCGGTTTTAGCCGAACATGGAATCTTCCCGCACCATGTCCAAAAATTAAGCCACTCAACTACCTAACCAAGGTCTGCAAGCAACCTGAGGTGTTTCAACATGTGCAAGCCTCGTTTTTTCACAACTCGAGGATCAACCCACCATTTTTTAACCATCGGCAAAGGACAATCCCAAAGAGATGGGAGTCTGCAGGATATTTTCCTAATCCACCTCCAGGTCTCTCTGCAAGTTGCGATATTCCTGAAATGGGACCCATTGGACCTGTGACCTTCGATGGGATCATGGCTGATCATGGTACCAAAGTGGGGAAGGGGAAATTTTTGGTGAAGAACCCATTGCCCATCTTGTATCATCTTGGTATAGGATAGCCCAGTTGGGGGATAGCTGCTGTGAAAAACAATGGTTGCAAGAATTTGCTGGGACGGCCAAGTTGGGATGGGAAAAAAGGTGAAGTGACTGGTGTTTTTGTTAAACTAATGTCGCACCGCAAGTGATCATCTCAAATTGTGGTTCCATCAGTATTTATAATCTATTATATAAGGTCTGGCTCAAATCATCAAAAAATGACTAGGTTCAACCCACCATCAGCCGCACAGAAATGTCAGGACTCTCTTTATCAGGGTCTCCAAGTCTTATGGCTCTCCGATATCAGAACTGGCAGCCTCCAGAAATCAAACATGGCGTGGAAAATCATTTCAAAAACCTCCAAGAAACCATTTAGCGCAGGGATTTCCCATCATGTACCATCCATGTTTGATGACACCGAAATGCCGAAATGGGTCGTCATGGGGACCCCGAAAAATTCCCATCCGATCGTCAAGGCTCCGAATCCCGAAAAGACGTGGCCCGACGCACCGCTTCGGCGTCGCCAAAGTAATTCTCCAGCCTGGAGTCGTGACGGCCATGTGGCCCTCCACCGAAATGAAACTGACATGAAAATGAAGTGAAAATTCGACGGTCATGGGATATATATATATATAGATAATGGGATATTCATGGAATACTCATGAGATATAATGGATAATAATGGATAATAATGGATATAAAAGGGAATAACCCCTATAATTAGTGTGAGAATTCGAAGTGATGTCCATGTTTTCATGTTGTTGACGAAACATAAAATCGACTTGAACAACTAGAAACACCCAAAGACCATGCATGTTGTCATGATCAAATCCATTCAAATCCCTATTTTTGGGATGTTCAAATAGCATACCCTCTGGTAAACGTTTACATAACTATGGAAAATCACCATTTTTAGGTAAATCAACGAACTTAGTGGTCATTTTCCACTTCGCAAACTGTAAACGTTTACCGGGTAGGCAATTGGTTCATGGTAAAACCGCTGAACCGGGCAGCTCTCCCCCCGGATCGCCTGGCCCATTTCTGCCACAAAAACGCCAGGCTCTCGCGCATCGCGCGGCTCTCCTCACGATTCGCCAGCTTGTCGCGCACCGCCTGGTTTTAGAGAGACACCAGGTTCATCAAGAGAAAAAAACGGCAAAACATCCCCGGTCACATCGGTGAAATCCCATGAGTGGATGTTTATGGGATTATAATGTCGTGGGGTTATAATGGGAATATAGTGGCAAATATTGAAATAGATAATTTACCTATTAAAAATGGTGGATCTTTCCATGGCGAACTGTTAGTCATAACCAGATGGTAGTGTGTGCTTTTGATGTGTTTGATCACCTCTGAAATCATGGCTGAAAGGTGGCTATGATCCGTCCATAAGAGATTGGAGCAACCAGGTCTGAAAAGACAGGTTGCTTGCCAATAATGTTGGTGGTACATATTGGTACATGATATCCTTATCATTTGATATCATTTGAGCATGTCTCAGCATGGATATGCCAATTATAATAATTATAAGCCCAAGGTTTGAATCGCAATTTCCACCTTCAAAAGGCAAGAAATTGGGGGTCCATCCATAGTTCATTATCCATTATCCGATTGTGCATTATTCAATGGTCAACCCCCAACTTTTGCCACTTAAATAATCCGCGTGTTCGCTGGGAAAATCCTCATTGTTGATGGTTAAAGTCTGGTTTTAATTGCGATGGTTTGTATGTTTCACGCACCGCAAAGACATCCCCGAAGTCATGCCCCCCCCCCCCGTGTCCATTGCATTCTCTGCCTGCTGCAGTTTCTCCAGCACCCCTTGCGTCAGTTCCGCACGCGCGCTGCGCAAATCATTGCAGCCTAGCGGCTGGTTGAGGGGTTCAATAGAATTAATTCAAGCCATAGAGTTAGGATCTAAATATTCTAAATATGGGGATGTAATGTGGATATCATCTAGTAGATCAATGGATTGGTTTAAGGGAAAATCTGCAGGAAACCATGGTTTTTACCATTAAATATGGGGGTTTCCTGTAAATTTTCCCTTAAACCAATCCATTGAGTATAGAGACTGTAGAGGGAATATGATTTACACAATACTGTCAAAAACTGGATCTGATTCTTCTTCCGATCACCACCATGTGGTCGTCAGTATGATTCGATCGTCCCATTTATTGGGATGGAAACGCTCTTGAAATCACCAACCAATCATGGCTCCTGATAAGGGTTGTGCTTCATCATTAGAAATGAAATGAGGTTTCAAATATTTCCCTTGAACATGTTGAACCAATTCTGGGAGAATAGCAAGCATAGCAGCCTAGTCATCCAGCAATCAATTGCATAACTCCTGGCACCTGCTACCGACGATTTTGTTGCATCCACTAACCATGGCAACTACAGTTAGTGTACCAAAGACTTAGAACTTAGAACCTCACTTTCAAACCTGCAGGGGTATGAAACATTCACCCATTTGCTTGGCAAAACATGGTTTCCATAACATTCATGGCTAGTCTGAAATGATTTCCTACATTAGAACCCACTGCGATGGATCCGATGGGCCATGGGATTAGCTAACCCGTGATAGTATAACTGGCTTCTAAACCATCCATGTATGAGCTATAGTAGCTATAGTTGACTAACGAACGATCCATGGCTGATCTGTCTAGTTTGTTGCTTCAACCCCAATTTATTTACATGGTTAGGTCAAATCACATTCTTTTGTTAGTTCTCCACATGTCTGGGATAATAATCTATTGAAGCCAGAAAAGTCATACCAACAACATCCATCTTCAAATGCCATAGAAGCCACCAGGTCAGATGCCCCCCAGTCATAAGTTAGTTTAATAAGCCCATTGGCTGCCATTGATTCTATCATGTGCTCCATATACCCCAATGTTAAGCAAGTTATAAGTAGAAGCCACAACCATCCAGTTATTAGTTTGTAAACCCGGGCCAGGACATTGATGTAAACTATATATCTCCCATATATCCCAACATCAAGTCTAACCAAGTCACCCATTAAATATGGTTATATCATGTTATATCCCCCAACAATCCAACATCAAGTCTAACCAATACCAACTTTAACCAAGTTATATAGTCATAAACAAAAAAATCGCAGCCACCATTATATATGTATTAAATAAATAAATAAATAAATAAATAAATGTATATATATATATATATGTGTGTGTATATATATATATAATATATATATCCCCATATAGCCCATAGAAATTTCTAAGCCACCAGCATCACCCGCCTATGAGGAAGTTCACATAGGCCGCCAGCATGGACGGCTCCCTGTCTCCATATCGTTCCAGGCCCAGTCGGAAGACGCCTGCCGCCGCCTGGCTGGGACCATTGGGTGACCAGTCGGGGTGACCGGTGACTGTAAATTTGGTGGCATTTCATGGAAAACTATATGGAAATTGATGAAATTGATGGAAAATTGATGGAAATTGATGGGAAATTGATGGAAAATTGATGGAAATTGATGGGAAATTGATGGGAAATTGATGGGAACCTCTTATGAAAGTTCATGGGATCTTTTTAACCAATGGATTCAATGGATTTATGGAAACCTACGGAAATTTACGACATCTGGCAGTCATTGAACCAGAAGATTTATGACATTTATGAGTTGACTTTTGACCTCCCCCCCAATTTAAAAAAAAAAGCGTTACCAATAAAAAGACGCAACATCTGCATTTTTTGCAACAGTTGGGTTTGACTGAAATTTTATGGGGAAACCATGGAAAAGCATCCAAAAAGCCATGGATATCCATGGGTTATGAACATGTTTCCTATGAAAAAATTACGCGACATCCGGGATATCTGGGTTCATTGAACCCCACAAAGTTACAAGATTTACCCTCTACTAAACGAAGATAGCTATGGAAATCAATGAAAATAACCCATCGATAGATGATTTAGCTCTTAAACATGGTGATTTTCCATAGTTTTATGTGTATATATATATATGTGATTATATGTTAGTTTACTCCAGGGCCTGGTGGTGAATTTCTGCTGTCACAAACCACACCTCCATGGCCCCGTAGACGTGGTACTCCGTCATCGCTGCAAAAACATAGACCTGGCGACCATCGAGTTCCAAACCGGTTTTTTCTTGAGTTAATTGCAGGAAAGTACTATTTTTTTGGAAAAAAAAAATTGATTGGAACAATTATTGGGTTTCTTGGGAAAAATAAGGAAAATCGCTGATGTTTTTTTCAAGTTCCAGAAAAAACACCAAGGGCTGTGGATTCTCTCTCTCGGCGATCTAGGGCTGCTACGTGTCCAGCTGGTTGATTGGAACTCAAGTGACCGAAAAATAGGAAACACACAACGCAACACGCCATAAAATGTCTGCATTTGAGTTCCAGCTTCAATTTAATCCTCAAACCATCCTTTCTCCAAATTTCTCATAATATCATACTTCCAGTTACTTCCAGTTACTTCCAGTTACTTCCAGTTACTTCCAATTACTTCCAGTTACTTCCAGTTACTTCCAGTTACTTCCAGTTACTTCATCTTACTTCATGTTACTTCATGTTACTTCCACATATGTTTTCCATTGGAATCACCGTGTTTCCCACCAGTTCTTCAGTTCTTCACCATGTTTTCACGCCACGCTGTCTCTCCAGCGGCCTCCCAGGTGCAGTGCGGCGACGACTCGCTGGCTTCCAGGAAGCTGTCGCGGAAGTCGTTGGCGCCGCGCTGGCGACGGACCTATAGGGCGTTAGAATGTTCGAAATCGCCGTTGGGATAACTCATATAACTGATATACCCATTAATCATGAATTAATTAATCTTGTTATATCAGTTATCTCATATAGTTAAGATATGATATGTTTAACACATCTATGAATAAATAGATGTATATAATCTCAAATAAGATCTGGAACTGCGCTTCCAAGGATGGTGGCCTTTTTCGATGAAGCCAAGGGTCATAGCCCAGGAAGTTGATCAAGGCCAACGGACAGGGCTTTGGCATATCTTCCATCAACTTCCTCGGCGTTATTCGACTCTTCCGGCAGTGAAAAATGATGATTTAGAGGAGATGCATGGTGATTTATGGTGATTTATGGTGATTTATGATGATTTATGATGATTTATGATTTATGTATATATTTATTATTTATGTCTGAAAATCATACACACACATGAATGTTTTCAAGCAACAGGTGGTTGAAGCCACTCCTATCAGGACTCGCGAAAGGGAGCTCAGTATGTAAGGGTTTTGCCAAGATAGATTTTTATGCATTGGCGGTCTCCAACTCTACATGTCTCAGAAAGTCTTTAAGAGACAAATAGGGAAGAATAGAAGCATAGAGACATTCCAAGAAAGACACTTACCCTCTGGTAATTTAACATAGCTATTGAAAATGACCATTTATAGTGGATTTTCCCAGCTAGAAAATGGTGGATCTTTCCATAGCTATGTTAAATTACCAGAGGGTAACATGTTCAAATCTAATTTCTGCCCGTTGGACTCCAGAGGATCAAGTGTAACCATTGAATTGGACATAAGCTGTGGACTGGGAACATGGGGAATTTACTTTGAGCCCCTGACATTGTACCAAGTCGATGTTGTGGATTTGACATTGTTGTATGATGATGGTTCATGTGTCAAGTGATGGTGGTTTTTTGTAAAGTAATACAGTATATCATCATTTCAAGCATTGCGTCAAGTGCTGACTTGTCCTGCTGGCTTGATCATCTTCGAAGTAGGTGTGGGTGGCTATTGCTGACTGAGGGGTCTTGGGGTAGGATTCCCTTCCTGCAGGATGGGTGGCTGAACGGTTTCTGATGTGAATGCTATCTCTATTTTTCTCTAATTTCTCTATTTTTCTCTATTTGCTCTATGTCGCTTCTCTGCCAACTAAAAATCAATTATAAAATCAACCTCAATTTGTCTCCGTCTATTTTTCGCTATTTTGCTATGATGTCATAGTGGTTGGCGTGTGGCTCTTGGGAGCCATGATTTTTGGCTGGCTGCCTCTTGCTGGTTAACACTTGACAGCACTTGGTGGTGGACTGACAACACCTGATACCCTCTGGTAAACTAACATAGCTATTGAAAATGGCCATTTATAGTGGATTTTCCCATTAAAAATGGTGACTTTCCATAGTTAAGTTATGTTAGTTTACCAGAGGGTAATGTTTGACAACGCCTGACATCTTTTGAAAGCAATTGAAAGCATTGGGAAAGATCTGACAACATTGGACAACACTTGACAGCACTTGCGCCGGATAGAACTTGATAGGGCCTGAGACCTGAAAACAACACTGGATTGGTTGGACCTGAGCCTCTCTGGTGCCAATAAGTGAAAACATGATTTAAAGCCGGTTCATGTGTTTCTTGGGTGTTCTCTATCTTTCTCTATTCTTCTCTACTTGACTCTAAAAGACTTTTTAAATCTTTTTAAGGCATTTTGAGTTTCCAACAACCTTTATATAATTCAATTACAAACAAAAAAGTAAAAAAAATGCAAATCTATCATAAGTAAACCCCTCGAAACTCATCCTATCCATGTCCGAGGAAAAATTCACTTGAACTCTCTCGTTTCTATTGTAAGAGGTCTCAACTGCAAAAGCTCTGTCACCTGATATTTGCTGCCGTGTTGGAAGAAACATGCTCTTTCTTTTCTATGACATGACATGTTTGAAACTCTTTCCAGACCAAAATAGCACACACCCTCTACAGAAAACGCTGCAATGATGTCCCTCAGATTCAAAAACTCGCCAAACTTGGAAAACCACAATGTTTGTCCTGAAGATGTCCTACACCCATGCGGTCCTGCGTTTGTCTGAAAAGAAGATACCCCAAAATCCATGCCCCCATTCAAATTCATTACACTGTTTGTTGTGCCGCTGTGCCCTCCACTTCTGGACAAGTCCATATTTGTGGACCGTATATTCAATGAGTTTCCACTTCATCCCAGTTAAAATTGGTTCAACATGATTTAACTACTTGTTTTTACTCTTTTCACCATTCCAAAAAGGTGATGCCCCCCAGTTATAGGTTGGCTCCCCATTAAGCAATTTTAAACCCATTATGTACAGTAAAAGAAAAGCCATGCTTCATGGTGGGAACAAGCGGCTACAAAGCAAAATTATGCAAAGTTCAGTAACCTTTCTCAATCTTCAATCATTATATATGCTGGTTGGTGGTTTGAACCCCTCTGAAAAATATGAGTTCGTCAGTTGGGATGATGACATTCCCAATCTATGGAAAGTCATAATCCAGCCATGTTGCAAACCACCAACCAGAATATTAATCATTGATTATCATTATCAACCATTATTAACCATTATTAACCACTATTGTTATAGATTATCCCATTATCAACCATTATTAACCACCATTCCCAGCCAGCAACCCAGGCAGCAACCCAGGCTCCGATAGGCTTCGTCGGCCGCCTCCAATTGCCCCGTGGGCAACGGGGATTCGCCCAGCTCGTAGCGTTGCGCCAGAAGGAGCCGCAGCGTCAGATCCTGGCCGTGATTGATGAAGCCTTGATGGCGATTGATGGTGATTGAACATTAATGATGGTGGTGAATGTTGATTAATGTTGATTAATGTTGATATAATGTTGATATAATGTTGATTAATGTTGATTAATGTTGATAAATGCTGATTAATGTTGATTAATGTTGATGATTAATGATTAACATTGATGTTGATAATGATATTGGTATTGATATATATTGATTAATGATCGTGATTTCACATTAAGCAACATTAAGCAACATCAAGCAACATTACGCAACAGAAATATAAGAATTTCCCCAACGGAAAACTGCTGAGATTTCTGGTTGGAGCTAAGGACGTTCCACTGCCGGAACGAACGAAATTTTGATGTCGATTCATAGATATACTATGATTTGTTAGATTGAATTCACTCACGGATTCATAGATTTTTGTTTGTTGAATTGAATTTTTAGATTGAACATCGACTGAGTAATCCCGTGTAACTCCCATAATTAAAGGGAACATGTGGGGGTAAAAAATATGTAAAAACATGTAAAAACAATGTAAAAAAAGTGGTTACCTGCATATTTTCTTTCAGCCAAATCATCTCTGTTATTTTCCGATCACGTCTCCCTTAGACTCTGGTAATCAAACACGGCAACGACTCCGCATTGATGATTTCCCCCCACTGAAACCTCTACATTTCCCGGCCATGATGACCAAAGGGTAGATCATCATTACGCCATGATATTCTGGTTGGTGGTGTTAACCATGGGAAGGATTACCATCTGGTTATTTAACATAGCCATGGAAAATCACCATTTTTAATAGGTAAACCATCTATAAATGGGCTATTTTCCATGGCTATGTTAAATAAACAGAGGGTATGGACAATAAAAAATGTTTGAAACCACCAACCAGTATCAGTATTCCATAGGTTGCCCCATATCATATCCTCATGCTTGTCACTGATGGGCAGTTGATATACCTGATACCGATATATCTGGCTGAATTGCAACAATTCACCCCCTGAAATTCTGATTGAAGCATGAGACGTTGTGAAACTACCCATCCATGTTAACCCCAGTGCCCCCGCAGAGTTGGTTGAGATAAGTATGTAAATGATTATATAAATCTATGGTAGACATGTCGATTTAGGTAAGGGGGTTGCTAATATGATTGATAAAACAGATATCACCGGGGGCACCTGGAAGATTACAATCCCTTTGAACATCATGAAGCCAGCTTAAAACATCCTAAAATTGAGATTTTGACTTTGAAAATTCATGTTTTTTTTTGAAATTGAGTGATTTTAGTGACTCTTCATCGGAACATTCACCATCATTTGGTCAGCAACAGATTTGTTCACCCCAGAGCCGTCCTTGGGCAGGAATCGTTGCACTGCCTTCCGGAGCACCTCCGTTGCTTCCTCTTGCTTTCCCCCTGGGCAAAATCCGATTTTTTCGTGGCTCCGCCATTACACTGCATGCAATATACAAATAAACCAAATATGATATATATATATATAAATATACAGTGTATATATATATATATCTCTCTCTCTATCTGTGTGTGTGTCTAAGAAATGGCATCTATAATCATACATAGTCATACGATGTAATTTTGGATATGTATGGATATGTTGTATTATATAGCTGGGTGAGCGATAGATATTTGGGGCGCTCTTCAGCCAGGAAATGTTCCGTGGAACATCATGGAACATTCCCATAATTGTCGCAAGAGCCCCTGCAGCACTACCCTCTGGTAAACGTTTATAAAAACTATGGGAAATCACCATTTTTCATGGGCAAATCAACTATAAATGGCAATTTTCAAGAGCTATATTAAATTACCAGAGGGTAATTCAAGCATGCTGTTTGCGACCCAAGTCTATGGTTCCATGGAAAACCCATTCAACCCATTTGATCTGCGTCTTGGTCTTTCATGATCTATGTCATTCAAGGGTCCATCAAAACATCAAGAACCATCTACAGAAACCCATGAAAGTTCCCCGGGTCGCCATTGGTAGATCAGCCTGTGACTGCCGAAAATCGTAAAAGATAGTAAAAGGTTGGCATCGAGCACCCCAAAACCAAACTAGAAACGCACACCAGTTCCTGAAAGAAGTGATAAGAACAAGATAATCACAATACAAGTCTGTTCGATATACAAACATACAAATACAGTTCACTAAAAAATCGCGGATATGTCAACATATGATGATATAAAATCACACCAATTTCATTATCATATTCACATCCCACATCATCCCACCCTATCCAATCCCTTGTGCCCTGCGAAGTGCCCTGCGCTGAGCCGCCTAGGTCCAACCACGCCGAGAAGTCGTACCAAAGATCCGGAGCGAAGCCGCACGCCAGCGATGCCTGCGGCGAGTTCGACACTTCGAACTCAACAGGAAGCATTCCAAACATGTCCAAACTCCAAAAGAAGTTGATGAAGTTGAAGTGCATTAGTGCATTTTTTTGCTGAGAAGTGAACATCACTGGATTGGTTTGAGGGAAAATCTACCGGAAACCATCGGTTTTCCATGGTTTTCCCATGATTTTTTTTGGGGGGTTCTGCACATTTTCCCTTGAACCAATCCAGGTTATCCAACAGGAAGCATTCCAAACTCTCAAAGTTGACTCCTGGCATTCGATCTCGACATTTTGCATGTGAAACACTCATGTTTACCCTCTGGTTATTTAACAGTTTGCCATGGAAAATATTGGAAAATGATGGCCCATAAAAATGGATGGTTCACCGTTCTCAAAAATGGTGGATCTTTCCATGGCGAACTGTTAGTCATAACCAGCTGGGAAATGAATTATGTTCAATAATCTTACCCTCTGGTAATTTAACATAGCTATCGAAAATGACCATTTATAGTGGATTTTCCCATTAAAAATTGTGATTTTCCATAGCTATGTTAGTCATAACCAGCTGGGAAATACCGATGATTTTTTCCAAAAATCCTCACCACTTCAGCCCCTGGCCCACCCGATGGCCCGCACCATGCCTGCTGATACACCAGCGCCACTCGTGCCGTGAGCTCTTCCCCCTCCAGTTGCAAGGGATTGGTGCGTTCGAAGCGCAACATGGCACGCCACTGGTCAAACCTCAGACATGGGATGATGCCGGGATGATTGGGATGATCTACCCGGCTATATGGGGATATATATGGGGATTTAATGGGATTTTATAGTGATTTAATGGGATAATGATATTAATATATATTAATGGGATATACCCTCTGGTAAACGTTTACTAACATAGCTATTGAAAAATGGCCATGGAAATATATAGAAATAGTGGATTTACCCAGCTAGAAAATGGTGATGTTCCATAGTTTCGTAAACGTTTACCAGAGGGTATGATGATCTATGATGATCTATGATGATCTATGATCTCCATACCATCAGCTACTTGGCTGGGACCCTGGATCTTACACTGTAGACCCTAAAAACGGGGTCTGAAGAAGAGTTCCATAGCTAAATCATGAAAAACAAGCTCAGTGGTCTAGACCCTTCGACTTTACAGATGCTGAAGGTCTGAAGACGTTTACCCGTGCGTCAAAAATACCAAAAAAAAACGTTTCAAACAACATGTTTTCTCTCGCTCATTTTTTCTTCGCTGCTGTCACAAGTTTTTCACATTTGGAAAAAAACTTATGAAATCTTATGAATAACAATTTGGAAAAAAATCTTATCAAATCTTATGAATAACAATTTGGAAAAACAATCTTATGAAATCTTATGAATAACAATTTGGAAAAAATCTTATCAAATCTTATGAATAACAATTTGGAAAAAAATCTTATGAGTAACAATTTGGAAAAAAAAAAACTTAAGAATTTTTATGAATAACAACTTGGAAAAAATCTTATGAAATCTTACGAATAACAATTTGGAAAACACATCTTATGAAATCTTATGAAAAACAATTTGGAAAAAATCTTAAGAAATCTTATGAATAACAATTTGGAAAAAAAACTTATGAAATCTTATGAAAACAATTTGGAAAATATCTTATCAAATCTTATGAATAACAATTTGCAAAAAAAAACTTATGAATTCTTACGAATAACACTTTGGAAAAAAATCTTATCAAATCTTATGAATAACAATTTGGAAAAATCTTGTGAAATCTTATGAATCTAGCGTGGCAAGGTCTAGAAACACAATGGCCAGCAAAACCAATCTGTGTTGATCAAGGCCAGAAACGCTGTCCAGACCTTTGGACAAACTTTGGAATCTAGCTTGGCAAAGGTCTAGGGCTACAATGGTCAGCAAAACCAACCTGTCTTGATCAGTGCCAGAAATGCTGTAAGAACTGGGGAATCTAGCTTGGCAAAGGTCTAGGGCTACAATGGTCAGCAAAACCAACCTATCTTGATCAGTGCCAGAAACGCTGTCCAGACCTCTGTAAGAACTGGGGAATCTAGCTTGGCAAAGGTCTAGAGCTACAATGGTCAGCAAAACCAACCTGTCCTGATGATTGCCAGAAAAGCTGTCCAGACCTTTGAAAAAACAAGATCTGCCTTACATCTTCAAAACAGAAAATTATGGGACATCCATATATCATGTCCAACATAGACACGCTCAAGGGTCTATAGTACCTTAAATGCGGAGGGTCTACAGTGCTCCTGGAAGTACTCTAGACCCTGGGCCCCTGAAGCCTGGAGGGTTGGGTACTCTAGACCTTAAGTAGTTGAGGGGATTGATCTCCCCTAAAAAGTCACGATTGGGGAATATTTTAGGCCATCAACTGGAGGGTTTAAGGGGTGCGGCAATCAGCTTCAGCTCTGCCAAGCTGAAACATCAGTTGTGGATCTCTCTCTCTCTCTCTCTCTGGGTTGTGCTCTACACAAAATCAGCATGATTTTTGGTGAATCCATCTCCTTACATTATGATGCATCATCCTGTAGTGATCCTTACTAGAGTGTCTACCGTGCAAAAAACATGTGCTCCGCATGTCGCCTTCCGGTCAAAAAAAAAAACGACAACACTTCATTGGCACCATTTATATAAAATCACAAAGAATCGGGATGAACACCTATATATAGATCCTATAGTGAAAGATAGTGAAAGTAAAGCCAGTTAAACCAGCGCCGGTTTGGAACCAAGCGACGGATCCATGTGGATCATCTGTGGGTTGTTTTTTTTCATTCTATGCAAGCTATTTACCAGAAATAACATCATATAACTATAAACTATACTATACCATAGTGGGTTGAAATATACATAAATATACCATAGTGGGTTGAAATATTGAAATTTCCGAGTCATTTTCTCTCCCCATCTTTACAAGTCTTCAATAGTCTTCATATACAACAGCATTTTGCGGAGCCAAGGAACAGCTTCTTCTGCTCCAGCTGCGTCTTGGGAGTTATTGGCACCTCAGACTGTGGAGCTTTGGGTCTCTGAAGAGACGAGTTTCAAGGTGCCCAAGTCGGAATCGCAAGAGGTCGGGAAGCAGCTTAGCCATGCTTAGCCTGCTTAGCTGTTGGATGTATTGGATATATTGGATGTATTGGATGTATTGGATCGGCAGGTCAGTCGAACTAATGCTGTTTTCGACGCAGCTTTTTGTTCCCAGGAAGTTGCTGACTTGAAGAGTTGTATCATGCTGCATCCGATTCCTGCACAGTCTCCATAGTGACCCTTGCCGCTGCGCGCATCGAAAACGCGCATCGAAAACGCGCACTTTCGCCCTCTCAAGCGAGGGGCAGCCACGGCATAGAAATCCATGTTGTTTCCGAGCTGGCTCAACTCCTGGCCCATTTCTGTGGAGGGCCATGTTCCACATGTTCCACCAAGAATCGGGATGGTTGATGCTGGTTGAAAATCAAGCCCCTGACCAAGAAAACAACAAATTACTACTGACTACTGGCTTCAATCACCTTGGGGATGTGGAAAAATGAACCGTTGAAGCACGTTCAAACCACGAACCAGAAGAAACCAAGCCAAGAATGATAATGGATGATAATGGACGTATACCAAATTATACAAATCCCACTGTTGATGGCTGTTTTGGTGGCAGGTTGAGCCCAGAAATTGCTGGGAACCTGGGGTAGTTAAAACATCTGCCAGCGCCAAGGCCACCTCTCCTTGTAAGCCGCCTTGCCCCGCACATAGCGCGGCATATGTTCCGACATGTACTTGGCAGCCATCGCAGGGTTGCCCTGCCGTGCCATTGCACATTCCCCCAATCCCCCAAGCAGCCACCCCTTTCGCTGTGGCATAACCTTGCCATCACCCAGGATTATCAATCCCAGGTTGACATGAAGGTATACTGTACTTATAGTATCTTATAGTTTGAATTAATATGATGGTATATGATGGTATATTAATTATGGTATCATTGTGAGTTCCATCCCTAGGACAGTGTACATAACACATCAATCCTTGAGTAACACCACATGAACCGAGCAAGTTCAAGCAGTGATGACTTGGGAAGGCAACTGCTGGCATATCCACCCATGACCACTAACTGCTGACAGGACCCACACCATAAACTAGTCTTGGTCGACTTTTAAGACCCGTGTTTCCACAACACCTGGCCATGTTTTAGATGGTTTTACCCATTCAATGTACCCCAATTGTAACTCCCGGTCTGAAGACACCTGGAAAAACACCCCCCCCTGACCCCCAGCACCTGAGATTTCTCAAACTGCTCATAGCCAAGCCAGAGTTTGTCCATGGTACTATGTGATGCTCCAGCACATCTCTGAAAAACTTTGCGCACAAATTCCGTGTCAATCCTTGGCTACTACGCTACTCCACCAATTGGTGGACGTTTGGGATGGGACTTAGGGTTAGCGGGTTAGCGGTAATTGATGGATTCTTTTTCGCAAATCCAGGTCTTTCCAAGTTTGACAGACATCCACCAGCTTGACACGGGGTGGTTCCATGAGAAATAACGAAGGGCTGAAATTCGACCAAGGCGCTTCAGAATTTCCGTGACCCGCAGGAATTCGGAGTCCTCGTTGCTATCCACTGGTGGCATCCGTGCATAGTTGGCGTTTAAAGTTTTGAACCATTGCCACTTGGATCATGTCATGTAACCATATGTAACCATGAAATGGTTGGTGAGTTTTCACCAACCATTATTTAAACTCCATATATCAATGGATTGCTGATGATTAAGTTTGCTTACCCTGAAAATAGGGCATTCTTGTGTGTTTTTAATCAATGCTTGGAATATTGATGGGATTTCCCCATCAACTAACTTAAGAGGATTGAATAGTTGGCCGATGGCTGGATCTCAATGAATCCACCCACAGATAGCAAAAATTAGTAAAAATTGATCCCATCTGAATTACCCTCTGGTTATGACTAACATAGCCATGGAAAATCACCATTTTAATAAGTAAACCATCTATAAATGGGCCATTTTCCATGGCTATGTTAAATAACCAGAGGGTAAATCACCATAAATCACCTATTCCAAATTTGGCATTGAAATAGATGGAACCAATTGGGCTAACTCCAAACTTGGATCGCTCAGCGTTGGCCCAGTCTCGTTGGTTTCCCAAATGATGCTGAAACCAAACATGAGCTCAACAAAATTTTGAATCCAAATGTTTGAGCGAGTTTAAGTTGTAACATCTTGTAACCATCATGTAGTTGGGAAACTCAAACCGTAGCTTCCCCATTTAATGGGAAAGAATGGGAAATATGGATACAACTATAGCTCCATGGCGCGCTTCTTCATAACCAGCGGATAGTTTAACCAACCAGCGCATCTTTCCATCCTGCAAGACCTGCATGTGCCTTCTGGAGAAAGGTTGTGAGAAGGGAAAGCCTAGCTGAAAGAACCACACAGCTTCAACATGCTCTCAATTTTCAACAGAACAAATATACTACTCATTAGATATGATTGATTGTTCAATCGCCCTTTGCTTATAATCAATATCCATCATATCAATCAACCGGGAAACTTCCATCAACGATCCGAGCATCTGAGATATCTGCCCCGGCTCTGCCGAACTCTTCCTGTGACGCCCCCGGATTCCCCTTGGCTCAGATGATAAGTTTTGGGCTATTTTTTGGGTGGAAGAGAAACAAAGGTAAACTAACAGTTTGCTATTGAAAATGGCCATAGAAATAGTGAGTTTTCCCATTAACAGTGGTGATTTTCCATAGTTATGTTAGCTTACCAGAGGGTACAATACATGGTTGTGAGATTTGCTGAAAATACACCAACCTGCCCTTCATATGGAACCAAGTGCAGGTTTACAGATCTTTGACATGGTTCCCAAACTGACTAAGGTGGTGAAATAGATTAACATGATAGGTGGTAAGTGGAAGCTCGTCCAAAGATATTATTACAGGCATCGATCCATCCCAGATGTTTTTGGCAGAAATTATACAGTTTTGATCAATACTGTCATTCTTGGTAACTCTCAAATCAAACCCCAAAGCTGATTTTAAGGACATCATACAAGTAATGATAGTTTACCCTAAATGTTCATCGTCTGCTTGTTCAACTCCCTGTTTTATCCACATTTTTTCACCAACGTTGTAAACTCCTGCCTTTTCATGTTTGCACCCTCCATTTTGCTTGTTGAAGCGGCTGAAACTCCATTGTTTGACAATAATAGCTATCATCTCAATTGTTCGATGCTAAAAATCCCTATTCTCACTTCAGTTCCTAGTTGCACCTGCCACTTTTTGCCACAACCGCAGTTTTTTCCTTTCCTTTTTCCAGCACTGCTTTGGGCTCATGGGGTCCGGACACAATGACATTGTCCACCACGCTCAACAGGAACGCCGCGCCAGCCACACCGAAGGCGACTTCCGAGGAGTCCAGGGCGAACGTCGCTTCCAAGTCACCGCTCTCCAGCAGATTCAGGTCGAAGCCGTCCTGAAACCATGGGATATCCATGGGATAACCATGGGTCAATTGCCATAGGACATTTTTTTGTTCATCCTGTAGTCATGACAATTCTTCAAAACCAAGGGTATATATGCAATTTTCATGGGTTTCTTGTGGGAAAATCATCGAACAACGACTGATTTTCCGGCCATCTTTGATTTTCCGAGGGTAAACTGGCCATGATGTACACCTTCGGGGCATTGTGGTTTGGAATTCAAACGTCGAATAGTGAGGTTATAGACCAACCTACAACTGGGGGGGGCCAAGTTGTACGACCCCAACACAAAATATAAAAGGGGAGGTGCTGCAGGTTCCCTGGAAATTGGGGGGCCGGTGCCATTCTCCTAGTGGCAAAGGGGCCCAAGATGTTCGGAAATTTGACACGGGATGAGAAATTACGCACTCAGCCAAATGTATAGTCATTCCACTTTACACTCCACACTCCTCACTCCACACTCCACACTTTACACTCCACACTCCACACTCTACACTCCACACTCCACACTCTACACTCTACACTTTCCACTCCACACTCTACACTTTACACTCCACACTCCACACTCCACACTCTACACTTTCCACTCCACACTCTACACTTTACACTCCACACTCCACACTCTACACTTTACACTCTACGCTTTAAACTCTACACTTTACACTCTACACTCTACACTCCACACTTTGCACTTTACACTCCTCACTCCATACTTTACACTCCACACTCCACACTTTACACTCCACACTCTTCACTTTACACTCCGCACTTTACACTTTAGATTCCACACTTTACACTCCACACTCCACACTTTACACTTTACACGTCACTCCACACTTTACACTCCACACTCTACACACGACACTCCCCACTTTACACTTTGACTTTACACTCCACACTCCACACTTTACACTCCACACTCTACACTTTACACTCCACACTCCACACTTTACACTCTACACTTTACACTCTACACTTTACACTCTACACTTTAAACTCTACACTCCACACTTTACACTTTACACTGTACACTTCTCACTCCACACTTGACACTCCACATTCCACACTTTACACTCCACACTCTACACTCTACACTTTACACTCCCCACCCTCTTCCGCATTCCACAGTCTACAGTGCACTGGTACGGTAACAGGGGAAAAATCTAGACTGTTCAAATATCTTATTTCACAATAGTGTTCTACGTGACTGCATTCGGGTTCGTGAGCTGCATCTTGTTTTGGTGGATCGACAGGGTCGCACATCAAGCATCGATCACCTGTACTTCGTCACCCGGTCTCTCCAGGGCCCATTTCAACTGGCCCCAAACTCCTCCTGGGCATGGCAGTTGGGACCATTGGGATCCAGGAAACCTGCACACAACAGGGCAACCTGAAACATACATAAACATACATAAACCATAAATCCATTTGCAATGATCTTAAAAGCAATCACCTTTTCCCAACATCCAAAAAAATATGCGATGATACAACCATGAACAAGCAAACTGATTGAGATTGTGCACGCAAATCATGCCGGGCAAATGTGAAAACTCTTCACAATCTTTCAATTTACTGTACATGGGTTGAAACGACACAAACACACACACACAGACGTGTTTCCTGCCTATATCCTCGTTTCACTAATTTTCTGCATCTTTTACAGATCAAAACCCCACTTAGAAGGGCCATGGAGTTAGTTACAGTTTGTTGCCTAATCAGTAAATGGGTACTTGGGAATAATTCGTGGGTTACAAATCAGTTCGGCATTAACCAGTTTGCTTATCCCATGGCCCATCTTCAGTACTGTATAGAAAATATGGTCAACCATGGTCAACCTAAATTAATATAACACCACGTTGTTTGATTCAGGGCTATAGAAAATTCACGGAATTTCCAAATGTCCAAGTAAGATAGTCGTGATTCAGCTCATCATACCCCTTAACATACCTCAACGCCCCCCGTTCTCCTTCCACGAACTTCAGCTGCTTCGGCGTGTTGCAGCGGTGCCACTTCGGCTCCTGCGGCTGCAGGGGGCACCCCGTCGCGGCCGCGAAGGCCTCGGGGCGCAGCCACAGCAGCAGCACGGTGGGGTGGCTCCGCCAGGCCCAACGCGGCAGATCCGTGGAGGGCAGCTGGAAACGCACCAAGGTCCAGGTGCGAAGAGGGTGGAGATCTGGTAAACCTGGAAGTTGAAGTCGGGAGGGAAGATATAAAAGCTGGAAGTGTCAAATGATGGAAGTTGAAGATGTTTTGAAGTTTAGTTGGGTTTATGAAGCTTGGAATTTCAAATGGTCCAGGAATTGCCTGAAATATGTTTCAAATGTTGTGACCATGACTATGCCGATCCCCGGTTACATATGGAACATCACTAGTTACACATGAGCCAGCTGAACCGACCGAAGTATTTGGGTAAAGGCTATAGGAAAATGATGGACAGTTTTTTGTTGGGGCCAAGTCCGAATATCATTGGTCGATTTTGATTTTGGTGGCCATCATTATTTAGCATGTTTGTCAATCTGTAAGTATCACCTTCGGGAGGCCTGACGGCTATTTTACCACTATGTTTGATGCATGTTAAACTGCATATAAAAATATATAACCACATTTATTTAACCCACAAAAAGATGAGATAGCCGATAACCTCAAGTATGTAGTAGGACCAATAGTAGCCATTACCTAAGTTGGTGGAGCTCCTTCAAGACCCCAAGCAAATTTGGTTTATCCTGAGTTTAAACAAGATGATCCAAACATGATAAAGACCCAGAGCAATGTATTCATCTGGTTGGCGGCTTCAACAAACCTGAAAAATACGATCGTCATTGGGGATCAGTATCCCATGTCCATGCTTGAACAATCGGTATTGAAACCACCAACCAGTCATGAAACAAGCTTTACCCTTTACCTAAAGATGTATCCCGGCACGGACTGAACAGTTCACCTATTCTTCGCAGCCAACTTACGTAACATTCAAATCAACTCCGAATCCCATTTTTCTCGGGGGTTCACCTGCCAATCACCATCCAATCACCAGGATGGTGCCCCCCAGTTATAAGTTGGTTTATAAACCCCATTAACTATAGTTATTTCTACCATAGACCATAGAATTCAACCACTTTTTTCAGGCAACTGAACGCTATCTAGGTTATAACCCTGATTACAAATAGATATAAATAAGCTAAGTAGATCTAAGCAGGGGCAATGTTCACTTATAACTGGGGTTTAAACCCATTTACTAACTGGGACGAACCACCAAGTAACATTGCGCCAGCCGCATCTGCGCCGAAGGCGCCGCGCCCTTCAGCTGCCCCAGGAGCTCATTTGCCCGCGGTGCATCCAGGGTGTGGAGGCGGCGGAGCAGGGCGGCCAGGACGGGAACCTGGGAGGACTGGGACTGCCATGTGGAAACCCATGGAAAACCCCAGGATTTCATAGAGCTGATGGGGATTGAAGATGGGAAGATTGGGGAAGATAGCCAATAGTGTTGATACTGGTGTTGAATTGGGTTTGTTCAAGCTCAAACTTCACGGTTCATCTAACCAAGCTTGGACGGCTCCACCCATTCCGATTTGTGCAAGCATGGGCAAACAAGTCGCGATTTCCATGGGGGAATAACGAGAGATATGTTCTAATATGATTTAGACCATTTTGGGGTTTTAGGGTCTTATCCAATAAAGTTCAGACAATTCAAATATCACTCCTATTGAATGGTGTAATTATTGCCCACTCTGCTGAGTCTAAATCCAAGTTCTTCCTTGGGTGAATACCTCCCAAAAATCTCCAGGCTCTGTGGCTCATCTGTATCTGCCATTGCTAGGTTGCTTTCATCCCCATGGGCCCCGGAGCAACCCTCCATGTTCAAACCGATTTCACGAAATTCATATCAAGGGAAAACAATTGGAAACTTGAATCACCATTGCATGACAGTTTTCTCTTGCAATTCTCACACCATGAAATTCATTATATAAATCCACTTGAAGCTCCATTTTAAGTCAAATCTCAGTTCCAACCCACATCCTTCCCCCATATTTTGCTTCAAAAAATGAGATTTGTGTTCAAATCCCCTAGAACAAAAATAGTAATTACTTATAATCATATCCATATATTTCATCCCACTATCTTCCCCACTTTTTTCCCCATATATCTCTCTCTCTCCCCATATATTTCCCCATCCTTTTCCCACCATTTTCCAAGTGACCGTGACCTTGGAGCACGTGAAGCGCCGCGCGAAGCGTTGCGCCATGCCCCAAGTTTCGCCCGATGCGCCGCGGCGGCGCAAGGTCTCCGGGTCCGGCGCTGGGCAACGGTGGAGCTGCGAGGTGCTGTGCAAAATCCAGGACGCCAAGGCGGTGCCTGAAGCAACGGTAATGGGGGAAGTCACCAGGGGTAACTCACCAGAAAAAAATGGGATGAAGTGGATGAAGTGGATGAAAATTTGGGAAAAGATGGGTGATTTTTGGGCGAAATCGGGATTGAAGCGACATAGTGACTATGGTTTAGTGCTTCAAATAGCTTTAGAAAAGGATAGAAAAGGTACTTAGGCCCTCACAGCCAATCCAAATACAGTATCAGAAAGTGTGGGGGCCATTTATACTTTTAATTAATATGTTTTCGAAAACATGAGCATAAAACATGTTGGATCATGTTGGCTCATAGTCGGAGACCAAAACCGGGTTTAACTTGACACCATGTTTGAAAGGGCCAGGCGCCGTCAGCGGGAAGCATCTCAGATGAACTGCGGGTGATCCACAACCTAGGCCAAAATGTTGAGCTCAAAAGATGGCGTGTCTGAAAATTCTGATTTTTGAACATGTGCAGAAAAAGCAGTGGATTTGTGAGTATATACCATCTTGACCAAACCCCCCCAAAAAATATCCACACCAAGGTTGTTCTAATTCCAAGTGTTGGTATTGTGCGAGGAGGACATTGGAAATTTGATTCAAAGCTCACCATCGTATGTTGGGGCTTGGCTGGCCCCTGTTGGAAGCTATCCCTTATCCACATTGAGGGATGCATTCTACAGGGAGAAACATATACGTAAGCACATTTGACTGGCAGAGTACACGCCGGACGGTTGCAACTGGGAGCAGATCTCCACTATTTCGGGGTTGGGCCATGGCTTTGGGGAAGAACATCCAAATAGCCACTGACTACATAATTTTATGTGAAATCCAGGGGCGGGTGTTTATCCACCTATTGTTTGTCACGTGTGCATCCCATAATGGGTTTGTCCAATGTACCCCAAAATCATCCAAAATCCATAGGTTGATTGTCATTGCAATTGTCCGCCATCGAAAATTGTCGTTTTTTGGGGGGTGTTCCACCCTTTAGACAAAACCACCAGACTAACCCAGGATTAGTAAACCTCCAGTTCACTAGAACCAGTAGCAGGGGCAACCTCCGAATTAATTGATCAGCAGAGTTTACTAATCCGCGGTTGACTTGATCTGGTGGGTGTTGGGTGGAGTCCACCTCCTGTAGAATATGTTTGTCATTATCATTGGGGATCGTCATCCCAAATATGGTTCACACAAATATTTGACATCACCAACCATATCAACATTGGTTCACTTTATCCACATTTATTTCTCCATCTTAGATGGTCAAAACCCGAAGAATTATGGGTTTGGCAGGTGTCAAATCGCCAAGGAGCTGATCCTGCGCTCCTTCCACTTTTTCACACGTCACGCCCATGTGCTGCGCGAAAGTTTGGAGGTCGATGCCGTACAACTTTGGTACCAGCGAAACGACGTCACCTTTTGGAAGATTCAACGAGAGCGAAAAAACGTCCAACAGTTTGCGGGGGGATGCCAGACACCAAGGGTAATCAATCTCATGTATATAATTATAATCATTGACCCATCTAGTTGGATTCTAGCAATGCACCAAACACACGAACTAGTTCACGAATACCCAACCTAAGTGTTGGCTAAATTCAATGCCCATTTAGAGATTGTTTTTGCCACCAACCTTTGGCTTATCACTGGCAAACGGACACGTTTCAGGTTGGTTGATATCCCCACTTTTGTTGGTGTGTTCCCCCAATGATTGTTGTTTTCTACCTGCCATTAGTAATTGTACCCCCACATTGTGGGTTTGACGAAAAAGATGTTCTCAGCCATGAGATGCCATGAGATTTTTTGGTGTCCCCATAACTGTTAATCAAACCGTATCATTTTTTACAGCTTTAGTGGTATATATCCCTATTCTGCCGTCCCAGGCTTCTTGGGCAAATGCATCCTCAAAACCCCTCAATATGCTATCTTTTCTGCCGTGGTTAACGTATGTTAATATACCTAATCATTACAATAATCATTACAGCAGTATAATCATTCTAATAGTCACTTAATCCATGCTTCTCCCCCTCTTCGGCCCCCCCCAAAAAAAAACAAAACTGTTGTCATACAAAACTGTTGTCATACTTTGTTATACTGTTATACGTTGTTAGCCGAGGCGCCGTTGAAATCCAAGGCCTTGAGGTTGTTGTTCAACGAACAGCTCAGCTTTCCGCCCGGGACCAGCAGCGGCGCCAGGGCCAAAACGAGACCCGGGAGGCCCACGTGGTCCGCCACATTGGAGGTGAAGATGCGGTGGAAGGGACCCGACGCCTTAAACGTTTAAGGGTGGCGATCCTTGGGGCTGATGGTGGTTCATACATGTTCATAAAACTGTTTTTGAAGGACTCAATGGGATGGTGGCTCATGAACTGACCATGTTTTGAAGGCCTCAACGTGCTTGATGTGGGTCGAAGGTCCAAGCTGTCGGGCATGCAAACGGTTGACTTCAGTTGAGAGCAGGGTTATCGTCACTTGTGGACTTGAATGATTTGACTAAACACAAAATCAACATTCGAGGATGAATGTTTGAAGTTTGGCAATATTGGATTAGTTTGTGAGTTTGATTGAAGGAGTGGCATGCAACATCAACCACCCCAAATTTTGTGCATTGCTTAAGGTTGATAGACAATTTCCAGTGATGGAGTGGACAACCTTTGGTTCATGTATACAAAAACCATTGGTGAAATGTGATGGATCTGTTCATGAATTGGGGTTCCGTGCAGGAGGGTTGCTACCATGGCCTTGGGATGAACATGACAAACACTTAAAAACTCTCAAGGTCTAGCTGCCTTTCCATCCATCAAAACCATTTGCTATGGCGAAATGCGCATGTTTGCTCCTGGTAATTTTTCTTCTTTCCATATCTTTCCATGAAAATGAAGGCACGAAAGCTGCAAAGCGCAAAGAGAGCTGGGCCCACCAACAAACTGACAAAATTGCTCCTGGTGAAAATCACCATGGACCATATTTCTTGATTGCATGCGGTCCCTACATGCAAAATCTATGATATCATTGCATTGCTGGTGAACTCCCAAAACCACACAGTTCGGTCAAAGAACGCACAATCTTGCCCCATAAATTACAATCTTTGCTGCCTTAAATCCCAACCTTGGTTGCCTTGAATCCCAATGTTCCAGCCATTTCTGGCTTTTAACCCACTGTCTGTCTTTAGAAATTGAGCTACCAGTGAAACCCATGTGAAATCCATGACATCACCTGTCTTTTCCAGCCACCTTTCTCCACAAATCCCAGTCTCTTCCAGCTGCCGGGCTATCACCAGGCAGTCCCCTGCCACGCAGGACCACTCCAGGGAGCTTTCGCGCAGCTGCTGGTGTAGCTGCAACAGTTTCGCGGCGAAAGGCGGGAAGAGCTTGGCCAAGGCACCTGATCATTTTATGTTAAAGGAAAATTGGGAGTTTAATGGCTCTTGATTTTTTCCGTTCGCATTCTGCTTATTAAGATTGTTGTTTAATAAACAGTAAAACGAAAAAAAAAAAAAGAAGATGTGCAAAGTATGTCCCAAGGAGGCACTAGTCTTTACTCTTTCGCAAAAACGAAATTCAGAGATATGTGGTTTGGGAAATTTGGACATGTTTTGGTTTAAAGCAATAATCATGTGGAGGTTGTTTGAAGTTCTTTGGGGTCCGGGGTCCGAATCAAACAACTTAGATCTCATGTGGGTGCGACATGCTGGGCTCTGGGCGGATTTTGATTACTATTATCATTATGATTAATGATGATGGTGGTGTTGCTTGGTATTTGTTTGTTGTGGTGTTCCATGTGTGATGGAACGCGATAGGTTTTCTATGTATGCTGTGTGTTCCACCAAAAGTCTTGAAGGGCACTTCCCCAATAGATAGGCGGTTCATTTTCCAAAGCAGTTCAGGAAACTGTCCCGTCCCCCAAAGATGTTTGAAGTCATCACCGAGCTCGTTGGCGACTTGCATCCAACATCATCCAACCCTTCCTCATCCTTCCTCCAAAACTTGGTTGACGAGCCAAGTCGGTTGCACCAATTCAAGCTGATCTTGCTGTCAAGGAGAAGGACAAAGATTACCTGAGATAGACTTAAAAAAAGATTTCAAACGCAAATGATGAAGCCAAACAAGTCAAGAGAAATACAAATCTCAGCCCATGCACATCATTGCAACTCACATCTTGCATGTAATTGAGTGATATTTCTATGGAGGTGTCTGGAGCAGTCTTGCAACTGATGGTTTGTGCAATGGCTGCATGTGCAGTGCTTGTTTTGCATATGTTTTGGCTGATGCAAAGGTGCAATGCATGTGTTTGTCTCATCTATATGGCATGTGTCTTTTTAAGCGGTGTCTTGTGAAAAGGATCAAGTGGCCAAGTGATGTTTGATTAGATGTGTTTTTCGTTCTTGGTGGATACGTTTTTGGCGTAGGTATTGCGGATGCAAGCTTGTCAGCATGGACAGAATCTTGCTTGGACAATGGCCCTTTTTCTCATGTTTGGTGCGCAGGATTTCAGCTGTAGAGAGACTCTGCTGGACGAGGCAAACGATTCAGCTGGATCATCTGGATAGCATTCGCTAGTCCAGGAGGAAAATCCAAACATACAGCACTCTCATTCAGGTAGAAAAGTAGAAAGATGCGAAAAGAATATGGCCATTCAAGCCCAATGATCAAACCATCAGTGAGCTCACTTCGGTCAGGCAGCATCATTCGAGGCGTTCCTGGTTGATGTCTGTGAAAGTCGACACTCCGCATAGTAGGAATGCCACCCCATCCTATCACAAAATGGCAAAGGATGCTTTCAACATCCGCCTCAAACCAGTCCACACGTTGCGGCCGAAAACACATATCCTGCTCAGCCCAAATCACAAGATACCGATTTGGATCGAGCCAATCTGTTGATGGCAAAACAGACCTTTCCGAATCCAAGGAAGTGATGCCTTCATCTGTAGGCCTGGAAACCCTGGAATCACTCCTGGAGCCATTGGAAAATATGTCAGGGTCAACTTGCTGATGTTTCACGAGAATCTCTCTTGCATGGATTTTGAGCAGATTAGCGAGCGCCCTGAACTGTCTAGTCATGGTCAGCTTCTGCATGCCGATTTCTGCAGTGCGGCCAATCTCTGCCAGTGAATGGTCAACGGGCACGACTTCACTGGGGAGATCGCGCATCTCGTCTTGAATTTCTTGAATTGTGGCAGAAGGAAGGCCTGAACCGATTTCGGTTAGCTTTTGGAGCACTTGCATTGTGACAGAAGGGACGCCTAAACCGATTTCGGTTAGCTGTTGCATCAGCTCTGTAATAGCGCGGCTCTCTTCTAGCCGAGCCGCACTGGTCATCCTGTCGATTCCTTCCCTTGCAGTTTGGCTAATGCCGAAGAGCAAGTCCCTTTGGAGACGTTCGGGGTTATCCATTGCACGCTGCATTGAAACTGGACCCTACACTACCTGCCAAGCAATTGGCTTGAGCCAAATGATTGAAAGTCAAGCCACTCATGCATTTTGTGTCCAGGACCTAAACAAGTTTCACAATTCAGGACGTTCTATGACGTTCTTGAGAGACAGCCAACCAAAACAATACGAAGGTATTCAATCGCCTTGGCGGTTGACAACAAAAGAATGCATCAATCATTTCTTCCGGAATGCAACATGCCACATCGCGAACTCACGAAAGTAGCAGCAAAACAAGTGTTCCAGAAAACTCAACGCAAATTTCAGACAACGTGACATACCAGAATAGATCCAACAGCAATGCTTTGCAACCAAGCTGCAGGGCTCAAAGTGAGGTGCTGCTTGAGCACGACATTGATGAAGTGCCGAAGACAAAAAAAAAACAAAACAGGAAAACCACAACATCCCCAACAAATGCCCAACTCGCTGAATTGGGCTGAAGCTATTGTTTCGCTGGACTCAAGGACCCGCAGAAACCCCGTCAATGGCACGGAACACATTTTGGCAAAACAACATATATATTATTTACTCAAATTCACATTTAAATCCAAACAAACAACACAACAACAACAACAACAAGAAGAAGAAGAAGAAGATAAACTCCGCAGAACCTATCTTTCATAGGTTCTTTGCGGGCAACCATCCCCCAAAAAAATAAAATTGGCATGCGGCGGGTATATTTATACTACGTAATCAGTTCCTCACTATGGTTCCATTTACTTCAATATACCCTTTTAAAGAGCAGCCCAAGGGGCTATTTTTTAGCTATATATACAAACGGAACAAAATCTCAATTAGGGATCAACATCCCATATGTTGGACAATGTTGGATAGAAAAATCAAAACGTGTCACACCACCAACATAATATATATATAATACATAAACCGTTCTATGAAATTCTATGAAACAATTTTGTTGGTTGAATTCTCATGAAATCGGATGGGATTGGCCCCCATCGCAGGAGATACCAATATCTGAGGTCCCCCACCGAGGTATGCCTCCCTGGTGGCCAGTCCCTCCGGCTCCAGCATCTCCTCAGGCCACAGCAGCACCCCATCGCTACAGAGCTGCCATCCGTCGCTCCCTGCGTCGAGGCCCCGGTGCAGCTGGTACTGCAGCCGCGCCGAGGAATGGCGCAACGTCGCGTTGCAGGTCACGGGTTGCTTCAACCAACCAGTCCTGAGTGCATCTGGTGGTGGCTGGTGGATGGTGGTTATGGTGCTTATGGGTCAGAAATTGCTGATAATACTTGAAGGCGAACGTAGGGGGAAATGAGCGGAGATATGAAGTAAAGTTGGAGGTGCCTCGCCAAAATGGAATGAATCTGAATCCTCCATGTCGTAGATTTTGGCCTTCCCCGAAAAATAGATACCCTCTGGTCAACAGGCCCAACTGGGTTGAACACCCCACACCAACTAGCAATTACTTTCTTCGAGTGACCCCCGCCCTGAAACACTATTCTGACATAGTTTCTGGCATACCATCTGGAAGCGTATGTGGCATATTTATTCTGACATGTCAATACATTTTGTCTGACATTCCTTCTGGCATATATTCTGGCATTCTTTCTGAACATCGCAGTCGAGGTCCGGCAGTGCCCACTGAGATCTGGAGCTCGCGATTAGGTCCGGCAGTGCCCATTGAAAATCTAGAGACCCTCACCAGGTGGGGAAAAATCCCAATCATCTGCAACATCAATCAATATGCAGTATGCAGTATGCATCACAATTTCCCCATTGCTTAGATTTTTCCGAAACTAACTGGCAGAATTTATGTAGGCCGAAATCAGAGTGTCTTTCCAACAGTTGACAGGTTTGGTCAAAGGAAAAACGAGTTCCTATCATCCCCAGCCGGCCCGTTCTATGGTTGAGGTACGTTGAGGGGGTCAGTGCCAGCCCAGAAATCGATGGGGATTGGGACCATAGAGTTGGTGAAACTGATGAATCAGTGGTTTACCCATGGATCCAGTTCAAAGATATCTAAGTGGATATACCACACTTACAGTAGTCACCTATCGTTCATCAGTATCCTCTGGTAAACTAACATAGCTATTGAAAATGGCCATTTATAGTGGACTTACCCATTAATAATGGTGATCTTCCATAGTTGCGCTAGTTTACCAGAGGGTAACTCCATGTCTCATCTATGGCCAAAGACTTTGGCCCCAGGATCTCCGAAAAACCTGGAGGCAAATCGAACTGCACCGATCCCAGGACTTCTTCCATCTCGCTACCCTCAAACGCTTGCTCACCTGTGCGGGTGGATTGGCTGTGGCCTCTCTCCTAGTCTCACGGCCAAAAAAAGGCTATGTGATTTCAGGGAACATGTCCGAGATTGCGGTAAACATCCAACATATCGGAAAAACTCACCTCTTCTGGTTTTAAGTCTAATCTATTGCTACTCTAACACCTATCAGACCTATCATGGGGATATCCACAGCCTTTGATGGAAAATTGGACAGCCAAGCTCGGCATCTCAGATGGAAAAACCATCCCAAATTTACCACATATCCCAAGATTCCAGCTGATCAACCAATTGGTATTTACAATGTATTTAAAATAAATCCTAAGGTTGATTAACATCCGGATATGTCAAATGTCATTTGTTGCAAAAGTTCATTTCCACATTTTGATATCTATGAATCGTATGAATATGTTGGATGGTTAAATCCTCAATTTGGCTGCAGGCTTTACCGTACGGGATACCGTACCATACCAGATACCTAGCTCAGATCACCAATTCTTACTTGGTGGTACACCTCAATTTAATATTGATGCCACCGTACAATGATTCTACATTGATAAGAATTATCATAAGTCCATCATTTTTCAACCCCGGACATGGAAAAAAAACCATGGTGTCTTACACACACATATATATATAGGGGATTTTAGGGGTTACTCCCCAAAAAGGGGATCATCTTTGATCCAGGGTTGCCTTGCTAAGGTCGCTCAACCTCCCACGATCCTCGCCTGTCGCTGCCCGCCACTGCTCGCTCCACATCTCCAGCACTGCACCAGTGGCGCTGCAGCACCGCGGCAAGGCTGCCGCCGCAGCAGCACGCAGCAAGGGCAAGGCGTCCAGCGGAAGTTCGTGGAACCACCTGGTGGCTACTGGTTGGTGAATAGTTATCCCGGAATTATGGTATTTTGCAATTTTGCAATTTGCAATAAACCAGATAATCCCCATAATAACCAATCTATGACACTATCAACTATGGAATTTTTAATGGATAGATGTGGATAGATGTGGATAGATGTGGATAGATGTGGACAGATGTGGATAGATGTGGATAGATGTGGATAGATGTGGATAGATGTGGATAGATGTGGCTGGTACATATGTTACAATATCAGACAGTGCTGCATATGTTGGTAAATGTCAATCCTGCACGCAAATCCTGATATTATCCTAAACTGGGGAGGGCACCCTAATCTATGACCGCGTTAATAGAGAAAAGATGTTGATAAATCAGGGCTAAATCACACGTCATCAGGCTGCAGCTCCCTTGAGAGCTAGCTGGAATCGGAATCCGACGAAGCCCCAAGGAATTGACCCTCTTGGTTTCAAGGCCGAGGCGTGAATCACCGGTCCCTGGTTGCTAATTGGGGGGTTCCAATCACGATCGTTTTCTGTGCAACTGGCAATAGGTCAAGTTGAACCATGCCAACATAGAGCTGAAGCAAAGAACTGGATCTGATCAAGGGATATCAAGGGATGTCCTTTACCGTACAAGTAGTTGGTTAGGCCCTTGGGCTGGAACTACCATAACCATTCATTTAGGGGAACCCGTTCCATTTACCAAAAACAACGTAGCACAGTTCCCATTGTTTTGGCCAGTCGCCAAAGGGCGAAGATCGTCCAAATGCGACGGCTCAAGGCTTCGCTCGAATCCACCAGCAGCTGAAGGATCAACGCATTTCGCGCAGAAGTTTCAGCGTTCAGATCCTGAGTGTCACCAGGTTGAAGAGAATGTAACCAGAAAACAACTTCCTGTTTACGTGGGGGGTGGTGTTGATTTTGCATGAAATAAATTCCGCGAAAGCGCGTTCATATCTTTCATGTTCAAACTCATTATATAATAGCTACTCAAATATTCCTAAACATGCCAAGAAAGACAAAGATGCTTTTCAAATCTTTTCGAAGAAACCAAGCTTGATGCAAAGGCATTCGGCTCTTGAGCAGGCAGCATTTCCCCCTGCCAGTGCAAAGCTGCTAGGCCAAAAATCACAGGTTGTAATACCCCATGGTATCCATGGTATTTTAATTCACTTCCCCCACCTGCTCAAACGGTCACCTCACTCCAAATCTTAATCTTTCACGATAGTTGATGATAGTCAGTCATTGACACCTTTTTTAACATGATAGATTGACATGTCTTTTCCTTTCAGTACCCCATCTTGGACCCAAGATATCCAGTCGTCACTCCCAACTATGCTCCAACGTAAAGCCACCCGGTCACCCATCATCCCCACATCTCCCAAGGCGCATTCATCGCACATCGCCAGCGTTTCACCGCCAAAGCGCCGTGCAGCAGCGCTGCAAAGAGGTGCCGTGGATCGCTGAGCCCCACGAAGAGCAGCGCAACGTCCCGCGGGTCCGACACGTCCGACAAGTCAAGGCCAGCCGTGAGGGGTGCGAAACGACCTTTTTTGGCACAACGTGAGGGGTACACCTGGGGCACCCTAGGGATGGGATCTGGGATGGTGAGCCAATAAGAACTCCAACTGGTGGAGTTTTGTTTTTTTCTGGTTGGTGGTTGACCTACCCTTCTGAAAAATATGAAAGTTGGGATTATATATGGAAAAATAAAAAATGTTCCAAACCACCAACCAGTTTTGGATTGATGGTGGTGGTTAAGCTGAGAGAGGTGGATCTTTTTGGCTAAGCACCCGCGGCGTTGCCCACCGGAAAGAAGGCTGGAGGGCCCAGCGTGACGGGAGCTTGCAGACCTGTGAACCTCATGGGAAACTGGAGTAATGACCCTGGATGGGATTATATCAACTGATACTTGGAATATTGATTTATGTCAACACTTGGAACATTGATATTAGTAATATCAACCCCGGATTAATGTGATTAATGCTAACTATGGGTGGTACCACCCTCGCAAAAATGATAATTGTCTACTAAAAACCTGACCTTCCAAAAGCTGCAGTGCTTGGAGGCTTCTGGGAGCAGATGTTTGAGCTCTCTTCTGGGTGTTTCAGCGACTACTTTCCCAACCCACCACTTTTGGTCGAGCTAATCCCATGCATAAATCATCTCAATCCCATTTTCTGATATTTTCAGTTGATCAGAAGTCATCAAAATTCTCATGTGCTTCAAGCAGCAATTTCCCCATGTTCATTGCTTCAACTCCAGCCGTTCGGGTGGTTCTTGACATGGGGGGTACCCCAATGATCCACGTCATTGATCCATTCTCATCCGGGCAGAGAGCAATGGGTTGGGGATGGTTGGGGTATGCTGAGCAAGTCAAGTGCCAAACAAGATTCAGACAAGAAAAAATATACCCCAAATTCTATTTCATTTTCATATTTTTCATCACAAAGAATAACATGATTGTTATCAAGAATTCACTATTCATCATACTATTTCTGCCATTTTTGGGTGGATTGTCTTACCGGAAATCATTGGTTTCCCCGGGGTTTTCCGCTGGTCGCGCACCTTTCCGGCAGCTCCGCCGCTTCTGCCGCTTCAGCCCGCAGGTCCGCCGCCTCGGTTCGCAGCTGGCGGCAGAAGGGAGCGCCCCACGGAGAGCGGCAGCGTTCTGGGCCCAGCTGCTGCAGCAACTCTCCTGGGGCTCCATGATTTTGGGCGTTTGGCTATACCATCATGAAAAAACCATGGGCATTGGGTCTCTTTTCCAGAATTTGGATGTTTAATTGATCTAAGTTTTTCAGGGTTGGTTCAGCCTACTAGAGGCGAATCATAGCTACTGGTGGATACATATTTTCAGAAACATGTATCGTTCAACCTCTTTCTATGCCCTTGTATCTGGCATGTCGGGAGCCCTGATAGAAATGTGTGCTTTCTTCTCATTTTTTCGGGTACTTTTGGGCTCAAGGAACATCTAAAGTTTCTAAAGAAACCTCACACTGTAGCGTTTGAAAAGTTGAAGGCCGGAAATCATGGGGGGAACATCGAGCACAGCCATCTCTTTCCAGTTGGCAAGGAATCATCCGAATATCTCTGAAAACAGGCATGGACAATGGATATCAGAACGATATCTGAAGCAACTTGAAACCAAATTATATACAGCTTTACTCCCGTCTAAACACTATTAAGATATATGCTGTCTCTCAAACCCATGTATCATGTGGCTTATAGATGTTTATAGCTTGAAAAGCCATAGTAATGACATGAACCATAACTGACCCAGCTGCCCAACTAATAGATGGAATCAGCTTCCAGTTTCGGCAATAAACGACACACCACTGATCCAGAGACTGAAACTGGGTAGTGGAAGTATGGGAAGTGGAAGTATGGGGACTACAAACTATCATCCCATTTCTAGCGGTACAACTACAAATATAACCCCAATTGGGGGTAGGGTATGCCTGATTGATGATCTCATGATCTTTCCAAAAATCTTCAGTTAAACCCAGTCAACAGGTCATGACATACCCATACAGTTGCTATATGTTGGCATAATCTATAGCTCAACCCACTTTAACAACCGGTTGCTATACCCCCCACAGCACCATGTCACGCGCCCGTGACAGCCGCCGCGAGCGCAACCGCCGCGACCGCGACGTGCTCCGCAGCAGCTGCTGCAGCTCCGCCGTGGGCAGCGCGGGCAGCACCTGCTGCAGCAAAACACGGCTCTGCTGGAGGCTTTGGGCCCCCAGGAGCTGCGACTCCAACGTCCTTCGGATGAAAAAACATGCCCAAAAAAAGGGGAACACGTGAGTCATATGGAAAACATAGGGAAATGATGGATATGGAATTTTGGGAAATGGACTTTTTGAAATAAGATCTGAAAATTATTGAAATTTGACAAATGGTTCTGAAATAAGAAACGTTTGGAATTGGATTTGTTGGAGGGTCGAGGTGTTATGTTTGAGTGTATAATTAATCAAAATAATATAACTTGCTAAGAATGATCGTATGCTGTTTCAAGGTATTTCTATAGTCTGGTTGAAAGTTTAAGTTATATGTTTTTGATGTAGTAGCAAGCCATCCAGAAAATTATGTCGTTCTGGAACAACTACATAGGGATTGGTATGGGACACAATTTGCCACCATTTAGCCCAGGGCTGTAAACATTATAAATCGTTGAGGTTACTCGTCCAAGAACAGAACAACAGGTAGGATGATAGCTTTGATGGCTTAAGAAGCCATCAGCAACCCATGTAAATCAGGAAGGCAACTATGACATAAAGTTGGCGGCCATAGCTTTGATGACGCACAGAGAAGTAGGCGGCCACAGTGCCACAGTATGCCACAGTGAATATAGACTCGAATATATTGAATTGCAACCCCTTTGCAATCAACTAGTGAGCAGTTTAGCCGTTTGACCCCGGATTTTGCTGGCAACACGAATGCTATCCGTGAATGTTGGGGACCTTCTTTGGTCAGTGCGTGATTCATGCACTCATTTATTCCAGAATCACCATAAGGCGCAGGAACAATATTCAAAGACCAAAATTGACCATAAGAGACAAAACAAAATCATGTGG